TATCTTGTTAAGACAATTTTAGGTATTAAATATTTAGGCTCCGATTTTATTCTTCTTAGTTTCATTTTAAGAAGATTTGGATTGAATTATTTATCTCCTACAATCAATCTTCTAAAATCTCATTTCCTGTTTGGCAAAAATTCATTTCACCAATAATTTAATTCTACTTATGATTCATTATTTCAAAAAATAAAATTAATTGCTTTTAGAAAAATTTTGAAAAACAATTTAAGAAATGCATAAAACAAGAAGGATTGAATCATTTGGAGGTATACACTTTAAAGGTATTGTAATCTTCTCATTAATGAAAAAAGAAAAAAGTTTTTTATTAAGTAGGATTATTATCAAGATCAAAATATTGATTATTAATGGGAGTTTCATGGAGTCACCTTATTTCATGTGTACTCTCACAATCAATCGTTTATCTTCGAAAGCTGATTCCATTTTAACTTATTATTAAAATTGTATTTTTTTAATAAATCATGAAAAATATAGTTTTTAGTTTGTCAAATTTCAAAATATCTTTCCTCGATTCTCATTCTAGCTATATTTGCCTATTGGTATGAAAAATAAGAAATGAATTATAATTATTAGACAGAATCTTTTTATCTCTCATATGAAATCACATAAAGTAAAAGTCGCAACAAGGTTTGGATTTTGGTCCAATCTTTGGCATAAGTAAACTAGAAAATCAATTTTTTTTTAAATATTATAGTAATATTAAAAAGTTTCAGTAGAACACCCAAGGGTTGCATACTGTAAATATAGAATCAACCAAAACATTAATAAAGTCTTCAAGGCCTCTGATATTTTTAAACGATATTAAAGTGAAATAAGGAAGCTAAAAGGAATTGGGAGACTGACAAAAGTTTGTCTCATAGAATTTCTAAATGAGATAAACTATGAGATAATGCAAAAACAAATCAAGGAATAGAACAAGAGGATGAAGTAGGAATAGAGTGAACTCTAAGAGTTAGAATGATTTATCCAAAAATAGTTTGTAAACAATCAAATTGCAAACCATCTGTAGCTTATCAAAACATTTCCTATTTAAAGATAATTGTATAAATTATACAGCAAATTACAAACTTGCAAATTCCGTAAAAATGGACAATAGTAAAGAAGGACTTGAGGATAATCTAAAAGAACAAAAAAATGTAAGTTCAAGAAAGAGAAGATGTGATTGTCGCTAAGCTTTTGAGGACATATTTTGATTAGTTACCGAATGAAAATCTATATTGAAAAGAAATATTTCAACTTCTTTACTATAAGATGGCTGAATTCAGTTTGATGCTAGTGAGGGTTCTCCTGGTTATCGATAAATCTTTCACTTCAGCAGAACATAATTTTCATTCCACTTTTACAAGTAGGGTTAAACTTAGGAAAGATTGTAAAGTTATTCTTTCTATATTCAAAAGATTGCAAGTTGATAGTTAGATTTATTATCAAGAATCAAGATAGAAATCAATGACTTAAATCAAATTTCTGAGAATTAGTCATTCTTATCAGCCTAAGTAAATAAAGCTAAACTATATTACATTTTAATATGATACACTGAAATAGATTATTTATTTTTTAAAAATATCTCAGTGTAAGACTAAAGTGATCACTTACCAATAGTATGTATTTTCTTGATTTGGTTAAAATAAGATCATTCTGAATTCAACAAGATCAACAATTTTTCTTAAAGTTTTTGATCCTCAAATCTTTATTCTAAATATATTTTAATACATGCAAATAATACCGAGAAAAAGTATAATAAACAAATGAGAATGAAATTATTTTTTTTGATATATTAAGTTTGTTATAAAATATTTCAACCCAGTTTCTTATTTGAGTTTAGAAATTGCAATTATAAAATTGATCTAACTCCAATTCTTAGTCTAATAGATGAAAGTGATTATGATGATCTCAAATATTGATTTTTTGGTAAAAAATTGAATTATTTAAAGTGGCAGAAGTACAAAAAATTTAAATATCTTGTCTTCTATTAAAATTGGCATCATTCTGAGTGAATGAGACTTTTCACCTACTTTATTTATTGTTTTTCACATTTAATTTAAATATTCTAAATATAAGCATTCTCACTAAAATAATTCCTTAATAGATTGCATTAATTGAATATAACAACGAATGAAATTGACAACATTCTTTAAAACCAATAATAACCTTCAACCTTTGTGATGTCTAGATAAGGATTGTAAGTTTTATTGCTCAAATTAATATTTTTATATTGCCACCTACACATAATAAATAATTTCTTAGATAATTAAATCTTAAACCCTCTTGTTTCTGTTTTAAAGATAGTCGTAATCCTAAAGCCAAATTATTAATGTATTCAAAATGTATTTTTACATTAGTAATAAGGAGATTATTTAACGTCTTTGGCACACAATGGAGGGAACTACATCTGTATTTGGCATTGTTGCATAAATATTATCTTTTAAACGAGAGCCATCATTTTGTTCGTAAAAATAAATATCTAGTCGTGATTTATAGCACATTCTTTTGATATCCTTCTAATATTAACAATTCTTTTCTTAAATCCTTCACGCATTGTTTTACAGTAATTTAAATAAAGGAAAAGGTATAATCAGAGTAATTTCTCCCTTTATCTTTAAATATTATGATTTATTAATTGTTATTGAATATTTAGGTATAAGCAATATTTCAAAGTAAATATTAGGAGATTGAATTTCCGAGAATACTCAATTTTCTTATAATCGTAATCTTAGATTACATTTGGGCAGTTTTTATTTGTGATCAGAAAAATTTACATTATATTATTAACTAAATAAGGTGCCAATAACAACTTCAAAATATTTTTGAAAGCATTCTTAAGATGACTATACAATAGTAAAGTCGTATTAAATGATTGCAAATACTACTTCGAAAAATACTAAAATAAAATCATTATAAGAGTTAAAACAATAAAGTTTTGGTTCTTCAGTTCTCTTTTCTTCATGTTTAAAACAATTCAATAGCCTTATTTCTAACCCGATAATCACATAAGTCACGGTAAAATGAATATCACAGAATAAAGCGTTCATCTCATAGTTAAATTTTTAAAAAACTTAAGAAATTTTAATCGTCAAATCACTAAATAATCTTTCTTGAAATCAAAAATTTTGATAATTTATGAGAGTCAGGTTTGAGTTTTTCATTTTGTTTTAAGAAATTATTTACATTTTCCTATTTTGGTAATTAAAAGACCGATAGATTCTGGCAATATTTACTTGAAATATATTACCATGAAATGATATTTATAACACTTAATTACCTTTTGAAACAAAATCTATCTCAAGGTATTATGACTATAAAATAGAAAATTAATTTCATTAGGATCCCCTTGACTTAACCATCATTTTAGTGGCTTCTTTTGTAATTAGATAATAAGATATCTTAAAGAATATTTCCAGGTAGATTTTGCATTTATTTACTCGATAATTAAAAATAGCAATATTTTTTTCTCATAGAAATGGGGAATACATTTTATCTAATAGTATGATTTTAGGAAAGTCCAGTAAATAAGGCACCACAGTGGCATAGTGATATCTGTTTTTAAGACTTTTTAGAAATTATGACACAGATATTCTTGGTAAACTGATTTTTTGAATTATGTAATAATAGGAATAAAACGTAATAATTATAGAATTAATAATGCTAACTATCAATATCAATTTAATAATATTTATGAGAATGATACAAAATTCAAATATTTTACTGAATGTTTAATTCAAGTTCAAAAAGAAAAAGCTCTAACTTTACCAATGGAATTACGGACATTGATTAGCTTGATTAATTCATATTAATTATTTGATAACCCAATTCAACTAATAGAAGAATTTGTTGGTTCCTCTGTAGAAATTAAGAAGGGTTCACTTGATTTAGATCTTTATGATCATAATGCTCGTTTAGATTATTTTACAGTTTGTTACCAAAATTACTTTAAGACATTTTAGATTATAATTTAAAATAAATAATTATCAAACTTATTTAGAAAACAAGGTAGTACAACTGATTAGACTAAAACTAAATTGCTTTTCGCTTGTCCTAATATCTTAATTGTATAAACCCAAATTTATGAAATATCTAATAACTAAAATAATGTACCTCATCTTCTGAAAGCAATCTTTACGGCAGCGTATGTGTAGGTTTGAGAATTCATTTATATAAATTTTCAAATTCAACATAATGGATATTTTTTCATTAAATCTTTTATAAAATTTGTGAATATTTTTTTTACTTATCCTTATATTTTCCTTGAGGCTATTGTAAATATGGTTGTTTAGTTCTCAATAATTATATTGGTTGAATTATTATTTATGGTATTTCTTATGATAAATTCCGATTTGTAATTCTGGTATTTGAATTATCCTTAATTATTTGAAAGTATAAATCAATTAATGCATAGTCAAACATTAATCTTTTCTTTTTATTTTTTCATTCTCATCATTTATTTTATTAATATTCTCTTGTTTATTCTTCTATAGTTCAGAGTTTCAGTTAGATGTTTGGATAATGTGAGAGTTATTTGCAGATTCAAATTCAGGAGAATTCCACCTTAACCAAATTTTTCGTTTTATATAACCTTTATTTTCTTTTTTTAGATCTCAAAGTTTATTTCCTTTATAATCATGTTTTCACTAATTGTACTCTTAAATTATTAAATTAACAAATATATCTATAATCTTCTAATTTTGAATGCTAGATGGGAATGCTTAGATTAATGTACATTCTCAAATATGTAACAAAAAACTGAGTTTTTATTCAGAAAAGGAGATAACAGTAATTAGATTATTGACTTTTCTACATAATAAAGTGGAATCATTACTGTTTTTATCCAGCCTTGTCTCTATCTACTACAAAATCAGATATTTGCTTTGTTGATTTAAAAATGACTAATTTATTTTATTGATTTTATATAAGGATACAGTATTGAAACTAGATGAAAAATATTATTAAATTTTATCCTTAACTTTAAAAAAAGATAAATGATAATGATAAAGTATTCAATCTGTTGTTTGCTACTCTTACAAATAGTTAACAGTGCCTCTATTCACACTTGTCCAACTGGATGTTTAACATGCAGTGGTGCTAGTGGTAATTGTGGTGCTTGCACACCTGGATATGAGCTGAGTGGGTCCACTTGCGTTGCTTGTCCATCAGGTGTTTGTACATCATGTCAACTACCATGTGCAACCTGTACTACAGGCAGTTTAGATTGTTAAACTTGTAATGACACAATTAACTAAGGTGGGTTAAGCTGTTAATGTTTAGTAGGATTTATCATGAACACCTCAAATTACTTATGTGATTAATGTTAATTTCCATGTGCAACATGTTAAACAAACATAAATTATTGTTTAACATGTGCTTCAACCTATACTTTGAATTCTGTTAATCACACTTGCGAATGCCAATATAATCAATTTGAGCTAAATGGTATCCCTAAAAGTTGTTAAAATTGTAGCAGTCCATGTTAAACTTGTTCATCTTTAGATACTTTTTGTACATCATGCATTTCAGGACTAAACAAAATACTATCGAATAATTAATGTGTCTGTGATGATGGCTTTTATGGGAGTGCTGTTTGTACACCTTGCAACCTACCATGCAAAAATTGTATTTCAAGTGCAGTTTGTACGTCCTGCATTGACTCAATTCATCAAACAGGAGTCTCTTGTACCTGTCCTGCAACTTTTTATATGAATGCATCTTTCATGTGTTAAAGTTGTGTAAGTCCTTGCTTAAATTGTACTTCAGACTTATCATGTACATCTTGTATTGGCAACTATTTTATTTCTGCAAATAGTTGCATACAATGTGATAACTCTTGTTACAACTGTGTTGATATGGCTACTAAATGCATATCATGTATTGATGGATATTACTTGGACAACGTATCTTGTTTGCCTTGCACTCATCCATGTAGCAAATGTTAAAATAATGGTAATTATTGTTTGGATTGCGCATCAACCTATGTGATGAGCACTTCAAATCCAAACATTTGCGAGTGTCCTTATAACACCATTAAAGTATTAACAAACAATCCGATAAATTGCGAACCTTGTACTTTACCTTGTGATACGTGTTAAGGAACAATAACTCATTGTTTAACATGCATTGATTCGAATTAAACGATCAATTCCTCTTTTTAGTGTGTTTGTAATTCTGGTTATGTAAATGGTAGTAATTCTAATTGCGTACTTTGCTAAAGTCCTTGTTCAACTTGTTCAGTTAATGATGTGCACTGTGATACCTGCACTGATTAAAATCATTAAATTAATTCAGTATTTCAATGTATTTGTAAGGACACATTTTATTCAAATACCATTACTACATGTGCTTAATGTGCATATCCCTGTTAAAATTGTAATGCTAATGGGTGCTTAACATGCATCGATGCTAATAAAATAGCTAATAAATCTTATAAATGTGTTTGTAAGCCTGGATCTTACGAAGATGGACTTAATTGTGTAGCATGTGCTTCTCCATGCAAAACTTGTGAAATTGATTAAAACTAATGTTTAACTTGTATTGATACAAATTAAATCTAAATCAACAAAAAATGTATATGCAAAGATGGATATTTTGAAGTCAATTTGCACTGCCAATTGTGTAACTACTAATGTTATACATGTTTTCAATAATCTACTAACTGTCTTAGTTGTAATCCACAGGCAAATAGAAAACAATAGAACAATACATGTATTTGTGAGGATGGATATTTTGAAAATTAAAATAAAGATTGTTAAGCTTGCAATTCAAATGAAGGTAAAACTAATAAAGATTGCAAATAAAAAGAATGTTCTGATAATATTTGGACGTAAGGAGAAGATTGTGATGATGGCAATGATGTTTCTAGAGATGGTTGCACTGATTGCAAAATTGATAAAAATTATTCTTGCATAAATACCTTTAATCAACCATCGCTTTGCTTTAAATGTAGTGATAATTGCAAAGAATGTTCAATGTCACTATAAATTGTTTGTATTAAATGTAATAAAGGCTATTTTTTACAATAAAATCAATGTGCTCAATGTTCTGAAAAATGTTTAGATTGTGAAACCAGTGCTTCCAATTGCATAAGTTGTAGGTATTAGACAAAATCATCAGGAACCTGCTAATTATGTGAGAGTGATCAAGGTTATTATGCTGACGAAATTAATAATAGATGCTATTCTAAGTGTGGAGATTCCTTGAAATCTGTAGAGGAAGAATGTGATGATGGTAATTAAGTATCAGGAGATGGATGTAATTAATCATGTTAGAAAGAGAAAAAATTTCTATGTTAAGATGGAATATGTATCCTACCTGATTATCCCATTCCTGTATTATTTAGTTATGGAGATACTTCTTTATATATTAATAAGCGAAAATTTAAATTAGAATATAATACACTCTTAAATTTAACTCAGGATAATATCATAGAGAGACAGTTAAAATTCTACATCAAAAAGCAAATGACCATTAACCCAATCGATATTCCTTACATAATAGAACGATAATATTTATTTACTAATCAAGGCAACATTAATTTTTCAGTAAGTGCTCAGATATTATTTAATCGTAGTTCAACAAATGAAGAGCTTCTAATTAAATATCTTAATGCCGATTAAATTATTTCTAATAAAGGATATTCATAAACAGAAAAAGAAATTTTGGCTGAAATTCCAAAATATTTTTTTATTGATTAAACTTCTGTCGCATAAGTTGAAATGGCTACATCCAGTAATTCAATACTGTTGTATGTTATGGCTTTTATGGCTGCAGGAGCAGTTTTGTTCGGTGGTTTAGAAATATTCTATAATTTATTAGATACAATTTAAATGTTATCTTACTTAAAATACATTAATACTCAATATCCTTATAATTTGGAGTAATTTTTTGAATTTTTTGGTTTTGCTTAGCTCAGTTTTATTTCTAAATATTTGAATTTGTAAGAATTGATTGATCCTTTTATTTCTTACGAAAATCTAAAGTCAATACCTTATAAGATAGAATTAGATGAGTTTAATTCTTTATTTATTATTAATGGATCATCTATTTTGGTTGTCTGGCTTACTCTACTGGGTGTTTATCTGTCTTCCAAATACCTTCCAACCCTTTTGTCTAGGATTAGATTTAAATATTACACTGATGTACCAGAAAAATTTGATCTCGAATTAAGATGCAAATTTTGGTTGGTAGCTTTAAAAATATATATTGTTGAACTCTGCTCCATGATAGTGTCAGAGTTTTTCTACAGCGGAATCTTAAGAACTTTTATTGCAACTGCTTATGACTATTCATTCTCAATGTCTCTTTAGCTCTCAGCATTACAAATTGATTCTTCAGATGGTCTTGTTGCATTTAGTTCATTTTTAGCCCTAATAGCTCTGGGAATATATTTACTTACGATTTTCTCTGTCACAACAATATGTGGAGATCCTAATTTTTAGATTTAAGAATATCAAAAGAAACTCAAATACTAGTCCCTATTTGAAGGCATTAAAGATGATACCTACAGTAAATATTTTAATGCAATTAGCCTTATATAAAAGTTACTATTTATAAATATCTTGATATTTTGTTATGAAGCACCTTTTTATCAGACCATAAACTTAACACTTCTATCAATTTTGTAAGTTATATACTTATTTGTTTTTAATCCTTTAAATGATAAAAAGGAGTTTATAAAGTAATTTTCATGTGAAATTAATAAAGCTGTTGCCCTCTTTTTTATTTTAGGGTTAGTTATTGATTAAGAATTCAAGGTTTTGAGTGAAAACATGCGATCAATCGTAGGTTGGATTTGCATCGGTAATATAAGTTTAATTTTTATTATTTAAATAATGATAGATATTATTCAATAATGGATACTTTTAATCAACAAATACAAAAAGTTAAGAAAACTTGTCAATTAATTTTAACAAGTTATAGCTCCAAAAAAACCTAAAGAAGCTGATCATAAGCTTTTTACATAAGGAAATCTAAGAAATGCTTGAAATTTATTTATTTGATTATTATTAGTATAATAATGTAGTTTATGAAATACTCCAAAAATAACAATATTAATAGTTAGTATTCAATTAAAAAATAGAGTACTTAATTCATAGCTGTATATATTAAAGAGAAAACAAATTTTATTCCTGAAAAAGTAATTCTCACCTATTGGATGAAACATTTTCAACCATGACTTATATAATTGATTCAATCTCCTCTTAATCACATCTGGTTTTAAATCTTGAATGATAAAAATTGTGCTTTCACTTAAACATTCATCATTTATTTGCAACATTAAACTGCCTAGTTCCTTTTGGATCAGCGAAAAATTATTTTTATCCAGCTTGTATTGATCTCTAAAATTTATTTTTGATGTAATTATAATAATCAACAATATAAGCAATAAAGAATTCACTTTTGAATCTTTAAAATGATTCACGTAAAGTAATTTATCTATTTCCTTTACAATAAATTAAAAATATATATTTCTTTATTTAATTTAATTTTCGAAATTCGAATAGTTAAATTAGTTGAGATTGATAAAAGAATAAGCTTAATAATTGATTGAACAGTAATTACTGTATATTTAAGTTTCTTTAGAACGTGATAATTCAAATAAGAGATAATCTTACACTCATAATTAATAATCAGCACCTGAGATAAGTTTTTCAATATGGACCATCAATGAATGAGTTGAATTTTCTTAGAATATTAAATGTAATCGATCAAGACAAAGTACAATAGACTTACTTTAATTGATCCTCTGGATAAGTCTAAATAATATAAAATTATTTTGCATTAAGAAATACCATTAATTTTCTCACTATTATCATAGAACCATTGATGCAATTGGTTACTTTCAGATTCAAATGGGTTTAAGCTGTCTTAATTGAATTTAATAATAATTTTATTCTCAGATTCAATTTAGTGAATTATGGATAGTATTTCAATATTGCTCCTATTTAGATAAAGCAACATAGCTATTTTACTTATTTAATGTCGATAAATATCTCATAATAATCTTAATTATATATGGCTAAATAAAATAGATTTTCTGGTATTTTATGCCACATAGAAGTAATTTATAATACGATCAAATAAAAATGATTTTTTTGTTCAGATTCAAAGACAATAACTTTAAATTTTGTATTAATTCCAGATTTCTTCCCTATATAATATATTAAAATAATAATGATTCTCTGAAGAATTAATATTTAAGCTTTTCTTCAATTATTTTTTTTATATTGAACTTTCATAAATAATTATTAATAATGTATTTACCATTTACAGATTAAACTTATGGAAATTAGTAATAAAGTTATAAACATGAAACATGCATAGCTTTAGCAATTAATAATGATAACACAATGTTACTCACTGGTTGGGATGTAAAAACTCTGGTTCATATATTTAAATAAGGGGTGTTAAAATAGTTCAAGTTCTTGAATCATCATTCAGCTGAAGTATCTACACTTAATTTTTGTGTAAAAAACTCTAACATTGTATCTGGCTCACTTGATGGTTCTATAGTGATTTCATCAATCTAATAAATTGCAAAATCAAAATGGATTTAAAAATTAAAAGGTCTCTAAGACATTTTGTGTTTAGTTATTAGTCCACAGTCTGAAGACTTTATAGTAGCAGGCAGCCAGGACAACAGTATAAAATTTTGGTAATGTATCAACAAACAATTTTCATATTCATAATCAATTTTCGAACATAGTGGTTCTGTAAGTGGACTATCCTACTGTTAATAAGAAGACAAAATTATTTCTTGTGGTATAGATTGTTTGATTTTACTTATTGAATAAGTTAAAAACAATGCAGTTGTAAGTTGGGTTGTGAAATAAAAAATATAAGTTGATTAATTTGGTTATCGTTTAAGCTTTATAAATAATAAAATATTTGTATTTCAACCCGAATAATGTAACAATTCAAATTTAATTATCTACACTCTTAATGATTAAAAATAATTTACTGAAAGCAACAAACTTTCCATAACAGATGGAGGGTTATCATGCTATTATTTTTTCCCACTCATATATAATAATAAAAAAAATATTCTTATCAATAAAAATAACAATTATGTAAATGTGATAAGAGTGTTAAAATAGGGTAAGGAAGAAGAATGTGTAGAATTCAGGTTAGAATAGGCAATAGACTTTAAAGATAATTGCAATTTTGGCACTTTAAGCAATGATGGAGAATATTTAGTCACCTGGGATTAAGACTCTTATAAAATTTAAGTAAGGAAGTACATCGAATGAATTGAATTATTTTATTTTCAATAATCTTATTGTAGATATTCTTAAAAATAGGATTATGATTATTTTCTTGAAAGTATTCTGGATTTTCTATTCTAACTGGTTAAGCATACCGATGTATAATATAATAAAGTATTGGATGAAATATTATAAAATAACAGATAATTATCGATTAAATAATGAATGTTTTTTATTTAAATAATTTTAATAGATAACAACTTTATATAACATAATATTCATGATTTTGTATCGTGATCATCTTTAATTTCTAATCTTATTATAATTATCAAATTTATGCTAATTGTCTGGATGGTAACCCAAACAACATGTAAATATAAACATCAATCCCATAATAAATGCCATAATGATAAATACTATTCCAGATATAGAGAAGAGCCTCTTAAAATAATTACCTAATGCTTTATAACAAGAGAATCTAAGATAATTTCAAATAGTACTATTGATCTTTCACATCTGAATTGACGTCATTAAACATTTAAATTGGATACTCTATGCACCAACCTGAACAATCAAATTTTTCTTCCATCCACTAAATAGCTGATGCATCCATCAAGAAAGCATTATTAAAATAACTGCATTCTTATGCGTTTATCGCCTAATAGATATATTACATTTAAATTGTACTTTACTCTGATCAGTCTTAGAATATACTTAGACCTCTGTTGATGCTTAAGGAGTTATATCTTTCGCATAGTAACATTCACATGGGCTTTTGCACAGATTTAATTAAGCTTGATTGTACATTGATTGAACCGTTGTATATTATGGGTCTGTTGGACTGCAAGTTTGATCCTATGTCATAGAAGCTCCAACAATAATTGCTATAACTCCTACTAAGGTGAAAGTCGCAAAGAAGCATAAGTTCCCCATGTTGAACATTACTAAAAAATATTTCCTATTCTTCATTATAGTGCCTAGTATTCCACATATTGCCACCATAAATATACCAAAAGCCAAGGTCCAAAACGGTCTAGATAAAAATTTCAATGAGATGAAGCCCTAAGAAATTAGAACTTATTCTTACTACTCCTAATGCCGCTAATTATTCATCCACTTTACCCAAAAGTTTTGAAATATAATATGCACCAATAAATGCCAATATAGAAAGTCCAAAAGCAATAAAGACTTAAATAAAAGCAATAATCTTTAATGTTTTAATAGGCAGACACATTTCTAAAATAAAATTTTATGCAATATGATCATAAAATAAACTTGCCTTATAGCACACAATATATCTTTGAATCAAATTAATTTTATATATGGTAAATAGATTAAAGATTCAATATTAAAAATTTAAACACACAAATTTAAACAAATTGATCAACAATTGCCCTTTAATTAATATCAAATAAGTAAAGTTGATATAGTAAATAAATGAAGGTTGCTTAGATATCTCAACAAAATAAAAGTATGGATTGTATGTTTCAGAGGCAAATAAATAACGAAACTTAAGCTAGAGACTTTAAAGTAACTCTCCAGCAGTCTTTTAAAAATGTTCAGCCCCTTATAAAAAAGGTTTAAAATTCAACATTAGAAATAGATCGAAGAAACTCTTCTAAGTTCTTGGTAATCAGTCAGCGATTAAGAGAATACAAGATTATAAAATAATATAATATTACATGTAGGTAGATAAAGACTAAACTTTATAATTAAATTTCTGAATCCCTAAAATTATTGAATGAACTAATTAATACAATCTACAGTCCCTTCAAAATGACAAAAATCAAATTGATTAAATTTTTAGATTATTACAACCATAATATGTAGCTTTTTGGCAAATATTAATCAAGGTATTTAAACAGAGGACTAATTACAACGATAAGTATACGATTTAAATATCTGAAAATATCTTGTTTTGAGGAATGAATTTAACCAAGCTTTCATAAATTTTTTTCCAATAGTTATAAAAAAAATACATCTGAATTTAATTTCAAATTGGCTATCTTAAATTAGTTTATTTGATGGATATATGAGATTAGACTTTTGTAGTCACTTAATCTTTGGAAATCATCTTTTATAATCCAAAAAAAAAAACTTTAGTCCCATAAAGGGAAGGCAATGAAGGCGAATGCAAAAGCTTATATCTTAAGCTATTAAAAATCAAACAAATTTATTTTCTAGAAGTAGAATCTAAATATCTCCTTATCATAAATCTCCAATTCTATCCTTGAAACAAATTAAATAGCTTCGTCCCTTTTATTAGGTTTTTTTATGCTTTTTGGATTTGATTGACATAGAGGCTATCTTATTCGGTGTGTCTAATAAGCTTGAGCAACTGATATAACATTTGCTTAAGATTTTCCCGATTTAATTCTCTCCTTCATTCTAAGTTTGCACTCTTTTTGATAACTTATAATCCCATCTCCCTATTTTGAGTTTATTAAATCCCTCTAATCAGTCAGGTACTAATCAAAATCAATTAAATATTAAGAATGATAAAAGATCCATATGGTGAATGTGTAACGCTGAAATCAATTTGATTAAACATGATTAATTATTTAGGATTATAACTCTTTTTATTTTGGCCCTCTATATTTTTTTAAATAACCAACCTTTAGTTAAATCCGTTTGATAAAAATTAAGAGTCTTCTCAAATAGGGTATATTAATGAATTCAGCGATAGATTAAAGATAATATTATTAATCAAGTACATAAGTATTAGTAAAATTACATATTCGTAATTTCAATAAAAAATACTACGATCTTTTTATAAATCTATAATAAGTATTAAATTATATAATCTATTGATCTCTAATATACTATAGCATAAGTTGATAATGAGTTTGTTCAAATTAAAATATTAGAAATTTTATTGCAAGTCATTTGAATAGAAAAATTAAATTATTTTGATACAATATTTATAATCTTAAACAATATTAAAATTATTTTAGCATCTTCCTATTTCCACAAATGAAAATGATTGTTCTCTTAATGCAAAGTGATAAAAATAATATTGAACCGTTAATACAAAAAAAGTACGTCTTTGCAACTTATAGAAATATTTTTGTTATAAAAATGGCTAATCAATTTATAGAATCAAATTATAAAGATTAAATAATCTTTACTAAATTATTTTAATAAATTTCGAACCTAAACACTCATCATCTTGAGAATAAATTAATGAATATAAAATATTATCAAATATTATTATTCATGCTTAAGGAATTAAAGTAAATAAGAATAACTAGAGTTATTAAATTAAATTAAATAGATGAAAAACTAACTTCTCACTATCTTTTTGGAAATTTAATAAGATAGTCTATTCATTTAGATTAATTTAATAAAGGTTTATCAACCAATATCTTATTTGAATTATTGAATCGTAAAAATATAAGAATAAACGTCTAAATCAGCTTAGTTTCTATATATTTTCATTAACCTTTAAGAACTCTAATTTAAATTTTTTCTGTTTTTGCATCCCAAGTAACTAAGAAGTTACCATCTTTACTCATCGTTCCAAAAATATTGGCTATGCCGTACAAGTCCGTTCCAAAATCAATTGACTGTTCTAACTTTAATATATATTTATCATTTCCTAGACTGTTTTAATTTTTGTTTAATTTTATCAAATTGACATGAGCTCCATTCTTGTTAATAATAACACTTTTCTGACTGTTGAATGTGGATGGGAAAAGAGAGGAACAGAGTTAACCTCCATCTTTAACAGCAAGATTAAAGGAGTTTATGTAAGTTTGTGTTGTTTAATCTAATAAAAATATTTAAAGGTGGCTTGATAGAAGGGGTTAAAATGTAAATATTTCATTATTTATGAAACACACTCTATAACCCCACAAATTGACTTTAATTTTCTATTTAATTTACCATTTTGATGTATTCTCTTAGAACTGTATAACCAATAGTAAAGAATCATATCCACAAGTAATTAACTTATTTTCTTCATTCATGCTTAATCCATATACAGGTTGAGTATGGACTGAAATAGTTTCAGAACAAGACCATTATGTTAGATTTTAGAATGGAAGATTCCAAAACTTTATTGTAGTATCAAAACTACCTGAGACAATTAAATTTTCTTATCTGTTGAGTGCCACACAAAGTATACTTTTGGAATGATTTTAAAAAGATTGTATGTATTTTGCTTTTGAAATTAAATTGGCTGACCACATGATGATTTAACCATCATCTGATCCTGAAAAGAAATTTCCTTAGCTAAAAAAATTGAGTGTGGTTGCTACTTTGGAATGTTTATACAAATTTTGTATGAACTTCATCATTCCTTATTTGAACTGATACACCTTTATAATGGATTAACTGCCCACTAAAAGAATACTATTATTGTTGTTAATGGCAATAGTGCGACAATAACTCTTTTNTACAAAAAAAGTACGTCTTTGCAACTTATAGAAATATTTTTGTTATAAAAATGGCTAATCAATTTATAGAATCAAATTATAAAGATTAAATAATCTTTACTAAATTATTTTAATAAATTTCGAACCTAAACACTCATCATCTTGAGAATAAATTAATGAATATAAAATATTATCAAATATTATTATTCATGCTTAAGGAATTAAAGTAAATAAGAATAACTAGAGTTATTAAATTAAATTAAATAGATGAAAAACTAACTTCTCACTATCTTTTTGGAAATTTAATAAGATAGTCTATTCATTTAGATTAATTTAATAAAGGTTTATCAACCAATATCTTATTTGAATTATTGAATCGTAAAAATATAAGAATAAACGTCTAAATCAGCTTAGTTTCTATATATTTTCATTAACCTTTAAGAACTCTAATTTAAATTTTTTCTGTTTTTGCATCCCAAGTAACTAAGAAGTTACCATCTTTACTCATCGTTCCAAAAATATTGGCTATGCCGTACAAGTCCGTTCCAAAATCAATTGACTGTTCTAACTTTAATATATATTTATCATTTCCTAGACTGTTTTAATTTTTGTTTAATTTTATCAAATTGACATGAGCTCCATTCTTGTTAATAATAACACTTTTCTGACTGTTGAATGTGGATGGGAAAAGAGAGGAACAGAGTTAACCTCCATCTTTAACAGCAAGATTAAAGGAGTTTATGTAAGTTTGTGTTGTTTAATCTAATAAAAATATTTAAAGGTGGCTTGATAGAAGGGGTTAAAATGTAAATATTTCATTATTTATGAAACACACTCTATAACCCCACAAATTGACTTTAATTTTCTATTTAATTTACCATTTTGATGTATTCTCTTAGAACTGTATAACCAATAGTAAAGAATCATATCCACAAGTAATTAACTTATTTTCTTCATTCATGCTTAATCCATATACAGGTTGAGTATGGACTGAAATAGTTTCAGAACAAGACCATTATGTTAGATTTTAGAATGGAAGATTCCAAAACTTTATTGTAGTATCAAAACTACCTGAGACAATTAAATTTTCTTATCTGTTGAGTGCCACACAAAGTATACTTTTGGAATGATTTTAAAAAGATTGTATGTATTTTGCTTTTGAAATTAAATTGGCTGACCACATGATGATTTAACCATCATCTGATCCTGAAAAGAAATTTCCTTAGCTAAAAAAATTGAGTGTGGTTGCTACTTTGGAATGTTTATACAAATTTTGTATGAACTTCATCATTCCTTATTTGAACTGATACACCTTTATAATGGATTAACTGCCCACTAAAAGAATACTATTATTGTTGTTAATGGCAATAGTGCGACAATAACTCTTTTACTTTATAAAACTTTAAGGCAACACCTCATAACAAATCTCTTTTTAGGCCGGCTCTTATTGCATAAACTTTTATATAATAATGAACAATTTTCTTCATAGTAATTAATATTTTATTCTATATAATAAAAGAATCCGTAATAGATTTTAAATGTATGATTGTTAGTCATAAATTTTAACTTATAGTTTAATTATAAGTTTACAATTATTTAATCTTAAAAAAAATCATAGACTATCATCATTTTGATTTTTAATTTATTTCTAATCCATTTTTGTATTTTGAAACTTTAGTATATTCTTAAGGTCTAAAGGTTACCCTATATATATAAATACTTCAAAATCTATTCTTAAAATTCAATCCATGGACCATCTTTCAATCCTCTATTATAAGAACCTCCTCCACTAATTAATTCATCTTAGATTTTACAATTTAACATAATCTTGATTTGAATTCTAATAAAATAAACTCTGCCATTCTCCTTATTTTTTCCCATCTTAATATTTTCCTTCAAATATAACTCGACAGTCCCTAATGTTTATTAATACACTCTACTTCCAAAAATTTTAATATAATTCAGTCCACGACTTAATTTACCTTCCTTAATCATCATATTCTCCTCCTCCTCTTTATTTATATGGCATAAAAATACATATCCTCGATCTGTTCTTTAGATTCCATTAATTAAATTGTCCATTTCCCAACTTTTTTCCCATTTTAGTAAGCACCTTTATTGATGAGTTAACAAAGACTCAATAATTTAGTAATAAGAGATAATACTTTCTAAAATTATCATCTAATTCTATCCATTCTCCATGTTTTTCACCTGTAATTAAATATGCGCCTCCACCACTTAAATCAAATAAATTACTTACATTTTATCATTATTATTTGTTTTTATATCCCAAATTTAAACCTTTTTCCCTTCTTGATATTATCCATGATAAGATATTTGATTAATTCTTCCTATTAGTATAATTCCGTTACTTTTCATAATTTTAATCCAAGTCAATCCATTCTCCTGTTTTCAATCCATCATTATAATTTCCTCCACCACAATCCATCATCTTTACTTACATAGTACGGAATTATGTTGATGACGGTTATCTTATTTTTGATGTCCAAATTCCAGATTTTTTTCCCTTATCATATTCACCTTCTATAATTATCTAAAAATTGCTTAAAATAATAAGTTGATCTACTCTTAAAAACTCTCATGAATTTCAACCCATTTTCCAGATTTCAAACCATCTTCATATAATCCTCCTCCTCTAATAATTGAAATGATATGGGTACATTTAATCACTATTATTTTGTATTTTCCAAACATTTATTTTTTTCCCACTTAGATATTCGCCAATGTAGCTTATCCTGTTGCATCTAGAGTTATGATTACAATTACTTGTTATATTTCTCATGTATTTCAGTCCATATATTAATTTTTAATCCATTTTAATCGTAAAACCCTCCTCCTCTATTGATAAAAATATGAAAGCTACATATTTTGATCCATTAATTTTATTGCCCATTAGCCAACTCTTTATCCTTCTTGGTAACTACCTTCGCAAGTAATTTAACTTTAAGAATGAAGAAGAAAGTACTTTGTGATAGGCTCAATCCATTTTCCGGTTTTCCAAGATTATGCATATTCTCCACCTCCTCTTATTTATTTTTGTTAAGACGATAATATATCCATGTTATGATAAATATCCCATCTTCCTTCTCTCATTCCTCTTTGATAAACACCTGTTTAGATAAATTCCAAAGAACTAATAAGGATAGGATATCAAAACCTCCTACTCTTAATATTAATTGTAAAGTTCATCCCATTAGCCCTGCTTCAAATAATTTTAATTGTCGTACACACCGCCTCCTCTATATAAAATAATTTAGTTATCTACATTCTCTTATAGTCAAAAGAGGTGTCATCTTTAAAGTACATTCCCCATTAACCAGATTTCATTCCATTTATATATTCTCCTTCATAAAATATTTGACATTAACTATAAGGAAAAGATTAAATTAAACTTATTAAAATTTAAGTGAATTTCTTTCCAAAAACCGACCTTATTTTCCAATCTCTAATCATACCATCCCCCTCCTCTAATATTGGTTTTAAAGATAATTACATTCTTTAGCCTTTATATATGGTTTGCCAAAACCCTGTTTTCCTTCCTTATTAATAATTTCCTGTTTCAGTTACTTAGCATTAGCTAATAGATAATTCAATATATTTATTTTACCTCTGATAAATATTTGACAATTCAATCCATTAATCTTCTTTTAATCCATTTTTATCATATCTTCCACCAATATCTAATTTTTTGCCTTACCAAAAAGCACTCCATAAACCAACCTTCTACAATTCTTATCCATACTAACCTTCCCATCTGAGATGCTTAACCTATTCTAAATTTTTGTTATTTTGAAGGCACTAATTAATATTAGAAATCCTCTCTCTAAAATATGATAAAACATTTTACGTTTTCAAGACTACTCCATCCCTCAAATACTATAAATATCCATCGTCTTAAAGAATTTTAATTTAGAACTCTGTAAGTTTCAATTTTTATTAATTTAAAACAAATCCTTTTGAATGTATAATATTCATATTTTCGTGTAATTTTGTATATCCACACTATTGAATTATTAAAATCTATATACCTCCTCAAATACACCTAATATTTTAGAGAATGCCTATCCATGCCTTATTCCAAAATAAACAGGATGTTATATCGATTCATATGAAAATGGAGAATCATGATTAATATTTGTTGATTTTTCTTCTGTCCATTGTTTGATTTGATTCTCCAAAGTCCAAGTAAATTTCCCAATAGAATCATAAATCAAATTTACCTTTCTTTAAACTATTTTGAGGAGGGTTTCCTTTTACTTTTTCCATTTCTCAAAAATTTAATTATGCCAAATATTTGTTATTTTGTTAAGATCCTTCAAAGAGATTTCAAGTGGATGCTTGCGAAATAAATTTAAATAAGAATTATCTCTTTCTCTTATTTCCCCGAATATAAAAGTAAAATTTTCTTGTGCTTTCTGTGACAAATTCTAAATGTAATCCAAAGTTGTTTTAAAATTCTTTTTCATTTACATTTCAATATTATCTTCAACCTCAGAATCATATTATGATATAGTAAAATCCATCATCTCAATAAATTTGGTAATTGGAATAATTTTACTTCCAGGAACAATTTATTAATGAGCATATTAACAATCTGGACACATTCGCTTTTAACATTCATGATTAAAGGTACATATATGCGTTATCGATTAATTTCCATGTACTTAACAAAAATTATTCATTTATTTTTTTTAATTTCAAGAAATTTTGTATTTCTCTAAGAAACTTCAATTAGAAAAATTATAAATTAATTGATAATCTATTTATACTATCTTGGATTTCGATTATAAATGAAAAATATTTATTAAAGATCATCTATATGAAGAATGAATTGTGGGTACTATACTAGGTCTTTGTTCCTTAATAGATTAGAGATGAATAAGAATAGCATTTCTTAAATTTACTAAATCAATAAAAAGACAAATTAATAAATTAAGACTGAACAAAAACATTATCATTACTCCCAATCAGACAAATCACGTTTTTTTTATTTATTTTTGATTTAGTGATATGACTTCAGCATAGAATGATAAAAAAAACTTATGCCATAAGTTAATTGATGATTTTATTGATTGCTTACTGTATATGAATAGTAAATAATTTGTGATGAATACATAGAGTTGAGGGAATTCTATTAAGATATTAAACAAAATTACAAATAACAAAATATATTCTAGTTAAAAACATATGATAATCACTAGATCAATTTTTCTTCTCTCCTCTTTCGCTCTTACCTTGCTCTATCCAAAAAGTTAAGCTTTAGATCTTCCTGTACTTTTGATTGAACTCTACTAATTTCTTGGTGCTCTTGTTTTTCAAAGGGAACTTGTTGAATGTTGGAATTTCCAGTAAATTTACTAGGTTAGGTTTAAGATTTTTCGGGAATGTAACTTTGCACATTAAATTGAGGCGCTTCTTATTGGACTCCATAAAGACGATATTAGGGATTAGTAAGAAAAGGATCTGGAGGTGGTGGGGCAGGTACTGGGACAAAAGGGGGAGGAACATGATTAACCTTCTCCTAAAGAGCTCCTGTTAAAAGGGAATGCTCGGGGGTGTTTAAGAATTATCTTTGTTCATTTTGCTTTAAGGACTGATTCATAGCTAGGTTGATAAGAGACAAGGAATACGTCCTATGGTGTTGATAAGACCGCCCATTTAATTGATTTAGGAGGAGAAATTAAATTTGGATTCTTATTAGGTTACGTAATCAGGTTCAGGGTGTGTGGGTATCATATTGTCGACTAGACTTCTGGGAAATATTTGCTTGAATGAATAAATGGGATACTTTAATTTCAGGTTGGTTGAAATCATAAATTTTGGTTTGATTTATAAGGTAGTTCTGAACATTAGTTTAATCTACATATTGTTTAGGAGTTTCAATTAAACCCTTGGGTTGAGTCTTGGGATAGTAGAACTTTGTATTGGCATTGACATCTAAGAAGTTTTGTTGGTAAATTGGAAAGTTAACTACTTCCTTATTCTCAAATTATTCAAATTTTTATCTATCCAAAGGTTGGTTTTATTAGATAGTCTTTGCAAAGTTGATATGGGAATGCATATAATCAGCGTCAACATTAGGAGTGACTCTGAGAAATTCAGGCTATTGGGTAGTTTATGCTAGATTGGCAGTTTTTTGTAATTCTTTGATTAATTTATGATTCACATCATTGGAGATTTATGTAAATATTTGATCTTAGATTGAATTCAAGAATTCTATTAGTTTATCTTCTTCTGTTACTCCTTTAGCTTAGTTCATGAATAGATCTGCATAATCTAATGATATTTCATTTGACAATTACTTTTCATTTGAAGTTTTATTTATTATTTATATTATAATCCAATAAATTTATTTGATGGAAGGAATATTGCTCTTCATTTTATTTGCATTAACCACAGGCTCTTTTATGTATATGTTAGTATGTACTGACTCGAATTCCAGAACTCCTATGGGAATGATAAGAAGGAAAATATATACAAGCGGACCTTCCATTACAAAGTATATTTTGGATCTTTTATTAGAAAACTATTGGGAGACAAAATATTCGTTAAGCTTTAACAATTTTACAATTATGTTTTCTACACAAATAATCGTTTAGGATAAATTGCTTATTTTGTAATATTCTGGGTTGCATTTGGTTTGTATGGTAAATTTGGATTATTAAAGCACTTTGGAAATACTCCTTATGTAAGTCATATACACTCAGTGTGTGGTAGTTTGATATTTATGTTTTGCAATTACTTTTTCTATAGGACATGCACAACCAGTCCAGGAATAATAACTAAAGAAAATAATGATGAATATGTGAAGCAATTTGAACAATACTATGACGAAGTTTAATATAAATAAAATACCTCATGTTCAACATGCAATATAATCAAACCAGCAAGAAGCAAGCATTGCCGCATTTGTAATATTTGTGTTAGTAGATTTGATCATCATTGTATTTGGGTGAGACAATGTATAGGTTAGAAGAACTATAAGTATTTTCTACTATTTTTATTCACACACATATTCTTAAGTCTTTACGGAGTAGTAGCTGGAATACTTTGTTTGTTTGGAATAGCGCAGAAGCAATAATTATTTAAACTTACATATAAAAATGCAGTAACTGGAGAAATCCATCCTGCAACCTTCTTTAGAGTGTTCACTGTCATCAGTAATAGAGAGACCTTCTTTGTTTTTATAATCTTTGTTTGTCTTATTTTTTTCGTCACCCTTACAGCCTTTTTCTTATATCATCTGAATATGATAAGAAAGGATCTAACAACAAATGAGAGGATTAGAAAGAATGATTTTGAAAAATCCTTTCTCAATGAAATGTATGAATTGTAAGAACAACAAAAAAGAAAGAAAGATGATGATTCAATTAAGAGGCTGGCTTAGTTAAAGCAATGTTGGAATTCTTTGAATAAAAAAAGAGTGCAAGGACTTTATGAGGGGTTAAGAATAGTATTTAGTTAACCGAATTGATTTAGCAGTGTTTGTTTATATTTAGATCAATATATGTTTTTAAGTTATTAAAATTTATACAATGTAGATTGATATCAATTCTAAACTATTTAATCTTGGTATTTGTTGAGGATGTTTTCGATTTCATCAAGTAGATCATTGTATTTTAATCTTTTTAATTTATCTTCTCCCAACTCCCCTAAAATCTTTTCCTTTATTTCTTCACCATATTCACCGATAATTTTGAAAAAATCGCATTTTTCTTTTCTATCACTCAAATTCTCCCAGTCTTTTAACATTATTTTATAGTAATTGGAATCTAATTCTAATTCAATTAATTCTGAATTTGAAATTAAGATTACAGTTCCTTTTTGATTTAATTATGCCAATCTGTCTTTACTTTTCAAAAATAATTCTTTATTTATTTTATGAATAATAAAGATATAGCTCATCCTTGCCTCATATGACATTTACAATAGTTTTTCAATATTTTCTAGTTTGTCTTGAATTATTAAAATATCATCAATCTCATTCCTCTTGTAGAATTTCAATTTCCTAAACTATCATATAGATCAATAGTGTTACTTTAAAGTACTTTGAGACTTGATGTGCAAATTTAATCACATGCATTTCTCCCTTTGAATGGCCAGCACATATTTTTATAATTTATCTCTTGTTGGTATAGAAGATCTCAGACAATTTATGAAATATAATTTTAGCATCCCTTTTCCAAGCAATGAAATATTATTCTTCCCAAGATAATTAATTAAGTTCAATGAGATTTCCATTTTCAACTTGATTAAATATTTAAGATTAACTAGATATTGATGAATAGATTTGAAATTTCTCTGATTCAGTGTGTTAAATGAAAGTGAAACTATCCTCCTTAAGTTTCTCTGCCAATTCACAACAACAAACTCTTAGAACTCCATCTTCTGCTAAATCATCTAATTTCATTTTAACAAATTCTCTTTATGATTTGTCTTAAATCTATTTTAAAATGACTTCGCAGACTTCCTTGCATTAATCATTTGGATTTGGACCCCACAAATGTGATAATCTATCTTTGATTAAATCAGCTGATTTCTTTTTGCATTCACACTAAGTCCAATCACTGAAACACAAGTCACTATTTTTCCCAAAGACCTCTTTGCAAGTCTATCTATGTGAATGAGAATGACAACATTAATAGTTCTTTTCTCCAAGTTCGACTTCTACCTTTTTTTTAGCTTCTTCATGACTTTCCTGGAGTGTTTTCTTTTCTAACAAATTCTCATAGAGGGATGAGAAATACAAAATGCCAGCATCATCTAACATTTTTAGTTCCTTGTCCACTGCTATAGTTGTTGCGTATTATTAGATATTCTTAGCTATTTCACCCGCATAGCAACAAGCCAGAAATACTAATGACTTTTTAGAATCCTTCATAATAAGCTACAAATCTTCTCTATAGACGAAATCATCTGTGCAATTATTCTCAAATTGTAAGTATTAATTCAGTTGGTTTGTATCATTTTCACCATGAGCAATAATGTGGATGATTTTTGGGTTATACTTAAGCACCCATCTCAAATTTTCTTTGGTGGCTTGAGTAATTAGATAAGTGACCTTTTTGTTAAGAGCAGATATCCTCTTTTTGAAATTGGATATGTCGTCGTAGTATTGCACCGGGTTGACACGCTTCTCATTTTGATTTACCAAAGGGTGACTATATAAGATGGCAATGTCAATCTCTGGATATTAGGGTTGTATATGATAACACTACTTAAGTTGGTTTACTCTCATTTTGAAGTTATTCAAATTCTCATAGTTAACAGTTAGCTCAGCCTTTGCCTTTTCAATGCTATTGTATAAGTTCTTCTTCTCTAACTCGATGTTCTCTAAAAAGTGTTAAAATCTCAGATATTCTTAATAATAAATTTGAACTTTCAATCTAATAATCAATGGCTGGAGTGCATTTTCATCTTTGAACCAAAATTGTCCATCCAACTTAATGAAATTATTTTCCATACACAGCAAATCGAATACATCCACAAATTATTATGTAAAGTAATTGTAAAATGCTAATAAATTAATAATTCATTTACTGTAAATCAATCTGCCTTTCACAATCTTTCCTTCTTGAACATAATTCTTTTTAATATAGTAATCTAATCTACTAACATAAATTCCATATATTTATCCATTGTTATTCAAAGGAAACACTTTTTAACTATTCTCAAAAGAATCCGGATTCTCAAAATATTCCACTTCATCATTTGGCTGAATCCCTAAAATCTAGAGTCTTATGCAAAATGGGGTTTTCATTCTTATTGAAAATTATATTACTCTAAAATATAATAATTTAATTAATATTTATAACATTTCTTAAATTCAAAATTATGTAATACTAAATACTTGATAAACATAATCAAATAAGTTCCTCCTCGTCATGATTAAATATCTTCAATAAGTCCTTCCAAAACAAATACTAACCAACTCCTCTGTACCATACTGAATGAATATTCAACAATGTTTTCCATCCATCCAAACACTCAATCTATTTCATCACTTATGAAATAAACTCTCCCAATATAGTATATGTAGGATAAGGATGAGAATTCGGAGAGTATGTTAAAATGAAATTGATTAATGATATTCTTTGTAATCTTTCCATTTCAGAAAGAGCCTGCAATTTCCTTTCAACTTCTTGATGTAATTGACTGACTAAAGCAATGATACGTTTTTAGTATTTTTCTACATTCAGTTTTTTCTATTGTTATAACAATATATCATACTTTCTAATATAAGCCATCTCCTTTTTGCATGCTACTAAAGTTACCACTGTAAATTTCAAACTCACTTTTTACTGCAAATGTTTGTATAATCCCAAATATCGATTCAAAAATAAGGTTAATAAATTTGATTGCAGAATCAAAATGTCTTGAAAAGTTATCATCAATGTATTTCTAAATTAATTGAATGATTTCCTCATTTATCATATCTTCTTAAACTTCTTGTTGTAATTCATTTTGTTCTTTCTTTTCTTCCAAATTGATTGTAATTTTGCAATTTTATTTTATCTATTTGCAAGCAGTAATTAATTTATCGAAATTATACAACAATTTGTATTCAATTTTCGGTAAATTATTTTACTTAAATCCCAATCCTTAACTCAATAAGTTGTCTTACTAAATCCCCATTGATGCAACTTGTCTATACAATTTCCCTATTATATTTTGCGATTCATAAGTTACTGATTGCTCCTTTTCCATATAATCAGGGAAAACTATGAGATTATATAACATCTGTACTTTTGGAGAGAAGTTTAGCATCTAGAAAGACTTGTTTCCCAGTTTTCACAAAATCTACTGCATCTGAATGCAACTCAGCCAACTCAAGACAATTGGGATCATTGGCCTTTTTATCTGATTTGTCAGCCCATGCTAAATGCGAATTGTCAATCAACCCTAGAGTCTCACAATTTAGATAGAAATACAGAAAATCAAACATACTTTTCATATCGAAATTCATATCGATGTTTTCATGAAACATTTAATTGTTCTCTCTAAAATTCATTTTCTTATATTAAACTTGATTTTGTTTCTTGTCATCATAAACCATGGATTTAACAAGCACTGGAGGCAATAATCTATTATCCCAACAAATAAAATATAAGTCTCCATCTAGATCTCCTCCTGCAATCTAGCAAGGAAGTGAATTTCCACAGGCTGGAAATACTAAACAATTGATCAATTAACTATAGGGATTCTTGCCACCATTTCTTTTTAATATCTCTTTTGTTGAAATAGCGTTGAGTTTCTTAATATCTCCAGGATGCAAACAAGGATTTCTAGTGACAAGCACTTCCCCTTTGATATTCTCGGGTTCAACTTAAGTACCATTATTCTCATCCAAAACTAAACAATAAACTTCATTTGGTTGCAATAAATTATGCTCATCTATGACTCCTAAGACTCTTGCTGCTTTCTCCACAAGTATCGAAGTCTTTTTCCTTAGCTACAATAACCCTCTTTATTTTAATTTTGATAGGACTCCTTAACACAATATATTGTCTTCCATTCCAATGTTTATATAGGCTCTCAAAGCATCCATTATATTGGGTAGATCAATTTATTCATCACAATAATCCGCACTAAAATATTTGTAAATGGAAGCATCTTTCATTTATAAATCCTCAATTTTCTTCAAATATTCTACATTAATAGGAATAATTATTACCATCTTAAAGTTCTTGAAAGACATTCTCATTAACCTAGAGTGTCAACAATAGAATTATGATCTGTCTATTCAAGTATCCCCCTCTAAATTTATTGAAATCCAAGATTTGAAGTTTGTTTTGATACCCTTTGGCTGGATTATATTTAATCATTGACCTCCTTAACACAATTGTTTTTGATTCAAGATTTTCATCCAAAACCAATAGACCCTTGGCTCCTTCATATCTAACCTAAATAGCTGATATTTTAGATTTTGAATTCCCTTTCACTTTCACTTTTTATCTAATCACATCAATTAAATCTTAGGAAATCTTGCCAATACCATCGGTGAACAATTTCTTATTGTTATCCACTAGATCATCCTTTATTTGAACGTTAGTTGGACCAATCCAATCCACACTAATACTTGTACTAAGATTCTATCCCAATCGAGCTGCATTCTTGGCAATTTCATCATATTTCAAATTTGTGAAATTGCCTATAGAGTTAATAATTTCAGACCTCTGTTTGCCTGCTCTATTGAAATCGATAAACCAACATGTTCCAGCTCTTAATGAAGATGAACTCCAGGTAAATAGTTCATAGTGCTAACCCAAGAGTTTTAAAGAGGGGAACATGAAATTATAGTAGTAAGTTTAAGTAATATAGGGGATATTCAACACCATGTCTTAATTCTCATCCTCATAATGAACTCTCAAGAAATACTCAACTATATTATAATGCTATCTCAGAATGCCACTAGTGACTTCAGGCTACTTATTAAAATACAAGATTCCAGATGGAGTCATTGACACTCTTCTTGTGTATGCCAATCTCATTGTTGGGTCACGTAATTCAATAAAATCTTGTTAGGTTCTCTTGAACACACTCTTAAAGTATCTTAAATGACTCTCATTTTTTTTTTCCACATCCTTCTCATCAAAAAGTGAGAGATTTGATGTTATCTTACAGAATGTATTAAATGTTAATTCAAAAATTCCATTCAAAATCTAAGGTTATTTCTCAGCATATTTTTTATATCCTGATTCACAAGTCTCTATCAATTCCTATATCTATTTTTATTTGTTAAATTTGTTCTAGCTGATGGCAGCAAGTATGTTGAATCGCAACGAAAAGTTCAAATATTTACTATTCATCAATCTAGAATAAGATATATCATTTTAAAGTTTGATATGAGCCACAACAGGGTAGTCAACATTTAAAACGTGGAAACTCTATAATTTTTATTTAAAATAATCGGAACTTTAATCAAGTTTGATCAATATAGTTGTATTGTTGAGGAATAGCAATCTCTAAATTTCATTAATCTTTTCTGATATAACTAAATGATTTAAGAAAATGTTATCGACTTTAACAAATTGAGACTTGATCAAATTATTCTCGTACTTCCATTTTCCATGATGAGCTGCATAACAAGAAGGAGGAGATAACAATTTAAAGTAGAAACTTGTTTAATCTTACTGATATACAGTTTGACATAGAGTCAGATCAATGTCTATTCTGATTGAAAATTGATGCATGAATCCTAGTATTAATTGAAGACATTTTTCATTCCCTTTGGTTTCTTTGATGTAAATTTGATAGGGCATGTTCATTTACTTCTAGAATTGGGCAGAAGTAAAGAACTATTAAAATTGCAACTACTATTACTCCTAAATAAATTGAAGCATTCCTATTTAGAAACTCTAAACTTTAATCAAATTTGAATTAATCATATTAGTAATATCAGGATTGACAAAGGGATTCGACGAGATTAAGTCAATAAAAGCAGGATCTCTTTCTTAGCCACCTAAATAGAGTTTTTCTTAATGTAAATGAGATATTAGATTGCCCTTGCATTTGACGAGAATCTTAATCTGCAATTTTTGTTCTTTATTTGCAATGTTACCTATGATAGATTTAAATTTGTTTTCTAATTGCATTTATTTGACTTGATCCAAGTCTTTGGAGAATTCAAAGAAGCAATCGATTGCTTGTTTTAATTGCTAGAACTTATGATCCATCGCAACTTCATTTACGGTATCCTCGTAATCTTCATCTTCTTCCTCATCCTAATGCAATTCTTCTACTAAAAGTATTTCCTTTAGAAATTAGACATCTAAAAATCTATTATACTTGTTGCTTGGGTCTTTATTTTCGTATACAGAAGTAATAATGGATTCCTGTTGCTCATTTACATCAACCCTTAGTAATTGGACATCACCAAATTTTTATTAGATTTATTGTTCAATTATAGTTGCTAATTCTTATGCACTCATTTTGGATGCTCCACTCTTTTCAACATTCTTCAATCTATACTGCATGAGAAAGTTGGTGCCAGGACTGTTTTTGATTTCTTCAGATACCTGTTTTACTTGATTATTATATAAATTCATATTTATTATTTTTATATTTACTCCTCATATATTTTATTCCTTATTTCTTAATGCAATTTCTGGTACTCCAACAATTCTTGCTGAACCTAATACAACTTCTCAATATTGCTCTATTAAGCCTTAGTGATCAAAGTTTCAGTTAGATTGTGTATGTCATAGATTGTCTTCTCTGTGAGATGGTCATCCTCTTCAACTAATTCGTCTTCCTTGACTTCGACCTTATCGACATCCAAGACCTCTTCCAGTTTTTTGAATTTCATTATTTTCTTCATCTTCCTCTGAGTCAATTTTCTTTGGTAGCTTTCTAATTCCTTTGGAAAGCTAATGTCATAGGTACTAAAGGTTACATTCCCAAGGCTTAGAAGCGTTCATTCTGGTCAATCTTCACAGAGTCGATCTCATCGATCAATTTCAGATGACATAATATGGATTTTCTGATGTCCACATTCTATTATGGGAGTAATTGAATACAGTTTCGATTGGGTTGTTGCTTATATTCAAAATTTCTATCATCTGCGGCACTTAATCAAAGATAATGGAATTGATCTAGTTTTCAGACACATCTAGAAAGGCTAGTTTCTTGCTATTTCTCAATCCTTTCAAAACTGAGATTTAATTATTCTTCAAACTCAAATACTCCAAATTGATCAGGTTGTCTAGATTCTCTATGTCGCTGATTTTATTCTACATATGAAGTCGATCGCTTACATGTTGGAGGAAGAGGATTTATAATTTGTCGAACAATTCGAGGTTTTCGATCTTCCCTATAAATGTAAAGACAGAATGCTTACTGATGTTCAGAAATTCTAAGTGTATAGTCTTGAGAGACATCAATTCATTGGTTCTAAATACTTATTAGGAGGGGTCCTTACTTCTGATCCTCGGTCATGATGTCAATAAAGTTCTGATCGATGCTGGTTTTGAGAATGAGAGCCAAATCGATTTGAAACTCCTTGTCCTTGAGAACCAACAATTCAGGCTCCTTTATGTCCACCTACTCGTTCTCGCTATCGTTTTATACTTGCATGATTATTTGAATTATTATATAATAAAAATTAGCATTTCACATAATGATGTTCGAGAAATAATGAATTTGAATTATAATTAAATTTTTGTAATTCATAAATGGCTCCGCAATTCATAGTTGGTCATTTGGATTCAAACTTCATATGCATAATATTTAACAATGATGAGATAATATTAAAAAGTTGTTTTAAAAATTAAACAATTTTAGAGTAATATCATATTATTAATTATTATGTAATATTTAAATTTGTTCATACAACCAATATCAAGCTCAGTAGTGTTTCCATACTCTAGTTTGTAACTCCATAACTTGGATTGCTATAATCAATCATTACATTCTCAATACATCGGATTGGTTTCGTAAATCGATGACACCCAATCAGATGTTCAAACTATATCATAATACAGTTAATATGGCACACTTGTGCATATAGCAAAAGAGCAAGACGACTCTTCCCACTCTTACAAAGCCTTTGCGTTTGCCAGATTTCGAATTAATTCGTTTTGCCAACTCTCACCATTTTTAGTAGCAAATGTCGAAATATTGAATGACGAGATCCAAAACCACGATGCCGAAATCCTTGCCCTCTTCAAAGAGGCGATAAAAGTAATTGACTATTTGTATTTTAGATTTATATGGAAAACTTCTCTCTCTTTCAGAATGCCCTGTTAAAACAAAAAATCGATGAGGAAGATAACATAGTCAAATTGTACTATCAGGTCTCAAGCAGAATATAAATACCATTCAACCAAAAAATCAGATTATTATAAATGAATGATAACAACGAGAGAATATCGACATTGATACAATATTTGAATCACAAGATGACACAATACACTACGAACAATGAAATGGAGCAAAAACTTAAGCAGGAACTAATCTCTGAAATGTAAAACAATGGAGATAACTTAATTAATTAAACTCAATAATTTATTCCATAAATCCAAGAATTAGAACTGGATTATTAAAAGTAATATATTGAGTCATTGCCATGGGGAATCGTGCATCCAGAAACCTTGAGCATATAACAGTGCAAAGAGAAGTTGGATAAGAAACATTATGGTTTGGACATGGCGAAACAAAGGATCCTATAATATTTGGCAATTAAATTTTTAACAAAATCTACTGGATCCATTATTTGTTTGCATGGTCATCCTGGAGTCGGAAAGACTTCTCTAGCCTAGAGCATAGCTGAGTCTCTGGGGAGACCATTCCAAAAGATATCCCTGGGGGGAGTTTCAGACGAAGCTCAAATTAGAGGTCATAGAAAGACTTATGTAGGGGCTTAGGCAGGCATGATTATGGAGGCAATAAAGAAGGCTAAGTGTGTTAATCCAGTCATCTTACTCGATGAGATAGATAAGATCAATCAATACACAGTTGGATCCGCCTTGTTGGAGGTCTTGGATCCAGAATAAAATAAATCGTTTATGGACAACTATGTGAATGAGGAATTCAATTTAGGTTAGGTTCTATTCATTTCAACAGCCAACTATATCGGATCTATACAACCAGCCTTGAGAGACAGATTGGAAATGATTGAAATTCCATCCTATACTATTGATGAGAAGGAGAAGATTGCCATTTAGTACTTAATTCCTAAACAGTTGGAGCTTAATGGAATCGATGGGAAGGTTGAGTTCAATAAGGAAGTTGTCAGATATCTGATCACAAATTATACCAATGAGAGTGGAGTCAGATAGTTGGAGAGACAAATCAATTCTATTTTTAGAAAGATTGCACTCGAATAAGTCAGAGGGAAGAGGAAGGGGTCTTATAATATCAATAAGGGATTCATCAATCAATGTTTGGGGGAATCCACCTTTGGTTACAAGAACATCAAATTATAGAGTGTTGGAATGTGCAAAGGGTTGAATGATGGGATGAACATTTTAGAAGTCATAAGAACGAAGGGATAAGGCAACTTGTTCTAGTAATCCAAAGATCAATATATAGTAGAATAAGGAATAACTGCCTTGTCTTATTTAAGGAATTGCTTCAAACACATTTAATTTTAGAATTGGGACATTAATCTTGCGAACTAGAATTGCTTGGGTGTTTGTGTTGTCGTTGCTATGGTGTCCTTATTCATGAATAAGAAGGTGAAATCAAGTGTTGCATTTGCTGGAGAGTTGAGTCTCAAGGGATCTATTTTCAGACAAGACAATCTTAGAGAAAGCATCATTTCTGCAGCAGAGTCTGGAGTTGAGAGGTATAAGTTTGATTTAATTTTAAAAGCATCATTATTCCATCCTAGAATGTGGGGGACATTTAGAATTTAGAACCTTCAATTAAAAAGAGAATCAGATTGGTTGATCACATCGAGGAGGTTTTTCAATTGGCATTTGAGGATGGATTTACTTACTACCACTACCCTAATTTATGATATATATATATTATAAAATTTTAAATGATTATATTTATATGTCATATATCACATGTAAATCTCCCCTTGATAGATAGCTACCTCCAGATTCTGTCTCATTTTACAACATTTTTGGGAGGCATTTTGGATTCTCTCTTTTTTTTCTATGAAGTCTTTTTTTTATTCGTGGATTGGTTTATCAGATTGAGTATGGTCCAATTTTTCGATTTCATCAAATAACTTTATCAAAGAGATGGCCAGGGTTTCGCAGGCATGTTCAAAGATTTCTTGATAGTGATCAAACAATTTGGCAGATTATTAATTGGTTTTAGATATGTAGTAGCCAATACAATAAGACCTAAGAAAAGTCAGTTAAAATTAATACCATTTTAGTACGACTCTGGATTGAATTAATTCCTTCATTACTTCCTCTAAGAATTGACTATCTTAATAGGTAAATTAGTAATGCTTGAAGATGGAGGTGAGATATTATTCCTTGATTTGTTTCAATCTTTGCATAGCCTTTTCTTTGGCAGCCTAAGAGTTTAAGAATCTTTCGTAATAGAAGTTATAGCGTTGCAACACTTCTTTCTCCTTTTCGATATTGGCAGTAGGAGCCACATATTTGTTACATTTGAAATGATCCTTATGGTCAGGTTCCCAAGGTTAAGAGCAAATGTAACAAAAAGCCTTTCCGCAACCTCCTGGAGGTTTACACATCATGTAATTGCAGCCTTCTGATCTCTCGACTGGTTTCTTGCAAAATGGACATGATTTTGTATTGACAACAATCCATCTGACGTTGGCTTCGTCCTTTTTGATTTCAGCCAGCCATTTTTTAACCAAATCACAAGGACATGGAGGATGAAGGTCCTCCTTGCAATAAAAACAGAATTTATTCTAGCACACACAGGTAACTTCTTTCACTGATGAGTATTGAGGTTTCAAAATCTTATTGCAATCCACTCCAGTACAATATGCGAGATATCTGGAACAATCTACGAATCTTCTGCAAAGTAAATTCTCAAACTCTTAGTCATTTGAATATCTTTTGATCATTGAAAATGGCAATCTGTAATTGCATCCGTTCTATAAGCATCTCACTATCAAGAATTTATCCTAGTACACTCTCTACTTTATCGTCTGCTCAATGCAAGACTCGCAAAATTTATGAGTGCATCCCAATTCAATTAAATTCCCCTCAACAAAACATACTGAACAACATCCCTTGAGACCATTAAAGATGATTTTATCATGATTGTTAACAATGCCTTTCATCCTTAGATCGGCCAATAATGCCTCTGAGTTAGTGAAATACTTCTAAGTGATTTCTTCTTTATCCCAATTGTAGTGCATGAGTAGCTATAAATCACTAGGAATTGTTACTTCAAAAGTGTTGTCTTCATCGAAATACAACTACTCTTAGAGCTCTAGAATATCTTTTCTGATCTCTTAAATGACATCCTTTATATCCAGGATCTCTACACTATTAATTCTATTCAATAAGTGTTTACCCTTGTAACGAATATTATTTTTCTATCTACATTGAATCGTAATCATCTTCATAGTTGTATTAATCATCCCCCATGTTTTTTTGTATTTGTTATTATTAATAAATTTCTATAAATGAACATACGGATTATATAAAGTGATTCAAAAATTATATTCACAATTCTATCAACAAAACATCGTACAAAACTAACCGAGTTCGTCGAAATGTCTCAAATTAGACATTTTAATAAAACGCATACAAAAATAATCTAGATCATACAATTATGATAAATTTATGCAAGTAAACCAAACAGCATAAATAATTACATTCATAATCATTTACTAATATTAATACTTACTTGAATTAAATGGATTAAGTTAATTAAAATATATATGGACTTTTTATAATTACTAAATAATTTCATTATGGAATTCTTGGAGACTTTATTGAACATCCAGGTTTATAAGTATACATACATAATAAAGTTGATTATGTTCAAATAAAATAAAAAAATGTTAGTGAATGGAGAGTTAAAGGAATTAAATGTTATGATAATCCATATTCTAAATATAAGAATTCATCACTCTATCAGTTCAATACAGACTTTTTGATTTCAGCTTCCTCAACTTCAGATGGTTCATTTGCTTAAATTTCTTTGGAAAGTCCATTCAATTTCTTCTTCAATGCTTCCTTTCCTGCAGCGTATGCCATCTTCTATTTTACTGGTTGATTGGTGTCTGGTGACCAGAATATGAAGACCAATTTCTCAACTTGTCTTGGTGGAACGTCATCTGTTTAAGCATGATAATCATAAACAGCATATCGGGACTTTTAGGTTAAAGATTAGATTTACTTCATTTTGAAGATGACCAACAAATTCAGCGTAAGTGCTCTCTCTTGCTCCCTTGTGATCAACGACAATCTTAAGTATATACAATGAAGATTATTACTTCGTTTCTATCTTTGTCCAACTTAAATATAACATATCTGTATTGTTTGCCTAACTTCAGATTGTTGAATTCTGTAACACAATCATCACTAACATTGGTGCCTACGTTCATAATAATATCTTAATATAATATTTAAATTTTTGTTAATTAAATCACATTATTCATTTCTTTAAAGGCACTTTCTTAACATTAGGTGATTTAGATCTCATCTGGGTTTAAGGTCTCTGACTCTTCAATAATTAAGGTTTCTTATTGACTGCTTATTTATTCACATTGTTATTATTGGTACCCAAGGTAGTACTGGTAGTATTTTACACAGTTCTTGCTTTTTTATTAGAAATGTCCTTCAATTTGGATGAGGGTCGTTAACTACTTCTAGTGGGTGAAACAAAATCCACCTATTCTTTTTACCTAGATGAATCCAGGAAATCAGACCCAGGATTGAATGGAACATGAACTTGCTCATGCAGAAAGGCGTACTCTGTTGGTTAAATAGATTGATGTTTAGAAACTGAAGATTGTTAAGATTTCTATGAATATCTATGATTCGGAGATTGTGAAATGGTCAAATATTAAAGAGAATTGGCCTATTGTGGCACTTATGTCGAATAAAAGGCCTATTATTAACTGCTTTGACTCGATTGGAAGGACTATAAGTTAGAAGGGATTTAAGGTTTTTATTGTGTCTGTATTTATTGGGATGGTGTCTGATTCATAGATCTATTATTTGAATGCAACTTCACGGTAGGTTATGAATTTTTTTATGATAAAAACGGATGAACTTTCTTCATTGATTGAGGTTCCTCGTTTTCTTAATTAGATCTTAACTATTATTTTTGCAATTAGTTCTCCTATTGAAAGAACATTGGATGTTATTGCATAGATGTTAAGGTTGGATTAGAATCTTTGAAATTACATGATTGCAAAGTAAATTGTTAAGATTGTTGACACAATAAAGGGTGCTATTAATTTGATTGCATAATAAATGACTGTGCCTATGATTGTTGTTCTCTTACTAATACTCGTGATTGGATCTCGATTGCATGTTCATTCAAAATATCAGCTGGGTTGTTGGGTATTATCACTTTATTATTGCTGTTCATCGATTATTGCATCAATTCTACTATGCTTTCCTCGTATATCTATAGGTAATTTGGTCTATCTTCAGGTTTAAAAGATAACATCCGACTGACTAATTTATTATTGGCTCTACTAAGCATTTCATTCAGAACTTCTAAAATATATATAAACTATTAATACCTTAATTTATTTTATACTCTTGGAAATCATAAATTTTTTATATCTATTCTTATAAAATGAGCTCTAAGCAGACCAATCCTATTGTAAAAACTTCACTTTTCTCCTTATTATATTCTGGCTTGAAGACTTTTCTGCCCAATTGGAAAAACAACTCAGGTGAAAGGTAACAGTATTCTTCAAAACCACTCAAAAATCTATTATATTAATCCACATTTGGTAAAAGCAATTTCACTTGATTTGTATACATAAATGACTGCGGTCTCAAATCTCCATGATATCTATCACGATTCTGCAATTCGATCAAAGTATGAATGATTTATTGTAAAAACTAAAACCAAGGCAAATTCGCTGGTAGTTAATTACCAAATTCAAAGATAGCATCGATTTTAAATAAATTACTACACAATGTTGACTCTTCTTCCTTCTGAATGTCTAATAAGCGAATCAAACCTGGCATCTAACTAATTTACTAATATTGTTCCAATCTCTTCAATTCTTTTTGATAATGCATCTCGCTTTAATAAACTTTATGCACTACAGCTACTTCTTCCATTTGATTTGTGTAGACCTCAATTTCACATCCGAAACTAATGGATATTGTACCAATAATTACACTCTGCTTTCTCTGGAATCAACCTTTTACCAATTTTTCAAAAAGTGTTATTTGGACTGTTAAACTTAACCCATAAATTTAATTAACGATATTTAGTATAAAATTTACTAATATATCATCATCAAAATAATAAAATTTTATAATCTCCTACAGTTGTTAATCCACAATAACAAACCGAAATCATACTCTCATTTGTGAATGGTAGATGCATATAACTATTACCTTTTAGAATTAGGTATCTCTCAAGAATAATTCATTTTTTTAGTGACAAATCATAAGAGATTTGATAAATTAGTTCTCCCTATCTGTTAATTTTGTTCTTTAAGTATTCATATAAATATCGAACAAAGTAATTTTTCTAGTTATAATATTTTCATCTACTAATAGTTCAGACATAAATTACATATTTCAATTATATATATGTAAGATTTTATTCAGTATCTACATGACAATAAAACATAACAATCTTTAACTTTGTTTAAATTCATTTCATTATCATGGAATCAGATTAAAAATACCATTCTACAATCTAGCATACTATTGCTAAAAAATAGGATTTTTTCCCAATTGTATGAAATAAGAATCCCTTTATGTTCTTTCAAGTTCTATTCTCTATTTCAATGTTCCTTTTCTAATAGAATCACTTATAGAGACCAATTTCCAAAAATAGTGAAATTTAATAATATAATTCTCTGAAAGAGGATGGAAATCATATATGATGAGAGAATGAAGGATGGAAGAATTGTTAGAACTTAATCGTCTAATGTAATTGTGTGATTTGTTATACACTTTTATTATAACCTCAAAGTTTGGCATCTTTTGGTAAAAGATCTGGGGTGAATTTGGTGGCAGCAGCCATATTTCCCTTGATCTTCATCTTTCCTTACATGAAGGCTTATTGAGGATTCAACTTTCCTTGAGCCATAGCCATCATGTCATCATCAACCATGGTGAATGTGGCATCAGCTGTTCCAACACGTCCCTTGGCAATTGACTAAAGATATTTTGGATAATGCATACTCCTGAACCATTCTTGAGATCAACAGTCCAAACTTCAGGGGTTTCTCCTTTGGCCTTTGAAACTTCAAAGAAATAGATGGCATTGATTTTTTTAACCAATTCAGCACCTTAAGATTTGATGAATGGATCCATCTTTTCAAACAAAGCTGCAGATTTCAAAGCCATTAAAATTATTTAATAATTTATTTAATATATTTTTTTTCTAATTTTCTTAACATTATATAAACATATCACATATCATCTTCGTCATCATCTTGACACATATTCATTAATTAACTCATGAGGTTGGCAGCTTTTTCCCTTCTCTCCTCATCTGTCATTTTAGAAGTCCTACACAATAGATCTAAATTATACACCTAATCTTGGTCATATCATGCATCAATTGTGCAAATTGATCGTCCTCATATTCCAATTGATCCAGGCCTTGAGACTGTTTTTCACTCACTTTCGTTTTACTAATGTTCTCCTTCTTTTCCTACGCCTTGGGTCTCATGTATGTCCAAGTGTTGCATTCCATAATTTCAATGATTCTTGGAAATCCAAGGGTTTCTTCAGCCTACTCAGATAACTGTTTGATTTATTGTTTGATAGGTGGATTGTTTAAGTCTAAATAAATTTATTCAACAAAGCTTTCTAATTTTTTCTCCTCATTTTCCAAAAGTTCCAAATTGATTTTAGTTCCTTCTTTTCTATCATAGATAATGGCCTAAAGACCAGGTTAGATTTCATTTAGAATTTGATCACACAAATTAATGAATTAGTCGAGTCCACTCATGTTGTTGGCATCAACAATAAATAATACGCCGTCTACTTTGAGTTTTTATAATTATTCCAAAGCATTTTCTTAATTAAAATAATTGTAATTTATTGTATGCACACCTACATCACATGTATAATATTTGGTATTAATTAAACTATTAAATTGATGCCAATTATTACAGTTAAGTCCCAATTCTTTGATGATCTTCATCAATCTTATCAAAAATTAATTCATCATTATTGAAATGTCTGATTAAATCTAACATATTAAAATAGGGATGTACACTAAATTAGTTTCATTGAATAAGAGTGTTCTGGAGCAATTATGATTAGATTGGAATTGGTTTAATCCATTCTTAATAATGTAATTATATTATATATAAATTATTAAAAAGATCTGCACGATTGGTATGTTTATTAAAACATATATATAATATAGATTCAAACAAGCATTTTCACAACTTATTATGGTTACAATTCGATCATTTCCCAAATGTGACCAAACTCGTCAGAAGAAGGATTTGAATGTGGAGTCAAAGCAAATTAGTAATCCATAGACATGATTCTCTCATCATCTCCATCTACGATTTTCGATCTGTCACTCTATTTTGATATTTTAATATCATCATACCTTGCTAACATAACAAAAGATTTCTTGAGTCTTTATTGTAAAAACGAAGACAGGTAATTTCACAGAATCAGGTATGCTAGCTCTTGTGAATCTTATTTCATCTACATTCCACAATTGCTTATGTTTAGGTTCAGATTTCTAATAATAAATTATAATCATCATAAGTACTTCAGCTTCTTGTTTCTTCAATAATACTTTGAAGTATCCCAGAGCAGCTTCACCACACACCTTTTAAAGGGATTCCAAATCTCCTAACAAATAAAGGTTGTAGATTTATTCGAAGATCACTTTCGCTTCCTTTTCTAATTCATATAAGTCAAAGTCTGGGTCGATCATTCTCATTTGTTTGATGGCTCTGGCAACATCACTTTCGTTTGTGACTGTTTTCTAATTGATTAACACATTGAATTACTGCTGCATACAAAGACACTTAAACAAAATTGCTGGGGTGATTTTAGATTCTATCAGATAAGTCAGCCTTGAATTGTTTCATTTCTGCTTTGAATGTTACATACTCCTTATAGGCTTCACTATTGACTATATGTTGACCTTGTTCGCTCTGCTTGAGTCTACTTTAAATCTTCTATGCAATTTTGGATTTGAGAGATGCTTCTTCACTTGTTCCTTGATCAGTAGCTTGGATGGCATTTCTTTTCCATTCTGGAATTTTCTCTTAAATCTAAATAAATTTTAATTCATACTGCTGCCAATTCTTCTTCACTCATCTAAGCCAATTTCTCCTCTTCTTTCTTTCTCTCTGCTAACTTTGCCTTGACTGTTTCCATTCTAGCCTTTACTTCATCATCATGACTAGGAAATGTTTTCCTCCATGCTAATTTGGCGATGTTTAAACATGTTTTTCCAATACTTGTCTCCTAATTTTGATTCGCATCTGTTTTAAATTTAACGGCTGAGTCTTTGACCTTCTCTGTTAATTTCGTAGCTGATCCAATGGCTGAATCTTTGACGGTGTGTAAAATATCTATAACTAATGAGGGTTATTTCTCAATTTCTTCTGTTTTTTTGTTCTCACTGCAAAACTTGTACAGAACTCTTCTTTAGTTGTAAACATTCATTCTTGAAAGTCTATGAGCCTATCTAAATGGTATAAACAAGTTGACAAGGGATATCATTAAATATAAAAAATTTAATTTAGGTTAATAAATCACTTAATTTTGCATATCTATAATATTTTATAATCAAATTAAATATTTATACTTATAGTTTTCTCTGTAAAAGTTTAAACTCTATGCTTAATTTCACTTTCCAACGTGGAGTTTTTAATAGTTAAATTACATAAATCATAAATTTTCAATTTTCATTAAGAATACTTGGACATCATTTACTACTCACATTACCTCAAAATTCCTGAAATATTATTTTAGGTTATTTATCATTTTAAGGCATCAAAATTCTATCAAATTGTTCATTTACTATTGAATGCTGTATTTCTAAGCTGAAATTAATCAGAAGGTAGAATTTTTTTTATTTTCGAATAATACAATTCTCTTTTTTCAATAAAGTATATAATCTAACAGAAAACAAAAATTAGTAACAATCAAATAATTTCATTGATCTTATTTTTCTTTATTATCGCAATCTGAAAGCTATTGTCGATAATATCGAGAAGGCGATCTGATTATGAAATATGGTATTTCTTGCCTACCATATTCCACTAATCAGGCTGTTGTTGTAGAAAGGATTCATCTTTTAACTCTTGAATTATTTATTCAATCAATTTTGTTTCATCTTCCAGACTTAATTTTTATTAGTTTTATTTCTAATTTTGCGTTTTGTATTTATCAAACTTTGACGATTCTCTTTTTATTATTGTATGAAACCTATTCTTCAAACAATTCTCTGTTCTTTGATTATCAAAGTCTCTTCTTGAAATTAATGACCACTTCTTCCCAGTATTTAGAATTGCAACTAACAACTTAATTTCCTCTTCTTTGTACCATGGACCTCTAACAAACGTTTAAATAACAGTTATACCTTTCCACTTGAGGGTTCAACTTATTTATCCATCTCTCTCTGCATTGTTTGCCTAATCTCACATGAGATGAGTTACAAATCTTGCTCATTTCCATGGCAATCAAACTCCATTTATTATATCTATTTTATTCAGCATATTTCTCGTAAAGTTAGCTCAATACAGAATCCTCTTCTCGAGACCAAGGATGATCAACAATAGAAGTTGCTTGATTCTCGATCCATTTACTTCTGCAAACCTTCCAATGTCTATTGAACAATATCGATCCTATCTAATCCCAGTCAAATACGTCCTAAATTTTACAATCACTATTACCATTAAGAGAGGTTGAAGTTTGTGGATATGGCAATACAAACTAACGACAACATTAAGTAAGTCAATTTCAGATTAATCCATTTTTTTCATTTTACCAACATTGTTCAAATTAAACTCATTGTGTGCCTTCTCAATTTCCTTATAGGAATTTAAAAGATCAACCCATTAGGGTATTTCGTTTTTGCAGTTTTAAAATATGATATTTTCTTATTTCATTTGTAGACTTTGATCAAAAAGCTTCTTGAGCTTCTCTAGCCTTGTTACAAATTTGCAATTCGTTTAAATCGAATCAGTTGTAGAGACTAAACCTTCCATATTTATATTGTTAATTGTTTCATATCAATGGGTTTAAATATCATTCTAATAAAACGCATGGTAAGATAAATTGTCTAAAATGTTATTTCTTGCAAGAAATTAATTTATTTATTTAATATCAGGTTTAATTATTAAACCTCATCAATACGATAAAACAAAATAATATGGAATTGAAATTTCAAATATCTAATGAGTAAAACAAATGATTTGAGACGAGCAATTCACTATTGGAATTTAAAAAAAAAGCAAACTCTCTTGTCATTTCAGACATATAAATAGACTTGTTTTATCGATTGAAATCTTGTTCTGCTTATCTGAAATTACACCAAATAACAAGAAAATAGTTAATTTCAAATTTTCATTTTCATTGTATCCCTCCTTCTTATACAATAATTATAATTCACGTTGTGATCTTCAATATCCAGAATCAGTTCTTCAATCGAAAAAATATCGCTTTTTCATATGAATAAAAGAGGAGAATCGATAAATAAAAACTTTGAACGAAAACATGTAAACTTATTATTTTTCATAGCCTAACTTATATAATTTTAAATATATTATTTTAAATTGGAATTAACTAAAGAAAATATTTGTAATTATTTTCTTTATAAATCTAAAAGGATCAAATAAAATTTCAAATTCAATTGAGAAGGGTCTTATTTTTCCTGCTTTTGATTCTAAACAAAATCTTTGAAAATGAATAATTCATATTTTTATTAAGTAAATTATTGGAACTTTTTTAATCAATAAAATCAATTTTTGAATTTATTTTATTTTTGATTAAAATGAGTGGATATCTATAAATAGACACATAGAGACCCAATTTTCAGATTGCGTTTGCGCATCTTAAATGCTTCGGCGTTGGCTGTAATATTAGCGTGTGAACATATTGTCTGGTGATTGGATGAGTAGTTTTAAAATAGTCTAATAAAAGAGTGGAAATCGATAGATTCGATAATAGCTTTGATTTTTATATTTATTCAAATGAGCGAGGGGGATGAGATAAAGTTAATGATAATTTTAAATATTAAATAAATACAACTAAGATTAAATGGTGACAAAAGATTTAAAAGTGAATGAATTATTGATTATTAATAATATAATGTCTTAAATAAAGTTTAGCTTACGCCAGCAAGTATAATTTGGACAAGGTTTATACTTGGCTAGTTCTTAAAATAATTGGAAAATAGATGAAAGTTGTAGGATGACTTGTATTAAGGTAATTGTGTGTTCAGATATGCAGAGTAATCGTTGGGAACTTCTATTTCAAGTAACCGTTGAGCTATTGGAGTACAAATATGTGATTGCTGATTATGATAATCCTTCGCTAAACACCTAAATTTGGGAAAGAGGCGACAACAGAAATCTCTACAAATCTAAATCAATGGGTTCCCAAACCATAAGTATACTATCATATTCAATAATATAATAGAAGATAAGTGGGAGAAAAGAATGATTTCTCTGAAATTAGTGGCTTTAAATAAAAACTCTTTGGCCATGATAATTGGGAGCTTTCCTGCTCTGCCAACTCCGATTCAAATGAAATTGCTAGATAAGAAGTCTGTGATGTATTTCACTGCAAAATTTTACATCGACATCGCTTATTCGGATTAAGTGATTGAATTTCAATATTATTTGCTGATAAAAGATCCTAGTAATATGCTTTTTCGAATTTTAGCCCCCATTGAATTTATTAGCACGCCAATAACTCTTGGTATTTCGGAAAGAAATTAAGAAATATGTCAACCAATCTCCTTTTCTAGAATAGCTCTATGTTGATTATAATATTATTTATTTATAGATTTCATTGATATTTTTTCTATTATGTTATTCTTGGACTTCACCTCTTAGTTGAAGAGTTCCATCACAACCACCTTTCAAAACGAAGTGTGATTGAGATTGCTTACATATTGGGAACAAGTAGTTTTTGAGTTCGCTCTAATTTTAACAGAGTAAATTTGGATTTATTTCATAAAAGATATAATTCCTATAAATTCCAATTAATTACGAGTTAAAGCATAAATTAAAAAATTAGCAATAGCATCATTAATATAATGAAATCGTCTTTAATCTTTTTTACAATAACTAAACAAGTCAATTATGGAGAAGCCATCTATGTAGTCTTTAATTTCGCCAATTGGAGTCTGAAAGAGGCTTTTAGAATGGAATGTCAAAAGGTATTGTTAATTTTCATTTTTACTAGATTGATCAATGGAGTAAGGAAATAGAGATCTCCTGTCCTTAGTTCGAGTACAAATACGTTATAGGACAGTACGATAACATATTGGAAGGAGAAATAGTTTGGGAAGAAGGGCCAAATAGATCTTCTGAAAACTTGAAATTATTGGAAATGAGTTTGAGCAAAATCTAATTCGAGGATGTGTGGGAGAAAAGAAATTTGATGTTCTTCCTACTAGACAAAGAGTAAAATAGAAAGAGGAAAAAGCATCTGGAACATGACATTCTATTATTTGGATAAGTGAAGGCTTTGAATTCACCAGTTAAATTTTCTAATTGTTAATTAAACTAAAAATCATAATTATACTATATAAATTTACAACTTGAACCAGATGAGATTACCAACCCTATAGAGATCCAAATCTATATGCAGACTCAATTTAAAAAACGTATTTATAATTAATAGTTTCAGGTTTCATAGAAATTATCTCCAAAAATGTTAAACTTAACTTCAGAAATTATCCAATCAATATCTGTGAAGAAATATTACCTGACTCTAAATGTTACCTTCTCAAATGATACAAATCTATGTTTTTTATATAAATTTAATTTACTGCTTTTTTTTTTATAATTAATTACCTTGATAACATAATTAAAATTTATAAACTTCTCTTAAACAGTTTTTAATAACAATTGAATTTATATTATTTTTATACATTAATAAATTCCGAAGAAATAACCCAAGAAGGAACAAATTTAATTTGGTTGGGCCACTTGTAGAGGAGGCACTGTAAGAAAAAATTTAATCTTACTAGTCCTCATTTCTATGAATTCTTCTATGTGTACACAAAAGCATTTTTGCTTTTACTGAAGAAATTTATTGTCGCACCTAACTTAAACAGAACCAATCTTAAATCACAATCCTATACTCTTTCCTTACGAAACTTATAAATTCTACTGAGTTTTATTGTGTTTATTTGATCATTTATTATAACTCTCATAATTATATAATTAACAAGAAATTTTAATATAAAGAATAATAATTAATTTGAATATTTCAGATCATTCTCATAATTTAAGCAATTTCTTTCGATAAGATTTATAAGGAGGGTGTAACAACACTGATAATTGCAGCAATCATAGCAATAATAATGATGATTATCAACATCTACCATGGGAACACAAAAATCAATGGCAATTATGTGAATAAAGTCTATTGCAGTGCCATTGATTGTCCAATAACAAATCCAACCATCAATCCAATGAAACTAGAACTGAAAACTAATGTGAAGGCCTCCATAATATAAACTATAGTAATTGATAACTTTGTATTGCCAATAGCTCTAAGCACAGAGATTTCCTTAACCTATTCTAACATATTGGCAGACATCGATGTCATAAGACTGAAAAAGGACAATACCATAACAACTCCTGTTAAGAAACTGAATATGATTTGAATTAGATTCTGACTTTGCTTAATAGATGTTTCGTAATCTCTATAATCCCAAATCTTAGCAGAAATTCCTTTGCCATCAATGTACTTTTTGAATTAACCATAAACAGTGTCGATGTTGCCAGAACTCGATACAGAAACGAGTAATCTTTTCATAGGGTAATTTTCAACAGCATCGATCAAATTTCCACACAACCTCCTGTATGTAGGCAAAGAGACGACAACATTTTATTCTTAAACACTTGGTAAACTACTGAATCTAAGGGCAGGTGCGGATGTGATTATTGAGGATGCCCTCATTTGATGATATTGACTATAAGTATTATTATAGACAACGAGAAGGAAAGTGCTGTCAATGTCAATTTTGATGTTGAGTTAATCTGCATAACTGGTGCCAATCATAGCACTTTAACTTCCTCGACTTGTATATAGTTATTCAACTGGATTCAATTTACTATTAATTTGATCTTCGACCTTTAGAAATTGATTGTATCCCATATCAAATAGTGTATGTGAGACACCCACGATCTTAGGTCTGAGTTGATAAACTTAGCCTAAATGGGTCATATATGTTGTTGAAAACCCGAGTCTTTACATGTAACTATCCAAAGGTTCAGTAATCCAAGCAAAGCCAGAGATGTTGCTTCCTAAATCCAATAGTATTTTTTCGAATTCAAAAGGGGACAGATTTCCATTGGAGGCAGTTATCTCAAGTTTGCAGCCATGTTATTAAAGAGTCTACGTAGCTTAATTTTCAATCTGCACACTCATCCCAACAAAAATGAAAATCACAAAAGCTATGGATAAGGCATACATCAGTGCTGTTCTTCGATTTTTGATCTAAATAATTTACATTTAATTTTACCCTATGTGCAGCAAGATTCTTCAACACCATTGTTTTCTTGGCTGAACTTGCCCAAAATAAGAATAGATATACTGTGAATCTTTCAGCAAGGTATTAAACATTGAATGCGAATATAACCAATCCTAGCAACATACCACATAAAATGAAGAAGAATATAGATAACAGCAATCCAATGTTGAATGACAATAAGGCCAAAGGTAGGAAGTAATAAACACAAATTCCAAACAATGAAGCTATGACAGCAAATTAGATTCTGCCCCAAGGCAAAGATTTGCCTTCTAGATCCACTTCTATTTTAACTGCAGTTGACTTTGATCTGTTGATATCCAATGCAAAGCTCAATTACTTACTTAATGCCTCTTTTATGGGGACGTAAGAACTTATTAAAGGAATCAACAATCCCAATCCGAGTGACATGAATATTGCATTAGTTGTCGGAGTTGCTTCGATCTCAACCCCAATCGAGGCTTTTAGTGCATTACTCGCATATAATAGGAATGGGATTGAAAGGATGATACCAGCAACTATAGCTGGCAAGACATAACTCAATGCTTGAGTCAATACTATGAATACTACACCCAACTTATTAAAACCTAACACTCTCAAGACTCCCAAGTCGTAAGTCTTTGTCTCTACTGAAATCAACAACAAAGTATATAACAGTAATACACTCAACAAAAACAATATCACAATGATCATATTCAGTATGATACCCAAAAATAGTTAACCGAATCTAGTATCATACAGTTGTTATAAGACTGGCAAATCCATATTGCAAGGATAGACTCCCAAATCTCTTCTTATGTTACTGGCGTATTTAGTTATCCTTCCTTGTATATTCTCGTAATTGCTATCCATGTATATATTGAATCTATTAGGTATATTGATTCTGATTTCATCCACATAATCTTCAGGATTAGCTGTATACATAGCCTTTAAAAATGGTTTATCCCACGACCAATAGGCAAGATTATTAAAGAAGTGTTTGTGTTCTACAATTATCAATTTATCAGCATCTCCATCTGGAAATTTCCCATATGTTGAATCCAGCAATCCTTTCACCTAATACAAGTAAAATCTTTAAGTCGCCTTTTTCAAATCACCAAACTCCTAATTCAGAAATGTATCATTGTAATTAGTCAAATTGAATTGCCTACCTAACTAATCAAAGTAGTTCTCTATATAATATGCCCCATAAAAATCATAGAATTCTCCATAGATCAACATGTAATCTCCAACATTCAAACGATAAGTTTCTGCTAACTTCCTGCTCATTATCACTTCTGTTTCTTTCAGTTCATCAAAAGGATATTCCCAACCCAATCCAATTTCCTTCTCTTTCTTAGTATCTATTGCCACAAATTTTGCTGTTGGATGTGGCTATGACCCTCCGCATTTCTGCCCCAATTACTGTCCATCTCTTAAATCGTTGAAATGAGCTTCGCTTCCAAATTCTTATCTTTTCGATAACAATTGTTGAGCTTTGTTTACCGACTAATGATAAAATATCAGTGTATACATTCTCACAATCCCCAGTTTTTTGCAAATATGTGAAATTTACTTATTACTCAATTCTAGGACTTGATTATTGTGCCCTTTCTGGTCCTAACACTTCTTTCACTCTTGTGAAGTTTAGAAAATCAACTACTAGATATCCTTATTGTCTAGCAGTGTTACTATAGACTGACATTAAATATTGAGGAGACTTGTCGTGTTCTTCGCTTAAATAATTCGGATTTGCAGTCAACCTAATCTAAAATTGCTGAATACGCTATGTCTGATTATCCAGCTGGACCTTCTGCTGATTTCAAAAATATAAGAGGAGCTCTATCGATTATTGATTAGCTCACTGCACTTGCAGCAACCACAATCAACACGCTAAAAAACGATACGCAATATCCACAAGGTCGCCTTTTCAATTCGTACCATGATTGTCCTATCATGAATAACAAAGATGAACAAATAGACATCGAAGTGCCTTAAGGAACTAGAGAGTCTTTTCTCTATATAGATTAATGCTGCATTTTATAATTAAATATTATTAAATCAACAATTATATTATCCATAGAATACTTATCTAATATACTATATTAATCAAGCATAATATTTTGTAATAGAAAGCAATTAGTTTATTTCTCGTGTTCTCATAGAAGTATAATACATTGGTGTGCCAAATTCATACTCTTTAGCAAAAGACCAAATGTTTGATGTATGTATTGTTAAAATTTCATAATATTCCCTTTTGCATATTAAAACTTGAACTGCATAAAACCATCAATTGGTGGAGAGGATAGAGCTAGCCCATTATTTACTGAATAAGTTTTATTTTAAAGGCCAATATATTAATCATTGTTAAATACTTGTATTTTGTGATAGCTTAATTCTATGTGTTTGAATTTCCCTTCCATCTTTATCATCAAGATAACTTTAAAGCACAATCTAAACTAAGGATAAATATCCACGATAGTTCCATATAAATTCCCCTTTAAATTTCTTAATAAATAAACATTTGATTCAGCGAAGTTGAAAACTTTACTTGGTTAACAATTGACAATATTTGCAAGATTCTATCTACCCAAATGAGATTGTGATAAGTGTACAAAGTAGAGATGTTGTAATTAAGGAGCTTTATGTAATCATGATAATAGAGCAAATAGTTTTTATTATTTTATGTTATTAAAGAGTATAATCGCAGCTGCCAGAACAGAAAATTATTACTTTCGAAAACTTTATCCAAGTTAAGTAATAGATCAATCTTAAGAGAAGGTAGTCTAAAATATTATAGTAGAATGAGACTTTAAGGAAAGATAAAATCATCAAGATTAGATCGATATAACATAAGATGATCCAAAAATGAGATTTCAACTTCTATTTCCTGTTAAATCCTGGAAATGCCGATGTATGAAAGTAAAAGGTATTAGATTTAATGCAGTAAAGAAAGAGGTATATTTTGAAGGTTGTATTTGAAAAAAGTTAAATAAAATAATTTAGTTTCAGTATTAGAAAATCTATATAAATATTGTTTCATAGAGAAGATCAAATAGACGAAAGGATATTGAGCTTCTCTATGATTTTTTGGAAAAGAATTTGACGTTGAGAAATACATCAAGAAAAAGAGAATTAGAATATGAATAAATAGAGGAAGTAAGGAAAGAGTTGAAAACTTAGTTTTACCTTTGGAGGGTTAAACAAAGTTTGAAAATGTAAATACGAGTATTTAAACAAATTTAGAGAGAGATTAAGGAGGTCAAATTTAAATGAGTCAAATAGTAGAAAATAACAGAGGAAATCGATTAGAAATTATGATCATAGTATACTGCCTAGTATCAGGAAGATTTAGCAATAACAAAAATAATTGGAGGAGTTACATAAAATTAAGTCAAATGACTGCTGCTACCAGAAAGACACTCAAATAGTAATTGATGGCAAAAGAAATACTAAAATAATAATTATATTTATATATATTTCATTTGTCCTTTATGAGTAAGAATCGCCATAGTTCTATGCACAAGATTTCAGGTCCTCCTCAGATTGTTATGTTCGATGGAGAAGAATCCAGATTCCAGAGAAGGATTTTTAGAGGTTTCAAGTTCTGTATTATTAAGAGCATTCAACTGATAAAATTAAATTTTGTTGGGAACAGTCTCCAATTAATAAAGTGAACGATTTCAACTTTTAGAAAATCAATAATGTAAACCAATAGGATATGGATATTCATGTCCGTAATAGTTATTAGCTCCCATAATTACACAAGCGTAAAAATCTATTAAATAACGAATGCTTCGTTGTATCTCCATAATTAACCGTTGGTTTATGAATCACATATATATTTAGAATCTGAATCAAAATTTGGGAAGTATGCTAAGCGATACACTTAGGACTCCGACATATTTTCACTAAAAATTCCTATTGATAAATAGTATTCCCAGCACTCGTCTGCATATGGTCAGTTTTATTTTTAACCAGAATATACACTCACAAAAACTAAGCCTGTGTTTAAATATCACACAGCAAAAAGCCAAATTCTTGGCAACTCTAGGCTACAATACATCAAATTAAGGTAAGAATTGGTTTGATCATTTAATATTAAAATATACAATAATATAAGTGTTTAATTAAGTTCTCTATAATTTTCAGATAATTAATTAAAGGGAAAAATAAAATTTAAATTTTATATCTCAGATGATTCAATTATTCCAAGTAATTATTGCATTTTTTCATTTTAATTGTAATAAATCCTATGATCAAACTACAATACGTAATGATTTGCTTTTTTGATTGCATGTCTCTGGATGTAGAATCTCTTCTTTGACTTTGTAATTGATTTTATCCTCTATATATTTATTCAATCATAAAATAAAAAGAAAAACTAAGTTCGTTTACATTTAACTAAAAACATAAACAAATATTCAAAATCAAGAACAAGGACCTGATCTTCTTCTCCTTAAGAGGGTACTTTCTTTAAGAGAAATCAAGATGGGAACTTTTCTTTCTTATTTGTACAATTTATCAAAAACAACTACATATCGTTTCAATTTGTCCTAATGATGCTGTTGAGCATTAACGTGTCTTTTAACTTGTTCTCTATGTAATTAGTCAATAGCGTCTTGTTTTGGGTTATTTAGAAGCTCATCCGTTGCGAGCAAATCGACTTCACTTTATTATGAATCGTTTTCTGGTGTTTTTTCTATTATCACAATGTCGTCTAGTTTACTAATAATTGGAAGGAGAGATTATTATTTGCTGATAGTAAGGTCTTATGGTAAGTGAGTTTATTATTATGTTTTTTTAGAATGGCAAACCCCCATAATGAAAGTAAGGAGACTTCTAATTAATTAAATTATTTTTCAATATAACCGATGTGGGCTGTTTAAAATACTAATATAAAAAAAAGATACAGTTTCATAATCAATTCATCCTACTCTTAAAAGCCATCTGTCTTATAGAACATTCCATAAATAGGGCCTTTTCTCTGCAATATAATGCCATAATTTGATAAAAATCTGAATATTAAACCTAAAACAAAATGAACTCGATTAAAATACTAATCTTACTCATTTCTTTGTTTACTCTTAATCAAGCTTAAATATTGTCTCAGTAATTAGACAATGAAAAGCAGCGGTTGGTAATAAGTATAGAGAATTTGGAAAATGAGGCTGTCATTAATTTCTAAAATTAGGATGTAAATTTTAGTGTTATTCTAGGGTCAATTTGTTGATCAAATTTTTTGCTAGAGGAGTCAATGTGAATGCATAGTTACATAATCCAATACGACAGAAGAACATATTGAAATTTAGGAATGTAGTGAGAACAAATTAATAATACAAAGAAACTACTCATAGCTCATAGCCAGCTTGAGTTCATCCCCATAAAGAAGAATGGTAGAAGTGTATTCCGATAGTGACATGACTGACTCAAAAACAATCGATTCCAGATTGACAATAAAATGGAAATTCAACAGTGATGGTACTATAGAATTTGCCACTATTTGGAACAAAAAGACCTGGTTGGGCATTGGATTCGGATCATCGGTAATATATCTTTTTAATTTTTCAAGATGAGTAATGTTGACATGATAACCCTTAATGTCTCAGGAAGCACTGTTGAATTGTTGGACCTCTATTCAACATCTTAGAACACTCCTCCAACGGACTCACAATAAGACTATACATTAATTTCGTATGAAGTAGGAAGTGCTTCAGTTAAAACAAGATTCAAGAGAAAACTTTCCACTGGAGACTCCAAAGACAAAACCCTCGTAAAAGGAAGCTCCTACAGTTGGTGTTATGCTTATTCAAGTGCTTTATGTATTTCTATTAAATATATTACTTAGCTCTGGAAAGACACACAGTTAATTTAGGATTTTCAATTACACTCACTGACAGTGGAACTTCATCTTCTTCATCATCAGGAAGTAGTTCTTCCTCATCAGGAAGTGGTTCTACTTCATCCTCAGGAAGTGGTTCTTCATCATCTTCAGGAGCTGATACTACCTCATCAGGAACTGATACTACCTCATCAGGAACTGATACTACATCTTCAGGAACTGGAACTACATCTGCTGGAAGTGAATCCACAGCACCAGGAACTGATTCTAATGAAAGTTCAGAAAATGAAGATTCCGATTCTGATTCAGATTCCGATTCAACAAAATCTTCAATACAAATCTCGCTGGGCATCGTTTGCATGATTTAGATAATTTTATTTTGATATAGATTGATATTGTTAAATAGATAAAGTATCACCTTTTTAATAAATTTTCTTTTTGAATTTAAAAACTTTATTGTTACATATTCAAAACTTAATGAATATTGTAGGGTCTATTCAATGGATTATATTTATTGTTAGTAGAATATCGTTCAAAGCTTTGCTCTTTTTTATCAAAGATTTCTAAGATCGTTTCTTTCCATCTGCTCTTTTGATTTGATCTTTATTGCGAGATTGAGCTTTCTTTTAGTCTACTCTTTTTATCACTTTCATTCAACTTACTCCAAATTTCATTGGTTCTGTCATTCTTAATAGGACTGAACTTCTATTAAATAGGAATGAGTTTGGAATCCGAGGTTAGTCTCTCTTCAGTCGATTAGGTAAGAGATTGAATGCGAATTAACTATCTTTGGGATGACAAAAGTGAGGATTTCTATTCATTCACACATATTTTACTATTTACAGAGATTGAGATGGGGCAGTCATGATTTTTTCAATTTCAATTAAGAATTTGCTGATATCTTCGGGAATACCCTTTAAGTTCCTTAATTCCTCTTGATACTTAGCCATCAATTAAATTTATGATTCCTTGAGATATTCCTATAAATTACATATTCATTCTCTTGTTTTTAGATTTCTAACAGTTACTAAGTTTCAAGTGTATTAACTTCATTAATAAGACTATTCTTCTTTTATTCCAAAGCAATAATTTACTAATTATATAGTTACATATAATATTACTTTTTGAAAATCTTGACTGATCTCGTCTCTAGTAGATTAACACTTTTACTAAAATTGAAATTTCTAATCTTGAATATCTCTAATGGATTCAAACTTATTTTTGAAACTTTTATCCAATCTCTCCAAATATAATTGCACTCTTTCATTCAAAGCAGAAGTCATATCAGTTTTGGCAATGAGAGATTCCTTATTTTTCTTGATCTCCTTAATTTCAGAGGTTTCCTTGGTTGAGTCCACTTTTTGAAATTATAAATTGTTTGCATTTTTATCTTTTTTCTATTCAAATAGTTCATCATTAGCTAATTCAGCAGCGAAATTGCCCTTGGATTCCCTTATAGTTTCGGATTATTTTAGATCGAAATCATTATCCACATTGTGCTCTTCTTAATTCTATTCGATAAGTGGGATGATGATTTCCTTGATCACATATTGAATTGCCTCGATAGTGTCTGGATCAAGGTGAGTTTCATATTGACACTTTGAACAGATGGCTACTTTCACGGTATCTTGAGATTCTGGGTTCTGTTGTTGAGATTGCAAATAATTGTAGGCTAAACATACGAGACAGAACTTGTGATCACAATCCAATTTGACATAATTGTCAGGAGTTGTTTGACATTAAGAGCAGGCCACTTCAAAGTTCGTGTCGCTGTCTTGTGTTTCATTCATTTTTAAATTTAATATATATAAAATGTGAAAGCATTAAACTCATAATTTAACATCCCTAAAAATATATTAGCTCATATATAAATACTCTAAAGTTCTAACAAGAACAATGTTTTCTCCCTTCAATAGGATTTTTCCCAATTCCTTGGTTGCCTTTGTCTTGCGGTCATATTCCACAGCTCTGTCCAACACCAAATTCAAATATTCATCAAAACCCTAAAAAGGTAGAAGCTCAACTAAATTACGGCCAATTTGCCTTGAATACGAAGATTGTCATTTTCCACCAGCCAGATCTCCAACTGAGTTTTCTCTGTGAATAATGTGAAGAAGGCATGAAGGGGTTGTGTTATTTTCTTTTGTGGCTTTCTTTAATACGGGGGATGCTACATATCTTAATTTAATTAATTAAAATGGCTTCAGCTTTTCCTAAATTGCCAGGTTTTGTACCCACCCAAGAATTAGATGTAACATGCTTATTTAGGCTCTTTAGAAACCCAACTTCAGAAAGGTGTCAGCAGCCAAACAAGACCAAAACAGAGAAATTGTAACTAATTGAAATTCTAACATTCTTTTTATAGAAACAACTGCCAAATAAAGAATATCCAGTACCTCGCAAATAACCAACACAAGTGCCATCACAAACAGGAATGTTCAACCCCGATTATTTGAGCACTACTCATGCTATGCATTTGCCAAAGGTATCCATTATAATCAGTTACATCCCCTAAGAATTCCAACAATGATTCAGAAGAGCTCTACCAACCCAGTTGGGTCAAGATGGACAGACACGTCCTCAGATTCAGTGGCTTCTTCAAAGAGGCTGTAGTTGAATCAGCCCTAGAAAATTACAGAATTCGCAAACTAACTATATTTTACTATTTGGAAGACCATTCAATTAGCATTACAGAGCCTAAATAAGAAAATAGCGGTGTTCCCCAGGGAGCATTCCTGAAAAGATAGAAAGTAAAAACCTCTCCTTAATGATGCTTAAGGTTCTAAGGGCTGATGGTTCAAAAACATTCATTATCCCCGAAGATTTTAGAATCAATTAAGACATTGAGATATTCGGCAAAACCATTAGACTTTACGATTGCGATCAATACACTAGAGAGTTTTATGAGGTTACATTATTATGTTAAATTTCTTAAAGGGTATTGGACAACCTCAAGAGCACTCCTTCTCCCCATAATCCGATTCATTCGAAACTAAGACCATGACTAAATATATTCCCTAGAAGGATACCGTCATGAAGGACTACTTGGAACATAAATTAGGAGGAGGAAGAGTTACATCTCAAAAGCAATTCTTAGAAAACGATAGGAAAGTATTATTATTCAGCCCTACTCAAGGTTCTTAAATTCTATGTGTTCTCTGATATTGAATATGTCTTGCATTACTACCTGGCTGATGATACCATAGAAATCAAGGAAATTAATTCAGCTAACTCAGGAAGAGTTCCATTTCCCATGATGTTGAGAAGGTAGAAATTACCAAGAAAGTTCTCTCTCAATTAACCTGGATAAACATATGCCGAAGACTTCATTAGACCTCAGGATATTCAATTCGGATAACCGCTAATTATTTACAACAGAAAATTTGTTATTCAAGGTTGCGATCCATTTACAAGATATTATTATTAAGAAAAATTTAATGTCGATTTCCCTTTGGGTGGATAGGAAGAATAACAAATGGAACAAAGATCAAGTATTAATTATTGATTTATTTCATTAGACATTATTATTCCTCCTCATAACGGTATTGGAGATGAGCAGGACTCCTTGGGATACATTTACAGATTGTAACCAAAACCACCCAAGAAGGATTTCTTTAAGTGGGTTGATAATCAAGTGAATCTGAGATTTTTGGCCATGTTCAATACTACAAAACCTGAAGATAAGGACAGGTATTAATTTGAATTTATCCATAGAGTTTTTGTAATTACTTATTTCTTAAATGATGACAGTCTATTAGTTTATGAACCAACTGTTAGAAATTCAGGTATGTTAAAATAACCATAAATTTGATAGGCATTCCAGATGGCAAATTTTTAGAGAAAAGAAAATACAAAAACGCTTATAATAATAATGAGTTTTTCTCACCCAATGATTTAATTGTAGGCAATGAAGTAATGATAAATGGGTGGAAATTTTAATTACTTGATTGTGATGAGTTCACTAAAAAATGGTATGCTGAAAATTTTAAATGAAATTTATCTATATCTAAATATAATAATTAAATTAATAATTAAGCGAATGGGCAATGGTTAATGTCAACAAACTAATCTAAAGAGTGAAGTCAACATGATTATCACTGAGGAAAACGTGCATTCAGATGAATCCGAACATAATCTTACATCAAAAATTACTGATCGAGTTTATAAAGTCAATTTTGTTAGAAATGAACTGATGCAGAGATTGCAGTCAATCAATCAAGAAACGTAAAAATTTCAAAATATTACAAAGATTAGTCTATTATATATAACAGAACTAATTTTATAATTGAATAAATATACTGTAGGATAATTAAAAACCATGATGATTGGAGCACATAAGACTTATTAAATATTAATATAAGCTATTATTAAGATGAAACCTGAAAACACAGAAACAATTCCTGTTCTAAGTGAGGAATTTAATAATTTTAAGCTATTTTATGAATTGTAAACGTAACCAGCCTAATAATTGTATTACAGGCCCGTTTATAATGAAAATTATGAAATCGTTAGAGAAATAAGAATTAAAAGAATAAGAAATTATGTAATCAAAGAAGATAATGTAACAGATCTCTAAAAAACCTAATAAAGGTTATAATATTGGATACAATTGAGCCAAAAGAAGCATCCTAACCTATTAAATTTAAGGGCTGCTGTGATTCAGAAAAACGTATGCAAATATGTTACTGATTATATTGATGGAATCACATTAGACAAGTTTCAAAATAAAAATATTTAAACTAAAGAGAAAATCAAAATACTCTAATAAATGGTGGATTCTTTACGAATGCTACACTCGTAATAATTGGTTCATGGGGATATTAAACCTTCAAATTTTATGGTTACTCCGCAGTATCAAGTGGTTCTATTGGATCTTGATTAATTAGGTGCAGAGAGACAATCGGCTGATATGACGTATTTGTATTCGTTTAAGGATGATCAATGCCCAACGTTCTAAGGAGATGTGTGGTCTCTTGGATTATGCATATATTCATTGTTCTTCGGACAAAGAATAGAAAAAAATTGGACTATTGATGATTACAAGGGGAGAGATTTCCCTGCTTTTAATATAAGGTCTTATGGACCAGTGTAATAAATTTTAGATGCTTGTATTGTTGATAGCCCAAAAGATATCTGGTACATAAGTACTCTAAGTAAGCAATTATGATATAATATATTCATAAAGGTTAATCACTAATTTAAATCAATAATGATATTTTTAAATATAATGAATGTAGAATCAATCATCTTCAGGTTGAACATCAAATATGCTTTTTTGAGGATTTCCAAATTGTTATTTATATTCTTCAGATGCACAAGTTTATGCTAAAAGGATAAGGAATCTTTCTAATTTGATATGCAATGGTTATTATTGGCGTTATTCCCAACTCATATCTGGTGCAGCTGGCAATGATACCTTCTCAGCAATTCTGGCTATGGCTTCCAAAAATTCTACAAAGGTCATTTAGAAGATCCTATCACTTTCTAATTCATCAATTTACAACATCATTGATAAATTGAATGCCTACTATATTTAATTTGAATACCAAATCTGCATCTCTATCAACGAATTTTTCATCGAATAACCCTGCTTGTCCACAAATTTCATGTAATTCATCAAGACACATAAATTTCTTCTATCCTGGTTTCACTTTCTTTATACTATACCTGTTATACACATAATTTAACAAGGTTTTGTAATACTTTAAACAATCATCGCATTATTCATTAAAATATCTCTCATCTCTCCATTTTTATGCATTATATTATGACATGATAGGTCTGCATTGCTCTAAAATCATTTATACAGAATCCACCATGTTATTGGCTAATTTTTGTTTCAAGTATTTATCATCAGAGACTCTCACTAAGAATTCCATGAATTGATATCTACACAAGGCTCTTTCTGGATTTCTATAGTTTCCTTTATATTCAATTGAAGCAGCACAAGTGGCAATAAATTTGAGATCCAAATCCGAAAGCTTAAATGTTTTATTGTCAACCAATTCCGTTGCAGATGAGAAGTCTGTGATTACATTTGATGAAATTGACCAAACATCTCCAGATGGATTATATGATGAATACCATTTATAAGTTTCTTTGATCATTTTGTAATCTTTCCATAATAAATTTTTGACTTCATTAAATTCATCTGGGTTTTTCACAACTTTTGATATTTTACTACAACTCCAATCCTTTTCAAAGCATTTCCTTAAGAATTCCTCATTTTCAAATCGAAAATCCTTAAACCAAATCGAAATTGGAAAGGACCAAATTCTTTTTTATTTCTTTAACTTAGGTGGAATGTAAATTGGATCTGGAGTCCTTGGAAGCACTGAAGTTAGGGCCTTCATCTCTTTTTTATCCATTAATTAAAAATGCTTCAATTTCTTCACAACATTAATATTGTCTAATTGACAACTCACATTGATTCCATTCACTTTGAGTTTAATCACATGACCAAATTTCATATTTTCATAATTGGTACCTGTTGTTTAATTATCAATTACTGTGAATAGAAATTGAGTCTATCCAGTAGGAACCATCAAGGGTAACTTATAAGTGCCATCATTTCTTTTGGGAATATAGACTTGCTTATATTCTTCAAAATTCATATGCAGAAATAATGGATCACATTCTCCATCTGGAATCCAATCAAATACCTATTCTTACCATCCTTCACAAATCCAACACACGTCTTCATGTCTCAAAGTTGTAACTTATTCCAATCCTTTAATCCTCAGAGTTTCTCCTAATACCTTCTGTTATGAATTCTCATCAATAATTAAAAATCCTCTTGGATCTACAACTCCCCAATTACCTGCAAAATGGAATCCATACATAGTTCTATTTGGTTTCAAACTGCTAGCAATCAATTTACAATCCTGTAATGTGAATTGATTGGCTGATAAATCACAGTGTAACATGACCTTATTTTAGCTTAAGAAATCACACACTTTTTGAGTGCAATTTGACTTTTCACTAATTCCAAAACTATTCCAACTTCCATCGAACACAATCATATTCTTATTTTCTACCAATGCTTCAAAGATTTTCTATCCTCCAGACCCTTTTATTTGATTCTATATTTAATTTATATTATATACCCAGTGAATATATAATTCTTCCAGATTATCCAATTACAAAATGATCTCCTTCATTAAATCACAGATTTCATTAGTGAGAAAATTTTTAGAGATATTTAAGACTTTCACTTTATTTTGGGTATTTAATAAACACTTTAAGATCTTCATTACAAATTTGTCTCCAAGTTTGTTGTCTTCAATATTAATCACTTCCATCCTTTATTTATGAGGAATGTGTACTTATTCTCTCTCATTTGCAATTATTGACATAGGCAATCCACTCCCAATGATCCAATGTCATTTTTAGATAAATCCACTACTGTTGCTTGCTTTCCAATCTAATTCAATATAGTAACAGCACCATCCTATTTGATTCTGTTGTTGCTTAACAAAAACTCCTTGATTCCCTAATTCTGTCGCAAACCTTCAGATAACACACTTATATATTTATCACCATAATGATGATTATTAATTGATACTTATGATTCACTACCATTAAGTTTAACGAGACCCAATTTACAAGGTAACACATCTACTGATTCTGCCTACTTGAGCATCTAAGTTTATATTGAATCATTAATTTTGTGATATTCATTTTGTTATTTCACTTTATTAAGTACTTTGTAATGTTAAAAATAACTGCGGGCAGATTGAGATCCTACTAATTGCTTTGGAATTTAATCTTCCAACTTTTGTTCTGGCGACTCTTATAACTATCTCATAATATCTTTATCTGTTAATTTATCCTCCTCCTTTTTTATCGGTTACAAAACACTAAAACGATCCACTCTCTAAAACATTTATTTTTTCCCCGCAGGGCTGTATAATTAAGGAAAAGGTGAAGCTGCGCTTAAATTTATCATTACTGTTCAAATCATGTGGGTTTCCAACAGACATAGCTTTTGAGTAATCCTCAACTGTCTTGTCGCTGAATTGCAAACTAGCAATCTTACGTTTTGACCCCTAGATTGAAAACTTATTTGATAATCCAACATGCATTTTTATATAAAATATAAAATAATAATGGAACAAAAGAAAATACAAATTTTATTCTTGAAAATATCAAAGCTCAACACTTTGAGTTAATAATTTCTAAACAACTCCAAAAAAATTCAATTTGTTATTATCGATTTCATATCTAAACCTCCTCTGCTATCTTCAATAATTATTCCAAACTTCGATCAATAGATTAGATTGTAGTTGAATGGATTTACCTTTTTTGATTTGATATATCTTCATAGAATAACTATAAGTCAGCAGTAATCCTAATTAAGTTACAAATTTGAAATTATTTTATAAGGAAATTCTTAATTTTGGATCGGAAGCAACTCTAAGTAAAGTTTACCTTTGTATTTTCTTATTTATTTTTCTTCAGATTCTCCCTGCATATCAGATAAGTAGATTTTCTTTCTATCAATTTTAGGGAATTATTAAATATATTTTTTATAAAAAAACATTGCCCTTATTCATGAAATTAACTTACTTAAATTAGACAAGTTTTCTCATATTAATTCGAAATTAAACTGTTTCTTATTTCTATTTCTCAATGAGAAATTTTTAAAAAGTAATGATGATATATTTTATTATGATATTACTTTTATATTTAAAAAAATATGAGTCATGGCAGTGATAATGTTTAGACTAGCATAGTTTAGAATAACAGAGGCTAGAGGAGTCCATAAAACAGCCAGTAGCAAGACCCCTAAACACTTTAGAAAAAATCACCGCCTATTATTTTGTTGTAGAAGTAAGATAATCAAGTTCAAATGGAAAAGGCTCAATAAAACCTGAAAGTGAAGAGTTTATTTGAAGATAACTCAGTAATTAAGGAATTTGAGGAAGAAATTGAATAAGATTTGTATCCAGCGAAATGAAAATTTTTCTCATGTTTTAACTAATTTTCTACAATTCTTTCAGATTAAAAAAGATTGATTAAAAAATTTATAATATGTTAATGAATTGTGATCAGTTCTCAAGAAGCGTTGACGCATCTAATTATAAAGTAGTTTTAATATTACAACTAAGAAATTACAAGAGATTATATATCATTAAGTGATGTGATCTAAAATATGAAAATAAATTATTAAATATTTTAAAATGAATAGAAGGCCAAATGGTTAAGATGACAATTTAAGTTGGATTTTGAAGTATACGAATGAATTTGAATAAGAACATATCGAGAGCCAACACATGCATATACTGAAATAGGAACAATTTGGATAATTGAAATAGTCAGATGAGATTTTGAGTGCTTAACTGTTTACTTTTTGGAATGGAAATTTAGAAAACAGTAAATTTATATTAATGCCGAATTTGTTAATTAAAGTCACGCAATAAAATGGAATGTTGATGCCTCCTTAATAATAATTTAATTTAGGGAGCGGTGCATTTTATTTATCATTATCAGAATGCACAATTACTTAAAAAATGATAGCTCATAAATCGCAATAAGCTTTCGGGATGATGTTATCAAATTCTATCGGAACAACCTACTTATTTTTTTCTAATTTTGTTACATTTCGGACCTGGTACAAACAAATGAAATAGTTTTGCAAGCTCACAGGATTCTTAGAAAAATATAAGTTAGGGGAAAAGATATTACCTGGATTTTACACTTGTACGAAGAAGAAGAAAAAGACTCAATACACATGTTAAATCTATAAAACAGATGACTTTGAATAATGTAAAGAGTTGGAGGATGCAGTTTATAATGAGATATAAATTTTACGAAGCATAAGACACTAGTCATTGTTAGAGCTGAAAAGAGTGTATGAGAATAGCAAATACCTTTTCATTGTATATGAATATTATAAAGGAGAGACATTATTTAATCTTTTGAATTCAAATCTTTAACTTCACGAAGTTTAAATTGCATCTGTATATAATTCCCATTTTAAAATAGATAATATATTAAATCCTATCAGTAGTGAAATTTCTTAATCAGCATTAATTTTATCATGGTAGTATCAACCCTTAGAATATATTAATCAATACTCAACATTAGATGTTGCAAATCACATTAATCAATTTGTCATTCAAAGAGTACAAGGTGAATGACAAATTAGATTGGATTCTGAATAGGGCAGTTGAATCCTTTTTGGCTCCTGAAATTTTCGAAGGAATAGCTCCAAATATTGCAACTGATATCTACGCTTTAGGGTGTGTATTATATTTTATGACATATTATGACCCTAAAAAATATGAAGTAAGTATTTGATATTTTACATTTTATTTATAGTTGACAAATGAAGAAAAGGATTTCTACACTGTAATGGATAGCTTTGAAATACTCACAAATCGTATAGACGAGAGTGAATAAAAATTGAAAGTGGGTTTCTAATAAAATCAATCCAAGAGCAATGTTAGTTCATCCTAATTGGATTTATTAAGGAAGATGTTAGAATAAGATTCAAGTAAGTTAATAAATATATGAGATAAAAGATTAACAATAAAAGATGCAACTAAACACCATTGGTTTGTTAATGTGAAAAGTAAAATAAAGTCATTGAAAGTGGAGAGAAAAAGAAAGAAACCTCTTCCTAGTCTTAGGACTATCATTGAATTGAGGGAAATGAGTGAAATGGATGTTAGAATGACAATTATTCAGCAATAGCAAAGTGGATTAAATGCTATCAATCATATGAATTCAAAACTGCAAAGTACTCCGTCCAACACAAAACGCACTTTAGTTTATACTCAACAACCATCAAAATTAAGTTAATATGCAGGCAAGAATGAGTTTGATGATGATTACGAAAGTACTTTGTTATACTAGTTAGTTCCTGATGAGGATCTTTCATTAGAAGTTCCTGTTATTAATTATAAAAGAGAACCAAAACGAAAACCGTCAAATATAAGACTGCTTTGAAAATTTTAATAACTATATAGAAATTAATAAAATGAATATTCCTATGCCATAAGCCAAACCACTTACTCAAGATAATTCAAAACTCCAAAGCGAAGTCATTGGACTCTTCAAGTCAGGAGATCTTAAATGGAATACTGGTGGGACCATCCAGGAGAAAAAGGAAGGACTCAATTACATTGTTTAAGGTTTAAGGAAAATGCAATTGTGGATTGAAAGTATTTTCTCTATATTCTATCATAAAAGGAGAGTATGATGCAGAGAAGAGGAAATAACTCTAACTTTAATATGATGCAAGAAAAGAAGAAACATGTAAAAGACTAGAGGCACTGGAGAAATATGAAAAAGGTGAAATTGTTTAAGAGACAAGTGGGAATGGAGGCAGCAACCAATAACAATAGAAGTAAAATTGTTCAATACCTTAGAAAATAAGGAGAAAAAGATACAAAGAGTGAATTATCTAATGCACTCTCAGAAGCTATTGTGAAAGATAAACCTAATGTTAAATGGACCGATATTGCAGGATTAGATGCAGCCAAATCAGCCTTACAAGAAGCTGTCCTCCTTCCCATCAAATTCCCTGATTTCTTTGAAGGAGCAAGAACTCCTTGGAAGGGAATCCTAATGTATGGAGTAAAATTTTAAATTTAACAAATAGCCCCCTGGAACAGGAAAAACCTATTTGGCAAAGGCATGTGCAACAGAAGCAGAAGGAACCTTCTTCTCTGTATCTTCTGCTGATCTCATCTCTAAATATGTGGGAGAGAGTGAAAAACTGATTAAGACACTATTTACTATGGCTAGAGAATAGAAGCCATCCATTATTTTCATAGATGAAATCGATTCCATGTGTGGAGCAAGAGGAGAAGGCTAAAATGATGCAAGCAGAAGAGTAATCACTGAATTCTTAGTTTAAATGTAAGGAGTCGGACATGATGACAAGGGAGTCTTGGTTCTAGGTGCAACCAATCTTCCATGGGCTCTAGATACTGCCATTAGGAGAAGGTATTACTTTTACTCAAAATATATAGATTTGAAAAAAGAATCTATATTCCACTTCCTGATGTGTAAGCTAGAGAATATATGATCTAAAATTCTCTCAAGAAAACCAAGACTACATTAACAAAAGAGTAATTTGAAGACCTGGCCGTAAAAACTGAAGGATACTCTGGATCAGATATTAGTGTCTTGGTTAGAGATGCTGTCTATGAACCAGTTCGTAAATTACAATCAGCCAAGAAATTCAAGTAAATCCCAGTCAATGGTCAATTGAAATGGACTCCAGTTGCCGAGAATGAAGATGGAACTCCTAAGACATTCATGGAATTAAGTCAAGGAGATATTGCCATTCCTGATGTTTGCTACAATGATTTCTTACTAGCTTTGAAAAAATCCAAGAAATCTGTTTCACAAGATTAATTAGGAGAATTTGAAAGGTGGACTAAAGAATTTGGACAAGAAGGTTGATTGTTTGCCTAAATATATATTATTCAAAAATTAGTATAACATATTCCAAACCATATTTGAAACCAGTTCATCAAAATGTAATTATTTTATCGAAATTACTTATTTTTATAAGATGTAAACAGATTATCAATCAAATATATAATAATATAAACTTACCAATAATATTAAAGCACAAATTCCTAAAACCAACCAATCGTATTTGGAATTAGTTCCAGTTTCCTCCTCCAACTTCACTTCCTTCTATTTTTAAGCCAATTTGTCCACCTTTTTGATAATCTTTGATTTTCTCATTTTCCAATTTTATTCTTTCAACCATTTTCTAAGATCCTTCATATTTTGAAGGAACAATTATTTGAATTCTTCTTGCACAGAGGAATCAGATAAATCAATTCCAAATTAAGATGCTTTCTCATTTACAATTGGTTTTGTAAAATTTGATCTACTTATTCTTTCAATCTTCATTTTAGTTGCCATTAATTAAGCTAAAAATTGTCTATGCTTTTCAGCCTCTTCATGTTTTCCTTGAGTTTCATATAAATGTAAGATTTACACTCCTCTACTTTCTATAAACTTACCAAGTTCATTGATTTCCTCTGGTATCTGAATACTTGTGTCTTCCTCAAAACTTGGTTCATAGGATAGAGTATTAAAGGAGTATTTTTTCCAATCTTCACTATATTCATAATCGTCTTCTTCTGAAGATGAATCATCCTCTACTAATTCTGATTGTTTTTCTGTAGGTTATATCTCTTATGGTTTAGGAGATGTTTTTTCAATATTTTTCATTACATTTTGTGATATTTCAATACTTGATCTCATCATCTTTTTCAATTCTAATTTAGCTTTGGTAAGATCTTTTCTAATTGCTTCATCATCATCAATTGAGAGTGCTTTCTCGAGATCTTGAATTGCTAGTTTATAATCGCTCTCCTCAGCATTGATATTATCCAATCTAGCCTAAGTTATTCAAAAAACTAATACTTTTGCCCTTCTGTAGTATGCCTTAGAATTATCTTAAACATTTAAAACATAATCACAAGCTGCAATGGCATCCTTAAATTACTTCTCTTTAATATAGCAAATGGCTAAATTCAGCAACAATTTTATTCTTATATCAACAATTCTTTAATCAAAATTATCATCCTTATATGTTAAATCATCATCTAGGATTCCTTCATTTTTCCAATTGGGGTTCTTGTTTTCAATATAAAGGAAAATGCTTAGAGATTTTTCGTATTCATGAGAGGCATTCCCGAATTTCCCTTTAAGCAAATAAGTTTATTTTCATACCTTATTAGAATAAGCTATTCCCTTTTTCCTTTAATTGATTTGCAAAATCAAGTCTCTACTCTATATCCAATTTTCTTTATTCAAGGTATTCATTCAAATAATACAAACCTGCTTTAATAAACAAAGGCTGTTTTTCAAAGACTTTCCTTTTCGAATGCATCTCATGAGATTTAATTGCCACAGCCTATTAGAACATTTAATTAAACTCATTCATAATTATATATAATATATATTATATTAATTAATAATTTAAGAATTTAAGGTTAATGTTTTAATTATTAAATAATTATATACTGGAAACCTTACACAAGAGGATCTCTAATACAATTCTTATCCTCTAATGAGAAAACTTATATTAATTTTGATTTTAAAAATTCAATCCTTTTGATCATTAAGCAGAACCTTTCTTAATTTATCAAACATCAGTAACTGTTCTTTAGTTAAACACTATAGACAAAAGCTTTGAATACTCTGGTAAACTGGCTTTAAATAATTGATATATCTTATTCATGTTTGTTTGCTATCTTATACACTAATCCTGATGATTTCGACAATACCATTATCATTTAATGGCTTTTGAAGTTTATTACATCATTTCTACAGATTAACTCTAATAACTCAAAATTCTATATATATATATTTATTTCATATAATTCTGGAATTTGCTTGTTAAATTAAATTTTTAATTAATTTTTTCCAATATGAAAGCAAATCCTATTAGACGAGATGCATTAGAAACTAGCTTACTTAAAAACTTGTCTGGTAAACTGGAAGGCTTAATCGATAAAAATAGAATGGAACTCTCTAAAACCTCTGTGTTTCACTCTGATGCCATTCCTGATATTACTCTTGAGAATTATTTAATGAGAATTTAACGACATGCGAGATGTAGCGAAGAGTGTTTTGTTATTGCTTTAATATATTTGAATAGAATTTAGGAAATAAATCAAGAATATTAGTTTACCGAAAAAAATATACATAGGTATTTTAAAATCACCAAGTTTAGATTTTTGATTATTGCAATCGTTTTAGCAATAAAATTTTAAGACGACGAAATCTTTAAGAATGATTACTATGCTAGAGTTGGAGGAATTTCAATCTAAGAATTAAATGAAATGGAAGAGAGCTTTTTAGAATTGTTAGATTTTGATTTGTTTGTTTACCACGAGACTTACTCACTATATTTAACAGAAATAAAGTGTTCTCGAAAACCTTTTTGACTATAAATTCTATTGAAGACATTTTATGAGTAGCAAGCCTTGTAAAAATAATAAAAAATTAATTTAAAATTTAATATTGTTTTTAAAACAAATTTTATAATGCAAATTAATTTTGCATATTAATAATAAAATTATAAGCAAGCTTTCTGAAAAGGGAAAAAGGTATGATGTAAGAGAATAATAATTTAATGCCTGTTGATGAAATCTGGAGACAACTAAGTAAAGTAACTGCAACTGTAAACAGGAATGTTGAAAGGATGTCTTAATTATTAGATCAACTTATTACCCATACACTTTCTAATGATGGCGATTATATAGAAATACCTTAAAGAAAGGATGAGCATTTAAAAGAAAGAGAAAAATATGCAAAAGATTACAAAAAATGTATACTCCGAGAATTGAATGACAAACTGAGCTGGAGTATTACAGGGTCTAAAAACATTTGTAATAAATGTTAAATGATTTGCAAAACTAGAAAAGGCTACTTACTTCATTTATTATAAAAACATTGTGAGTACAAATTCTATTTGTGTGTAAAATGTTATGATAAATTTGATAATTTTAATAAATTTAAATAACATTTATGCAATAACCATGACGAAATAATGATATTTTAATTGACTGAATAACTATAATAATTAATAGATCATGGAGCAAGGGAAATATCCAAAGAATGATCTATTAAATATAATTTGATTTGTAGTATTTCAATTATTACATTATTTCAATTAATTTACAAGATTATAAAATTATATTAATTTTGTTATGGATCTTTTAATTAAATATAAAAATAATTCAATTTTACAATCTGTTGAATTAATTAATCACATCTTGTATTATTTTAGGACGTGTATTTTTTTTAGAAAAAAGTTCTATACCTAATATAATAAGAATATATTTATTGATAAAATGTTTAATTATCATCAGATATAAAATGATATGAACTGCTATCTCACTCTAATTTTTATTTATAAAGGATACTTATAATAGTCAAGAACACTATCACACATTATCAAATTATGAACTAATTTTATTTTCAATTAAATTTATTGACCCCGAATTTTTATGCATTTTTAGTCAATAAAAAATTCAATAAGAACAACAGTTATCTTTTTCAATTGAAGAAGTATTGAATAGTTTATGAACTTTATAAAATATAGATATTAATCATTTTTTGGCCAAAGCAAATAAAAATAATCCAAAAGAAATTAAACTTGCCACTGTTCTAACTGCGTGTAATTAGCCCCATTTTGTTAGTAAATTTAGTTTAGTTTCTTACTCTAATTGTTATTATCCTAATAATATCTTATTTGTCGGCATTATGGCGATTAATGTGAATGGTATGACTGAGGCTAGCAACAATCCAGCTTTTAAACTAAGTTTATTTTTGTTTTTAAAGTAGTTAACAACTCCTACTAATCCTCCAAGAAAGGCTAAAGAAGCTTACCATTTTGCAGCCCTCTTGTAAGATGGCATCCATTAAGTATGTGCAATATCAGCTCCACAACTCAATCTTGCAGGATGTTCAACAACGTTGATGTAGATTGATGCCCCACTGAATAATCCAGCGAAAACTGTTCCTAAAAGAGTTAATTTAGTTTCGGTATCCATTTTATTTTATTATATTAATGAGAATTAATTTTAATTACGGCTTAAATAATCGTTATAAAGTATAAGAGATTTTAATAATATGTAATTAAAATTTGGATTTAAGGTATTATATTGTATTATTTATTCATAAATATCCTATTCTGCTAATTTCGGATTAAATGACTAATTCAATTTCTTAGGCATTATTCAAGATTTTATGACTTGCTTAATAGTCCAATACAAACTTAAATAATTAAATCATTTGAATTGCCAATCATTGATCTTTGATTCTTAAATTTAAGCTAGGCTAATCTCATTATTACTTAATCCTAATTTAATTTACTTTACAGAATCTAGTTTACTTTCTTATAGAAATGCAATGAATTTTAAAAGGAAATCATGTATAAAAATGTCTTTGCTCCTAATTGTCATTTATGCTCACTTGTAAACAATGATTTGACGGATGTAGAGAGACTGAGAAGAAGTATGGAATTTAAATACAATGGATCATGAGGAATAAGAGATAACAATGAAAATGAATTAATTTATAAACATGATGTAATAAGACATCATATAGATAATTTATGAAATTAATTATTCTTGCTCTCCTTGTTTCCACACAAGTCTTTGGTCTTCAAACATCATGCACCAAACTTGATCCAAAACAAATTAGTGACTTACATGATGAAAGCAATTTAGTTTTCTCGGGATACTTGAACATTTTTGAGGAATCTGCAAGTGTTTTGGCATTTTTATTTTATGGACATTAATCAGCCAAAACAGTTGACGAGTTAAAGAATTATCCAACCTTAATCTACTTGAATGGATTACTTGGAGAAACCTCTTAAATAGGAAATTTCATAGAGGTTGGACCAATCAGAATTAATTCAAAAGGAACCTTTGAGAAGAACGTTAACACTTGGAATTCTTAATTCAACTTACTATTTATAGATCTACTTGTTGGAACAGGATATTCATATCATAACACCTATTAAGATATACCAACAAATGCAGATTAAATTTCTGCTCATTTTGTTTATGCTCTTGAATAATTCCTCAAGGCTGATGATGGATGTGTAAAAAAACAAAAGTTCACTGGCCTAGAAACAGCTGATTGGTATATATTTGGTGAAGGTTATGCAGGAAAGTATAAACTTTTTCATATTATAGATAAGTTGTCCATATAGCATCTAAAATTTTAGATTCTTAATCTGCAGTATTAAATAAACATTTGAAAGGTATTGGACTAGGAAATGCTCACGTTGATGCAAACAGCTTACTTAGAGAAATCCCATCATTTGCTTTTAATCTTGGGTTGGTTGAGCCTAGAGAAAGATCTGAACTTGAGAAAATTGCCTTAAGAGGAATTCAATAACTTGATAAAAAGGATTATTCAGCTACTCACATAACCATCTAAACAGCCATCGGAATGATTCATCAATTCAGCGGAGAAATCAATATATAGAATATCGATTAATTGACTGATATTGAGCAACATATCTCAAATTTCAAGACATATTTAAATTTATAGACAACCAAAGCTAATTTAAAATTTGATGAAAATATTCCATTTTAATAATCTTCAGAGGAAATCATTAATGCATTAGGCTAGGACTTTGCAAAACCAGATGCACTCCCTAAATTAAAAGAACTTTAAACAAAACTTAAAGTCTTAATTTATAATGGTTAAAATGATATTCTGTGTCCAATCCCAAGCACTTTGAGATATTTAAGTTCCATCAATGAGGATTTCAAAACCAAAAAATTAGAAGTTTAACTAGTAAATGGGAAACCAGCTGGTTACACTTTAAAATCAGGATAATTAACCTTTGTAACAATTAATAATGCAGGTTTCCATATTCCATTAGAAAAAGGAGAAGTTATTTTACAAGTAGTTAGCTAATGGAAATGAAATTATCGATAAACATATTATAATAAATTCATTTTTTATCTTCAAGTGGTGGGAGCTTAACTTCCTTCCTTGTCTATTCAGCCTCCTTCCTCCTTTGAAAATCTCTAATTCTTGTTTTCTCATAATAATCTGTAAAACTTAATGTTTTTTCAGTTCCATCACTGTTTTTTTCCTCCCTTCCAAATATGGCCTAGATCTCCTCATCTAAACCTCCTCTGCCATGACGTACAAACAATAATTCCAATGTGTCTTCCACTGTAATCTTGCCATGCTTGGCCTTGTCATACATGAAGAACTAAACAATGTTGAATAGATTTCTAAATAGATTTAAAATTATACCTTGGTTCCAACAAAGTAGGATCAAAGATGCATCTCTTATACATCATTTGAAATTCATAATAATTAATTCTCCTATCACCATCTTCATCAACTTCCCAAATGAATAATTCTGCGTCTTTGATTGGTAATAGATAATCTACTTTATCAAGTGCATTCATTAGGGTATCTGCATTTATTCCTGGTTCAAGGGGTTTAATCTTGTCATCATTAAAAGTCAATAAGTAATTGAAAACTGAGTTGAGTCTTTGTTGTTCTACATTAGATAATTGTTTTTCTGCTGTGATTTCTTCATATGATTTTTCAACTCTTTTTTATTACTAACTAAGTTTTTAAGTAGCAGTCACAGAAAAGGACTTCGAGTGTTATCTCTATTAATTTTGAGTTGTGTTCGACGGTTATTAGGTTGAATTCATTTATTTAAATTATATATATATATATAAAGGTTAAATGATCAATCGATCAATTAATTAATAAAACCATCATTAATGCAAACAATTTCTCTACATTCCCTTACAAAATCATAGGCTTACTCAAAAGGCCAATCATTCTTTCTCATCAAATACATTACAGTAAAACATGCCGATCTTGATTTCCCTTAAGCACAATGTATCAGGACCTACTCATAAATAAATAAAAAACCTTCCCATTTTCCTAAAATGCATCCTCTATGAATTAGTATACTTAATCAAAATATTGTTTGATGCAAACATGAGGCTCATCATATATTTCTACTTTCAGATACTTTACTATCATAAAAATGATTTGTTATACATTAGTTACTGTAATTTTATATTTCAACAGTCGCATTTACAACATGAGTTATGCCTAATATGTCTATGAGCATTTCAGTGTCTTGAGCATGCTCTCCACTACCCAAGTACAATTTCTTTTCAATTATTTCATTTGGAAATGTTTTATCCAAGAATCCCCTATTTCTTACAACACTATAGTTCAAAAAAGGATAATTAGTAAAAATAATTTGAATAGGATCCAAAAGAATGAAGATTTGGCTAATCTTCTCCTTCTAGAATGCTTGGTAAGCCTGTAACGTTATTCCGAATATCTATGAATTTGTATAGAAACACTCATGTCCATAGTCTATAATTTATGGTTGGCTAGCTGATCTGTACTTGATCTTCGGGCCGCTTGATATTGTGGTTTCTTTCAATAACAACCAAATTAATACCATGGAATTCAAGAAGTCTTCTACTTGATATAATCGTTTATTTGACTCCTTATTAAAATAAATTTTATTGCTAAGAGTCTTCAACAATTTCATCGTCAACTGATTACAAAATCATTGTTTAAGCTCTATTTTTTCGTTGAAGGGTGTTGTTCTTCTGTGTTATTTTGGAAATCTCCTCCCATAACTAAATAACTTCTTTTGCAGGAATTTAGAATTAATCAGAAGTTTGGGATCCTTCACTTTTCACTTTATGCTTAAATATCAAACTGAACATGTCTGATGTATCAAAGGGAACAAAAAAATTATAATTCCTCTTTCTGTTGTTGAATAATTTTTCGAGTTTCTGATGTTCTGAAATTTATTCTGGATATTGAAAATGTTTTTAAACATCTGCAACTGTTTCGATCCTTTCCAAATTGGTTATATGAATGCTGTTTTTTAGGGAACCGTTTTAATTTTCTCTAAAATCATACACAATGAATGGGAACTTTTGAGAAATATTAAAAAAGAACTGAGGAGTGCAAAAATTAATTTACATTATATATTATTAATTCAAGCTAGCTCATCTTTAATGATTTTTATCATTTATTTTATATTGAGATCGATTTCATTTGGAAATGTACACAACCCATACTTTTCTACAAAAAACAATAATTGCTTATTATCGCATTTCTCTATATTGCTCATTAAACTGAGTTCTTCAAAATTGCTAGTCTTGCTTGATAAATTCTTTGGTTTTTCGATCCATTGTTTAGTGATTGTACAATACAACTGCAATTACTTTTAAACTTCAACTTTTAAATCATCAATGTATTATGCTATTAAATCGGTTAAAGCTTTGTTAGATGTAATCTTACCATTCCTTTAATTAACTTAAAAACCTTGGATGCTCTGTTCATAGATTTTTGAACGGAAGTTATCCAAGAAGAATTTCCAAAAGTAAAATAGAATGCATTTCCATTTTAATAAAAAAAAATGATCACAACTATATGTAATTATTGATATTTACTTTATTTTTTCAAATTATTCACATAATTTAGTAAATACCTATAAGTTTGATAACTTCTCTTGATACTTGTTATTATCCTTAATCTAAATCTCATGTTAAATCTCTAAAAACTGCTTTGGCGATTACAAAAACATGTCACTCTCAAAAATCTAAGGCCAAGTAATTCTATTCTCTTCAGAATATTCCAGCATTCGGCTGATCATTTACAGAATTTTAGGGTTTCGATTATTCTGAGGAAATTGCACTTTTTAATTCTAGAAAATAAAATGACCATAAAACAACCTTAAAAGACCCTAATCTTATTTTGAGTTGGCCCAAATCATAGATTGATTCATGAATATTCTTTCCAAATGCCAATTCATATAAAATACATCCAAATGACCAAATATCAAATTAGTTCGAGTACTTTTTATCATCAAATATTTAAGGAGGTACATATAAGGGTGTACTAAACAATTCTAATAATTTTCATACCCTTTTAATGTATATAATCCTGCTTTTTCTGGATTTCCCTCTATGAATCGAGCAAACCCAAAATCTGCTATTTTTATCACATTCTAATGCAACAAGATGTTATCTGGTTTTAAATCTCTGTGTATCACATTCTCTTTAACCAATGCTTAAAATCCATTAGCAATTTGTTTGAATATATCAACAATCTATTCATCAGAAATGTTGGGACTACCTATAGAACCTGAAATCAATACTTTTTTTTGATAAATTCTGTCAAAGTTCCTCCATCACAATATTCAATAAATAAATAAATGTAATTTTAAGAGACTTTGAAATCGTAGAATCCAACTAAATTCTCTGACTTTACTTTTTGCATCACTTAAATTTCCCTACTCTAAAACCTTGAAATTGAATTACATTCATTATCTCTTTCAGTCGTTCTTCATTCGAAATCCCATTATGTCTAGATTGCTTTACGGCTACTTTGATATTCAATTTCTTCGATTTCCCCAAAAAGACCTCTCCACATTTTCCCTTTCCTAATTAATCACTATCAGATACCAAGGGGCTTTTTGTATATAATGTAGTCTCCCACTTCCTTTGCAACAGGATTGTCTTCAAATTTATATGGATTAGACATATAAAAATTAATTAATAAGATAAAATTGTTAAAATTCCATAAGTGCTTAAATAAAGCAATAAATTATCTCAGAACTAGATAAAATCAGAATTGGAATCAAAATTATTCATTATTATTAATTGTCAAAACTAGGTTTCTTGAAATTCTGAATTCTTAGTATTTCTAACATAGTAAATAAGAATATTTGAATATTTAATTAATTCAAAATTTATGTCAAGCTCAATCAAAACTCTTAGGTATTGTAAAATAGCTGGTCATCAATCCAAAAGGATTATCAAAATTTGTGTTTCTAAGTCAACATGTCCAAATAGATATTTGTGTGAATTGTGTTTGAAATAATAAAACCATCAGCATTTTGATCAATGTATAAGCATAGATTAATTTCTGTAACGAATCAATCAAATTAAAATTAATTACAAGGATGCAAATAAAATTGAGGAGATGGCTTCAATACTCAAAAATAAAATCAATTCCTGTATGTCCATCATTCAACAGCAATTCTAATAACTAGAGGATAGAGTTGAAGGCATCAAAGGCAGCATTAGAAACAGCTTCACCAATATTGCTCAAGTCTTGGAATAGTTAAGCTCTAATCCTTTAGGCTTTAATGATGAAAATCTGAATAGAAATTTATATTATCTTTAAGAGGAAAGCTGGAATGAATTTCAAATGTCCGTCAACAAAGGGTCTCATCTTATGAAACAATATTTCAACATTCTACACGAATAAACACTTCGATTTAAATTATCAGGTGGACATTCGCAATAAGGAAGCACAGGTTAACTATTACAGATCCAAGAGGCTGTTTGGCATTTAAAAGGAATTGACCAATCCTTTGAATCTTAACTCCAAAATCGTCCCGAAATCTCCAGATTCATCATCTATTACTCATCACAAACGCAAGAGCTGATGTATGATATTTTATTATAATATATATGAAGAAGGACAACTAATAAATAATAAAGTTCAGTAAGGATACTGGTGCATGAAAGTAAAGGATAGACCACATATCAAAGGAGGAGGGTATTACAATAACGGTCTTAAGGTTGGTGAATGGACAGAAATTGTAAGAGACAATCCATTTTAATATCATTACATCACTCATTATTTCAATAATTTTGGTGAATTGTAAAACACAGTGGATATCAATTATTGTGACTTGTCTTAAGATGTACTCAAAATACTAGACGAATATGAGCAACCAAATTTTCTATCGAATTCAAATTCAGCAGTTAAGGACTTTTCATCAAGAGTATTTCTTTCACCAAAGGCATTCCCTACTGATAGAGTAAGATTAGGTTCTTATTCATCGATTGGAAAATCTAGCAGAAAATTGGAGAAATATATATGATATTATTAGATAAAATAAAATTCATATAATCTCTAATGTATATGTATCTAATTCAATGGAATACAGATGTTTCTTATTAAGAGATAATTTGATTTAATTAAGAATGCTTCTTTATATTTATAACATAATACTTTTTCTAAATTAAAAGTCATAATAATAAATCTTCAATATCATCATCAAAATCTACTTATTCTGGAGCGGGTGCTTAATATTTTGGTTTATAAAAGTTGCTTGTATTTTATTAAAATCTATCATTTGATTCTTCTATGAAATCATCTGGATAATCATCTGAACTTTATTGGAACTAATTCTATGCGTTAGATTAATTTTGAAATTTAGATTTGTTATCTTGCAGAGGTTCAACATCATCGTATGATTCTAAGTCTCCTGATGAATAATCTTGTTGTAAATCATCATATTTAATTGATCTTGATCCTGGGATTGTTGGTTATTTTGATTGCTCGTCAAATTTTTAAAGTTTTGAATCATAATTAGATTACGAATAACCCATAGATTATTGAGGATCCATATATGATGATTGCTACTAATTGGTTAAATAACTTTATTGAATCGGATTTTAAATTGGTACTTTTTAAACATTGTTTTATTTAGGAAAGCTTTCATTAGAAAGAAAGTCTTCTTCCAGATCTTATTCGAAATGCTATTAAGGCTTCTATTAGAATTAGATTTATTAATTCTTTTATACAATTTTCGAGGGTGAATAATGTTTTTTTTCAGTTATTGTTTTATTTTTTGAATTTTATTGACTAATAGTTTACTGCCAATCCTATCCTTAGGATGATTATTATTTCACTTCATTTTAATCCTATTCTAATGATTATTCAAATTCTGGAGTTGATGGTCGTTTATGTTTTTTCTTTCCATTTCCTTTCGCCTTCCTGATTGGTTACTTGATTTCTTAGACAACTTGTGCTGCTACTAATTATGTAAAATTTTAAATTAGCTTGGCAAAATTGTTTTGCAATTACATCATTTACGTTTAAGGTTGTTGAGGTTATGTTTTTTGCAAAAATAGTTCTGGATTATTTTATTACAATGATAGCAGTTTTTGTTTTCTTTTTTAAGTTTTCTTAAGAAATATTTATCTTTCCATTTCATCTTGTTATTCTTTAAGATTTTTCTTATATTCTAAATCTTGTATCACAGTTCCAATGTGCTCTTTTGATTGATCATATAAAATTTCTTTTAAATGATCTTCATAAATTGGAAGGTCGTTAACAATCATGTATTGAACCAAATCCGGAGTTAGTAAGGGTACAACTTTTTCAACATGTTTCTCTTTGGATTTTTTGAGTAATTCCTCTTTAACTATTTGTAATAATTATTCTTATTTTAATTACATATAAAATATTAATAAATTATAATCAACCAGTTTTAGTTTATAATAAAAATAATCAAAATAAATAATAGAAACAATAGATATAATTTTATGTCAAGTAAATTTTCTACTACTCATTATCAATCTAATGATTGCAATGTGATCAAGTAATTCTCTTAATTACACATAAGTAGTATACTATTTTTCATCATTAAAATAATATAAGTTGGTATATATAAGTACGATAAAGATAATTTTCACATTATAAAACGAAATAACAAACTGAATGGTCCAGTCCATTCACTTAAGCTAATGTCAGCTGAGTTGCTCACATATTATTTTAGTTGGGTGACATATTAATATGAAATTTGAAAATTTAAAGAACAATTATCATATACTATAACTATGATCGAATAAATCAATATATTGATTTTTTGAATTTTGTAAAATCTAATTGACCGCTCTTCAGTTTAGAAGAATTAAGCAATTGTTGAATTTTTGATATGGACATTTTGATGTCTAATGGTGTTTAATACCCTGATTAATGTTAACTATCCTATATTCTTGTACTAGGAGTGTGGAGACTTTATTTTGAGATTGGGTTTAGGTTATATTTGAAATTAGCTGGCTTGATTCGAAAAGTAGTTGGGGGAGCATGAATCCTTTGTGGTTTTTCATGCAAAGAAGGACTATAAATCGCTTATGCTTATTTCAATGATGAGAGAGTAGTTCTTTTATTGCTTTTCATTCTATTTATTGTTTTTGGGGGTTGTTTTTGTGGCTATATGAATTATTTTTGATAAAATTAAAGACTAAATAAGGATGATGGATTATAGTTTTTATTTTCTTCTTCTTTCACAATCAAAATGCTTTCATATTCTTAGTCATAGTTGAGATGCTTTTCTTATATTTCAGTCTTAAATCTGCGATTCATTAACGATTATATTTTATATAATATTTTGAAGCTGGAAACTATTCTTATTAATTAAAATATATGATCGAAATTAGTATAGAGAAAAACTATGAAAAAATAACAATAGACATTGATCTTAATTAAGTGTAGTATACAAAGTACAATAATATATAAAGAGAATATCTTTAATTATTTACTATTTAGTGTTTATATGTTTGAATTTGTATTTATTATACCTCCCTTTATTTCATGATATAAACAAATAAATAAAACCAATTTTTGTATTATATTGATTATGTTCATTATAATAAATGAACTAAAATAGTGTAATCAATGAAAAATCTTTAAATCATCGGAGCACTGTATAAAACATTTAAATTAGTTATCTTTTATACAATTTAATATTTAATCTAGAAAAATTACAAAATTTGGAATGAATAAAATTTATAGTAAATACAATTTAGAGCGTTTGCGTCTATAGCACTCTGAATTGGATACCATCAAATTGGACAGTAAACTTTCTTAATATATCTAGGATCTGAAATGAAAAGAGGAACTGGTAAGAATGCGATTAGAAAGGTTTTTGGAATTGATGAAGCAAGCAGACATGAGTATGACATTTACGAGAAACAACAACTAGATGCATTTAAAAAGTTCTTAGATTATGAGAATCAATCTTTATCAGATGAACTTATTCTAAGATTCTTGTATGCAAATTAATTTGATTTTGATACGACAATTTAAGTAAAAATAACCTTTTAAAAAAATAAGCATATGCGTCTTCATCACTCATGGATTACAAATCCTAGTAATTTTAAGTGGACATTAAACGCAGAAGAGATAATAGTAAGGAATAGATCACTATATTAAGAAATAAGGTGCAATATATATAAGTGGGAGAGGATTGGGTCTTAAGCCAATTGTTGTGATAAACGCGGATAAATTGGATATTTCTGCTTACCCCATTGAAGAAATTATAAGGGCCATTTCAATTGTGTTTATGGTTGTGAAGGATTACATGTTAGCATCTGGGAAGGTAGAAAGTTGGTTTGTAATAGTTGAGGCTAAAAACACAACAGCATATAAGATTCCATTTAATGTAATAGTGTAAAACTTAATTGGTAGCATTTGAATTAGATTTTTGATGTATTGAGACTAAACTTTCCTTGTTATTTAGAAAGAGTGTTTATCTTGCAACCTTAGACATCAATTTCGATTGCATGGCAAATAATAGAGTAGTTTATTCCTCACAATTCTCGTCACAAAGTAGAGTTTATTGAAAACGATTATTCTCTCTTATTCAACTACATTAAACCAAAATAATTGGAATAACGACATGGAGGTAAGGCTCCGAATGTATATGATTATTGGCCACCTCATATTGAGGATTTTAATGAGGTGGAATTCTAATAAAAGTAGAAAATGGAGACACAAAAGATTAAAGAATAGATAAATGTGCTTTAGAAAGTGATGCCTTTTTCTTCAAATATTGATTCTACAGTTTCAGACTTATTAAGAAAGCAGTATAAACCTAAAACCAAGATTTATCAACAGGAAACGTATTTGGATACAACAAACTATTTTGTAAATAAATCAATGTCGAATACTCGATTATTGAATGGACCAAGAAAGGAACAAGTGCTCTCAAATCAAAGTGACCAATAGTTATTATAACAATAGAAAACGTAAGAAGTGAATATATCTCTGGAATAGAGGAGTCCAAATTATAATTATTATTAAGGGGCTTATTTTTCTGAGCAACCTTAACAATAGACTACAATACCTCTTTAGAGTAGATTTGTGGGTTCTAGAACAAAGTCAAATGAGACATAGGGGTCACTTTTGAATGCAGCAAATCAGAATGGTTTATTTCAATCAAGATTTGTTGGTTTAAGAACCTAGCATTTGGTGGCAAATAAGGACATTAGCATAATAGTGAACAGAGAAGATAGAATATTGAACCAATTAATGTGAGGGTTTGGAATATCTTAGAGATTTATAATATTATTCTTTTCATTATGATGATATACTTTAATTAAAATGGGAGTTGCATTTATTTCTATTAATCTTTTTTAGATTGATCTTATCTCTTGAGGATTGAAATGCAGTTAATTGTAATATGAATTCTGTTTTCAAATCCGTTTTTATGTATATATTAATATAAAAATGAAGTGGACCTTGATTATTGTGGCTATTTCTATGTATTCTTTACATGCAAATTCAGATCTTGATACTGTTAAGCAATTACTTACAGATTTGAAAACAAATGTGTAATTGGACATTGAAGCATTAGATGCAGCATGGGAATTACATAAGAAAAACAAGCAGTCAGTGATAGATGCATTAGGTTTTTCGACCCAAGAATAGAGAACAGAGTGTTAAAAGAAGGATGATGATGTGGAGAGTAAAAAGAGAGATATAAAAATAACTAATGATTTTGTGGCCTGGATGGAGAAAAGATAGACATTGAATTCCAATCGTTTGGGAGTATTAGAATAAAATAGGTACATTTACAAATTCATGCAAATAGATGTCAATCAAGCAATAATTATGTTCATGATATTAAGAATTATAAAATTGCATTAGCACTAGTGAAGTTTTTGAGAGAACAACTAGATAAGTTAGACTAGAATGCATCCCCTGCCTAGAAGCAAGAGTTCTTGTAAAAAGTGACCAAGTTTGTTTAGATCTATTAAACAGGTAAACTTTTAACAATGGTTGAAAATTTGCAAATCAACAATGATGGTTCATATGTATTGCCAACTGTCGAAGGTGATGAATACGACCTCAATGAAGCAATCTTATCTTCAACAAGAGGAAAAAGAAATGCAAATAAAATACTTCTATAATAACAATAAACAACCGTTATAGCATCAGGTGATGATGACGATAAAGCAGATAGCGCAGTTGTTTTGATTCCTAGTTAATGTGATGATTCTATCAACACAGTTATCGTTGTATAAAATGATGATGGCACAAATAGTGATGATGATGATTTACATATCAAATTTACTAATGGAGGATCTGGCACTGGTGGCCATACTAAACCTAAACCTGCTCCTAAACCTCATGTGGATCCTGTTCATTAAGAAGATACAACAGGAGAAGAAAGTGGCAGTCACTCAGCTGATAATGATCACAACGAAGGAGAGGATGATGAGGAAACTGAAGAATCGGATAATGATAATGCACACGAATAAGATGATAATAATGCAGAAGAATAGAAATAATAAGATGATAATACAGAAGAATCAACAGATAATGATGATGGCAATGAGGAAGGTGATCATTCACATGTTGATGATGCTGCTGATGATGGATCCAAAAAGGGTGGTGAAGATGGGTCAGGTGGTAATAAGGCTGCAGTTCCTGAAGAAGAAGAAGATTTAAGTGTATGATAATAGAAATAATATTAAGGATATCAGAAAGGTATTAGATGCTATTGAAAAGCATAGCAAGAAATCACTAGATTTAGAATAAGAAGATGAAGTCAGAAGTTCTATGATTTATATTGATTTTAAACTACATATTGAATTAGAAAATCAATATTTTGATAAACAAATTGCTGGAGAAAAAGAAAACCTAGTATCATAACTATATTAAATATTAGATCAAATTAACTAATCAACTCACCAGTAGAGTCTCTGTTGCTAGACAATGTAATGCTAGACTCAAACAAATTTCTATCGCTTACCAAGTCAGCCAAGATGTACTTTGTTTTATTTTATGCTTTTAGGATTACAATGACTCATATCAACATTACTTGGAACTCAGAAAGTAAAAGGAAGAGGAGTTGGCAACATTTGAAGACATTTACAGAATTTATACCAATTAGGTTGTCTGAATTATATTAAATAAAACAAATTTATATTTATACAAATTAATTTATAATATGAGGTTGGACACATCTGTAATCATATAATATTATTTACATTAGTATTTAGCCTATTTGACCAAAGATGAATTGAGAGTACTTGTGGCTGTGGAAATGGGCATGAAGAATCATGAATTTGTACCTGTTTAATTGATTGAAAAAATATCAAAAGTCAAAAGAGCCAATGCTTATTAAATTTTACAATAGCTTTTGAAGCATAAACTAGTTTAGCATGTGGCCAAAAAATGTAAACATCTCCAATTAATTCATTCTAGATGATGGCTATAGACTCACATATTTGGGATATGATTTCCTCGCCTTGAGTGCCTTCTACAAAAGAGGAACCATCGTTTAAGTCCTTTCTAAAGTAGGAGTTGGAAAAGAATCTGATATTTATAAGTGTATCAATTCAGATGGCAATTTTGTCATTCTTAAATTGGCTCGATTGGGTAGAACATCATTTAGAACTATTAAAAATAAGAGAGATTACATTAAAAATAGAACCCAATATAATTGGCTCTATCTTAGCAGATTGGCCAGCATCAAAGAGTTCGCATATATGGAGGCTTGCTATAAGAATGGATTTCCAACTCCAAAACCATATGACTGGAATAGACATGCTATCGTGATGTCCTTCATTGATGGATATACTCTATGCAGTATCTAAGAACTCGGTGATGTCGATGGAGTCTTTGTCCAATGCATTAATTTGATTGAGAAGTTTGCCAGTCATGGCCTCATTCACTCAGACTTCAATGAATTCAATCTAATGATTACAGAACAACAAAAAATTATTGTTATTGACTTTCCTTAAATGGTATCAACTTAACATCTGAATGCAGACTTCTATTTCCAAAGAGATTTAGATTGTATTAACATCTTCTTTTAAAGAAGATTCAAGGCCAATTTGCATTCAGATTTGAAATTGCAAGACATCAAAGTTGTTAAGCATCTTGACAATGAAGTCAAGGCATCAGGTTTTATTAAATCGGAACTTAACGATAATAAAGAACTCGAAATTTTAGAAGCAGCTTAATAAGAACAATAATAACTTTTGTAAGAAAATGAAAAATTCTAATAAGATGATGACGATGAAGATAATATTGATTAAGATGAGTAAGATAATGACGATTAAGAAGATGATGTAGATAATGAGAATGAGAATGAGAATGATGAATAAGAAGATGATGATAAAGATAATGATGAAGATGACGATGATGATGAAGATGATGAAGATAATGAAGATGAAGAAAATTAAAATAATGAAGATAATGATCACAAACAAAAATAATAAAATGATAATCAAAAAAATAAAGTATAATAGGATGCTTAAATTCCAAAAGATTTAACCAAAATTACAGAATTAGATCAAAAGAATATTAAGAAATTTGTTCAAAAGAAATTCCGTAAAAAGATGGTCATTAAAAAGAATATCAATAAAACAAAAGGAATAGAAGATAACAAAACATTAGCTGAAGAAGCACTCCATTATTTATGATTTGTTAAATGTGATTAATTCTATAATTAAGATGTCATTATTACATAAATTCAAAAAGAAATACTTCAATTATATATATATTCTATTCATATTTATATCAATTCAGCATACTAACCATCTATCCTTAAATCTTAAAATAGTCTTTGTTTCAACGGTTTCTCCATCTTTATTTTCCTAATTCTATACCACAAATAATTCTTGTTTATAAATCATACATTGTTAATGCCAAAAACCACCTGGTATTTTTAAAGGCTTGCTATTCACCATATGCAATATATGGTTTTCCCCTTTTATTGTAAAAAGAAATGATTGATCAGAACTAACAGAATTTTCGTCATAACCTCCAAAGATCATCAAAGAACTTGGAGAGATTTACACTCCAGCTGCAAACTACTTTAGTCCTTTGAATAATGGTATACTTTATTATATAGATTATAATTACTCTTTATTTGCTATCTGTGGATCAATGGCTTGCCAGATCATATCTTTAATATTGAATCTCTCAATATAATTCATCTACTATTTTTCATACAATCCTCCAAATTTGTATATGAATTGATTATTATAATTTACACAGCAGGAAGCTATGGAAGGGTACAAACAATCCTAGATTTACTCACTTTTTCTTAATATATAATTATATCTCTCACAAGTCTTCTCAAGAGTTTGATTTTGCCCAAACCCAGAGATTGAGTAAATGTAATCCCCTACAATACAACAACCATGAGATGATCGACTGGTCAACAAATGACCAACATTAGTTAAAGAATATTTATCAAGCAAGCATATTGCGTTCGATTTGGTGTTAGGATAGTTGTTGTCAATTGTTGTTCCTCCAATTAGATATAACTAGCCAGTTTTAGTAATTAGTGATTAATGAAAAACTGGAATTTGAAAGGGTATTGACAACTTAATTTTCTTAATTTCTTTGGGATTATCAAGGTTGATTAAGTTTAATTCTTTACTATTGTATTTAAAATAATGAAGCACTTTATGTTATACACTCGGTAATAGATTATCTTCAACTGTGATAGCAAATTCAGACTGCTTCTTACCCTATTGAATTTCACTGATTTAGGATAGCAATGGAGTCTGATTCGAAGAGGGTGCTTCCTAAATGTTGATTGGTTGATTATTTAATTGTTATTTCTCTTCAATTTTCAACATAGTTGTATTTGTTTTTTTAAATTGAATCTGAATGGATTAGGCAAACAATTCATCAAGTTTTTGGTTGAAATTTTGAGAGACAACAAGTAATGGAAATTCTAAAAATATTTCAAATAATTTACTCAATTTCAAAAGTTCTTTATAGGCCTCTTAATTAGCAGATTGAATCAGTTAAGTAGTATTTAGTAAGTAAATGCTTCTTATAGTTTTAATTTAGCAATCGCTCTGGGTTTCTAACTTGGTTCCTAGTTCATCTAATTATTAAATTAAATTTTTGATTCTGTTGTAAACTTCTTTAATCTATGATTCCTATACTTATTAAGGATACTTTTACTTTGAATGCTTGGATCAAGTTATTACTAAAGTCTTGGAGCAACTTTTTATTGTATGAATCAATTTTATCAATTATTTATTATTTCAATTGCTAAAGTGATTCTCTACAGAGTTCAATATACTATGAAGAATTTTCAATAGTTTTCATTTCTTGCAATGACAGGATTTAATTCATTTCTTGGATTGAAGAGCGTATTTTCTTGGAGCAGTTTGTTCTACAGGATTTCAAACTTTCAATTTGACATTCTTTGTGTTCTCTGAAATGAATTTCAATACACTCGGGACATAAAGGTTAGAGACATTTAGTGTTGATGCACATGTTGGTGCATGGTTCTTGATGTATTTGGCAGAGTTCATTTGAATAATAAGTAAATTATTAACTCATTTATTATTAATTTCAGAGTTTATAACTTTGGTATTCATTTCTAAAAAGATAGTTATTTTTATTCAATTGAATCCAAAATGGAATCTCTTTGGTTTTTTACTCATAGAAAATAAATAGAAAATTTAAGTTGTATAAAATAAAATAATGAATTTCAGCTTACCCGATGCTCTTGCTTTAATAAAAGAAGGAAGGGCAAATGAGGCCGTTGATTAGCTGAATAAATTTATTGAATGCTTGTAGCCTCTGAGTCCTTAAACATAATTGTTGGGATAGCAACTTGGGATTGATTGTGAATTTTTCAGGATTGTTAATTTTCAGGACTTTTATGATCCTGATCCTTAAGTTTAGGCACTGCGATTTAAATATTACGCATACAAAGTAGCAAGTAATTGATACGATTTGAAACTTTAGAGTGGGGTTATTAGATAATTTAATAAAAGAAAAAAGTGAAACGAAGACATGATTTAATTGAGAAATCGGAGTAGTTAGGTATATAGAATGAAATAGGAAGAACCTTTGGAGTTGATATGGAATCCAAGTAATTGGTTGAGTCTCGATTGCAATCAATATCTGAGAAATTGTAGAAGAAGAAACAAATATTCTAAAAGTAATTACTCTGTTAATTGGACATTGAAAAGAGACGAACTGACTACAAGGTTCAATAGGAAGATAAGATAGAGAAAGTAAGAAAAGCTTTAAAATCAGATTATGATCACAAAATAGTGGCTGTAAAGGATCATTTGGAGAAAGTCAATGAGAAATTAAAAAATAACCATAGAATGAAAAAGAAGATGGAGGATGAATTAATTAATAAAAGAAGTGAATTATTGAAAAATGCTTCATTGATGTAATGTTTTCAATTAAATTCATTAGTGATGATAAAATAAATAAATTGGAAGAAATGAGAAAGGAATAGATTGAACATATGAAATAAGCTAGGTCATAAAAAAAATAAAGATAGCATTCTTTTTAAGAGAAGTAGAATTAACAGTATGAGGAATATTTGGAGAGGATGAAATAGAAGTTAGATTAGAAAAGTAATTTATATTTTTATTTGTTCTAGGGGTTGTTGAAATTCATTCTGAAAGTCATAAAGATTTTGGTAAAAGATAAGTTTATGATAATTATGAAAAAAATCTTGAAAATATCATACTAAAGTATTAGAAGTAATAACCAATAATAAATAATTTACTTGCCAAATCTATTGAGTAAGTTTAATAAAAGAAGTAAGTTGAGATTGAGAAATTTCAAAAGGTCAAATCTAATTAGAAATTACATTTGAGTACTCCCAGAATAGAACCTAGAAAAGTAGATGAAATCTTGGAAAGAAGGGATAAGAGACTCCAAGAGGAGACTATTTTGAGAAGAGAGATATACTAATAAAGAGTATTAAATTTTCTTCAAAATCGTCAATAATTACAGAGATTATAATCTTAATAGGTCGAGAGATACAATGAATTTTATAGCAGATAGAGTGCAAGATTGAAAAATATAAGGAGTTCTCATGAATAAATGAAATCCACTGTAAAGTAAGTATTTCGAGTATCTATTTAAGCTTTGCCTTAATGTAAGCCAATAGGATTGAAGAATAAACAGCTTTAAAGATATAGAGGGCAATTTAATTGATAAATGATCCTGATTTGCAAATGTAGTTTAAACCAAATGAAAAACTGAATACTCAATAGAAGGTAGCAAAGAAAAAATAAGAAGAAATGTAATAATTACTAAAATCATTTGTGACAAGTGAAGTTGATTTATTGAGATTTTCTAAATCTGTAACTGAGGTTAAAAATGAAGAAAATTAATAATAAAAATGAAATCATTTTTTATCTTTATGACATATATATTTATTTATTCTACATCATTATTATTATTATTTCTTTAATGTCTCTAAATATTGATTATGAATCTTATTTTGTTTTTCCCATAGTTCCTAAACAACCTTTTTCTATTTTTTGGATAATTCATTTCCCTCCTTATCTTTAACTGGTATGCCTTTTTCATCAAACTCTGAGTATTTATCTACTTAAGATAGGAACATGTCTTTGGGATGAATCTTTGCCTTTTCTAATTTCTCTAACTCCTCTTATTTCTTTTTCTCTTCTTCCTTCTTCTTAATCAATTCTTTTTGTTGAATCAATTTTTATTATTGTTCTTTCTCCAATTTCAATTCCTTTGGATCATATTATTTCCAAATGGATGGCTTATTATATTATGTAATATTATACTTGATCTTTATCTTTATCTTCTATCTTAATTCCTAACTCAAATAATTATTCGTCTCTCAGTTTGTCACATAATGAAAACAATTGCTATTTATTCTTTTCTTAAGAAGCAGCCAAGACCTGTTATTAAAATTGGTTGATGTAATCCACAATTCCATTTGATAAGTTCTTCTCATACTAGAATTGCTTCAAAGTGACTATATTTGAAATTGCTTCAAACTCCCCCTTCCTAGCAGCCAATTTCACTTAGTCTCTAATGGAGCATACTTCAGCCATTATTGACTTGATTTCTGTCTAATTATTATTTTAGATTAAATAATTGAGTCCTAATAACTAAATTCATTAACAAATATAGTACTCCCAAAATAAAATCGACATATTGAACAACACTTTGAACTAATGGGGCTTTGACTGTTTTGCCTGCGATTTGTACATTAACTTAGTTAATTAATTTGTCAATTGCATCTACAACAGTTGGGAAATCAAAATTCTTAAGCAAAGCTGCATGGACAATTTATTTAGTATTTCTTAGTAAATTACTGATTTAAAAGTCATTTTAAGTCCACTTCTAAGGACCTGTGACTTCGGATTCTCTCAAATAGATCTTAGTATTTTGGAAGAATTCTTGATAAGCCTTGTCTTTTGAAATAGCCTATTCAACTTGCTCTTCAGAATAGTTCATCACTGCATCATATTGATGGATTGCAAAATTTAATCTGATCTATCGAGGAGTATATCTCTTGAGGACTTCCTCAATGGTGAGGAAATTCTTAAGAGATTTAGACATTTTACGATCAGCTATATTAAGATGACCAAGATGAATAAAATAATTGATCCATTGATCGCAATTGAAACATGCCTCAGCTTGTGCAAGAGAGTTATCATGATGAGGGAATATCAAATCAATGCCACCTGCATGCAAATCAATAGGATTGCCCAAAATAGCACTAGCCATAACTGAGCATTCAATGTGCCATCCTGGTCTACCTTCTCCCCATGGACTAGGCCATTTGGGTTCCTCTGGTTTGCTGGCCTTCCATAAAGCAAAATCATTGGGACTTCTTTTTTCTGATTATTTGTTGGCTTATGATTCCCCTTCACCCTCTTGTAATAAATCAGCATTCATCTCTGGTCTCATTTTAGGATATGTATGCTGCAATATAAAATGAAATATTTACTCCATCAGCCAAATATTTATGAACATCGAAATACACACTTCCATTACTCTCGTAAGCATATCCATTAGCAATAATCTTCTCAATGAATGTCACAATCTCTGGAACATAATCGCTGACTCTAGTTATTACATCAGGCAATTCTATATTGAGTGCTTCCATGGCGGAAAAGAAGTCCTTCTCCCAAACCTTTGTGAATTCAAGAAAGTCTTATTTGGCTTATTTTGCTCCGTTAATAATTTTATCATCTATGTCTGTGATATTCATAACACTCAAAAGATCATAATTAAAGTAATCTCTTAAGGTTCTTCTTATTACATCAATTCCCAAATATGTTCTATAAACTATCAATTATAGCATTACCTTGCATGGCCCAAATGGGAGTTGCTGTAGACTGTGGGACCACAATAATAAAAGCTTGCATTTAAAACCTATACCATACTTCACTTATCTGCCATTTATAGGAATGAATGGGACTAATTCACTTCCCTTCAAAGAATTGGCAAGTTTCAAGCCTGTTACGTAAGAGTCCTCTTTAATTGATGGCTGCTTGTAGTGAGCAAATAAATCTTTTTATTGTTGCATAAATTAATTAATGGTTCTTGTTGCAAATTTAATCATTTATAAAAGAATTAAAAAATACATTTAAATCACTTTATACTGATTTAATCTAAAAAATCAACTGCATTAAATTCTTATATTCATAATTTTTAATTTAATAAAGTTACTCATTCCATTCCCAATTAATACGCTATAAAAATGGTAAATAATAAGTCATTTGATTTATGAATATTAATCCACCAAACGATAAAAAAAATAATTAATTATAATAATGGACATAGAACTACTCACCTTTTAACAAGTTGGCTTCTACTCAGCCTTTTAATAAAGAAATCAAAAGTCAAGCATGGATATCTTAATAAAACAGAGCAATTTCATATGCCATTCAATATGCATCTATCAAATCATAAAGCTTGTTTTATTCTTAGCATGTTACCAACAAACTCTTGCATCTCCTCTGCGCAATGTTATTTTTTTCACTTTCATTCATGATGTTATTAGCTTTCTCTTCTACATGATTCTTGAGTAACAAAATTTGTAAATAAATTTAGTGCTTTGACCAACAAATTTAGTTACTCAGAACTATTTAAAGAAGAAGATTAAGTTGTAAACATTTTTGAGTTGAATCACAGCTTAATCTTTTTGACTCTTTAGGAACTTCTTTCATTTTTTAGACCTTTAAATGGAGTCGTTCTCCTGTACTAGATCTAATAAAAGTTGTTTAGGTATCCTCTAGCTATTATCAGAATGCTGTATTACTTCAATTCTGTTTATTACTTCATTTAATTGTAAAACAGTCCTCAAGAGTATAGTTTTCTAATAATTGAGCAAACCCTAGAATTGGTAATATCCTGGGTGACAACTTTAATTATAATGATTTCTATCGGAATTATTTTAGTTATTAACAAAACTTTAGGAAAGTAGATTGGATTTAGATTTTAAAATAGATTATAACAAAGTATATCAAATAAATTTACTGAAATTAAGTTTTAAGATTTGAACTAATCTTTCAAGGGTTGTAATTTAGATTGGTATTGTTGCAACTCAATTTTAGCCCTATTTGTTATGAATAAATTAATGATGCCGATACAATTATCCAATTACCTTGTCATTAAAAACATTTGTTTCATTCTTAGTGTTGCAAATAATGGTTATTCTAAGATCTTCGATGTCCCCTGTGTAGGAATGAACTAGAATGGAATGCAAAGACAAATATTCAAACAGAGCTTGAAACTTTATGATTAATATATTTATAAACTAACATTGATGATAGAGATAAATCTGCAAATGAATTTTAAGGAATCCATTTGGATTTATCTATTCTTAGTTTCATATCCCTTAGAATTTTAAGTTCATCCATTTCATACTAAAAACTGTTTTGATAAATTAATTAAAATTTTATCATTTTTTTCTTTACGAATCAATAAGAGTGATGGACTTTTTATATGGTATTGACAACTTTTCTTATGGTTTCTAAATTGTATTAGAACTTCTCTAAGTTTCAATAGGATCTGCTGTGGGCTTTATAAAGATTTTGGGTCTCAATAACCAAATTTTGTATATCCAATTGAAACACTAATCCAGTGTGGGTTGATCTTAAGATTTCTAATTCTTGTATTTTAGATTGACAAATTACCATACCTAATTATAAAATGAATTATTACAAGAAAACTGTCCATACTTAAGAATTATTCTTATTAGTCCCAACGAGATTCAATTTTCATAGTTCCTTATTACCATAAATAACAACAACTCATCCATTTACTATACTCCTTTTCTGCATAGAATTGAATAGCAATATACATAATTTTGCTAAGTTTTATGGTTGTTGAACTGATTTGGAGAATTTACTCGTACAATTATTACCCCAATGTTACTTCAGATCTAAAATCATACATTATAATTATACCCTGCAACTGGAATTTCTTAAGTCAAGTCTATATTGTGTCCAGCACTTTTCTCCTAATTTAAAATAATGCTTGTCCTTTTATTAACTGTTGAATTTTGAGATTGATCTAAGTGTTTGTATTGATTTTCAATGGCTCTACATAATTTAATGGCTTCCAGAATCACAATATGACTAACTGGGTTTGGTTTACCTATTCCCAATATCAATTTGGTGATATTGATTATATCATCATCAGTTGTTTTGATTAGATCTTTAAGAAAGTGTGCCTTATTGAAATCTATTTCTATGAATTGCATAAACAATTCTGGCCCTGACATATTGGGATTTGAATGTATATTTTACACTAAGAAAGATAAGAAATCACTAGGAGTTGTTTTCTAGTCTTTGGCTCTAATTTACAAGAGAAATATAATAGGATTAACCAGCAAATAATCATCATAAAATCCTGGATAATCTAAGAGATTTAATTCTTCATATGTGAATTCAGTGAAGGATTTCTAATCTTTTCTCTTGAGAAGACTTGCCAGATTTTTAACAGAAGTGCTAACTTATTTTTGTTAATCATTCATATTTTTTTAAAATACATTGAATTGAAAATCCATTTCTTTTAAATCCAAATTAATTTTTCTAATTTCTCCTTCTGCATTATCTAAGTTTTTTAAGTCCTCTAGTTTTGTCTCCAATTCAGAATACATTTGAAGCCATTTCAAATTCTCTTCCTTGAGATGAAGGTTCTTTTTCTATTCTACTGCTACTCTCAATTGATGTCCTTTTACTTTTTGAATGTATTTCTCTCTTAATGCATCCAAACTGAACTAACAATCCTTTAATTATGATTCTACTGCTCCTACTTGAATATCCAACAAGGCTTTGTACCTGGTCTATGACCATTGAGTATTAAGATCAAGGAGTACTACCCAAAATTTCCATAACTATTCGATGAATACTGCAAGAGTTTTATCGTCAATAATTTTGATCAATGTTGTAATAAAGTCATCCATAATATTAATTGCCTTGATGAAAAAATCAAATCTAAAATTGTCTGTAATGTTTCTTTCCTTCTTTTCCTTAATCCCAATTTGATCTTTATCAGTCATGGTTTCATATAAAAATAGTTCCTACATTACATTTTTATCGAGATTTATCAGTGTTTCATACATTTTAAAGAGCAAATTCGGATGCTTGTCATAAAGACTCATTCCGTGACTCAATTGTTGTGTTTCATAAAAGTTGATATTGAGATGATTAATTACAGTAGGAGCAACTAATTTGGCCTCCTTCACAATTTTATCATGATTATTGGACATATAGGACTCCTCTATGTATCTTTAATAGATTTGCAAGGGTATTTTGGATTGTGTTTAATTTTCAATGGTTCTACTAGTATTCGTATAGCATTTTCTAGATGAGGATCCAATTTAAGCACTCTTGATCCTGTGACTGGTTTCTGTGTTTATACGAAGGACAGGCTTTTTGTTTTTGTAAACTCTCTCTGTGTACTAACTTGCTAAATTGGTGCTCAATGAATAAGCTGATTTGGCTGATTTCATTATATTATTTTAAAAATAAATTATTTAGTAACATGCAATAAGTGCATAGACTGCATTTTTGGAGAGAAACTGAGACATCCACAAATAGACTTAAAGCTAACTAGATACCATATAAATAATTTTATAATATTAATAAAGTATTTATAGTTAAAAATGAACCCAAAAATGTCAATGGTAATACCGTTGCCGCAACTGAAACCGGAAAACAATGATGAATACGAAAATAGAATCACTTTAAGATTGTACATAGAGAAGTTGTTAAATTAAAAAGTTGGAAGGTATGATTGATGTAAAATAGATATCTGGAGATAATTTCAGGTATTGCAAGTTTGGCTAGTGTAGGAATATATATAGTTTCAACCTATTTTGATTCAGTGGAGTGGCTAGCTACTTTGGACATAGTGGTTTGTTCTTTATATTTGACTGAATATTTATTGAAATTGTTTGCTGCTCAACATAGATTGCAATACATTTTTTCTGACTTTGCTATAATTGAGTTGCTGACTTTGTTTCCTCTTTTTACCATTCAATCAGTGGGAAATTGGAATTATTTGTAAAGACTTATCAACATATCTCGTATTTTGCGGGTATTTCGAGTAGTGAGAATGATCAACAAATTGCAATAGCTATCGGACATCGAATATGGAGGAGTGACTAGATAAATATATGTGATATTTTCAACTGTTACGACAATAATTATTGTAACTGCTGGAGTGTTGTACGCATTCGAATTTCCGAAGAGACAAGAATTGATAGCGAGGGATCCGAATAAAGGGTGTTCGAATCAGATTGACAAATGCCACTTCCACGAAATGATATACTTCACCATAGTGACACTATCTACAGTGGGTTATGGTGATGTAATTCCTTATAGTGAAGAAGGAAGAGTGTGTGTTATAGTGCTGATTATTATCGTGCTTGTGGTCATCCCTAAGCAGATGAATGAATTGATTAGATTAATGGGATTGCAGAGTGTTTATGCCAGATCATTTTATAAGCCTAATCACGAGATCCCTCACATAATCATCTGCAGTTATGTGAGTGTGCCCTCTTTGAAGAATTTCTGCAATGAGTTGTTCCATCAAGATCATGGAGGACAAGACAAAAATGCAATCATTTTGAAACCCTCAATACCCAATACAGAAATGGAAGACTTCTTGCATAATGAGCGTTACGAGATGTTCCTCATTTATTTGTAAGGAAATCCCATGGTAGAGAGAGATTTGAGAAGAGCTGCTGTTACTTAAGCCAAGGCTTGTGTTATCCTAACCAATAAATAAATCGTTGATAGTCATTCTGCCGATCATAAGAATATTCTCATTGGCTTGTTGATAAAGAAATATGTGAATCATTTAACTGGCTATAATATTCGATTATGCATGTAATTGATCAAACCAGAGAGCAAGATGCATTACAAACAATCATTGGGAGTTAAAATGATAACTGATTAGATCATTGTGGTTGAAGAATTTAAAATGAACTTGCTGGCCAAATCTTGTTTTTGTCCTGGCATCATTAGTTTATTAGGTAATTTAGTTACTTCTGTAGGGGAATAAAAGGAGAGCTTGGATTTCGAATGGTTGACTCAATACACTGATGGAATGGGTCATGAAATATATCGGACTGACTTGAGTTCCAAATTTCAAGGAAAAACATTTAGTGAGGTAGCAGCCATTGTTTACAATGAATTCTCTGGCATACTCTTTGGATTGGAATTAGACTTTGAAAAATAACCCATCATCAGACTCAATCCTGGAGTGTACATCATTTCAAATACAAGCAAAGTTCATGCATACATCATCTGTCAAGACAAAAAAGTTGCAGATCTTGTTGCCACCTATGACATGACCACCGAAGAAATCGCCAACTATCATTTCTCCTTGTAACAAAACCCCTCTGAAAAAGACAAACTTAATGAGGAGGAAGATAAAGCAGAAGATCCCTTACTGTCTGGCAAGGATCAACTTGATGAACAAGATATCACAGAGAAAGATTATCTCCTCCTCAATGAGCCCGTTTCTTTGATGGATGCAACTTCAATATTCCTATTGGAATAGCCCGAGATCAACAATCATATTGTCGTTTGTGGCATCCACCCTTCCATCTATTATTTTCTGCTTCCCTTGCGAGCCAAGTATTTAAAGGAAATTCAGTATGTTGTCATCTTAGCGCCTGAAAAACCTACAGAAATCTGGGATTAGATCAATCGATTCCCAAAAGTGAAATTCGTCCAGGGATCTCCACTTATCTCTGAGGATTTACAAAGAGCCAGCATCCATTGTGCAGACAAGGCTGTGATATTTGCTCAGAGTTCCGATGCCAATAAAACTGAAAGTGAGGATTTCTTGGATCAAATGCATGATGCTGAGAGCATCTTCATTTACAAGGCCATCAAGAAAATTAACCCTTCCATCTAAATCATGATTGAATTAGTCTCCAGTTCCAATATCTAATTCCTTCTTGACAAAGATTACAAATTCCAAAATGATTTCAAATACGAATTGGTAAGTTGTTATCTTAATTAGACTCCTCTACAAGCCTCAGGAGAAGTCTACATTTCTGCCATGATTGACACTCTCACTTGCCAAGCTTATTACAATCCACACATTGTCACTATACTGTAATAAATTCTCACTGGCATGAGATCGTCAAACCCTGTGATCAAAGCCATCTGCGAAGATTTAGACATCAAAGATTCAAATCTCTATCAAGTTCCCGTCCCTGAAGACTATCTAGTAATCTATCATTCTTATTTAGAATAAAACCTTCGGTGAACTCTTTAATTATTTGTCTATCGAGAGGCATTTGATTCCTTTGGGCCTTTATAGATTGGCTAAGGCACTCGATAACAAGCATCCTTATGTTTACACGAATCCTCCAGCTGAGACCACTCTCACTCCAAGGGACAAGGTCTTTGTATTAGCTCATTAATTACCAGCTGATTTGAGTGGAATACCATTTGACGCTAATTCTGATCCCAAACAACTCAATACTAAAGAGGTCGAAAATAATAAGGCCTTGAACTTTCTCTTAGAAAAGCTGAAACAACAAACCTCATCTTAAAATGGCGTTAATAGGGTAGGTGGGTATTTATAGCATTTAATAATTAGCTAAATAAAAAAACGACAAGACTGTCATATTTCAAGGTTAATAAATCAAGTAGACAAGAAACATAGAGTCCGAGAACATGAATCTAAGTATTGAATAATCCTATCACAACAAGATTTGGCATCTCTACATGTATTGGACTAAGTGAACGAATAAATTTCCATAGTTAAAGAATAAATTAATGATATCAAAAATAGCTTGATCTAGAAGGAGGATGAGATAGTGGAAAAGTGCAGAAGAGCCATCCGCTACGAATTAGGAACAGTAATTTAATAATAGTGAATACGTTTTTTATTATATAAATATATATATATATATACAATTTCCTATTTATACTTAAGCACAATTTGTATATACAAAAACTATATACTTTTTATGAAAATTAAAAAATAACTACTACTCAGAATCATTTAATCCACATATCCTTCAATTAGTCATCGAATTAATGCCTTAATTTTTCGGAATAAAATTCTGTTTATAATTTATATATTTTTAAAAAAATGTTATTATTTCACTTAACTTTTCATTATGTCCAAGACACTTACTTCTTATTGAGTAGATAATCGAAAGGGCAAGTGGTTTATATGCATCTTTTCATGATTTTACTAACTGTTATAACATTTGATTTTATTTTACCTTCTTATTCAAAACTGTTTGCCTTTTTATTTGGTCTTAAAGGAAATTCTTGTTTAGTAATTACAGATTAGGTTGTCAATTACGATTAGAACCTTGCTAATCCATTTTTAAGGTTTTTATGAATTTTCGTGTGATAACCATAGATATTTGAATAAAACTGGATTTTATCGTTTTTTAAGGTGCAAACTCTGAAAAATAAAACATAAAATTTTTTATGAAAAACAAGGCTCTTGTCTTAGTTTTATTAGTGTGTGCAGCGGTCTAGGTTGTTGGAGAGCCGGTTGCCGTTGCCTAATCCTTTGTTGCTAATGACTTTTCTGATGCAGATGGTATAAAATTAAATATTAATTAAATAGGATGGACAGTTGCTGGAGCACCAGCTCATGTTACAGAATGCAGTGGAGTGAAGATGTTTGGAGGGTTTGGAAAGTTTGGTGCCAGAGCGGTTGCCAGTAAAGTCTTTGAACTTCCCCCCCATTCTTTAATTAATTTAAAACTTTAATTTTGGAAGTATGATACATATAATATAACTTACTAGGATCGATTCTTGGGACAACGAGGAAGCCTATGTTTTTGTTGATGACTAATTGGCATGGTCGAGAAAGTTTTAGTACAATGAAGGTGAGGGACAAAAATGCGGTCAAGGAGGTGACTGGAAGGAGATGATTGTTAATCTAAACTTGAATATTAAGCACACCGGTCCAACAGCAGTTGTTGTCATCACATCCAACTTGAATGAGGCTGCTGATAATGTAAGATACAATTAGAATTCTTTTAGGAATCATGGTCTTTCAGAGACTTTGTATTGTCTGTAGAGAAATGCCCAAATGGATGTGCCGCTTGCTAGGTTGATGATAAGGCAGAGAATTGCAATTTCTGGTAATCATTTGCGGCCAGTTGGACAGAATTGAATTCTCTTAAGCTCGGAGCTGATGGTTGGGAGGTTGCTGGTGGATTGGCTCATTCTACATAATGTGGACGTAATTATTTAAATTTTATAAATTTAGCTGCTGGAATTTTCGGAGGTTATGATAAAATGATGAGGGGAGCAGTTGTCAGCAAAGTTTATTAAGTTAAACCTCATTACAAGCTTAAGCTCAAGGTTCTTTGGGCTAAGATTGACTCTTGGGATAATGAGGCTGCTTAAATTAAGATCGATGGAAAATTAGTTTGGGAAAGAAGATTCTAGTGGTTCGAGGGTTATTTTGGTAAGATATGTGGTTGCCCAGTCTTTGAATGGAAATCAATGTTTGTTAGAACAGAAGTAGATGTTGATCATACTGGTGATCAAGTTAAGGTTTAATTCACTTCAACTCTTGATGAAATTGAAAATGAATCATTCGGTTTGAGAGACTTGTACATCTTCTATGCAGCTTGTGCTGATAACTGTGCCGAATGTACAGGACCAAAGGATTCTGATTGCAAAAGTATAATAAAAATATATCAATATAGAGTGTGCCAACAATTGGGCTTTGGTTGGAGGTAAATGTTAAGCTTTACCAAACTTTGTTCTTTTGGAATAATCTTTCTTGGAAGATAAATTCACAGGAATCAACGGTTGGGTTCTTACAGGAAATAAGGCAGGAAGAACAGTTGCTGAATGCAATGGTAAATCAATGGTTGGAGGTTTTGATATTATGGGTATTGGTGCTAAGGCTACAAAAACATTCGATATCCCACCACACAAGAGACTTAGATTGCAATCAACAATCTATAAGATTGACTCTTGGGATGGAGAATTCATGATTATCAAGGTCGACGGCACTGATGTATGGAAGACATCTTGGAATCTTTAAACTGGAGGTGCCAATATCTGTGGATAAGGTATTTGGTGGGATGGTTTCACTAATGTCGATGAAATCTTCAATCATCAAGCTCCAAAGGCTGAAATCATCTTTACATCCACTTTGGATCAAGATGCCATTGATGGTAATACTTTTTAATAATATTTAGAATCATGGGGTTTCAGAGACTTCAAATTATGGTATGAACCAAAGGAAGCATGTGCAATCTTCTATAGTGAATGCGACTTTAAGGGAGCTTCATTTGAATTTTGCTCCAAATCACCAAACTTCCAGAATGACAACATTCCTCCATAAATTAGATCCATCAAGATTCCACCATAAGGAAGAGTTACCTTATATGAAAGCACCGATTACAACGGAAAGAAGGTCACTTATACCACAGATCAAGCTTGCATCCAAAACTTTGATGTACTTAATTTTACTATAATATTAGTTTTCATTGATTCAAATGAGTGGACATATTGAAGGCGGTTGGATTGAAGTAGAGTAATGATCTAATATATGCATAAAGATCTAATTATAACATAATTTCAAAAATATATATATATAGCAATATCATTTAATTTGCGATAATAATCCAAATTATTCAAATAACTTATCACAATAATAGAATTGGTGGCCAAATAATTCTGATAAAAATTAATCAATAGCTTTCATTTATTTCTTCACTGTTTCATGATCCTGAAGAGAAACCCTTAGATTTCTCTCCTATTATATAATTTTAGTAGCCTCTTTAATTTCATCGATTGTTCTTTTGCATTCTGAGACAAAGGATTTTTTCTCTGTCTGGATTTTGAATCTTAAACTAAAGTAAATGATTCCAGCAAAAGCATCTGATGTTTCTGAACTAAAACACTCTACCTTAATTTATTTTATTTGTAGGAAGTACTCTCTCTAAGTAGAATTCATGAACTTATTGCTGTTTCTTTATACTCTCGTTTCTTCTTCTATCTTTTTAACCAGCCCATATTTATTAATGATTGATTCAGGAACATTGAAAAACTCCAATATCTCTTTTCTCATAAGAATTGGGTTCTGACTCATTCCATCCAACCATTGTTGAATATAAAAAAACTTCTTCTCAATTTCGGCATCTCCATAAGTTGGTTTAGGTAAATGTCCATTTGCTAATTAATATAATTCTTAATATTGACAATTTTAGACCCATTGGTCATTCTTAACCTTAATTGTAATGGGAATCAGAGTTTTATGCTAGTAATTAATTAGTTTTTTCACAACTTATCTTCCAACAATGAATTGTACTTTTTCCATCTTCTATTAAATATAGACTCCACTCTCGCTTTCATCTTCGGATAAAGTGGCAGAACTTAGTTCATCCTTATATCTCTCGTAATCACTTTTCTTATCATCAAATTAATCACTATTTTAGGATTTATTATCATCATTTTTATCTTAGAATTCTTCAAAGCTTTTGATTCTCTTAATCATCCGATTTCTTTTGGCAATAAGACCTTCATCCTTTTATTTCTTTTTTCTCTACTACTTTTTCTTATTCAATTCTTATTGAATTTACTAAGGAATCACAATAAGTTATTCAGGATATTGATTATCTTCAACAAAATCAAAGTTTTAATGTGTAGGTTCCTACTTTAATGGACTGTCCGCTCCTAATTTATCGATGTCAACAATTTCAATGACTTATTGCTGTTATGGTTGGATTTTAGGTTGATTGCAATTTGAGGATTGGTAATCATATTACTTTGTTTCTTCCTTATTTATTTTATCATTTTCATCATCAGAGACAATGACTTGTCTTGGTTCATCATCAGGATCCTAATTAATTTCTCTTTAGGAGATGGATCGACGATTAAAGTTGGTTTTAGGTACTTCCTCCTTAAAAGATGGGTGTGAGACATCTTCTGATTGGGAATTCTCCTCCATTATTATTTGGGATGATCTAACCTTCCTTCTGTTAAGTTATTTGGGTGATTCAACAACTTCAATTTTTTTATCCCAAATTTCATCATCATCCTTTGAAAATTTGATATCCATCGGTTCAAGATGTTTGGCTTCCAATTTGGTAGATTATCTGGTTTAGTTAATTAGGAATTAAGCCACTTAAGAAGTTGGATGCTGCTACTGTTGATGAGTTTAGTGAGTAACTAGTAGTTGGTCTTGAAGAGTGGATTCATTCAATTCATGCAATTCAATTTCTTCTGAGTAAGCATTTGGTTGGAATTTGAACAGGATCAAGTACTATACGATAAAACTATCTTATTATTCGAAGAATTCACAAAAAGGGTCTATAATAGGGTATTCTAATATAATTACTATATTCCAGTGGGTCATCTCCTCTTTGTCTTTGATAAATCACCAGAAGGGATGACAGCACTAAACTAAGGAGATCGAATAATTTGAGTATGGGTTCATTGCAGATTAAATTGAATAGACAAATGAAAGGCAGAAAGGTTAAGAGTGATTCATGATGAAAGATTACTGTGATTCCGAATGAATAAAATAATCCAATGAGTAAGAAGAGACTACATAATGCAGAGAGTAATTCCTGATGGAAAAGTGCTATAATCAATTCAATTAGTTGCACGATTGCAATTTAAAGTTGGAATCCAATCTTAACTTTTAAAGCAATGGTTTCTGGTTTATTCCTTACTTATTTGTAACCCTTGATTTTCATTTAAGCATAACCTGCATACACAAGTGGGAATAGTCCAATAGCAAATTAATCCATATTAATTAATAAAGTAATATTATATCACTATGCAAATGTCACCAATTTATCAGGATGACTAGGTTGCTGTTCTGATTGCGAGATTTCAATTGATTACCCATCTAGAGTGGTATTGCTTTCTTTTTTTGTTTGTGTCATTTCAGAATAACGCACTCTCTAATGCAATCTCCTATTTTCTCTTTGGATGAGCATGATGATGGCAATTACCAATAGAACAATTATCACAAAAACACCTATAAAGACATATATGGCTGAGGATTAAGGGTGATGCGTTTACTTGGTCGTATTGGTTGAGTTCATCAATGAATAATAATTTAATTATTTAATCTTATTTTCAAATTATTAATTGTTTCATTCTATTCCTTAAATGAGACAATCCAATTATCTCATTACTAAATAAATATTTGATAAAGTATTTCATTAATTTTTGTGAACAAGAAATCTGTCACTTAAAATCAGAGAGTAAATATTACAGCTGCTTGTAAAACTGAAATTTCCACCTCATAAAAACACACTTAAATGACATCTGCATAGAAAACAGAAATCTTGTTCTGCCAGGTTGATATATTACATATCTTAATAAGCAAAGCTATTGTAAGTTCCAGAATACTTGAATTCATCTTTTATACGCAATAACAATTACCCAATCTTTGAAATATGTGATACAGAATGAACTCAAATGTTAATATTAATTGTCTGTTGATTAAAAATTAAGGATTATGAGTTATAACCACTCACAAATCAGAAAGCCATCCAACACAGATTTTGGATCTTTAAAGATTAATCACTTTGAATGAGAAAAATTGAATTCATATTCGTAATAGTCAGTGAACCTTCATTATTACATCTGGTGGATTCTAATGGATGTAAAATATTAAATTTGGCAGAACTAAAAGAGAGAAACGGAAATGCTAAGTTTTTATTGATTAAGGGAATAGACTACAAGAAGACAGTTAGCAAAGGGGAAACTGCTTTGAGTATATCAATTAAACAAAAAAAATCAAAAATTAATAGATTACATTAATTAAATTAAGAGGAAAGGACTTAAATAAATACATTGAATCTTCATATTTATTCTCAAATTTATTAAAATGGATATTATAAATTTTTTAATAATATATGTGTAAGTAGATCCATTAGAATTTACTTGCTTATTTCAACAAATTTTAGTAGGCTTGAAATCTACTTAATAATTTAATATCAAAGAAGCAGCAGTTAAATTAATCACTGCTTTTTTGATGGTAGATCAGAAAAGTTGTATCAATTTATTAAATCTATAAAAATTGTTATAATTTTATTTATAATTTTTTAATTTTTTTCAATCAGAGACTATAAATTACTCATATTCTTCAATTAACTAATGAACATAGTTCAAAACTTTGTATTCTTCTAAAGCAATTTTGAAACATTAGGCAAAGTCATAGTATTGCAAGGAAGTGATTTTGAATCTTTTGTGGATGATTTACAAGTCCTGTTTCTTAAAAAACCTAACTCCATAGAGAAGTAGATTTAATTTGCAAAGGATGCTTTGGCTCATTTCTGCCTCTTCAGTTTCATAGATTTTATTCAAATGCCTTTAAACAAATTCATACTCCAAAATAGAGACTAATTTTGGGATCAGATAATCTTGACCTAAACTTAAAATTTGTTGTTCTCTTGTTTCCCCTAAGATTATTGGTTTGATCTCATCCCAGTCTTCTATGAAGTCTTATAATACTAAACTATCATCAGTCAAATTTCTTACAGATTCAACTGCCTTTTATTTGAACTTATCAAAAATCTTTTCATTTATTATAGCCTTCTTCTAATGAATTAAGTGTAAGTCTTCCCTTGTGATAGCCTTAATGTTATAACGAAAAAAGTAATGAAATATATTACAGCAATGTGCAACAAAACGTTATCTGCCTCTACGATGAATCAATTCAGATAACATAGCATCTTATGCACAACTATTTACAAAGGTTTCAATAAATAAATTAAATCCCAACTAATTTACATAATATTGCAGATCATTTTTATTTATGATTGCATATTTATAAATGTCCATTCTTCTTAGAAGTTATCTGATGTTCCTCCATGGTATGCCAGTTTTCTGTAAGGTTAATGATAGATAGTATTTAAAATTTGTGAGTTATACATTTGTCAGGCCATATTTTACATGCCTTTCTCTAAGCACTTCACATGAATAATTTGGAGAATCCAAATGATATATTAATTAAAAGAAGAGTCTAGCAAATTTCAACTCTTAAGTGGGTACATCAATATTTTCGAAATATGGAGCTAATGTGACATCGGATAATATCTTTTTGTACATTGATTTTGTGATAGCCTTGATGCCATCTTCACCCCCATAAATCTCGAATTCTAATACTTCATTAAGGATGTAAGGCCTAATATTTTCAATGCGTTCGCAACAATGGAACATCTTTTCAGTTGAGATATTTAAAAGCATGTACTTATTTAAAAAATGGTATTTGAACTTGAAAAAGTGAGCATTAGTTAACTGCATGCCTAAATGAATTACTCTTAAACGAGACAAGTCTAAAAACATTTATTGATCATATGCAGTTGCTAAAAGATTTCGAAATACTTATTTCACTCCAGGGTAGTTTTTATTTGGAAACTTAACACTTAAGATATTATCTCTTCTTGTGATATCTAAATATATTTGATCCACTTCATAATTCAATAATTCATCTGTTCCTTATGGTTTCGGAGCAACCTTTCTCTTTCGAGACAATTCTGTCAAGTATCCCTAAATTAGTTAATCTTATGATTTCATTGGTACCAATTATTATTAACTATGAAACCTAGATGATTTTTGAATAACACTGTTGAATAATTCGGAATTTCTAATTAAACATGAATTCTTTTCCTTTTATCTCCATCTATTCTTACGAAACAACACTAGACCTGACATATTATTTTTTTCACTCTCCAAGGTTTTGAATCGTAAACTCAGTGGAGGATCAATATGAGTCACTTTAGAATTAGTGATGGCGTAACTAAAATTTTATTCAATTTAAATTGAATTCCCTTGTGGTTGGTATTTGGTTAATAGAAACATAGGATTCAGTTTTTGTTACTTTTTTTTTTCTGGCAACTTTTTTCTTATAGCATACGTTTCCAAGAAATCTTTAAATGATTTCTGAGTGTCTGATATCATAAAAAAATAAAAATTTAAATCAATCAAAAACAATATGTTTCTTGTAGTCATCAATAACATCCAGAACCCATTATAATTTAGATGGTTCATCCTGCATTACAGTCTTCATGGCCTAAAAATAAATGATTAATTTTAACTTATTAGAATTCAAAGTAGGTTTATTCTCGAATCCGTAATCTCTTGTGGAGAACTTCGATGTCAGTGCGTTTGTAGAAGTGCATTCCATACAAAATCAAATTTAACTTGCATTTCAAATTGGGGCCAACTTGAGACTCATTATCCTTTGATAAGTTGATAATCAAATTACTTCAAACACTTTATGAAGAAGCGGTCTTTACATAATCTCATTCTCTAACTTGTATGCAATGCGGTTAACTACACCTTACCCTCCAAATGATTTAATAATAGTCTTTTTTGGTTTATTCATTAGGATGGGTGTAATCTCTTCCCAATCCTCTTCGAAATCGCTTAATAAAATTGGGTCATTAGTTACTTTGCTCACAGCTTGCATTGCCTTTTCCTTGAATTTGGTATAGACCTTTTCTGAAATGATGGTTTTGTTTCTATGAATAGACTCTATATCATCATCAGTGATTGATTTGACATTATCTCTGAAGAAATAGTGGAACACATTTTCACAATGAGCAGTAAATCGTTACTTGCCTCTCTTCTAAACTAAGTCAAAGAGAATCGGCTCACTCGAACAGAGACGCACAAAGCTCTCTATAAATTCTCTGTATCCTCCTGGAGCATTATTAATGCACTCTTACAGTGATGGCTTATTCAATATGGCAAACTTATAAGTGTCCATCTTTCTAAGTAGTACTCTTAAGTGTTTGTATCCGATGCCTAACTTTTGTAAAGCAGTGGATAGATAGAATTTGAAATTAGCCAATTGAACATGGGTCAATTTATATTTGACATGCCTTTCTCTGAGTACTTCAAGAGTGTAATTTGGAGATTCAGTATGATCTATCAATTAGGCAAAAAGTTTAGCAAATTTAACAGCCTGTTCTTCCAACTCTATGGCCTTGAAATAGGGACTTAATGTGTAATCTTTGAATATCTTTTCATACATGTTCTTAGCCACTTCATTGATGCCATATTCTCCGCCAAATATTTCAAAATCACTTCTCTAATTGAGAATCAAAGGTTTAAAATTTTCCATTTTGTAACAACCCTTAAAAAGTAATTCAACTGGAGTCTCCATCTCCATATATTGATTGATAAAGAGATATTTGAATCTAATGAACTATTCTTTCTTGATGAAAAGTGGAGCATGAATACTCCTCATTCTAAACGGGTCAAGTAGTATTTCTTAGGTGTATCCAATCCCTAAAATACTCTTGTAAATATCCTTGAGATATTTTAGATGTTTCCCTTAATACTTAGTCTTCAGTTAACGGTCTTGGATGATTTTATGATAGAGGGATTCAGAATGTTAATCAAGTAATTCATTACTACCGTACTATTTGATTTAGGTCTTTATTATCTTTTGGAATTTAGTCTCAAAAAATTTGCTAATGATTTCCGTTTGTGTCTTTGGGGGTTGTTTCAACTCTCGATGAATCTACAATACTTTAGGTCTTCGAAGGGAGACAAGTTACTCATGAACATTTCTTAAACTGTTACTATTTGGGTTCCTGATTTTATGTTATTAGGAAGTGAATTTGAAATGAACAGGAGTGTTGGGCAGTACGATTTCGCAAATCTGGGAATCACTGATCATAGGTAAATGAAAAAGTGTCTGGCTGGGAGATAGCTCTGGATTTTTAAAACTCTTTGTCTTATTTCCAAAGTCTTGAATTGTCACTTGACTTTGTAGGTCGTGTTTAATGATGAACTGATTGGTTGGTTCTTAGCGTAGGAGACTGCTTAGTTGTTTTTCGCATCTGGATTTCTTAGAATTTTTGGGTGAAGCTTGGAGAGTAGACAATCGTCCTGTTAATTGGAACTTTTAATCTTCTTTGATCTGTTGCTATTGTATGAAATCTCTAAAGGTCATGCTTTTGGAATCATTTTTCAAATGTTCAGTTGGGTATTTGAAAGGGCATCCCAATGATGAGGTTGCATTACTCATAATTATAATAAATTATATTTATCCATAATATTTAGAGACATTGTTAACCGACTCGATCTAATTGTAAGATTAGAATGATTATGAATTATAATATTGCATATAAAAATGCATTGATTATATTCAATGATTATTTTGATTTTAGTGGCCTTTCTCAATATATGCAAAGGCCAACTGAAATGCAAAGACTCCCACAATTTAACTGTTCAAATGGAACTCACAATCTTGATCCCTAACTACAACTGTATTCTCAATACTACTGAAGAAGTCTTGGTTAATATGACATCATAGAATGCAAGTCTAGTTATCACAGGAGAAAAGCTGCAACTCAATGAGAACATCCACTTTGAAGGATTCACTGCTGTTCAATTTTTGGACTTAGAAGTGAACACAAACACACATTCAATAATCTCCGATTCCCCAATCATATTAAAGAAGGTCACCCTTCAGAAACACTGTCGTTTCTTTGCTACACACATCACAATTGAGAATAGCACCATTACTTAGAATGTGTTCAGAAATAGGTAAATGTTTTCTTCACCCGTTGTGATTAACGGGTTATTCATAAAGGACACCTCCCTCTTCCAAAGTTCAATCACAAATCAATACCTAGAACTATAAAGCCTTTTTCTGGAATCAGTCCACATTATTAACTCAACGTTAGGAAGTGTAGATTGCATTAATTAAATTGCCATTTAAAATTCTTTTATTGCATCTAGTGAATTTTTAATCTGCAACATAATTTAAGAGTTTGAATTGTATAACTCCTTTATCATATTGTCATCCTTGATAAGAGCATCCGGGAGTGTCCATATTTCGATTAGAAATGTCTCACTCAGCAAAGCCACTCTCTTTATATTGGATAATGAAAATTAAGTCCAAATGAAAAACATCGACTTTTCAGAAATAACCTCTGACTCCTCATTAATCACTGTGAACAGTCCCTACCTTAACATAACGAATATGGTGAATTACTAATTGAAGGTCCAATCAATCTTTTAAATAAGTAGCACTGACATGTTTGTTAAGAACATAACTTGTTAGGAACTAGATGGAAGTATATTACTGTCTAATTAGAGTTAAGATCTGACACTCTTAATAAATTAATTCAATTTGATAAAGAGTACTTCTAGAAAATTATTTGACATGAGTGGGTCTTTTCAAATTAGAACTGGGATATTCAAATAAAACAATTGCTCATTAATTAATAGTTTAATAATTCATGAAGTCTGGATAGACTCTATGATATTTTAAGACCTGAATAATTAGGTAATATTATCGATTTCTGATTCTAATACTCTTCATTTGACAAATTTAACAATCATTTTTTGTGAACAAATTATGTTTGCCAAATTTAACACTGTCATAAGTGTGAATCTACAGAACATCAAATTAAATAATTGTAAAGAATGTAATTTTTTAGTTTTAAATCAAACAAACACATTCATTAAAGATATCACTATATTAGATGTCTAGAATTTCTTTAGCACTTTAATATTCTCATGGAATACTAACATTGTAATGAAAAGATTAAACTTAAGAAACATATATTCAAATGCTCAACAAATCGTCACTTTATGTGAAGGTGAAATAATTGAACTATCGAATTTAATAGTATACAATGTAGAATGTCAATATTGTTAAGGAATTGTTAAAATTTCTAATTTTCATTCTGCTCAAATTTTGAAATCCAATTTCTCAAATGTATACACATCTTAGGGAACATTTAATATTGAAAATACTACTAATTTAACAGCAATAAATAACCAATTTATTAATATAACTGCTATTGATGGAACTTGCTTTTATATTTTCAATTCTTCCATCAAAGTATTGTAAAATGAATTCATCAATTTAGCTGCAAACTAAAAAGGAGGAGCCATCTATCATATTCAAGCATATAATACAACTTATTATATTGAAAACAATAGTGTTTCAAATGTTACATCCAAAAAAGGACAACTAACATACTTAGTTACTGAATCAATTACAGCCTAAGATCCTGATTTCTATATAGATGGACCTGTGTTCTTTGAGATTTTTAATTAGACCTACAGTCTGAATAGTCTTATAAGAAAACAAGTATTTTTATCTTTTCAGAATTTTAAAAGTGGAAAGGAAATTAAGTTCAATGTAAGTATTTTGGATAGTGACAAAAATAGATTGTGTAAATTCGAAGAAGACATCTATTTAAATAATTATTCATACCATTTTGATTAATACAGATGCAATTATGAAATTACATACCTGTATTATCAACAAGAACCTCAAGACGAGTAACTTACAATAATAATTCTATTGGAATCATTGAAATTATATAATAACAACCCATTTTCTCTTTAAGTGTTACTGAACTTCACCCAATGCGAAATTGGCGAATAATGGATTCGTAATTCATGTCAAAAATGCATGTATGGAACATATAGTTTCAGTACTTAAGCTCCCTGCTTATAATGTTTGCCATAAGCTTAATCCTGTTTAGGAGGAGCTGAGATAGACATAAAACCAGGATATTGGAGACCACATAATCTAACAGACAGTATAGAACGATGTAAGCCCTAATTATCAGCGTGTTTGGGGGGCAAAAATAACTTTACTTGTGGGGAAGGATACTTAGGAGCAATTTGTTAAGATTGTGATTATTATTCGATTAGATGGGAGAAATAGTATGCAAGGAGTCTCTCCAATTACTGTGCTGAGTGCTAATTCAATTTGATCGATCAAATTAAACCAATTTTAGCATTCTTGTGGATTTCAGTAATTCTATACTAATTAACCTTTAGAGTGTCCTCTATTTCTCTGTTTGTGGAGCCTTGAAGATGGCTAGGGCTTAATTGGTTGGACGTTATCTTCGACTAATTGGATTGCACTTTGGCACCAGATCCTCTATGACTATAGATCAAACTGAAGTGTTGCTCAAAATGATTTCCACTTACTTTCAGTTGCTCTCCATTCTATTGGTTCTTAATATCAAGATACCCCAACCATTTCAATTTCTATCTCAAATCATTGGCAACCCACTTCAAACCTTTGGATTTTAAATTGAATGTTTACTAATTAAAATGCAATTCTAAATTGAAATTGTGTACCTCAAATAAATATGGAACCTAATTACCTCAATCATTTTTGTGTCTCTCTTTATTTTCACATATTTCATCCAATCTCTTTGCAAGCATTTGGAAAATTCAATCCAAACGATGTTCATCAATAGTTTGATTCAGGTTCTATTTTATTTCTAAGGTGATTTGATTGAAGGGTTGTTTGAAATCCTCTTTTGTCTCAAGGCTTCTGGATAATATTATATATAGGCATCCACCCAATATATATGTTATACCCATGAGCATTAAACTTACATAAGAGCCTACATAATACCTGTGTTATTGACTATTGGGTTATTCAAGCCTTTATTTTACTTCATTAAGCTGAATAGAAATAAGAACAAACTGTGGACTTGTTAAATTCGATTGCCATATGGCTACTTGTTTATTGAGTACAAGAATCAATATTACTATTGGGAATTCGTTCGATTTATAGTTAAATCATTATTTTACATCCTTTCTACATTGCTGATACAAGATTTCAAATTGTTGTTTCTGTTCGTCATTTTGGTTTTACTCTGTTATTTGGAGTTGCTCAATAAGACCCAACCATATTTGGAGTATAAGTTCAATGTGTTAGATAAGGTTTCAACTTAATTAGAAATTATCAGTTTAATTTTGGCTTACATTTAGGATGATAACAATAATTAATACATAGTAGACATTACCAACATTTTAATATCTATAATTAACCTGATTTTCATACTCTATTTCATTTATAAAATCCTTATAGAATTGAGTTTAGAATATAAGAAGAAGATCCAAGAGAAGTTGATTACCCTGATTGAAAGATTCCCTTGGCTGGGTAAATGTATCAAGAAACCAGTTCCTTCGACGATGCCAGCTCGTATTACTTACTTATGGAAGAAGGCCCGGATGCATGTTTATAATTTTATTTCTCAAATTGGAAATACCTCAGATACGAAAAGTCAATCGTCAACTGTTTACCGTAGCGTTGATGTTAGTTAACCGAAATTGCTTTTCACTCTTAAACCACAACTCATGAAATACTTGTAACAATTTTGTTAAATTTTTAAGGTAATATCCCCATTCTTGTTTACCAAATTAAGGTTAATAACTAGAAATTTCACAATAGTCTAGCTAAAATGTCTCTGTAAATTAGAGTTAGATTTTGGAGAAACCCTCACAAATAACTGATCAGTCGCTTATTTAGCGTAAGCAAGAGGAAACTAACAAAGAAGACGAAAGTTCCTAATTACAATGGTAGGCCTCTAATAAAAACATTAAGAAAACCACATCTATTTCAATTTAACCAAAACTAAAAGTTAAAGTCATAAAAAAACAACGAATTTGATAATTATTTTGTATATAAATTATATATATCATGAAGGAGCCACTTCTAATCTAAGAATATCCTTATGAAGTAAATGAATAAAGAATTCTCAATTCTCAAAATTATTGTAAATAAATTTATTTAATTATAATTTAATTATGAAAATTTAAATAACAGTCTTGCTCGTATAAGTAATATTAAATATTTTAATTGTGTTGTTTTTTTGATAATTTCAATTATTGCATCATAAGAAGATTTAATATAGATATTTCAATGAAAAATTATATACATTTACATCAATTCAGTTTGAATGGGTGCACATTTTAGTTAGAAATGAAATCTGTTGCTGGAGTCAAGACCTGTAGCTTAGCTTGTTTGGGTGATAAATATGAAAACAATTCCGTCCTTGGATAAGAGGATATAAATACTTCGAAGAGAGCTAATCAGATTCATCAGTGAAGAAGGGGTGAGCTATACAATCGTAGGCACTATATCTTAATTTGGGATCAAAGTTGAGCATCTAATGCAATAGATCGAGAGCATTTTCGTTTTGGATGTTAGAACTGATTCGAATATTGCCTGCTTGATTTTACCCAAGGTCTTCATAGATGGGTTTACCGACAAGTAATTTGTGAAATACAGCTCCGGCACTAAAGACATCAATTTTTTCATTGATTCTCTAGGATAAAAAAACCTCTGGTGCAATGTACCCTCCAGTGCCAGCTCTGGAATAGGGAGATTAATTGATCATGCAGAGACCCAGATCAATAATTTTGATTTTGAGAGGGTTGATAGAGGCAATCATGATATTGTCATATTTAACATCTCTGTGTATGATTTTTAATTAATGCAAGTGATTTAAACCTATTACTAGATATAAAATAATACCCTCCAAAATCTGTTACATAATCTCTTGGATGATGTTGATTGGCAATTTGTTGTTGTACATTTTCTGAAGGTCGTAGAGTGTGCCTTGAGATAGGTAATCCATGGCGAGGTAGCAATTCAAATCGTCAACGTAATATGAGTTGAAACCGAGTACATTCGGGTGAGGGTTCTTTTGGATGAGTTTGAGTGCTTGTAATTCTTCTGGAGTCTATTTTGTATAACATTGGTTATTTACTTCTTGATGACGAATGAGTTTGAGAACCTGGAACTAGTTTTGTTATTTGGCGAGGATTATCTTGAAAATGATTTGTAAATAATGATACCTGGCATTTCTAGTTGTTTTTAATGTGCTTCACATACTTGAACTCCTTTTCCCAGTCACAGAAAGCCATCAAACCACTTAATATACTTTTTAACTAGCTGAGCTGGTCACTGCTTCCGCCGAAGGTGTACTTCCGAGTATCATGTTTACAAAGACTGAAGCCTTCGATGGCTTTGGAATGGCTAGAGGATTATACTTATATCTTACTTAGAGTAATCCCAATTAAGAACATATTGAGTAGTTTAAAAGTTGATTTCCTTTTCAATTTTCTCGCTCAGACTCGATTTCTTAAGTCCACTCAATGATAGTCTGTCAGGATAGACAGTTAAAGTAACAGTACATCCGTTTCGGATAATTTATGATAGCTTTGTAGTAAATAAAAAAGACTGAGAACAATTTTTCATTAGTTTAAAATTACATGCAGTTTTACTCTCTATATAATTTTCATATTCGGACATATAAAAAATAAATGAATATACATCATGGGCATTAAGATTCAATCTTGAACACCTCACTGGCCATAGTTGTAATTAATTCTAATGACATAGAATCAACACCACAACACTTTTGACATTTTGGTAGACGACGAATCAGAACACAAGTTCTGGACCAACAAAAGGAAATATCAATTCAAATGTCTTTTGAGAAGAATAGCACTCATGCTCTACAACTCTGGTCCCGTGTATTTTACCTACTTGATAGTGAGTCTCTACATTTTTAAATTATTGCGCAAAGTTGATACAGACAAGGCGTTTCGATAATAATACATGAAGTAATGTATTTATTTATTGCAATCAAGATAATACGTCTACGATTACATGCTCTGCATTTGCATAGTCTGCATTTACACAATCTTTTTATATGGACTGTTCAATCATTCAGGTAACTTCAAATTCTAAATATCAAAGAGTTGTCGGAAGTGAATCGAGAATACTTTCATTGGGCAGTCAATTGTGTTATGTTCATCATGCTGTATGCCATATTCATTACGCAAAAGGAGTTGGTGAAAATCGAAGAAGTGGAAATCGAGAAAGCAGTAATCCCGATTTCAAATTATTGTTTAGCAATAAATCAGGACTCAAAAAGATAAGGAGCAGAGATATGTGTTTTCCTTCAACTTCTCCTTCCTATTCAGCCAACAGAATTTCTACAACATTGGTCTTGGCAGAGCCCACATGGATTTCATCAAGGCACAAGATTCCCAGGACAAGGACAATCTCAACACTATTTAATAATTCTCTAAACAAGTTGATCACATCATCGACAAAGAGAATCTGGACCCAACCATGATTTACTTCAGCATGTGTTCCGATTTCATAAATAGTGAAATATAAGCATCTCCTATGGCAAAGAAAAGGAAATCCAAATTGGTCAAGGAAGTGGAGAAGGCTAAGTCTGTTTTGGACTATCTCCAGGATTTGGGATTCAACGGAAATCGGAGTGTATTCTAACACTTCCTATTGCCACATTACATTTACACCAGAAAATTCCTAATCCCAGATTCCAATTTACAGATCATCGTGGTCATAACCCTTATCACTCTGAAGGTCTTAATACCGATTTTCTTTTTGTTTTGGCCCATTCATCCTTACACTCTCATCTACTCAGTGATATTTATGGGATTCTACATGCATTTTCTATCTATTATCTTCCAATTAGTATTGAATGATGATCTGAAAACTAGAAACTACATCCTATAGGCTTTGAATAAGATCATCACTATAGACATGGATCAAGAAGACGCACTGCATGAATTAATCGACATTACCTGTTCACTCAGTCTTCAGAGTTGGAATCTGATGAGAACAGTCGTTATTTACATTGAGAAGAAGAAGAAAATAGAGTACAATTATGTCTATGGTTTTCTGGCTCTTTATGGAGCTATGTGTTTCGGTGGATTTACACTGTGTAATTTCGAATTACCGTTCATGCAAGCCATAAATTATTGCGATGACGACGTTCTATTGTATAACATTCATGCTGACATCGTATTATCTTTTATCATCTGTATGGGCAGGATCTACTAGGGCTCTAATTTCAATCAGACTTTTAATGAAATAGATTCAGTAAACAATGATAATTACATTAGAACATTCACAAACTCACTGCAATATATGAAGACTTATACACGTTATTTGATTATTACTTCAAGAACAAGGATATAGTAGACAATAGAATATATAGACAAGTCATTGAATTGATTTACACATATCAAAAGAAGAAAATGCAAATGCCATTACAAAGGAATATCAAAAATAAGGTAGATGTAATTGAGACTGAGGAAATGATCATAATGAGAGACAAAGTAGCTGAGATTAAGAGTTGTTTGGAGAAGATCTAGAGTAACGTAGAGAGAGATGTCAAGAAATGCCATGATAAATTCATTGGTATTTTTGATGCAAATTTCAAAAAACAAATGAGAATCATGATTTTTGTTATAATAACATTTGTACCATCCTTATCAACAAAGTAATATTATAGTTATTTCTATTAGAGTGTACAAATATCTTAGTTAAATGATGTGATTTAAATTATTATAGCTATATAAATATCATTATTTAATAATATTCCATAAGTCACTTAAACTAGTATTTTCAGGCAGTTTCTAAATGGCCAAGCCTAACTCATCAGATTACACGATATCATTTTGAGTGTCATTGTTTTCATTGGCTCGATATCGAGCAGCTTGATTGTAGACACTCTCCACAACTTATACTTTTTCCTCGAATTTCTGAACAGTAGGTTGGAGCTTCTCTTAAATTTCAATTCCATAAATGGGATTTTCAATATAGAATGAGTGCAATTTAATACATTCTTTAATCATGCTATCGATTTCGTTATTTCTGTAACCCACAAAATATCCCCCAAATTCTTAATAAGTTTCAACTATCATAGTATAGAAACCTTTGGTAGTTTTCTTACTCGTCTTCTTGACTGCAATCCAAGGGATGCTAATGTTAAACAGGTCATTCGTGGCTGAATACCATACAAATCGAATGTTGGTAAATATAAGAGTACCAGAGACATCCTGTTGATCATTTGCCACGCTGATTGTATTGTTATATTGGTTAATTATTTATTCTTTTTCTGAGAGATTGAGTTTCTTTTGTGAAATCATAGCGAATTGCACTTTGATTTCTCGATGTAACAAGGTTTGAGTGTAAAGTCTATAGATATTGACTAAGGACTCGTAGAGTTTTTTGTCTGAACTATGGAAATTGAATTCATATTTTTATCCAGTAGCTAGTTTGGTTCGAAAGAGAGTTCCAAATGTGCGATTATTGTTAGTGATTTTCTGCTCGATGTGGAATATAGTGCCTAAGCCAATGCTGAGATTGACACTGTTATTGCGTTCACTCCACCACAAGATCCTTACGTTGGTGATTACTAATCGACCGAGTTGATCGGGGTTTCCTTTGATGTCTTCAACATCTTACCACATGAAGAGGGTTTTTTCACCTTTCAGCATGTTCAATTTGGAGACAGTAATGTCGAAATGGATGCTGCGATCGTACAGAAATTCTTCACACATAATAAATATTTCATATTTAAATATTCACAAATTTAGGATGTACTCTCTTATACAATTGGAGACTGATGACATCATTGGGTTTGACGAAGTTATTGAACATGCATTTCATTAGACCATGTGTGCCTAAGGGTTCTAGGATATTTCCCTAAGAAATGATATGAATGAAGTACTCGCAATCCCAATTTCGTTGATAATTCAATAGGTTTGAAGAATTTGATATCATCTGGATTGAAGAACATCATTCTGATGACAGCTTTCCTCTTGTTTATTTTGACTGGATATCCAGTAAGCACAATTCTCTTGAGGATTACTTGGAAAGTGTCACATCTCTGAATGTCTCCAACTCCCATGATTTCACCTCCTCTGAAATCAAAGTCATTTTACCAAAAGATGACAGGTTGTTGTGGGAATGAATTATAAAAGTAGAAGGATGCCAGATAAAATGTGTCATCCTTGATTTCCTTTACATACTTGGTCTTACTGCAATTCTAAATATAGGATGAGTATAAATTACATTAAGAATACGAGAATAGATTGGATTGATGTGAGCTCTTCTGAATCCAATTTAAGCAAACACCTGATGTTTGGACTTGAGAACACAGTTATGCATCTAATGTCTATGAAATCTCACATGCATTTGTGTCATCTTCCTTTCATGTTTCAACAACCCGGAAATAACATATATCTTGTTTGGTTGAGTGAGTCTTTGCACTATCAATTCAGGTACATTCTTCAATGTAATTTTGATTCTCTATCCTGGCTTTATTTATTCACTCTACTTCATTTCCTCCAAGACATCTGACTTAATCTTTTTCAGGAATCTGAAATTGTAGATTTTCTCAGCCTCATCTGGTAAGAAAGTCAGAGGATCGAATTCACTAGTTCTTATGTTCTTCAAACCTTAATATTGATCGTATCGTTCTCTCAATTTAACCTCCACTCCATATTCAACTTCGTCCTCATAATCCAAATCTTCAGCGTCTCTATGCACTATCTCAAATTGCTCTCTCTTCTTTTGAGCTTCCTCCTCAAACTCTTTGTCTAGATCTTCATAACTAACATCACTCTCCTATTCAATCATTTATTCCTCCTCTTCCTACAATTGCATTCCTGCTATGTCCTTCAATAGATCATCACAATCTCCAATATCATGCTTCTTATCCCTGCATATAGGATCCAGGGATTCCGGTTAGGCTGATTCAAATACTTACTCAATCATCCCCAGTAACTCAATGCGTGCAATTTGGAAATCGTCTACTCCTGTGATATGCACTAACTAATCTGCACTTAAACCATTCTATCCTCTCCATGTACCTGTGATGCTCAACTCTCCATTCACATAAGCCAAATCATCAGGCAACATGTATCCACGAGTGTCTCTCCATTCTACTGCTTACTCATGCAATACTACGACACTCCTCATCAAAGTAGAACAATCGTCAACTATATGAGATCCAGGAAATTCACTCTCAAAGTATCTTGTGAACAACTTCTTAACTACGTTCTTCTTGCTCTGACCTATTTCATCCAAATCCTAGATGTAGCACACCTATTAAACTAAACCCTGGGCTCTCAAATTGCTAAGCAACTTATAACCCTACTCATCAAATGCATTAGCATTGCTATGAGGATCCAAACTTATTGTGTTTGTATTGCAATCTCTGCAAGACAAAACTGGACATACTATGTCTGCCACTTTACATGCATCTAGTATTTACTCAGGGTTTCTATCTAGGAATATAAATCTTAAAGGCTATTTTACTAATTTCCCATTTGCCTCTACATTCAAAAAACAATCCTAAGTGCAATAGGAACTTATGCCCACTGACTATATGTTGAGATGCTACATTAATTGAAATCTTTATATAATCACATCTCATACTTTAATGCAGCTAAGTTGGCTTATTAATTCATTGGAAACATGGCTATGAGTTTTGTGTTCACTGTCTTAACAACTTTCACCTTCTACTCCTAATTCTTTGCTTATTTCTCAATCTGAATCTCCTATTGAGCATCCTTACTTTTCGTTTGTTTGATCTCTTGCTTCTTTATTTTCTTCTTCAATTTGCCCTCACTCTTCTATTTTGCTCTACGCTTCGAATCCCCCTTGAATGCCTTATTTCTCTACGATGGATGACCCTTAGGCATAATTAAAATGATTTAAAAATAATTAAATATTTAAACAATCAAATATGAAAATATATTTACAATCAATGAGATTATCAATTATAATTCAATACACTAATTTATTGTCCACCCATCTCCCCTCCATCATCTTTCCATCCATTCTATAAAACACCCCTTTCCCGTTTACTAAATCCCTCTCAAACTACCCTACAAATCTCTCCCCATTCGTTAAATGCAAACTTCCCTATCCCTCCTTGTTATCCATCCAAAAATTACCACTATATTTTATCCAATAACTATAATTATCACTACAACTCTTACTCCTCCACATAATCAAAGTCCCTATAATCAAAGGACTCCTCCAACATCTAAGGATGCTCATTATACAAAGTCCCAAAACCGTGAAATTGATCCTCGTTCCACTTCCCCTCATATGCCGGCTAGCCTGTTCCATAATATAATTTTCCTACGAATAAGAATAAACAATTACCTTCCCCATGCATTTTATTCTCCTTCCATTCTCCATCATACAACCCACCATCCTGATAATAAAATCTTCCCTATCCATGTCTCATCCCATTAATTTTCATACCCTCATAACGTGATCCATTTCCATAATGTTCCACTGCAAACTCGGCCCCCTCAGCTTTTTCAACTTTGATTTGAGAAGTTTCACATGGCAAACTGAACTCTTTTGTTATCGTATTCTTAATCTACTACGGTAAGTTGGTAGAATCACTTAAAATTTTGGAGGATTCAAATTTTCCTTATCTCTAAGTATTTATATCTTCATCTTGTTAAGCGTCTAAATTCACATCGAATTTGGAATGTTTACTACACATTTCTGAAGGGAAAATCTTGGATAAAAAATCACATTAGTCTTATGATACTGGAAATACTTAAATTGGCAGTATATTTGACTCTGTCTATTAATTGACCTATGCAGATTTCGAATTCTTTTAATGCCTCTATTACTTTGGAGGAAGAGAAATTTATTGAATTGAGCTTTTATTACTAAGGATAGATTAATCTGTTGTGGTTGTAGTTGTTATTATTGCATTATTTTTATTAAGTGTCTGTGGCTGATTGTTTTTATTTTAGTATTCATAATTTATCTATCTCGAACTAGCATTTTAACTTTGAGTTTTTTATTTTGGAAGTGAACTATCTCTTGTTTATAATTAGACTTATTAGATTGGAATAGTATATTTACTGACTGGTGTGGAGCTTCGTTAGGATGAATTTGTTTTAATAGTGTATTGATGAGCATATTCGATAGGCGATATAGTTTGAACTTGATTTATTCTCCTTGATTGATTATTTTATGTATTGTATGCAAATTCCAATTATAATGAGTTTGAATTTGGTTAATGGATTGTCTCCATCTATCCTATTGGCTAAGCTTGTATTGCCTATCTTGGAACTACATTTGGTACTTGTTATTATGAATAATATGACTTCCCTTATTAATTAATAATTTGTTCCATTTAAATTAGATCCGGTCTTTAGTCTTCTTATATAATGAGCATCATTGATATCAAATCACAATATTATTATCCAAATCGAGTTCTTAATTTTTAGAGTTTTATAGTCAATTGGTCTTCCAAAAATTTGCCTTGGATGTAATTGTAACAATCACTATTGACTTGATTCAAGCTTAGGTGTAAGAAAAGCATCCCCAAAGTAAATAAATCGCTTTTATATTAATTATGCTTCGGCCACCAATTATTTGTCCTGATTGTATTAACTAAAGTGGGGGACAAATAAATTGACTCCATGCAATTAGGATTCTGTAATTGCAGAACATAATTTGTATTCTGTTGGAAATACTGAGGATCACTTACTTTCACAACCCCATTCATTAAGAATAAATACCTAAGTTGTAAAGTATTATGCGAAATTTAATTTTTTTGCATACATGCCAATCCAGATATTGCTTGCCTCAGATAATCAATTAATTGAATTTCATTAATGGTCTATACTCTTTCTAAATTACTTTAAGGATATTCAAATAGTAAGTTAACCTTGTAAAACTATCCACATAGTTATTGTTCAAATTCATAAAAGTAATTGTTGAGATTTAGAACATTAGGATGATTAATCTTTTATCTACTCTAAAACTGATGAATAGTCTTCTTAAAATGATCTTCATCTGTAATATTGATGGCACGTAAGATTAATTATTAATGAGGATCATGTTTATGTTATAAGATCTTGCATTCAGGGAAATCTGAAGATAATGGTATCAATCTTTACCATTATTATGAACATTGATCTAGGTATAATGCTCAAAGAGTTTGTTAATTGGCTTTGAATCGGCGGCTCCCATTTGATTTTCAAAAAATAATTAACTGTCTATATATATTAATCACTCATTTTAAGCAAGTTTATCTTGTGCTATCCTAAACAGTCTTTAGGCAAGCTCAAAGTTTAATGCTTCTTCATCTGGCAAGGTACGTAGACGCTACTCGAAATAAACCGAGTCAGGTTCAAGGTGTGGACGATCATAGTATTCCATTTCCTTTTCACTTAATTTTCTATCCAATTCGCTTTTCAAGATGTATGGTAGATTGTTCACTTCCTTTTGCACTATTGTCATAACTTCAGCATGTTTATCCAGCCAATATTTTTCTTAGAGCATTCTCAAATACTTTAATGAATAATCTCATCTTTTACATGTATTTCTGCATAGTTTTACATAACTTCATTCAGCTTCTTTTTATCTTCCGAAGAGAGTTTGAATGTGAAACGATGTTTATTACGATGATCTTCGTAGAATTTGGTCAATAATTTGATTCTCTTAGCATCTAGCCAAGGATGTATAGACCCTTCTCCTGTAAACTCAGGGACATATATATTTAATCCCCTGAAACGTCTCTTTTCCTTTCTAGCCAATAACTTTTGCTTGAATGTTTTGTGCACCACAAAGGAGAATTTAGGCGTGAAAAATTACATAATTAATTTTTATTAATATTTGATTTCGAATCCAATTGTGTGTTGACTGATTAAAATACAGAATTCAAATATCGAATCATCAAGCTAATTGCAATCTCTTGGATATTTGTTCATTCATTCTTTGCAATTGTTCACTTCTCACATAAAACGTACTCACTTTCTTATCGAATTCCTGTTGTAACTATTTTATGTTTATGCAATTGTCATTCCTTTCTATAGACGTAAGACCTGCAATATAATCTGTAATATCTTTAAGTTATTTCTTTAGATTCTATCCAAACTGCTTTCTGAATTACGAATCCACAATCTTCTCACTCTCCAAAAACACATTGCATACATTATTCACCTAAGCGAACTTATTACCTATTGAATTGAAAAATCCCTTTACTTACTGCTCTGCACTCGTTATAAAGGCATTCACACCAGAATAATCCTACAACAGCAAATCAAGTTTCTGTTTCAATAGTGTTATCTCAGATTCTCGAATTGTTGTTATCATTTTTTAGATTTCGTAGATATTCTTAATACTCTTTAACATCATTAAGGCCTTCTTCACAATTATCATTTCATTCACCTACACCAGCGAACAAAGATCACTTAATAACAATTCCAACATCTGATATTTTGAATCGAAATCATTCTAACTAAAAATTTAATGCTAATATAAGTAAGCATCCTTTTAACCAATCACATACATTTTGTTTATCGTCTATAAATTATTATTGCCAATCATGCTGGACAAACAAACCAAACTTTCCAAGGATTTTCTTAACTAATCAGAAATCTTTGTAATTTAAGGTTTTTGTAAAAATGATAAATCATTGCATTCACTCTAAAATTTCCTCTGCGTCTCCATCAAACTATCCATTAATTGCAAGAGATCCTTTTCTAAATTTGATAACATAATCTAATCCAAATTGATGACTCGATGTTTTTCAGGCTCTGCCAAAAATTCATCAAACAATTAAGGCTCCTCCAATATTTAAACAGGCAGTTCTATGGATTATCGATAATCATTTGATTTAAAAAAGAATGGATTCGATTTAAATAGCCAAAATGCATCTACCTTTTATAGATCCCTCTAAATTTGAGAACTCATTCCTTCGAGAGATATTAAAAAATGATCCAGTCTCTCTCTGTCCTTCATCGGAAATGCTGTGTAAATACTCTTAACAGGAAAAAATTAACCATATCTTTGAATAAGAGATCTCATCGGATGTTTGTAAAATACCTTTCTATTCTTACCTTGTTATTGCACTTCCAATAGATTTCTATAATCTTGATTCCCCCTCTCAAAATCTATGATCTTTTGATAAGCTAATGTGAATGTTGATATAAAGTTCTCTCTGTCTTCATTGCTTTTGAATTGTTATAACAAATTTTTTAGTGAAATGTATTATTACTACTTTTCTGCAACCTCCATAAACTCCTTATCCTTAGTGATTCTCTGTATTTTGCTTTGAGCTTACTATCTATCAAAAGAGTCATCCAGAGTAAACTAAACCTTCTTTTAGATCTAAATTTTTTATTGCTTTAATTCTTCGTTTTGGTTTGCCACTTCCTTATTAGTCGGTGACTGAATCACTTACTAGGATGTTATTGTCTCCTTTTGCTCAACTATATAGTAATCATTGCCTTAGGCAGATTACCTCAACACTGAAGAAAAATATTACTAAAAGTATTATATAGTATAACATACCATGTATTCTCTAAGATCTTCATAGAATTTCCTTGTAGTTTGTAAAATAGTGGTAAGTCTTTTTATATACCTTTGTTATTTTAATAATTGCGCCTTCATAATCTCTATTCTTCTCTGATGAAAATCATCATTAATTTCTTAAGGCTCTATTTGTAACTTCCCCTTCTTAACATCGTTAGTGCTAAAAAACAACGCTCTTGAATTTTTCATTGGAGGCCTGTCAAGGGATATGGCTATTTTGAATTCATCAATTTATGCCAAATCAGTTTGCAGATCGACTAATTTATTTGTTAACTATTTGTTCTTTTTTTCTAAGTTTTTGATATGCTTATATCTAGAATCATTTATAGTGAATATATTCTTTGATTGTTTAGTCTCAAATGGCCTAGAACTCAAATATTCTTAACTACTGCTGGTTTATAATTTCATATATTAATATATATATATAATATATATCATTTTTTGATACTTGGAAGCTTGAATTGCTTTTTAATATCACAAATGCTTTTTGTGGTTGGAGTCTTGGATTTCAGGACGGGCTTTTTTGTAATTTAAGTACATTCTAATATAGGACTTTTGGAATCAAAATCTACTGATTTCTTTATTATTAAGGTTGAAGCTCCATTTTAAATTTATTATCTTTTGAATAAATTAGTTTAACTTTAATTGCTATTCTTGATTTTGCTGAGTGGATACTTTTTTTTGTATTTATTTAAGTAATCATTTAAGTCAATTTTATTTATTTCCAAATCGTCCCTCTCTTAATCCAACTACAATTGTCTTTACTTTTAATCATTCTTGAAGATGATTTCCTCTTTTTCCATCATCTCTTGGTCTCTCTTATTCAATAAATTTTCATCATTTGGCTTCAATAATTCCTCTTTGGTTTACTGAATCATAAATTAAAAAGAACGAGATCCACTCAAAATACAATCCTACACAGCTTCATTAAACATATTTAAAATAGTTAGATCATCACTATCTATCTTTTTATATAATAATGGTAAAATCTACAATCATTTTAATTGATACCTTTATTAATCTCATTCTGACATTCACAATAGGATCTTTTGAAAATATCAGAATATCAAAGAATTCATATTGCTTGAATAGTTTCTTAGAAATGCATTCTGAAAATGATTCAACAATGTTGATAAAGGTGATTCGATTACAGTAACTATCAGACTTAAAATAAATTTCAAACAATTGATTGATCCAGTCCTTTCTCTTTCTCAAATCTCCATACTGACTCAAGTATTAAGCAATATTATCACAACATAACTTTTTGGTTTTGGGAATACCCTTAGCAATTACAGTAATCATCGCATTCATAAACATATTTACATCACTGAAAATCTACTGGCATTTTTTGAATTGGTCAATTAATTCTATTTAGAAATCCCAAAGATTTCTTGTAATAAGACTATTCAGTAATTCAAGTGCTGGTTGACCAAATTGCGGTTGTTACTGACTAAGCATATTATGAACATAATACTTATTTTTGGAAAGAGTTAATAATAGAGGCAAATCTCAATATCAGAATTTCCAATATTGTAACACTCTTAGATTTTATGAAGTTCATGAAAACCTAAAACAGTATCTCAGTATTCTCAGAAAGTAGTACAACTTCATGGAAACAATTGATTACAGTTCTTACAATAAATTCATTGGTATCATTGCAACATTGTAAATAAGATTCTTAAAAGTATTCAAATTTCTTAGCTGCCAAAGATAAAAGAGCAGGGAAATTGCTTATAAAGTTGACTCTAACATCAATGTTCTTACTCTTAGCATATGACATGTAAATGTTAAGAAAAAGTGTGAATTACTGTTAATTCAAATGATCTTTTATCTAATTATAAATTAATATATGTAATTACAAGATGGAATACACGTCCACACATTTTGGACATTACCAACCTATTCTCCTCATTTTGACTTTGTATTGAATCAATAAACTATTTGGTGCATCTATTTTTAATCTCATCTGCTGACAAATTATTTGCAATTGTAAAAAATAGCTTCATACCTGAACTCCTCACCATTTAATCAGTGTCATAAAAAAGCTCCATTATTTTTTCCATTAAATAACACTCTATTAAGTCACTGGAAATTGATTAGCACACTTTAATCATCACATCATCAGCCATAATCAATCGGATTTCCTTATCATGATCCGAACATAAACTCCTAGCTCTATCAAGTATTGGACCTTTGATTTCATTTCCAAGAAGCTTATCTATTAAATGTACATTACTTAAGCCAAAGTGCCCATGAGTTTGGCAGAGCTTTAACGAGACATTGAAGGTTGGGAACTATCTGTTAAAAGTAATATCAATTATTAGATTGGAATGAGAATATTATTTATACCAATTGCTCTTAGGAGAGTATCCATTGTTAAGACCCATTCATTCAAGACTGGAAGAGACCAAATCTTCAATATTTGAGTTGTCAAATCATAGATTTGTAATAACTCCTCATTTGAGAGGGAATTCTCTTTTATTAATTTCTAAAGGGATTTAGCTGCAATAATTTAATTATCTTCTTCTTGTTATTAGATTTCTTCGCTTGAAATTGTAGAATTAATATATTTACATTATAACTTAAAAAAGAAATTCAAAAGCATTAGGTTCCTTTAAAATCTTGTGTAAATTAGAATAAATCTAGAGATAAACCACAATAATCTACAGCTTTCTTCTGCAACTATTATCCCTTCGTCAAAATATAAATGGATCTTTAACATTCACTTAAATCTTCTTCCAAAGTCAACTTCTTCAACTCATCTTCACTCTAATATTTATGCAGAATATCTACTTTAGTACTAGTTTTATACTCCTATTCTGGGAAAAACATATAGATTTAAATATTAAAAATAATAATGAAAAAGGTTTTATATGTGTAAATTCACACCGATATTCACCTATTTGATTATTCTTCTCATTGAAATTGTATCATACGTATCATATTCTATTTTCAGATTCAAATTGATTACCTCTTTCTTATCCTTTGATCAATACCCTTGATATTTAGTTTAGTATTTCATAAATTTTATTGCCAATTCATTTTTTCAAACTTTATGTAATTTTGGATTTCTCAAAATATTCCTTAACAAACCGTCCATTTTCATTCTCTTACTGAAACTATTTAATTTTTGGTTTCAATTATTCAATTTCTCCTAAGCATTATATTCGCTAACTCTAAAGTTATTTTAATTGCTGAACTTTAATAAACATTTTGACTTATATATTTTTTTTTTAGTTTTCTACGATTCATTTCAAAATAGTCACAACTAATCCTCTACATAGCTGATCCCTCTACTAAATTGGTTAATATAGAATGATTTTTGACTTTATTTATCAAGGTCTACCTCTTGATTTTGAGTTTATTCTATTATTATTCTACAATATAATCAAACTGATCCTTGTATTTCAATATACCCAAATCATTCATCATAATAATACGAGACACACAAATCAAGGATTGGTGAAAATGTGATGCCATTTTTAAAGAGATTAATAATTCAAAGTTCAAATTGTAAGGATTTTTTAAAGGGCACTTTCAAAATTGTTACTCTTTTTGCAGAATATAAGAGGAATTATTTTGTACAAATTTTAGTGATGTTTCCTTCTTTGTAAAGATGTAACTTATCTTATTTGTGTTTCATGAATACATATTATTATTTCTTTTTTATCTCAAATTATTCTAAACTCTCATCATAATGAATATTCTCTAAAATTTTCTAATACTAATAATTTAGATTTATTTCTTAATTCATTTGATATCTGATTCATACTTTTTAGATCTTACTCACCAATGACTAAACCCAATTTTTTTCGATACAAATTAAAAATTCTTTATTCATTAGCCTTATTTTAAAAGAGCTTCCATTTTAATTTTTAATATTAATCATATAACATATCACACCTTAAGAATATATTTCTCTCTATTAATCATTTCTTCATAAGCATCTTAAATGGTCTTAGAAACCCCTCCAAACCATTTCGAATTTTTTACTCCCTCTATATTTAATCTCTTTTCTGGATTTGGATTTACCATTCCCAAAAAGAGTTCCCTATAATTAAATTGTATAAGTACTTGAAATCGAACGAAAACTCCATTTTTTACGAATGAATTTCCCAAAATTATTTGTAATTCTCCTAGATGATCAAATTGTATAATGCATCCTATTAGTTAGCTTTCGAAAATGGGGGCTAACCCTTATACATAATGAATAGAATGACTCCCAATGAAAAAACATCTGCTTTAACTCCATCATATATTGCTCCATACAATACTTCTGGCGCTTGGTAATCTTGATAAATATTGATATATAATACTCTTAGTTCCAACCTTAGTTTTCAATTTGCCATCCTTATATTTATTCAAATATGAGGCGCATGCAAAATTACATAGTTTTAGATTAAATTTTCTATCTAATAATATTGACTCTAATTTTAGATTTCTATGAACAAATCCCTATCCATGCATGAACTCTACCACTTGAGTCAATTGCTTAAAGTAATAGCGACACAGACTCTCTCCAAAATTACCAGTCTTAGCTATGAAATCAAATAAATCTCCTTTTTCCAAGTATTCCAGAACTAAGCAGTCCATTGTTATAATTTCTCCTGAATCTCCCTATAAATAGAAAATTGAATTTTACCTTGAATTTCATCTGCAAATTCTTCCTTAAAGTGATAATATTGGAATGACTCAATTTTTCCAAAATTTTTGCTTCATTGTGACATCTTATATCACTGGCAGGACAAGTATAAACTTTAATGGCATAATAAACTTATGAAGTTACATCCTACACTTGATACACACTTTAAAATAACTAAGATTAATACTCTGCCATGGATCCAGTTCCTAATACCTTCAAGAATCGATATTCATTTATCACGGCACCAATTACTTGATCCATAAATTTAAAAATAAATTTTGCTTACACATCATATCATTTTTAAATACTAACAAAAAGAAGAAATGTTATAACTTTTTAATTATTATTAAAATATACTATGAATAATCAAAAATCAGATGACGAAAAATACAAAAAATTTTAATGCAAAATTTGCTTAGATTTAGCTACAGAACCAGTCATCACTCCCTGTGGTCATCTTTATTGTTGGTAGTGTATATATACTGTAAATCTTTCAATAATTTTATTCTAGTGGGCTTAAAAGAAGAATCCATTACTATGTCCATATTGTTCCAATGTCTTTGAATTAGACAAGGTCACCACTATCTTCACAGGGGATTCACAAGAATCAAAGAAATCAGAAATTCCAAAGAGACCCACAAACCCAAGACAAGAGTAGACCAACTAATAATAACAATTCGGAAATTTTTAATTTGGCTTTGGTTTTGGAATGCCATTCATGATGATGTCCAATTTCAATTTTGGATAAGGACAATAAGGAAATGCAAAAGGTTTTATGTTAATATTCTTTCTTGGATTTATAATGATGAATTTGCTTCCCATCCTCAATTTCGATTTCTATTTCCCAGGAACTTCCCAATAATCATAAAGAAGGTCAAGGAGACATCAAGACACATTCGACGATTATTTTACAATTTTTGGTATTGGCTTAGCCATTACTCTTGGATTTGCTGGCCTGAGCTATTTGGCTAAAAGGATTTTGAACAAATGAAGAATAAAAAATTTTCATGTTATGCTATCTCAATATAAATTAAACTTTACATTTCACGTATTAAATAATTTTCATTAATTTTAATGTTATAAATTGTTTAAATATATTGTGTTGAATTTCATCACAAACTGTTTTACCTTCTGCATTAATTGGAGGTCTTCATATAGCAAAGTTCTAAATCTTAAAATTTTTTCAATTTTCAGTAAATTGTTAATTGATGTCAGAAATTCATAAAATAAATCATTGAATCCAACCAAAATTAACACAATCAAATTCTTCATATTCTGGAGTTGTTTGCTATCCCAGATGTTGTTAGAACCCTAATTTTTTCAAAATTACTACACTGCAAATCAGCGTAAAGAAAGATATAAAAAATTTATTTCAAAAATTGAAATTGTATGTTGAAGAGGACCATTAATATAATTTTACAAAAGAATAATTAATATATATTTATAGAAATCAGGTATCACAATTCGAATTAAGATTTTAATGACTTCTTCTCGAGTTTTCTGACTTTTTTCAATAACTTCTAATACTTGTTTAGGTAAGTTTAGAAATCAATCTCTTTATTCTTTTTTATTTTATTTATTATGGATTTAATAACTTTATTTATCTCAGCCTGGATTTCTTATTTACTTCTCATCAAATTAAATTTTAAATTATTGATTTTTTTACAGTATTTGAATTTTATGTATTAATTTTTTATACTCCAATAAATTTTCAGATGTTTAATTTTAATAATTTATTANTACTATGAATAATCAAAAATCAGATGACGAAAAATACAAAAAATTTTAATGCAAAATTTGCTTAGATTTAGCTACAGAACCAGTCATCACTCCCTGTGGTCATCTTTATTGTTGGTAGTGTATATATACTGTAAATCTTTCAATAATTTTATTCTAGTGGGCTTAAAAGAAGAATCCATTACTATGTCCATATTGTTCCAATGTCTTTGAATTAGACAAGGTCACCACTATCTTCACAGGGGATTCACAAGAATCAAAGAAATCAGAAATTCCAAAGAGACCCACAAACCCAAGACAAGAGTAGACCAACTAATAATAACAATTCGGAAATTTTTAATTTGGCTTTGGTTTTGGAATGCCATTCATGATGATGTCCAATTTCAATTTTGGATAAGGACAATAAGGAAATGCAAAAGGTTTTATGTTAATATTCTTTCTTGGATTTATAATGATGAATTTGCTTCCCATCCTCAATTTCGATTTCTATTTCCCAGGAACTTCCCAATAATCATAAAGAAGGTCAAGGAGACATCAAGACACATTCGACGATTATTTTACAATTTTTGGTATTGGCTTAGCCATTACTCTTGGATTTGCTGGCCTGAGCTATTTGGCTAAAAGGATTTTGAACAAATGAAGAATAAAAAATTTTCATGTTATGCTATCTCAATATAAATTAAACTTTACATTTCACGTATTAAATAATTTTCATTAATTTTAATGTTATAAATTGTTTAAATATATTGTGTTGAATTTCATCACAAACTGTTTTACCTTCTGCATTAATTGGAGGTCTTCATATAGCAAAGTTCTAAATCTTAAAATTTTTTCAATTTTCAGTAAATTGTTAATTGATGTCAGAAATTCATAAAATAAATCATTGAATCCAACCAAAATTAACACAATCAAATTCTTCATATTCTGGAGTTGTTTGCTATCCCAGATGTTGTTAGAACCCTAATTTTTTCAAAATTACTACACTGCAAATCAGCGTAAAGAAAGATATAAAAAATTTATTTCAAAAATTGAAATTGTATGTTGAAGAGGACCATTAATATAATTTTACAAAAGAATAATTAATATATATTTATAGAAATCAGGTATCACAATTCGAATTAAGATTTTAATGACTTCTTCTCGAGTTTTCTGACTTTTTTCAATAACTTCTAATACTTGTTTAGGTAAGTTTAGAAATCAATCTCTTTATTCTTTTTTATTTTATTTATTATGGATTTAATAACTTTATTTATCTCAGCCTGGATTTCTTATTTACTTCTCATCAAATTAAATTTTAAATTATTGATTTTTTTACAGTATTTGAATTTTATGTATTAATTTTTTATACTCCAATAAATTTTCAGATGTTTAATTTTAATAATTTATTAATATATATTCTTTTTCTTCAAGACCTATCATTAAAGCCATCGACTTTGATTCAAAAATTACTCAATTGATGAGACTACCTCAAAAACTATCAATGGGTATTCTATTTAATTATATTAGGATCATTTTCAATTGGGATCTTAAATTAAACAATTTTACTGATATATGCTTTAATTAATGGAAAATAATAAATAATTGTTTCGTAAAATGATAATTCAATAAAAAAAGGTTGTAACTTTAAAAGCTATTAAAGAGGATTCCAAATGAGATTAATATTTATAAATCTTAAATTAATTAATCAATTGCATCAATTCAATTAAACAGTTCATAAATATCTAATAATGTAAAAAGCTATGAATAAAACTGTCATAATTTTTATAATATTTAGTAATTTTTGAAATTTGAGAAATGAATACAATTTTTGTTGATTGTAATAATTATTTACAAAAAAACTGAATATATTTGAATTCATTTTAGTATCTGTAAAAGCATCTTTTTATATCTAGCTACAAAAGCTGGGATGAATTCTTTTTATATATTATTTGCTCTGATATAGATTTGTTATGCCTTGACAAATGGTTCTCTTTAAGTTGCAATAAATTTACGAATGTTTTAGTTTACATGTTACAATGAAAACGATTATGTTATTCTATGATTTACCTGTTATTATAAGGATAATTTATATTTTGGATTATCATAAATTTTATGATCAAACTCATACAATTCTTTGTTCTAGTGATATTTTTCTGTTATTTCAAGTATCTTTTTTGGTAATTTTGGTTGTCTCTTGTATATTGTATTAATTGTTTAAGTTTATTCATGGTGAACTAAATTGAATTCTTTGAATTCTTTAGTTGCAACAAGAGTTGTAAGAATTTCAATAGGATTACAGTTGCTGTACTTAATAATTCTTCTGTCATCATAATACTTCCCATTTGCAATATTGATAAATGGAATATTGATAGATCCTTGAATAGAAGACATAAAGTCTATGGCTTTAGTTGGGAGTGTTTTCTCGAACATAGAAATGAATTCTAATGCTGTAATCCTATAATAAGACTTTGGTGATTCTAAAAATCCGCTGGTCCATTTCTGATGATAAAATTCAGCCTTCTAAATGTTGCCTTGATAAAAGTATGCAATTCCCATGGCATCATAACATTGAATTTCAAGATCTTGATAATCATATGCCCATGAATACATCAAGGCTTTTTAGACTATAAGTATTTGTTAGTCAAATAACTTATACCTATAAATATATTATATTTTACTATTTAGCACATTATGCTAAGGCTAATAGAGTTTTGACCTTCAATAATGGATTACGAGTTAGATTTGATAGTGTGTAGCAATCCTTAAGAAAATAGGTAGCTTTTGAATACTCTTGGCAATCTAGGAAGAAAGTGGCTAAGAACAATATCATTTCTGAAAAGGTTTCAGTTAACTATATTCGCTTATTTGTATTTAAATACATTCTCTTATTATGCCAAAAGCATTGGAGTTTAAAAAAGATTAACAATTCGTTCAACATCTTTTCTTCGAATTATATCCTAAAAGATGAGAGAATTCTCATCAAAAAAAAGAGCTATATTGTATCTCTTGTCATTCTTGTTAAATCTTTACGTGTTGATGAAGGAATTCACTTTTTGTTCCTAAAAAAGGAATCACATTAATTTAATACTCTGCTCATCTGATTTTTTGAGTTCAATGGTGAATGGGGAGTCATGTTTGGGGTTCTGATCTCAAATTCATGGAGATTACTGAAGTCCAGATGCTTTACTGTCTGATCTTGAGTTCTTTCAAATACTGACAAATCTTTTGGAAGTGGGGATGTTCGCTATGAGAAGGATTGTAACTTAGATTAGGGTTTTTACATAGTGGTTGGTCTGCTTGGAGGGCTATTTAATAGATTTCGTAAAACAGAAGACATCTGGCTTTTTCTATAATGCTTGAGTTTTTCCAAGATGTTTGAAGGAGTTGAAGGAGGTGAATAATTGGTTTGCATAAATAATTATTAAATTTAATGGAACCAGATCCAAAATTATTGTCTCTCTTAGAGAAGGTTAATAATCCAATAGAGTTGTTCAAAATACAGATAACTGTGAAAGTAAAGTGGCAATACAATAATTATAAAGGGAGTTTATGGGTTTAGTGAAGATTGGAAATTAACAGATGAAACGAATCCAGGAATATTTGCAAATGTAGTTCGATACTAAGGGGAAGATATGTTTGGCAAGATCAAGGGTCGAGAATTGACAGAGAGAGAGAAATTTGAAGAGTATTAGAAAAATAGTAAAAAGAATAAAAAGGACACTAAGAGTCCAGAGGAAGAAGAATAAATGAAGAAGGCATTGGCATTAGAGGAAGAGGAAGAATTGAAAAAATAATAGCTTTTGGGGACTTTATAAGAGCAGGATAAATTGTTTTTTATTTCAGAGGACAAATTCAAAACCATTAGCATCTAATATGAAGAAACTCATACTATTGAAATAACAAATGTACGTTAATTAGAAGAAGAGATTCTTGAGAACAGAAACTTTATTTATTTTATTAGATAACCTGCAATTACAGAGGAAGAATTAATTAAATTAAGGAAAGGTAAGACTAAAAATCTGAATAATGCTGAATTAACTTCAATAATATTTAAGGGTGCTTTTGATTTATCAGATTTATTAGAGCCGGGCTGTACTCGTACAACTGTGAGAGCATTTTTAAAATAAGAAGAAAATGCAGATTGTCCTAAATACAATTGTGATAAGATGTATGTCAAAGTAGAAATAGAGACAGAACCTGCTCTCACTCCTTTGGTAGAAGATATTCCAAAGCTGAATATTGAACCAATTATTGTTTAAAGAATTCCCAGCAAATTTGAGTGTGTTGGATAATTACAAAGTATTCATTATTTATGATCATTTCTAGGGGACATTAAAGAAGCTATGAAAGCTTTAGATGAAGAATATTCTAAACTTTACCCTAGTGATCAAAAGGTCAAGGTTAGTGCCAATTTAACAGTTTAAAAAAGGCAGGAGTTGTAGAAAAAGAAAGAATCTTTTCTCAATGAAATTAATTAATCAGGAAAATATAAAATCCTCTAGGATAGATTGAGATCATCTATTATTAGAGTTTGCATTGATAAATTTGCTAAAGAAGGGTTGTTTGTGGGAGTGAATAAAGATGAATAAGACAGACTGTTTGCAGAACTTTATGTTTTTATGATGGAAGAAATGCAAACAACACTTGGTGAATATGTCCTAAATAATAAAGAAGATATTCACGAAGACTTATACTAAACTTATGATCAAAATCAAAGGGATAGAGATGTTGTGTTTCAATCTTTGAAAGAATAGGCATTTAAGAAATTCAAACGATTTGCTGAACAATATGAAACGATCAATCAAGTTGATTAAGCTCTGAAATACTATACAAATATGGTCTTAGTAGATCCTAAATCAGCAACTATTTTTGCTAAATATTGTTTTAAAATTCAGAGATTTAAAGCAGCTGAACAATTAATCTAGATGGTCAGAGAACTTGAATGGAATAAAGAAAATGAATTATTGATGGCCTGTCTTTATATAAGAAGAGAAAGATTTAAAGAAGCCACAAATATTGTTTAAGCCTTACTATCAAAGGAACCAATAAATACACTTTTCAATCTACTTATGGCGTTCATTTACAAGCAATAAGGAAATCAAAATATGGCAGACAAATACCTAAGATGCACATAGAGAATTTTTATGAGAACCATGGGCTTGTTAACAAAAGGGTATGATAACTAATTTTTATTCAAGATTTCCAAAGCAATAACCTGATCCTCATGTGTTACCAAATTTCAAATAATAAATGATAGAACAATAGGAAAAAGCTAAGAAAGCCCCAGTTTTGACTTAAGAATAAACTGATTAAATACAATTAGAATTAATAGAATATTTTGCATCTCGTAGCTTATTTGATTTAGCTGAAAAAGCCCTTGTAAATATAAAAGACAAAACAACTTAAAAAATTAACATAATCAAAGCTTAGATTCATATTTTCAATGAAAACTATTCAGAAGCTCAAAGTCTAATTCAAAAAATCTTAAACTAAAACCCAAAAAATTATGAGGTCTATCTAATTAAAGGTGCCTTGTGCTATTAAACAGACCAGTTTTATGAAGCAGAAGAAACATTTTTGAAGGCTTTATCTATTCAACAAAAAAAATCCTTTGATATTCTCTTAAGATTGGGATATTTGTATTTGAAACGTAAGTCTTGGTAGGATGCTAAGGCTATTTTCGAAAGAGCTTTAGACTAATAGGTTCCTTCAAATAGTTCTTTAACCTGGCTAGGATTAGGAATATCCAATTTGAGATTGAAGGATCCAATTGCAGAAGAATGTCTTTGTCAAGCAAGCATTCATGAACCATTTAATGGTGAAGTTTGGGGATATTAGGCACTTAATTGCTTGTAACAAAAAAGAGGTTAGTAGGCTAAACAGTGCTTGTTAAGGATGGAATAAACAGAAGTAAATGATCTAGATTTATTGATCGAATTGGCTGAGGAGATGAACAAATGCTAAGATTTTGAAAGTTGTAGATAAATATTGATGAGAGTCTATAACTCAAAAGTCAAAATACCTAATATGGGTTAACTCTTAAAAAATTTAGGGTCAGTTCATGCAGAATTAGGAAGAAAAGAGGAAGCCAAACAGTATTATGAGGAGTCATTATAATATTTGGAGAGTGGAAATGAAAAGGCTAAAGTAATTTAGGAAATGAAGCTTTTATGAAGATTTCCAAATTCATATATTTTATCTATAATTATAAATTTGAATAGCTAATTCTTAAAATACCTTGCTTGCTCAAATATTTATTTTTAATTAGGTGTCACAATTTTCTGTATTTTAGTTTTCTTTCTTCAAAGCAATTTCAAATTTCTTTTCAAAAGTGCGCACAAAATAAATTCTATAAGCTTTAAGAGAGATTAAAATATTAGAGAAGAAAAAGAGCTTATATAATAAATATGTATATGAAAAATGTTAAAATATTGAAAAAGACATTGTTATGTTTAAACAGAGATTGTTTTTCGAAATATTAATATATACTATATTTAATAATCCTAAATATTTTGTAATAGAATTAAACTTTTAAAGTAAATTCTAAACTAACATCTACAAGCTGATTAAATTATCTAAAGAATAAGATTGAAAAATCAATAAGAAAATTTGAGAATAGAAGGTAAAAGAACAATATTTTGACTACTAAATTATTCATTCAATAAAAATATTAGATTAAAGAAGTACAATAAATGCTTTTAAGGATAATTATTTAATAAATCCAAGGGGATAACTAATTAAGAGAAATATGCTTTATTTATTGAATGATTTTGAAAGCAAATACTTAAATCTGATAACTAATCTTATTCATTTAAGCTGCTAAATTTTACAAGCTTAGAATAGAACTCTTCAATGTATCTAAGTAATTGAATGAATATAATTCTAATTCTTCATTTAAGTCAGTATGTTTTAAAAATAATAATGATTCATTGATTGCATATGTACATCAATTCAAACAATATAGTGCATTCGCTTTAATATTCTAAAGCGTATCGCTGTAAATTTTAGCCTGCCCTTTTTTCTTGTAGTAGCTTTACTAATAATTAAGGACTTGCATTTGAATTCTCTTTAAAAAATTATTCAATTTATGTATAAATAGTTTTGATTTTAACTGATTTCTTCATGACGCTTAATCTTTGTTTTGCTTTCTCTAATTTTTCATTGGGCACTGGTTTTTATTCATAATTCTAATATAATTAGAAAATATAATACATCTTGTCTTTTATAATTTTTAGCCAAAATGGCTGATTGCAATTTTGTAATAGATTGGGCTGCATCTTTAGCTGATAGTAATTTTAATTATTGCTACCCTAAAGAAAAAGCTTTAATCTTTTAAATTGTTTCATCGATATCTTATTTATAATCATTGCCATCTTCCTATTAGACCCTCTTCATTAAAGAGTTAATAATTTAGAGTTGCTTTGTTGCCTCTTCCTTGATTGTTTTCAATCCTCTAGTACTATCTTCCATAAGTTTTAAGAAAACCTAATTAACAAACTAATATAAATCGTGATATGAGATTTAATATTGTTTAAGATTGATTTCTTCTCCATTTACTTTAATTATCGGAGTTTCTGAGAAAATAGTTTGATTGGGTGCAAGTCTTCTCAATTTTTTTCCATATGGAACCAGAGATACAGGTGGTTCAACTCTAACCAGTTTGTAGAAGATTTCTTCTTTGATTTATTACAATTTGTTTGAGAAATCAACTTTTGAATCTTAAATGTATTCCATCTAAGAACTGATTAATGTTGAATTATGAATCCTATTTTTCAACTCAGCCACAATTGTATGAGAAAATGTTTCCCCTATAGCTAAAGTGAAGAACTTAAATTAATATTCTTGCTCATGAAATAAAGAAAAGTTTTCTGCTAAATCATCTATGTAATCCTCCAATTTATCTTCACCAACTCCATCTGTGATAAATATCACAATAACATTTTTTTTTAATTTTTCACTCTTTACTAATTTGATTAATTCATGAAATCCCAAAGATATATTTGTTCCTTCTCCTTTTTGTTAATTTAATTTAGGATTCTATTATAGTATTGCAGTATCATCAAATTAAATACAATACGAACTTTAGATATCTAATAAGAAATGATTCCAAGCTTTGCATAAATCTTCCCAACATTCACTCATGCTTCCGGATCCATCAATCACACCAACGACAGAAAAATTATCATCCGGTTTTTGATCCACTATTGTATAGAGGTAGAATTGTTTATCCTAATTCATTTAATAATTACTTAATTAAATATAAGGCTGATAAAGTTTAATCTGATGCCTTTTAATAGAATATGTGTATTAAAAATGAGACTAACCCTCATTAAAATCATTATCGTATTAATTTTATTTTATATGGTGATCCACAACTTAGAAATTTTAATAAAAATTATATCTTAAAATATTATAGATGCTTTAATTTACTGTATAGTATGAAGGGAAATAATTTAATTCGGAATGCCAGAGTTATAAAAAGGTTCAAGATTTCATTGATAGGTTAATTTCTACTCTGAAATTATCAATTTAAAATAAGCAATATGGATTATTCATGAATAATAATGAGCTTCAAAGGGATAAAACATTTTTAGATAACAAAGTTAATAGGGGAGCACTTTTAGAATTGAGAATCACTAAAACCTTTGAGTTTGCCTTTCTCAAAGTTAATAGAAATGGGAAATCCTTTTGGCCACATATGAGTCTGGCTGCGATGGCATAAGAATTATATTAAGAGACTGCTAAAGAGTTTAAAATTGCTGAAGATACATTTACACTTTTCTTTTAAGGAGTTCCCCTCGAGAGAAATGTTTAGTTAGCCCAATATAATATAATTGGAAATTCTATTATTAATTGTGAAAATAAAGAGGTCCCAAAATAAGATGATTAGATAATCAACTAATAAGAAAACAAATTGAATGCAAAGAATATTACATAATAATAAAGTAATTAAAGCTAGCCTGATAAATAATAGCCAGAAAAACAATAATAACATTTCATAGTTATTTTAGAATATCGTGGATAGAAATAAGTAATTGAGGCAACTTTAGATACTTATATAAATGAAATCATAGAAATTGCTAAATATATGTACAAAATTTAGGAAAACATAATTCTAAAGCTGAATGAATAAATTTTACCAAATGACTAAAACCTGGAATAATTATAAATCAGGAAAGGCTATACTCTAACAATTGAAATTTAATAATAGTAAATACCATAATAATAAGTACCACAATAATAAATGGCAATATAAAATATCAATATTATTTTAGAGTATCTTGATTAAAAAACACAACTCGAAGTCGCATTAGATACTTATATATAAGAACTAGTAGATACTGTAAAATAATTGTACTAAATTAATGAAAATGTAGTCTTAAAGTTGAATCAATAAATATTACCAAACAACTAAACTCTAGAATAATTACAAATCAAAAAAGGCCACACACTTTCTGCTGAAATTCAAAAGTAGTAAATACCATAATAATAATAAGTACCATAATAATAATAAATACCATAATAATAAATGTCAATATAAAATATCATAATTTTTTTAGAGTACCTTGGTTAAAAAACTCCACTCGAGGTTACTTTAGATACTTATATATAAGAACTAGTAGATACTGCAAAATAATTGTACTAAATTAATGAAAATGTAGTCTTAAAGCTGAATCAATAAATATTACCAAACAACTAAACTCTAGAATAATTACAAATCAAAAAAGGCCACACACTTTCTGCTGAAATTCAAAAGTAGTAAATACCATAATAATAATAAGTACCATAATAATAATAAATACCATAATAATAAATGTCAATATAAAATATCATAATTTTTTTAGAGTACCTTGGTTAAAAAACTCCACTCGAGGTTACTTTAGATACTTATATATAAGAACTAGTAGATACTGCAAAATAATTGTACTAAATTAATGAAAATGTAGTCTTAAAGCTGAATCAATAAATATTACCAAACAACTAAACTCTAGAATAATTACAAATCAAAAAAGGCCACACACTTTCTGCTGAAATTCAAAAGTAGTAAATACCATAATAATAATAAGTACCATAATAATAATAAATACCATAATAATAAATGTCAATATAAAATATCATAATTTTTTTAGAGTACCTTGGTTAAAAAACTCCACTCGAGGTTACTTTAGATACTTATATATAAGAACTAGTAGATACTGCAAAATAATTGTACTAAATTAATGAAAATGTAGTCTTAAAGCTGAATCAATAAATATTACCAAACAACTAAACTCTAGAATAATTACAAATCAAAAAAGGCCACACACTTTCTGCTGAAATTCAAAAGTAGTAAATACCATAATAATAAGAAGTACCATAATAATAATAAATACCATAATAATAAATGTCAATATAAAATATCATAATTTTTTTAGAGTACCTTGGTTAAAAAACTCCACTCGAGGTTACTTTAGATACTTATATATAAGAACTAGTAGATACTGCAAAATAATTGCACTAAATTAATGAAAATGTAGTCTTAAAGTTGAATCAATAAATATTACCAAACAACTAAACTCTAGAATAATTACAAATCAAAAAAGGCCACACACTTTCTGCTGAAATTTAAAAATAGTAAATACCATAATAATAAGTACCATAATAATAAATGTCAATATAAAATATCATAATTTTTTTAGAGTACCTTGGTTAAAAAACTCCACTCGAGGTTACTTTAGATACTTATATATAAGAACTAGTAGATACTGCAAAATAATTGCACTAAATTAATGAAAATGTAGTCTTAAAGTTGAATCAATAAATATTACCAAACAACTAAACTCTAGAATAATTACAAATCAAAAAAGGCCACACACTTTCTGCTGAAATTTAAAAATAGTAAATACCATAATAATAAGTACCATAATAATAAATGTCAATATAAAATATCATAATTTTTTTAGAGTACCTTGGTTAAAAAACTCCACTCGAGGTTACTTTAGATACTTATATATAAGAACTAGTAGATACTGCAAAATAATTGCACTAAATTAATGAAAATGTAGTCTTAAAGTTGAATCAATAAATATTACCAAACAACTAAACTCTAGAATAATTACAAATCAAAAAAGGCCACACACTTTCTGCTGAAATTTAAAAATAGTAAATACCATAATAATAAGTACCATAATAATAAATGTCAATATAAAATATCATAATTTTTTTAGAGTACCTTGGTTAAAAAACTCCACTCGAGGTTACTTTAGATACTTATATATAAGAACTAGTAGATACTGCAAAATAATTGCACTAAATTAATGAAAATGTAGTCTTAAAGTTGAATCAATAAATATTACCAAACAACTAAACTCTAGAATAATTACAAATCAAAAAAGGCCACACACTTTCTGCTGAAATTCAAAAGTAGTAAATACCATAATAATAATAAGTACCATAATAATAATAAATACCATAATAATAAATGTCAATATAAAATATTATAATTTTTTTAGAGTACCTTGGTTAAAAAACTCCACTCGAGGTTACTTTAGATACTTATATATAAGAACTAGTAGATACTGCAAAATAATTGCACTAAATTAATGAAAATGTAGTCTTAAAGTTGAATCAATAAATATTACCAAATAACTAAACCTTAGGATAATTAAAAGTTGTAAAAGGCTCTACTCTAACAGCTGAACTTCAATAATAATAATAATAATAATAATAATAATAATAATAATAATAATAATAATAATAATAATAATAATAATCATCACTAATTTTAACGATTTATCACTCTAATTCTTAACCGCTTTCAGTTGAAGTAGATTAAGATACTAAAGTTTAAGAATTAGCAATAGAATTATAAGATTATTACAAAGTTTCATAAATTTAGTTTACTTTAGAGAATGGATTGGCGTTAAATCATATGTTAACTTTTAGAGAATCAAATATTGTTACAGGTTCTAAATTATATATCTAATCAATCTGCAATACTTCTACTTAAATAACACTTGGAAAGTAAGAAATAATTTTGATTGTTGTATTTGAGAATCAAACTTTTAATATTACTATCTCTAATAATTCTCTTGTAAAGGAGCTTGAAGATATGCTAAAGCAAAATTTCAACATCAATTGTTAAATAAATCTATTTCACAATGATTAAATGCTGAATTCGAATGAAACCTTTCTAAAGTAGCAAATAGTTAAAGGATCAAAATTAGTGGTTAAATAAGCATTATCTTAAAAACCATAGATTCGATTAAGCTTGGTCTATGAAAATAATAGTCCTATTCAAGTCCAAGTCAAGGATGACACTAGGATTAAAGAATTTGAAGATTAAATCATTTAGAAATATCAGTTACAAACAAGTTTGATAACTTATTACGAAGAAAAAGGTTTAGATTCAACAAAAACTTTGTAAGACTATTAAATTAAAGATAATTCGATTCTCTACTTCAAATAATAAGTTAAACTTGTTATTTCGACACACAAAATCACTGATGATTATAATTTTGATAAAGATACAAAAATTGGTAATGTGATTGAAGAAATAAAGAAAAAATCTAATGTGGTTGATCAATTGATTATATAAAAAGAAAATGGAGAAATCTTAAACCCAGATCTTACTATAAAACAATCTGGGCTTTCTGATAACGGGGTCTTATTTGCAATTGAAAAATAAAACAATTAATCCGAATATGCGAAGCCAATAGGAAGAAAGATAAATGTGATATTGGATTACAATGGACAAAAAACATAGGTAGAAGTTTTGGATAACGCACTCGTATCATAGTTAATTGAATAAATCAAATTAAGTTTCTAACTTAAAGGTGAAATCTAACTTAGTCTTGAGGGATAATAAGTTCTATAACCTTCAGAAACTTTAGTCAATTAGAAAGTTTAAAAAGGAAGTCGATTAATTGTTACTCAAAATTTATAAACTTCCTCTCGTTACAATATAAGTAGTGTAATCCTGTCCATCAATTATTAAGGTTCGATTACTTAATTAGAAGTTTAATATGATACTCTTATTTCTGAATTAATTTCTATGATGAAAGAAGTTTTATCAACCAAAGAAGATTTTAGTTTATGCCTTCAAAATTAATAAATTCTGCAACCAAATTTATCTATAGTAGATTTAAATATTGGTAATAGCGCGACATTATATTTAATTCCGATTGCTGTTAACGCCTAGAAACAACCTTCCTAATAATCACCTTAATAGTTTCAGTAAGAAATTTCTTTGAACTTTTATTACTAACTTAATAACTAAAAAATATAGGTAAAATCTAATATATTAGTGAAGTAATTGATTTAAACTATTCAAAACAGTTTCAATATATAGGATAAACTTTAAATAAGTTTGGATGGCAGAATTCCATTGAATGAGGAATTATCTTTGGCTGATTAAAATATTTAGGAAAATAGCACCTTATATCCAATTTTCAACCAAAAACCTCAATAATAATAAGATTAAGAAAATTTAATTTTATTTGTAGAGTATTAGTATTAGCAGAATCAGATTGTAATATCATCTACTTCGTTAGGAAATGAGTTGGTGGAAATGGTTAAATAAATCACTTAAAATACACCAATAATAAATATATTGATTGATGGATAAACTCCTTTGATCTTAGATAAGACTTTGAAAGCTTAGAATTTGAAGAATAAAAGTCGTCTCTAAGTTCAAGTTTAAGGTTAAAAGTTTGGATCACAACAACAATAACAGTTTTAATAATTTGCCAGTATAAATTCATCAAAGCCAAATCAAAATCAGTTGTTTTTGAATCAGTCTAATTTTTCAATACAACCATAAAATATAAAATAATAATAAAATCAATTTTAAAAATTTGGCTCCCCTAATTAGATAAATCAAAAAGAGGGTTCTAATCAAAGTTAATAATCCTTAAATTAATCTGGATACTAACAATAATTTCCCATATAGCCTTAAGCAGGTTTCCCTTAATAATTTTAAAGATTTCCGACACAATTTTAAAAACCCCCACAATTGCCATTTGGTGGAAATCCTTAATAATAATAATTTAACCTTACTTTATCCTAATAAAACAAACCAATTTTAATTTAGCTTAAATACATGAACTAATTTTCAAGATAGGAATTCAATAAAAACAATTAAGTATAGGATATAAGTAGACGTTGCTAGGAAGTATTTAATATACAATAAGATCTAACAATTCAACGTAATGGACAGGATTTGAATTCTTCATAGGTTTTAGAATCATGTGGATTCTAAGAATTTGAAATTTTAGATGTTTTTATAAAGCAATCAGGTCCTTTTTATTTGAGCATTTAAGTGCTAAATAATAATATTCAAGTGGAGGCAGATTTAGATTAATAGATTTTTGAATTTATGGATGAGTTGAAAGTAGCATACAATATCAATTATGCCACAGAACTCGTGTATAATCAAATGCAGTTACTTCCAGACAAGACCTTTAGGCAATAGAATATTCCAAATAACAGTCACTTGATTTTTAGATAAAAACAACTAAATAATAAATTGAAGATTACATAGAGTTTAAATTTAATTATTGTAAAAGTTAAAGATGGAATGAATTTAATCCAGATTGAAATACCTCCTACAGCAAGTGTTCAAGATTTAGAAAAAAAGGTTAAGGAGAAGATTCCAATTAACTTTAATCTTAGATTTTAATTCAACTCGGCGTTCTTGAACCCACAGTTAACTTTAGCTCAATAAGGAATAAACAACAATTGTGAAGTATTGTTGATTCGATGATGAATTTGATTTACATCATTTAATATATATTAAATTCATAAATCTCTGGCATCTTCAAAACTTAAGATAAAGACAGTGTGAGGATAATAGCTGACACCTCGTTCATCTGTCTTAAATTAATAAGAAACTTGGCACGTGAATCCAGAAGCATTCAAGACTCCCTGATGGATAGAAATTATTCCTTACTTTCAGAATTCCACACATAAATTATGCAGGGGATATATGTCCTTCTTCTGAAATATATTTGAGAAGCAATGGATTCTCATCTCTAATAAGATAATCATTTGGTCTATCCTTCAACCTTTCAATTGATTCTGCTTGTCTACCAAAGAGGTGTTTCCAAAACTACGAATGCATATGAGATTTACAATCCCTTAGATGAACCTCAATTGTTCAACTAATTTGGTTTCCCTTTTATTTCTTTCTCTAAGACTCACTACTTCATAAAGTCGGATTCCCACTGAGACTCCTAATTGTTCCATCTTGGAGTTCATCTCATCGTAATCGTTCCCATGTTTTCTCTTCAAGTAGCAAATGTATCTAGATAATGAATGGAAGTACTCAGCAAAGATATAATTGAATGTGCAGAAATTCAATTCAGGCCTTTGTTATCTAATATTCTTGTCAAAAAACTAAAATTTTTTCATGATTATATGAATTAACTAACATTTTCATAATTGCTTTAATGATTCAGCAAATTATTCAATAAGAGTCATAAGATTCTTGCCATTCATACATGTTGCATCAACCAAAGCACTACAAACAAGATAGGGATCCATATTGGCTGCAGGCCTTCGATCCTCCAAATACCTAAAATTACTCAAGTATAAAATACCCCTTGCCTAATTCCTTAGTAATGATTGGTACTCTAATGGAACATCCCCTTGATCCATCACCCCAAGAAAATTGATTATATTCTCCAGTTTCATGTTTACCTGTCAATCTGGCTTCATTATTTAATCCATACAACAACATCATTTTTTAGTGATTCTTTTCCAAAAGAGGCAACATAAATTCTTTGATGTATTCATAACCTCCATTTTCTCTTGTTTTTGTTGTTGAGAAATTGCAATGAGCTCCTGTGCCATTCCAATCTCCTTGAATGGGCTTAGGATCATAGTTGATATCAATGCCAAACTCTTCGCCCAACCTCTCCAATATGTATCTGGCCAACCATAAATGATCTCCTGCCTCGATTCCATGAGCAATTCCAATTTGAAATTCCCATTATGATGGAGCCACTTCTGAATTAATACCTGACAACTTCAGTCCAGCATAGAGACAAGCGCGTTAATGAGCTTCGGATAAGGCTCTTCCAAAATTGTTGCGTTCTCCAATTGAACAATAATATCTTCCCTACGGATATGGAAAACCTCCGACAGGCCATCCCAAAGGCCATAAGTGGGTTGTCCCTGTTCTCTTCAACATAAAATATTCTTATTCAATGCCAAACCAAGGATCGCTGTCACTAGCTTCTTACATTATTTTTTCCGCAATCCATCTAAAATTAAAACGTGCTGGTGTTTTACGGTCCGGCTTGTATGTCTCGCATAACACAAATTTATGTGGGTCTCCACGAAAAGGATCTCTTACCATGCAAACAGGCTTTAAGTAAATCTCACTAAATTTTGTGATTGCTTGATCAGTGGATGATCCATCAAATGTCCACCATTCAACATCATCCAGGCTTTTAATTGGTGTATCGTACACTTTAGTTTTGGATCTCAGCCTCTCTCCAGTACCATCTATCCAAATATACTCAACCAAAACATGTTTGTTTGTGTTTAGTTTGAAATAGTTAAAATCCCTTAAGTTTTCAATTGTTTCAGTCATTGATTAAATATAAATTTTAATAAAATAATTATTTTTATATGATTGACGAACTCATGCACCATATTTAGGAAATTTGCCCACTTAAGTAAGGAGTTCTCTCCAAAGACATTGCAATCTAATCACATTTCGTCTGATATATGAAAACTCATTAATTTGTTCTAATGTTTCAATGTCATCAACTCTCATCTAATAATTTGAATAATGTATAAGTGCAATTTGTTTTCCTTGACTTTCCAATTGCTAATATTTAAATTGATTTCTTGATTAAAGTGGAAATTCTATATCATTATTATATTATTTGATGTTAGATATTATGAAATATATATGATGTAATTTCTGTTTTTATATTTCTTCCAATACTTTTGCTTAATCTTTAAATGCAATAACAATATCAAAATTCTCAAATAATTTATCTTAGTATGAATCATAGCTTGTCAATTGAAATTCTTCATATTATTTTCCAATAACAACTGTTTTAGCACCATAACTTATTTAAGAGTAGACTTGAGCATCATTGTTCAAATTAACTTCAAGAATTTCCTCATCATTTTATTAGTTTTATTGAATCGGATTGATTCCCCCCTTCTTCATTCCCATCAATTCCAGTAGAAAGTCCTCTTATTCTTAGACCACAATAGTAGTGTTGCCCTTTTTGATGAAGTCTTGGCAATCCTAATCGATTAATAGTGCCACCTTGCCCTTCATATTAATTATAAATAATAATAAAGGTATGAAGCTAAGCTAAGTTGCACCGATGCCAATAAAAGTAGATATACATCTAATAGTAGCAAGAAGTTGAGGACTTCGAGAATAGAGTAACCCTGAGATTGTATTTGGAGAAACTGCTGAGTCAGAAGTGGGGTCGCTATTTAGACATATTTTCTGGATTCATTAGTTTGACATCCTGCATGATCTATTTGGGCACAACTTACTTTAGCAATGTGGATTGGTTGAGTACTATAGACATCATAGTGTGTTCCCTTTATTTATTTGAATACCTTTTAAAAACATTTGCTGCTTAACACAGACTGCAATACATACTAGAAGTGAATTCAGCAGTAGAATTATTTACATTGATGCCCTTGTTTATATTATAGGAATAAGAGAATTGGGACTATTTAACAAGATTGATAAACATCTCCAGAGTGATAAGATTCCTGAGAGTGGTTAAGACGATTTCTAAGTACTACCAAATTGGTGACAATGAATTCGGTGGTGTTAATAAATAAATTTACACAATATCCTTGACAATTCTGACTTTGATTATTGTGACTGCAGGAGTATTATAAGCATTTGAATCTCCAAAGAGAAAGGAACTAATTGCACTTGATGAAGAAAATCAGTGTGGAGCATCAGTGGATGAATGTACCTTTCACGAGATGGTGTACTTTACAGTGGTGACACTAGCCACAGTAGGTTATGGAGATGTAACTCCTTAGACAGAAGAAGGCAGAGTTTGTGTGATTGTATTGATCATCATTGTGTTGGTCGTAATTCCTAAACAGATGAATGAGTTGATTAGACTGATGGGATTGCAAAGTGTATATGCAAGAGCATTCTATAAGTGGAATCCAGAAGTTCCACACATCATAATTTGTGGACATGTAAGTGTTGCAGCCCTGAGAAACTTTTGTAGTGAGCTTTTTCATCAAGATCATGGCAGTCAAGATAAGAATGCTATCATTATGAGGTTGACTAAACCTAATACTGAGATGGAGATCTTCTTGCACAATCCAAAATATGAGTTATTCTTGACTTATCTATAAGGCAGTCCTATGGTTGATAGAGATCTCAAAAGAGCTGCAGCTACATAAGCTAAGGCTTGCGTGATATTGACCAATAAGCAAATAGTTAATAGTCAATCCTCAGATCATAAGAATATATTGATTGGATTATAAATCAAAAAGTATGTTAATCATATCACTGGTGGAAATATACGTCTATGTATGCAATTGATCAAACCAGAAAGCAAGTTGAATTATAGACAAGCTCTAGGTTTGAAGGTCATAACAGATTAGATAATCTCTGTCGAAGAATTTAAGATGAATCTTTTAGCTAAATCTTGTTTCTGTCCTGGTATAATTGCATTAATTGGCAATCTGATTACATCTGCAGGAGAGCAAGAAGGTGATATGGAATATGAATGGTTAAATGAATATACTAAGGGAATGGGACATGAAATATATAGGACAGATCTAAGCTTTAAATTTCAAGGCAAAAGTTTTAGTGAAGTAGCCACAATAGTTTACAATGAGTTTAAAGGTATATTGTTTGGCATAGAATTTGACATTGGCAAATACACTATAATTCGATTGAATCCTGGAAGTTACATCATTCCTAACACAACAGAAGCTAATGTTCATGCATATATCATTTGTGAAGACAAAAAGGTTGCTGATTAAGTGGCTACTTATGAGATGACTACCGAAGAAATTGCTAATTACCATTATCAGTTATTGTAAAAATCCAAGTAAAAAGAAAAACTGCCAGATGATGAAGAAGAAGAGAAATTTGATGATCCTCTTCTTTATGGAAAAGATTCTATCGAAGAAGCTGAAATGTTAGAATAAGATTATGTTCTTGACCCTGAACCTATTTCCTTAATGACCGTTACTCCAACATCCTTACAAGACTCAACCGAAATCACCAATCATATTGTTGTTTGTGGAATCCATCCATCTATCTATTACTTCTTACTAGCCCTCAGAGCTAAGTATCTTAAAGAACTTCAATTTGTTGTGATTTTAGCTCCTGAATAACCAACCAAATAATGGGAATACATTAACAGATTTCCCAAGGTTAGATTTATCAAGGGATCACCTTTAACATCCGATGGGTTATTAAGAGCTAACATTAACTTTGCTGATAAGGCAGTCATTTTCGCTTAAGGTTCAGATTAATCAATCGATGAAGTCGGGGATGCAATAGATGAGATGCACGATGCAGAATCCATATTCATTTACAAGGCCATTAAAAAACTCAACCCATCCATATAAATTATGATTGAGCTTGTCTACAGTTCTAATATAGAATTCCTACTTGAAAAAGATTACCAATATTAAAATGAGTTCAAATATGAATTTGTATTATCTCCACATTTATATTTTATAGACTCCCCTCTAGGCTTCCGGAGAAGTCTATATTTCAGCCATCATAGATACTCTTACTTGCTAAGCCTACTTCAATCCACACATTGTGACTATTCTATAGTAAATCCTAACTGGTTAGAGATAGTCGACTCAAGTCATAAGAGCTATTTGCGAACATGCTGACCTTAAAGACTCCAATCTATATTAAGTCCCTGTCCCAGAAGATTATCTCGTAAATTTTAATTCGATAATTTACTTTAGAATAAAACCTTTGGAGAACTATTTAATTACTTATCTACAGAAAGGCATCTTATTCCTCTTGGGTTGTATAGAATGGCTGGAGCTGTTGATAACAAACATCCCTATGTTTACACTAACCCTCCTTCAGAAACTAAATTGACTCACAGGGATAAGGTCTTCGTCTTAGCCCATTAGTTACCTGCCGATTTAACTGGAGGAAGCAATCTTGATTTAAAGGCAATGTAAATGGAAGGAAAATAGCTTGATATTGAAAATGAAAATAAGGGACTCATTCAAGACAAATTTAAAAATCAAATTTAAAATGGAATGCAAAAGACTTTAAGTAAATTTCTATTGAATTTTAGTTAAACAGAAAAATGATAAAATGGTTGTATTTTCAGGTGTCAGTAAAAGTCATAAGATTTTGGATCTTGACAATCTCAATGTTAGTAAGTCAATTAACTTATCTTTAGATTCCACTACCTTTACAATGTTGGATTAGATTAACGAGACCATATCATTGATTAAAGAATAAATACAATCTGTTTAAACTAATCTTTTATTACAGGAGGACGAAATCGTGGAGAAATGTAGAACTGCTGTTAGATACGAATTAACAACTTTGATTTAATGATTTGTATTACTAGATTTTAAAGACTGTTTAATTTCCGTATATATTCAACATAAATGTTTCTAATAAGCCAATTTTATTGTTATTTATTTTCATTTTAGGCAAAAAGTAGTTATGTAACAGCATTATAAACAAGTGCTCTAAAATCAGTTTGGATAGATTTAAAAACATTACATAAGTAATTTATTTATAAATTAGAAGTATGTTTTTCAGATTATATTATTTAATATTTATCAAACGCAAATAAATTTAATTTGTTATTCTTATATCATTTAAAAGCATTACTTCTTATTCATCTAGATTTTATTGATTCTACTATAGAGGGTTAGGCACTTTTTGCCTTACAATTGTTTTTTAGATATTACAATTTAATTTTTCTAAAATGAATGCTTTTTCTACAATCTATCTTTTATAAGTAAAATGAAAATTAAGGTGGACATAAATGTTGAGGAATTTTCTTCCTTTTTTCAATCTTTATGAACTCTTCCTAATTTTAATAATTCTTGGTAATATTGACTGGGATGAATTTGACAGATCTCCAATTGCATCAAGAAATTCTTCAAAAGTAAAGGTTTCTTGCCGCAGAGTGTTGGAGTAATTTAAATATTCCCCATAAAGTTTATAATCACTAGTAATAATTATATACAAACTCATATAAATTTTATCCTTTATCTGAAAAAAATGGCCTTTAATCACATCCGTCCTTTAACATATTTAAATTTATCACTCTTCTCACTTTAGGGGGTTTTCTGTGCATATATGATGTGATATTTAATATAGCTGGCGATTCATATGTTCTTTAAGGAGAACTAAATCGAGGAATGGGTTGAAATACTACCTTACCGTTCTTTCGCCTTTTTAAAACTCTAGTTTCTGGAGTAAACAATCTTGTTGGAGGATTGTCGAAGCTGTTAATTTGGCTCTAGCAATTGAAAGTTCCGTTAATGTGTGCATTTTCAAAGATGTCGCAATGTACTCCTTGTTCTTTGCTTTTTCTTTCATTTGATGTTTTATATCTGGTAGAGTAAAATCCCTACTCCCTCTATTTTTAGTTTATGGGAGATGCTTTCCCCAAGATTTGGAGGTCATATTGCGTTTGAGTCAAATTCCTGGAAGTTTTATTGAGCTTTTTACATGGAATTGTGTATAGATCCATTTCAATATTTATAATAAAATGAGTTTTGCTCTACCTTCTTCAAAATTACCTCTTGTATACCGACACCCCTACCAAGGATTCGTCAATGTTTTACCCTATATTGATGGGGACTTAGACGCCAAAACTTAAAACATAGTATTGAATGTTACACTAAACAGGTCGATCGTCTGATTCAATAAGAAATGTAAAACATGGACCCTCAGGATTATTTGCATGAATTACCAATGCCCTAAACGAAATTAACAGATCTATTGAAATCAGAGATGGAAAGAGTCTAGCAATAGCAACCCATGAATAAAATCGATTTCGAATAGAAACCTAATTTCAATGAAGAGTTTTAATCAACCCATGAAATTCAAGAGGCCAATTAATAATTAAATGTACTTAATCAATATGCTTAAATTAAGTAATTCAAAATCATCATACTTTAAGCATAATCAATTCAGAATTGCTCAATAAATATGGCAAAGAATCGTGGGCATTATTGCTCAAATCATAAGAAAATGAGAAGAATAGATTATCAAATGAGGTTGTCAAGTAATAGCAAGAATTGAATCATATTAATGCATAACGAAAATACGAATAAGTAACATTTACCTCATATTAAGAATGAAGTCAAATATAAATTGGATAGCCTAAAAGCTAAGGTTTAAGAAGTATTGACAAATAATGCTCAATTGGAAGTTGTTTGTGGAGAATTAGAACAAGAAATATATGACAAATAAAGAAAAAAGTTAAAATTGAATTGATTTTAAAATATAAATTATTTATTCTTTGATGAATATAAAAGATCTCATTCTGAAAGATTTCAAACTAAAACATACTTATAGATTTAATCAACTTCTGTTTTTTCTTTCATCTTTTTAACTTAAATGAAGTTCTTATGTAAATTTGCCGAGATAAATTTGACTGACTGACAATTTTAAATCATACAAAAAAAAAATAATTGACAATTGTTTAATTTAATTGACCTTTAAATTTTAAGGGCTGGAGAGGGAAGATTATGTGAAATAAATGATTTTTAATTGATTAAGTTAAAAAAGAATTTTCCTATATACTTTTTTTCTTTTGATTTTCGAATGAATATCACTTTGTTAGATCAATTGATAGGAAATAATACCATTAAGAGAAATTAGAAGATGGAGATTATAAATTAGTTGTCAATATTATTAAGTGTAAAATATGCTTAGAAGAATATACTTGGCAAAGAATCTAAAATACAAAATGAATTATTTATTTTCACTAAATTAGTTTTTTTGTTAAAATTTTTATTGCTATAACGCATAAACAATAAGCGAAGACAGGTTTGAGGTACATTATATTTTTAAGGCTAATATTTTGTTAAAAAAATATATTGAAAATAATTTAAAGAATCTATAATTCTTTCATATAAACGAATTCAACTTTGAGAAAGTTGATCCAAGATTTTTGAATAGGTTTTAAAAAAATTACTTTAGGAACATAAAATGTCTTTTAGCTTATTTCCTTATGTTATATAATTAGCAAGCTACATTACACTTCTATTCTACTTCTTTGCAAGTTCAATTAGCGATTTAAGATCAGTAAATTCTATTTTCAATTCTTATTTCCATGAATTTATTGCTACTACTATTTCAGGAATTTAAACATTCTGAATCTCAATCATATCTAGAATTAATGTAAAGTATTCTTGATAAATCTAGAAATATTATTTTATAAACCTGTTTTAGTTTTCTAAAATTTATTGTAAAATTACCTGATTAATTTAACTAGTTTTATCTTCTACTTTACGTGATCTTTTCGTATTTCCTTTTATAATTTTCCATTTAAATTTAGTAATTTGCGCTATCCTTTTATTTTTTCCTTAATTATTCTTTATAATATTCAACCAATTTTTCTTATTTTTCCATTTAAGGAGTAAAGTCTTTAAAAACTTATGCCAACTTCTCGAACGAAACTTAATATAATTATAACATCGATAATGTTTGAAGTATCTATTATTTTTAATTTTCATCTGATGATCTCTCTTTAATACAATTTAACGGTTCGAGCAAACTGCCTGATTTTGCTATGACAGCTTTCACTTATGATAATATATTATTAATTTTCTCAGATTTCTGTTATTACAATACAGCATTAGGTTAATTTCTATTAATGATTTGATCATCTATTATATGTAAAATTTTGATTTAATCTACTGTTTCTTTCGACTGAATATAGATTTCATTTAGAGTTTAATTTATTCCTCTTACTTCATCTTAATAGTCCGATTCATATTATATGTGTATTTATATATTTTTGCATATCTCTAAGACCTATTACTTACTCTCAATAGTTTGATAGAACTATTTTGTAGTAGAATCCTTGTACGAGTTCATGATACTCTCAAAATGCTGTACTAAATTATCATGGGTAGATAACAACTCCTTATATTTTACAAATAGTTCTTCATTAAGTTTTTTTAGTTCTTGATGAGGTTCGTATAGTTCTTGATTAAGTTTTTTTAGTTCTTAATTTACATTTTCTAGTTCCTACTTAGAAATTAATAATACTTTATTTTTATCGGATAACTCTTGAATTTATTTGAGTGAAGTTTCATATTTTTCCTTATAATTAATTCCCTATCCTTGGATCTCTTATAATCGATTAAGTCTCTTAATTTCCTCATATAGTATAAAGATTCCTTCCATTAGATCATTAGTAGACAGTTTTCCTATATGAATAGTGGACTCTTTTACTTAGTTCATTGGATACCTATGGTTTCTCTTTATCATTACCATCTTTAGACAGTTTTGGAAGCCAATTGTAGCTCATAAATTTTATTAAAAAATTGATAAAAAAATTGATGAAAAATAAAATAATTCTATTCGAGATATATATCTTTCCACAAATATTTAGATAAATCATTTTGGCGATTCTTATTCGGACTGTCTTGATTTAAGTATTGAGCCATTAATTAAGTTAGTCTTCTTGATTTTAATGATTAAGAATGTAATTTAACTTTAAATTGTTTTTGAAAGTTAAATTGAGTGAAATAATTATAATGTGTATGTTAATCTATAATATAAGAAGATATATTATACATAATAATTTTTGGCAGAAAATATAATTTAAATTTGAACTAAATAAAAATGTAAAAGTAACAAAATGAGTAGATTGAGGAGGATGAATACGAAGAAGTGATTTCTTATACATCTTTGGAAAAGTTAGCAATTCCAGGGTTCGGAGCAGTAGATATACAAAGATTAAAAGATGCAGGATTTACAACATGTGAATCGATTGCATATACAGCTAAAAAGAATTTAATGAATATTAAGGGCATGACTGATGCCAAGATTGAAAAGTTGGTTGAGGCAGTGGCTAAACTGGTAGTAAACTAATTTAAACCAGCTACAGACGTACTAAAGTAAAGAGAAAGAATAGTACACATTTCAACAGGGAGCACTAAATTTGATAAATTACTTCGAGGAGGAATAGAAACTGGTGGAATAACAGAGATATTTGGTGAATTTAGAACAGGGAAGTCTCAAATTTGTCACACCTTAGCAGTCACTTGTTAAATGAATGATGCAAGAGGAAGACCAGGTGGGAAGTGTCTATATATTGATACAGAAGGAACTTTTAGACCAGAGAGACTAAGTGAAATTGCAAAGAGATTTGAGTTGGGAATAGAGGAAGTCTTAGAGAATGTCTCTTTTGCGAGGGCTTATAATGTAGATGAATAAATGAAGTTACTAGTTCAAGCATGCAATTTGATGTCTACGGATAAATATGCTTTGTTGATAGTCGACAGTGCGACGGCTTTGTATAGAACTGATTATTTGGGGAGAGGGGAGTTATCAGCAAGACAGAATCATTTAGGGAAATTCTTGAGGAATTTATAGAGATTGGCGGATGAAGTAGAATTATTAAAGTTATTTTTTAGTTCAATGTAGCAGTTGTAATAACAAATCAAGTGATGAGTCAAGTTGAAGGTACAATGATGGCGATGGGTGATCAAAAGAAACCTATTGGAGGGAATATTATGGCTCACGCTTCGACAACGAGATTGTATTTGAGAAAAGGGAGAGGGGAGAATAGGATCGTTAAGATTTATGACTCTCCCTGTTTACCGGAATCGGAAGAGCAATACACCATATCGCCTGGAGGGATTGATGACTGTGCTGATTGAATTAGTTTGTAATATTATTTTGTAACTAACAAATAAAAGTTATTCAGAAGTTTTTACAAGAGATGCAGAAGTAGCTTATGTTTTTGGAATCGTGGTTTTGTACATCTTTGTTGCATCGAAGGCATTTTCTTATGATCTACTGGATTTATTGATCTGCTAGTCTTGAATAGTTCATGGGGTCTTTGAATAATTCCCCAGTGGATGATTGGCATCTCTGTTTTGACAATGATGTCATCAAGGGATCCTGAGGTAATTATTTAAGTATACATCCAATGATTGTAAGCATTTGAAAAAGTCATCATTATCCAATTGCTATAAAGCTCTGAAGACATTTGAGCATTTCTGTTTAAATTCATCAAATGGCTACTAATGATCATTAAATTTACTGATTATCCACAACAAATGATGCATTCTCCACTCTGATCCATGGCCTCAATCTCATGTCCACACCCTAAAGTTTTTCGTTTGAGATGACGTGAAATTGCCTCTTATTCTTTTCTGATGCTACTTGATTTCTTGGTTTATGAGTTGTCTCTTTTTAGAGGTGATTTCTATCCTTAGAGATCATGCAAATATTTTTCAATCCCAGCATCATTAGCATATAATAATGCTTTAAATTGATACAATGATTTTAGCATTTGTTCCCGCTATGGATTATGAGAACTCAAGCGATCAAAAAAAGTTGAAAACAATTCAATCATTGTCGTTCTCTCCACAGAAGACAGTTAAGACATTAAAAATTTAAAATTATTACCTTATTTTATATTCTTATAATAATGTGCTTTTTTTCAAAAACAATAGATTATGCGTTATATCTCTAAGAAAAAAGGGTGTGTGTGTGTGTGATTTTATAGAAGCATATTAAAAATAATCATTCATTTTTCAATGAGGTAGTTATTGCTTATGCTAACTTAACTAGTTCACTCACATAAGTTGAGGTCAACGTACTTCTGCTGACATAGGAAGACTCAATTTTATTTCTGAGTGCCACAATTTCATTCAATTAAACAACATCTGCAAGGCTGCGTCCCTGTCTTTTTTTGTATTGTTCTGAGGATGTACGAAAGGAGTCGTATTTGAAAGAATCAGAGGGTTTATTGGTGTATGATTCTGTTTCAATACTGTATTTGAGTTAAGGTGGGGATTGAACGAATTTGAAGGGGGATTGCGAAGAAATGGAAGGAGATTGGAAGGATTCTCTCCACTTGTGTCCGCTATTGAAGGATTTAGTGCGTGGTCCCAAAGTATCGGTAATTCTGAATGTTAATGTATTGGGTACTTTTATTGAAGGCCTTGAGCTTTGTAAGGGGAGTAGGTGGGTTCGCTTCTTTAGGGTTAGGTGGTAACAACATTGGAGAGACGGGAGTAGGAGAAGTCTCTGATTCTTGCTTGAAGATTCTCAAAGGAAGGTACTTGTGCGCGAGTGTCCTTTCTGAATAGATAGAGGATGGTGATTTACCTATTTGAATTGAATTTGTTGGAACTTTGTGGAGCTTCACGTTTTAAGAACATAATTTATTAAACGTTAAAAATTAAATTGTCATCATGTATATTGTCATTAAGTTTCTAATTTATTAACTGTCGTATGGATGGCTTTCCTAGATGAATAAGTGAGAATTACTAATTCAATTCCTCCAAGGCTATCAATTATTTGATGCGTCTGGGTAATTGTAGATATTGCTTGCGTTTCCACTCCCTGGTTTCTGAATAATAGTTATCCAATTTGATTTCGCAAGCAGATTACAGAGAGGAGGCACAAGAGTCATCAGGATTATCAGGTGGATCCTGATTGTAATGAGTTCTTTTGGCTTTCCGAGGGAGTACTTTCCTGCCGAAGTTCTTTCTGAAATCCACTTCTTAATCAATGACATTTTGAATATATTTGGGATGTTTTTCGATCATGACTCCTTTGGGTTTGTTGTATAGATAATCATACAATTAGACATCAGCATGAGTCAAGATTCCATCTTAATTTCTGCGATCTGTTTTTGCTGCCTTGTGGAAAAGAGTGAAGTCGTTGCGTTTGGTTTGGATGCTGAGACGTACAATTTTGTTGATATTGTTCTCGCGTTATTGGGCTTGTGTTTGTAATTCTTGGAGATAGAGTTAGGCATTGTTTTCAAGTACAGATTTTAGGTAGGATCTGGGAGGGATGGTTTGAATAACTTATTATTGCAATTTGCAGAGAGGTTCCACATTGTCATAATTGAGACGATACTATTTGAGGCTTTTGGTTTTGGGTATCAATTTCTCTTGATAACCCATAGAATTCTCTTAGTGATTGGCTATGTCTAAAATAGTTTATACTATAGTGAGAGTTTGAGCGTTGCCTTGTCTCATTTCTTCATTGTGAGGCTTTTTGATTGCTACTTTCTCTTTGATAAGGTTACGAACTTTGACAATTTTACTCTTCAGATAGTTTTTTCTTTGTTCCGTTTGTTGACGTATTTTGATAGTCATTCTATGTTTGGGTTAGAGTTGTTGTTCTGCATTGAGTCTTGGGTAGTTGAGAGTTTGAATTAGTCTTGAGAGATTGAGGTCCCCTTTTAAGTAATGGGCAAAATGTTGTTCGAATTGTTACCCATGATTGCGTGTTTCGAATGGTTTTGTAGTCACCAAAGGATCTGCGTGTTTTCTGGATGAGATGTGAAGAGTATTAAATTTACGATGGGTATTTTTGGAGTGATCGAATTCGCATGTTGTGGAAAAACTCATTAATAATTTTAATAATGCAAATTAAAGAAGAATTGATTAATGTGATTATCAATTTGATTGAAGAATTGTTTGAATGCAAACTCAATTCCATCATGCAAGAAGTATTCCATCACTTAGCTTAGGTTAATGACAAACTCACTCGCATGCACTAGGATATCGAGAACATGTAGGATGTTCTGGTCAAACACTTTTCTCATCAAGTGGCTCATTCCAGAGCTGAGTCTTTGAGTGAAACTGTCGATACTGCAGAGGAGGATTAATTTAAGAAATCAATTAATGCAGAATTAGATAGTCTTGGTTTACGTGTGTAGTAATTGGAATACATGAATCACATCATTCTGGATACTCAAAGTGCCAATAAAGCCAATTTCAAAGAACTAGAACGTAAAATACAACCAATGCAAGAGCAAATTAACAAATCAATCGAGGAGATGAAAAAGGACTTAAAGGGTACAATCCATCTAACAAATTAGACAAGCAAACCTTTCAATGGACAGTATTGAATGACCAAATTGAACGAGTAGAAAAGTATGTCTAAAAACTCAAACAAGCAGATCTCTTATTCTAATAAAAATAATAATCATAAACACAAACCAATAAGAAATCCAAATGAATTTAACTAATATATAGTAATTTAAACATCATTCTGCATTATTGTTGTTTACATAACTAAAAATTGTAGATATAGTGCTCTTCTTTGGCAATTGCATAACATCCGGACTCTAAGGATTTTCAGGATCTATGTAGGCCGATATCACACTTGCGAATTCATTCTACTCGATCACTCTCTAATTGATCTTGTTTCGGTCGAATTTGCTACTATATAATCTATGGATATACATATATTTGAGTAACTGAGGGGCAATCGAATTCAATAAACTGATGGTAGTATTAGTGGATGAGGTATTGGGTCTATTGGAGTTGACTAATTATTGGGAACTCAGATTCAGATTCGATTTTTGTAACTTCAATTTTCCAATGAACTCCATAACGTAAATCCTGGCCTTCTTCCACAGTAACAACGCCTTTCGTTTGGCATTATAATTCTTGGGTTTCTTGATGCAATGCTTGATGCAAGGGTATCGTATGATTAAATTCACTATCTTCTCTATGTGTTACTGTTACAACCCAGACAAGTACTCCTTGATGATCTTCGTGGCTATGTAGGAACAATACAGGATGTTAAGACTCGAACAGGATATCGACAACATATACACCAACCAACTGTAGGGGTTCTTGTGCTGACTATAGGTACCAATCAAGGTGATGATGGCTAATTGAGTGGATATCTTGTCGATGAAGTTGTATTGTTTCTCGATGTAAGGTTGGTGTTGGTTCAATAACTCTAAGTATATCAATAAAACCAATATTGCAAACAGAAACATCTGTTTGATGTCCTAAATCAACAGAGTCTCCAGAAGATAGAAGATCGACTTCACAAAAAAACAGATGAACTCCCAATAATAGTATCTATCCTTATATTCCACATATAAATAACCATAGGGCATTCGCAGTTTGCAAGTCCACAACTTGTTCTTGTTCAGACACAACTTCACTATGTAAAAGATGGGAGATATTACGCCCACTATCATCAAGGTAGGGATTATAAATATTTCCAAGTAGAAGTAATACTCCTCAGTATAGCAAATGTATGAAGTGGCTGCCTGAATGTAGTATTGGCCTGAGGCTTTGATGCAGAACATCAATTTCAACAGTCCTTCGATGATGTCCCCTTAAAAGTAAAAGTTCACTTGGATGACACAAGTGATGAAAATAGTCTTGGTTGAGTTCTCTAGTTGCTGTTTCTTGCACAGTTGCAATATTGAGTAGATCAATACAAACGAAAAAACGAACAGTAATGAAACAAACAAATTCCAAAACTGCCTCAAATATACTATTTCAATATCTATGTGAGAATGCAATAGAAAACACTCAATGGAGAATCCTAATGTGGACAGTGGATTCCCTATCACCTAAGCAAAAAACACTATTGGAGTAGGGAACTCAAATTCAACTATTAAAATTATCGAAATCAATTGAAAGTAACTAGAAACCAATTTAATCAGGATCTCAGTCTAATCTATTACCATGGTAGATTTGCTCGCAAAGAATATACCCATCATCCGTAGATAATAGGCTGATAATTGGGATCGCACCAACTTCAAACTTCCTCTGACTGATATAAACAACACAACTAATATCCACAAGAATGATAGAAGTATCTTTAATAAGTTAAATGCATCGTTTTAACACAAGGAACAACTTCCACTGTAATTCTGTGTGTATGAAGCATTCCATTTTACAGCGTAATAATCACAATCACTGCATAATGCTCCAACGTAACCTTAGGAGCAAGTGAAATCCTCTGCTCCTCCCAAGCATTAGGACTGGGAAGTTCCACAATATTCAATTTCATCAGTCAAATTGTTTGGTCTCCAATAACCTTGCTTAACAATCAACTATGACCCTCCAGGACATGATTCAATTGAAGTTACGCATTGCATACATTATCTATAATTTGTCAGACTGTATGATCCAACAGGACACTATTAGCAGGTTTAATTGGTCCACTCTTCTCCAATCCCACATTCCATCATACCTAAGTATAGTGATAATTTGAAGGTATCATTATAGAATTCAAGTTAGGGGAACTCCATATGCACCTCTATGGTTTCATTCATTGGCAGATTTTAGTATTGAGTATACGATATTGCATATTGGCACTTCTGCAAGTCCAATCGAAACACCATCTGGTCGATTCTCAAATAATTAGTCAATTTGCACAGTCTATTCATCCCACTATCTAAAAGAGCTATGATGAATTCAAACATCTGTCCACTCTTTATTTTATCATACTCGATTATTGCGTTCTTTTTGATCAAATCGTCTAGCAAATAGGTTGTCTTATCCACAATAACGTAAACTGGCCCAGTGTTGTAGATCAAAACATCTGGCTCAACAATTTAGGTTGTGATTAGATAAATATGCTTGCTGGTTTTCATAGTACAATTTTCATATTGATTGAATTCAATATAATGAGTTGAATCTCCTGTTTGATTCAAATAAATGACTCCACCTTCAGTTGCAGTTAAATCAATAAATTTGTTTTAGTAGATTTTGATTGACGAATTCGTAACGGCAAATGCAGATCCATAGGAACTAGTGATATTGGTGAACTAATTATCAGAAGCTACTAAATTGGTGTTGTTGTCGATGTTCATGTAACCTAATTATGAGATAGAATTCCTGAATATGCATTTTTGTATATCGGTGTGCAGACTATTCTATATTACGATGACTCCATCGCAAAATTAGCAATTGATGTCATAAAGCTACAATTCATTGAATATTACCTTATTGCTATCCTCCAATCTGAGAAGTTATTTGTTGTTCTAATTCACATTAAAAATCTGACTCTATTTAATTATAAAGGTGGATTTTTGGATTACAATGAATGGAATCAAGTAGTTCCTAATTTAAAATATCTTAATTAGACTCAGTTCAATTTATGAGTTATCAATGTGGAGGAAACTGCACTCCTCGCAATCTTCCATTTTAAACTTTCTTATTACAACATTTACAATGTTAGAGAACTTTGCAAATTGGGTCGATGCACAATTACTCATAATCAGATTGGTGATTTGAATCAAGGAGGTCCATTCTAGGTCAAATAAAAGCGAATCAGATATGCGAGTGAAGTTGACCTAATCAATTAGGAGTTCTTGAATTAAATTCTTATTTGATATTGTACCGAAAATAGAATCGAAACTCCCTTTATAAATTGAGAGAGTGCCATTCACAGAAAACAATGGGTTAACTGATTGACTAGATTAGAGTGTGACTTGATTAATTATGACATTACTGGAATTATGTGTATTCTACATTAAACTTCCTTAAATATCATTCAAATTAAACTGTTTGATCAAGATATTTTGTGAGTTTAAATACAGGATTACCTCTGATTGAATGTTCACCATCGTCGTATTTAGGATTGATATATATTTACTCTCTGCCACAATGAGTGGAGATTCTGATATGATAGAATGAAATCGATTGCCAGAAATTTAAATTTGATTCTGGCCTTGCATCTTCATCAAAGTGCTTTGGGAAAGTGTTACATTAATAATTGTAGTATAAAGTGTGCCATTGGCTTGTAAGACTGTGGAAAGAGTGAAGTAGGAATTTTGAATTGTAATTTCTTGTGAAATATCTGTAGCAATCAAAATACTTTAAATCACAAATGAGTTATTAAAAGTGATTCTATTTAATTAAGCAAGTGTGGCCAGAGTCGAGTTGATGAAACTGACTTAGTTAAACTGAAGATTGCGTATTCTACTTTGTTTTTGGACAAGGGAACTTCTAAAAAAAGTTGAGTCAGATATAATCAGTCCATCTACATCGATAGGGGAATCAAAAACCGGATAATATTGGAAGGTCATCTTGGTCATGATAGTCTGTTGAATCAATACTTTGGTGGCGTTGATCTAACAATTTCTTAGGAGTGTAACATTCTTCAGAAGGACTTGTGTTGATATTGAAAGCACTTTAGTTTGGGTATCAATAGTGATATTCTGAAATTCAACTTGTCGGAAACCTTGTAATAGAATGTTCTAATTCAAAAGCAATTCAGTTCCTGTAATTTAAAGTTACCCTCCCAAGGATGTCAGATTGATTAGTTTTTCATTACTTACGTTGAGGGTGCAATTATAATTGGGGATTGTGATGGACTTGTCAAGTTGCAAGGTTAAACCTTATTCGTCCTTACAAATCAATAATCCAATAGTGATATATATATTTATGAGGAAAAACAATCTTTTCATCAAATAATAAATAGTGATTAAAATATTTCAATATACATCAAAATCATAAAACATCAATTCACATCATAATATTTATGGGCTGTTAACTATTCAAAATATTAATAAATAATATTAAATTATTAGAATTACAATATTCAGTATCAAATTAATTTGTTGTAATCATTGCTTTTCATAATAATATTGTTACTAATCAAAAAAATTCACTTCTAAATATATATAATGGAATTAATGGAGTATATATAATTATTCTTAGATTAATGATATCCCTTCACCTGATGAAAAATTATCGTGAAACCGATTTCCTATAACTCAGAATAGAAATCTCAATGGGTATTCAAGTTTGAACATTAGATATCTTCATTAGATGACTAATCTGATCAGTCCTCTCTACGATGACATTATGGAGATTAAAGTGGCATTTTGATCTATGATTCTATTTGCGTATATCATTCCATGGCTTTTTAGGGTATAATCTATTTTAATTAGAGTGCTAAAGAGTGATACATGAATTTCTATTCGCATTGAAGCATTTAGCAGGATGCATTTGTAGAAAGGCATCACAAGAGTAGATGGCTTTTGTGTTTGGTTGAGGTAGCTGATGTGAATTTCTCATAGGGGAAAGAAATGGGATTTGGATATTGATCATTAATAGGTTATAGTTATTAATATAACATATAATATTTATATATAAAAATATAAAAATGAATAAACCTGATGATAGTGCTAATTAGTTTTTTGTGATTGAATGTACACTTATTATGTGAATTATGTAGAAATTGAGATGAGTAGTGAAAGTGAACCTGAAGATTTGGAGGATTTGGATGATTTGAATGACATCAAACATGAAGAGGATAATCTCAATGATTTGGATAAGATTATAAATGATGTCAAAAGTAATGATTGCATTCTCACATATACTTAGAGGATGATTACATACCCAAAGCATAGACCAATGAGAGAGTTACAAAGGGACCAGGATGGAAAGATAGACTAGAAGTAGTGGATGACTTTATTCGTAACTTCCTTATTAAGAATCAGATGAATCGAAGTCTGGAAGTATTTCAGGTATTTGTGATTGTTAACCCTTCTAGTAAGAGTGGTACGAACTCTCACAGAAAGGCAAATTGGCTACAGACGGCATGGGTCAAGTGACAGATGTTTATATTCAAAATGAAAAACTCAAAGAAGAACTCAAGTATGTAAGAGGAGAGTTGGATAAAGCCAAGATAGTGGCTGAAAATGCCAAATCTACATACGATAAATTAAGAAAGGAAAGAGATTTTCATAAGATGCATCATCATAGAGTACAATAGGAGAAGAGGAAATTGAATCACGACATAGATAAATTGAAAGGATTACATCTGCAATATGAGACCAAATACGAAGAACTATCTTAGAAGTATTCACATGCGATGAAGGAGAAGATGCTTCTGAAATTAGAAAGGGATCGTTTGGTGGCAAAAAACGAGGCACTCCAAAGAAGCTTATAAAATGTATATCAACTTGAATTATGAATTTAAAGGTTGAAGAAAAGATTAACAAAGAAAAGGAACCAGGAAGTCCTACAGATAAGCTCCCCTTAGTTGATACCAAGGCCAACACCAAAAAGGCATCTACTAAAACCAATACTGCATTCCCTCCTGATGACAGACCAAATCCATATGCAGGTACTCAAATAGAACCACAAAATTACAGAAATGCCATCTTGAATAAAACTTTTAAAGGACATATGATGGCTATATCATCCATGGATATGCATCCAAAGAAATCAATTGTGGCCACTGCTTCTGATGATTTCACTTGGAAGATTTGGACATTACCCCAAGGCGAATTAATCATGTCTGGAGAAGGCCACAAAGATTGGGTCAGTGGAATTCATTTTCATCCAAAAGGTAGTCATTTAGTCACTTCATCTGGTGATTGCACAATTAAGGTCTGGGATTTCATTAATGCTTCATGCACCCATACATTCAAGGATCACATCTAACCTGTTTGGGGTGTTAAATTCAATGACACTGGAGAATTCATTGTAAGTGCTAGTATGGATCATACATGCAAAGTATTCGATTTAGCATCTGGTAAAACTAGACATACATTCCGAGGACATGTAATTATTGATCTCTTACCAAAAGGTTGATTCCGTAAATCATGTGAGTTTCCAACCATTTTCGAATATCTTCACTTCTGCTTCAGCTGACAAGACTATTTCCTTGTGGGATATCAGAAGTGGATTATGTGTTCAAACCTTCTATGGTCACTTGAATAGTGTCAATCATGCAACCTTTTCATTGAAGGGAGATAGTATTGCCAGTTGTGATGCTGATGGAATCATTAAAATGTGGGATGTAAGAATGGTCAAGGGAAGATCACAATTCGACGCAGGTCCTTATTCCGCCAATGCAGTTGCCTTGGACAAAAGTGGCTCCATTCTTCTTGTGGGATCTGATGACCAATAAATCAGACTCTACAATGAAACCACCCAGAAAGTAAGACGTTCATTTACTCATTCAATAGTAAGAACACACTTTGAAGGGCCATGAAGATGCTGTCTAAGATGTTGCATTTGATTACAATAGCAAGATGATTATCAGTTGCGGTTCCGATGCTACTTTTAGAATTTATTAATGATTTAATATTTTATAAGTAAGATGTATATTATTAATTCAATTTTACTCCAGATTTACCATTTATACATTCAACATTTTATTATTGTACTTCTGGTCCTTCACTCTTTATTTATGAGCTTGACATTTACTTTGGTTATTTCAATTAATTAAATATTAAAATCTGAATTATTTAAGAATATCCTAAGTTTATTGATAAGAATCATTAAAATTTAATGAATTAATTCTCAGAAACCTTTAGAAGATTTGATATCTTTGGACAAGAAATAAGACTCTTGGCCACCGGAAATTCAGCTTATCGAACCAACATTGGGGCTTTTATGACTATGGCACTTTTTGCAATCCTGGCCTATTCTTGTAATTCCTTTATTTTAGAAATGAATAAAGGAAAAAATGCTATTCTTAATTCAAAAGAGGCTGTAATTTCAAGTGATGAAGTAAAAGAAGAGTTAAATTTATTTAGGGCTATACGTTTAACTCCTCCGAATATATTTTCGCTGTTGGTCTATTGGACAACTTGGGATAACCCATTCCAAATGAGAAAAATCGAGTGTTCACCATCAGTTTCTATTACTGTAATAAGTCTCTAAATGAAACTACATGTGCATCCATCCCTGGAAGAATATGTGGTAGCAGAATTTAGGAGGTCTCAATAGTACCTATACTTTTATACGTTAGCAATTAAACATCCCAAAAGAATATGAGGAAATTACGTATTGTATGGATGAAGAATACATCAAAGAGAACCCTGAAATTAGAATCCAAGGTTCGACTAGATAAGACAACTTCACATTATTGGGGGCATTAGTCTAAAGGTGTTAGAATGGCACAGAGTATAATCGTACATATTTATTCATTAAGTTAGATTGCGCCCCCAATGATGACATCGATTCATATATCAAAAATGCCAATCTTTACTACTCTTACTCTTTTCATTCATTCAATAAGGAATTGGACAATTCTCCTTACGAGAAGGCATAAAGCATAGACATTACGCCCATGTATTATAAAGTTCGAAAATATATAAAACTCTACTTTTAATACTCATAAAGTCAACTAGAGTATAATCCCTTCTACTTCTTTCCTTCTTTTGTCTAACACGATGGCTTTGAATATTAAAATTCTGCAATCGACTCTGCTTTAAATTTTGAGGATGACACGAGTTTTGCTTAAATTGAAATTAATTTGGATGCGAAAAAACGAATTCATTTTATCACCTATTAGACTTTGATGGATGTGGCTGCCAAAATTGGTGGCTTCTTCACCATCATAAGAATAATGTTCGATTTTGCACTATTTCCAATCTAAACCATTCTTTATCGACTCTATTTGATCAACTGCTTAGCTCATCAACAAAACAACATCAACAATAATACTGATATTCATAAAAGTACATCTTCACATCAATCCTTAACAATTTTTAAACTTATAAAATCAAGCAATGCAAGATAACTATATCAAAATCAATCGCTTATGATTGATAAGTTTTTGGACATAACAGAAATACTTATTAACCCTTTAAGATTTAATCGGTAGGTCGAAGATTTGTACGGTTCACTTAAGAGATTTGATGTTGTGAGTGCTCGTCAAAACAATCTCAACATAAATTAAGAGATTGATGAGTTGGTGGCTAATAATAATGAATTTGTTGACAATTAAAGCATTAGTCCTAGAACGATAAATTTAGAAATGAAGTTGGGAAGTTTGACAAATTTTAAAGTTCCTCAACTTCATGTCAATTGAATCTATTACATCAATCTATTAAATATTTGTATTTTTAAACACGAAAATAATTTAAAGTCATTTTAATAATTAATTTAGTAATTCTTATGCAAGATAAGTTTTTGAATCTATTTCTGATTTAATTAACTAAATTTGTGTTCTTAATACACTCTCTTTAAAAACTTATTAATTAAGTATCAAATTAATTGAGTTGATCTCTTCAATCTATTCAAGTTATCTTACCTACATAATAATCTTAATCCATTTATAAAAATATAATGAAACTTTATTTTTCAATTTATCATCTACTTTTTGGAGATAAATCAACATTTTAAAAACTGCTCTGTTTCTAGAATTCTGTGATTTTGTAGACAATGAAACCTTTGAATTATTGTTACTAATTGGAGATTTAGATCTTGACTTTTATTTATTCTCCTTCTAATAAAAAACATTATTTTATTGAGTAACAGTTGATTTAAATGCATTCTAATTTGTATTGTATTTTGAAGTGCTTGAATAATTCATTAAAGCTGCATTCCTTATAAATCTATGAAATGCTATGGTCTTGATTAATCTTTCCTTCCGAGCTGCATTTTTGAATAATTGTATTAAGATCTGCTTCTGTCTGTATTGGAAGAAGTTTTTCCTTTCCAAATCAAATATCTATTCCTCAATATATTTTCGTTGTCTCTTCATATTCCTATAAGGATAACGCTTCTGTTTTTCTAAATCCTTTCTTTCAACTTCCCAATTTTTTTCAAAAATGTCTTAATTTTGAAAGTATTTCCAAATATAAAAGGAAAAGCATTTCTTAGTTTAATAAGTTTAACCTTCTTATCGACTATAATATTTTAACATAATAGTTATGAATTTTTGAATATCCTTTTAATCATATTGCATTTAATAAAATGATCTGTCATCATCTGATTCATGTAAATTTTTAAGATGATCATCCATTTCTTAAATGATATCCCTTTATTCCATTTACTTATTAAACTCATATTTCTTCAATGCAATCTGTTCTGCTATATTCATTAAAATAATATATAAAAAAACCCATATATCAAATCAAAAATCCTCTTCCTCATTAAATGACAGTGACCCAAGCCTCTACTCCTTACTCTTAATTGGAAATTAGGTCTAACCAAACCCCTTAAATCCTGGTTTTCTCTATTTGATGCTCCCAAAAACTACTTTGCTTTCTTAACTCATCAACAATTCCTATTGCTTTTATTATTTTTCAGCCTCTATCTTATCTAACTAATCCTTCTCCTATTGATGTTTCATCTCTGCAATTTCCTATCTGGCATCCCTATAAAAATGAGGTGCAATTTCAAACAGCCAATGTGGATCAAGTTCGGTTACATTGTGCATCGTTAACTTATTATCTATAAATTAGACTTTAGTTATTACTTTGCTCAATCAATTCATGATAAATAACCCATTCAGGGTATGAGACTGTTAAAACAGAAGCAGGATGAAGATGAACCAATTATTTTGTGTAGATATTCCTGTAAACCCCTTCTCTTGCTGTATTTTCTCTTTATGCTACTTAAGAGAAGAATCCCGAAACAAAACATCTTTAAACAGCCTCTACATCTTGGATGGAACTTTTGATTTATCTATTTTTCCTTCTCTTTTGAATTTATTTGTATATCTTTCCAGCTGATTCTAACTTATGTTTTGATACTCTATATGTATCACACCAATTCCCTTTATTTCCAATATTCATATATCTGACAAAAATGTTATGAAGTGATAACACATCTCCTTCTCTGCATCCCAAAGCCTTCTTAGCCTTCAACATCTATAATGGTGTGGCATCACTACTAAAGATACCTCCTTGTATACTGAGAATACTGGCTATTTTCAGCATCTCGTCTGAACATTGATATTCATCTAGAAAACTGTTTTCAACACAAACTGCTAGTTATGTTTCCAAGGGATAATCAACTATGGCATTTCCCAATTCTGTTAGTGAAAAGTTTTCATCTATTAATTTCAGGCTCATCAAAATGTTAATACAATTGATTAATTATTCATTCGAAACAGGAGTCAAAAATGTATTGCTGCATTGCAAATGATTGGGTGTTAATGAGAATGACTACATATATATTAGTTATTTTTACTCTAATCTATAAAATGAGTTCTGTGAGATTGGATCTCAATATTTCAGGAGGGAAAGTCTTAGGCAAATTTTAATAATCCTCCTTAGTACATAATCTATAACATATTCCATCTCTTGTTCTTCCAGCTCTGCCTGCTCTCTAAGCACCAGATTGCTAAGATATTGGTAGTACATTTAATTAGTCCAAGTCTAAGTTAATAAATAAATTAGTAATACTTCTCTTGTAATCATAAACCTTGACTTTTTGATAACATGAATCTATCACATAGACTATTCCATCTATAGTGACACTGCTTTCTGCCACATTTGTTGATACTATAATTTTTCTACTTGCGTGCTATTTAAATACCAATAGCTATTTATCGATTGCCAAACTGGCATGAAGTGGTAATACTGCACAATTCGCCTTATGATGTGACCACAAATTGATAAATGCATGAATTTCTTCGACAGATGTTAAAAATACAAGAATATCACCTTCAGGCATCTTCTTGTGAATATGATATGCCAATTCAACAGCAGCAATCACATAGTTTTTACATGGTTCAAGTAAATACATAATCTAAAAGCCTATCAGATTATAATTACATCAACTTCGTAATTCCTACCTCTAATTGCAATGACTTTACTATTCGGAAAAAAGTTTTATAGTAATTCTACCTCCATCGTAGCTGATGAAACTATCACCTTCAATTCAGGTCTCTTTTTTTGGATCTTCTTAATCAAACACAATAAGAGATCTGTGTTTAAAGTACGTTCGTGAATATCATCCAGCATTACAACTGAATATCCTTCAATCAATGGATTGCCCATTATGATTTAAATCAAAGTTCCGTCAGTCACATATTCGATTTTTGTATTTTCACTAATCTTCGATTCAAATCTCACTCTATATCCAATATCCTATCCCAATTCAGTCCCATTTTCATCAGATACTCTTTAAGCTATACTGATGGCAGCCATCTTTCTTGGTAAAGAGACTAAAACCCTCTCATCTCCCCCATAACCAGCTTCTATTAAATATTATGGTATCTCTAATATTGATTAAACAATATTTACAAGTTGTTTTGCCTGACCCTGTTTCAGCTAAGATGATCAACGTGCTGTTGGTATCGACTCCATAGAGGATTTATTCTTTATATGCTCTAATTGGCAGACTTTATGGATGGCATTTTTTTGATTATATAAGCATAATTAAAATAAACAAATCATTATTCAGGTACTACACTGTATATTTTCATTTCTCCATCATACTCTCCTACTATAAATTTCTAAGTAACCATGTTTTCATTAGTGATTTCAATCTTCTTCAGTTGCATAAATTTCAAATTCAAAATCTTATTTATAGGATACAATTTATTTTCAATCTCTGTGTAGATCTCAACAAAATTACTGAGTCCAAGAATAAACAGTTTATCACTTTCATAACTTTTTATTAACTCTAAGCAAATCACCCTATCTCCACTATAAATAGGTCCAATTATCTCCAAATTCGAACTCAATACATATATTGATGTTTAGGTCTCGTCATCCATCTTCAGAATTACTCTATTGTTATCCAAGATCATTTATGTGCATTTCTAAGTAAATTTATATGGGATTTCAGTTATGATTCGACCATTAAATAAATAGAGTTGACCACTTCTCATTCCAATTAAATAATTACTCCCAACCTTAATTACACTCTCCATGGATTGTTCGACGTTGTAGTGTTAAGTGCACTTTAACTATCCTAATTCACTCTATGAGAATATTCTGATTAATCCATCTTTACAAAATGTATATAGTTGCCCATCCTCAAAGTTTGTATAGACAATGTCTTTCATTGATATATCAGATATAATCTAAGGACATTATTATTGAAACACATTGTGAAATATCAATAGATTTTTAAATGATTCCTCCTCCCTCTAAAATTGTATAATAAGTGTATATTCATTATTTGGATGTTCTTAAATAAAAGCAGAAATAAATTATTTATCTAAATGACTAATTGTTACTTTCTTTTCTTCATCTATTATATCACTCCCACTTCTTTTGAATGGGATTTAATAAAAATCAATTGCATATGATTTCAAAACACCCAGAAATTAAAAATGATATCCTGCGATTTGAACTAGACTATCTACAGTTTTGATTTATTCCAAAAGCAACACTTATTACCTATTTTTAACATAAATCTCATTCCTTTTCACTTTCTTTGTAAGACTAACAGTTTCTATTTACCATTCACTCTAATTGCCTCTCTCCTTATCTTTCTCTTCATCTTATCTCTAATCTCTTTTTGTAAATGTATTATCTCTACCTTCTCTACTTTCTCTGCCTCTACCTCTTCCTCTTCCACGTGTATTTTAACGAAATTATTGCTAATCATCTCCATTCTCATTCTCCTGATTTCTTTACCACCTCTCAGAATTAACATTATTCTTCTCCTAATTAAAATTATATTTCTCTCTATAAACAGGTTACTGATTCTAAGTTTTCTATTTATCAAAATTTCGATCAAATTTCTACTTCACTTGTCTATTCTCATTTCCTTCTTATGATTATCCATATCGTTGGACACTATTTTGATCATATAAATTCTTTGATTATTGCTATCTCTATTTATACTCATTTCTTTCGCTTTTATCTATTTTATTATTGTCTTTGGTTTATTCATCTTCCTAATCTCTATCGATGTAGCCTCTTCCTCTGCCTCTCCCTCTAACAAATTTTCTATCTTGTGATTAAAAATCATTAGTCTTCTTCAAATTCAGTTTTCCCTTATCCTCTCTGTCTAAATTAACTTTCTCAATATTTGATGTGTCATGGGAATATTTACATTGGTCTCCTTGCTTACAATTACCTTGAACGAAAAATCTGCATAGAGCATCAAATTTAGCATTCATATATATTTGTTAATAAATTAATAATAAATATTCGCATCAAATTATAAAAATTAGTTTTATAACAATATAATTCAACTACCTTCGACTATAAAATTAACTAAAATAGAAACAAGATTCAACACTAACCTTTGTAAACGTATTTATGGTTTAAAATAAATATAATATTATCTAATGATTAAGTAGAATATTTTTAAGTTAAATACTGTTGAGTAGAATAATTTATTAATTAATAAATGAATTCAGAAAATTTAAATCCGCTTACTAGGCAATTTGAGATATTAAATTCAAATGATAAAGCAGCATTATTTTATTTATCAAGTAAATTATATACATAATTTATAAGGGGATTATTCTAAAGAAGAATTAGTGAAACTAGCAATAAATTTATAAAAAATGATCATATAAGAGTAAAATGATAAAATGAATTTAAAGAAGTAGATAAGTAATTTGAGTCAATAATCACCAAAACAGTTTATTGAAGAGAGTGAAGCAAATCATTAAAGTCAATTATGCGATATTGCAATATAAAAATATAATTCCCTAATTATCCAATATGAGAGACTCTTTTAAGCGAATAAGGAAATATCTGAAAAATATTCAAATATAGAAGATTACTATTAAGCTAGAATTGCTGACTTAAAAAAATAAAATGAGGAGATTTAAAAACAGTTATTTTTATATCAAGAAGAGATTTTTAAAGCCTAAGATAAATAGAGATTTCCGTTTCCTTAGAACACTAAATATGAGGGGGAATTTAAATAATTGTCAAAGAAATATGAAAGTGTTTAATAATAATGTTAAGAAGCTATCAAAATATTTTAATCGGAAGTTGAAAAAAAACAAAAAAATAACGACTAAATTTTTGAGAACATTTTGGCTCAAATCGACTAGATGAATCAAGTTATAGAGGAGTTGAATCAATAATATATACATTTTTAACAAACAAATAATGTCAAAGACGTTTAGATTAATAATGTATTGGAAAATCATTAAAGTCTCTTATAATTAAATCAGATTAGTTTGAGTTATTTTAAGAAAAGTTTGGCATTAATGTAGCAAGGTATCAAGAATCAAGAGAGAAGAATTACTTTATTAGAAAAAGAGAATAATAAATTAAAAGAGTATATTTAAAATCTAATCAAAATCGGTTAGAAGGAGATAGATGAAAATAAGGAATTTATTTAGTCTTTAATTCAAAGATAAAATACAAGGTTTAATTAATCGAATACTAATTAAATAATAGACAGTTATCATAAGTTTAAAGATACATTAAGATTGTTGAATGTAGAATTCTATTAGATTTTGTTATAGTTTAGTTCTTAAGGCTTAACTATTTCATAGTTGTAAGTGAAATTTAACAATTAAAACAAATTATTGGACATCATTAAGGAAAAAACGAGATTCCTTTAAGAAAACTCCCCTTCAAACTTTTAATAATTAATTGTACTTATGGGTTAATTTAAGGAGATCTTTAACAGCCTCAAATAATACATAGATGCTTAAAACTAGCTCACTGATGTTTTCTGTATTTAGGATAAATTCTTTGAATCTTATGAAAAGGTAGTATAAAAATTATAGGAGACGGAATATCCTTAATTGAATTGATGAGCGATATTAAACAGATAATATATATATATAAATGATATGTGATTTCAATAATAGTATTCGATATAAATAATAAAAATATATAATGATATCTGAGAATGAGAGTACAAGAGTTTTGTTGGTGATTGTGCAGAATCCTTAATCAATAATACTGCCTCATTCTTTGTTCTATCGATACTTTTCAAATTATGGGGAAGTTAATAAGATATTGATATTCGAGAAAGGGAAGCTATGGAAATGTTTTATAGAGATGGCTACTTTATAATAGGCCAAGATATCGCAGTAATAATTGAATGGCTGTTAGTTGTACGAGTAAACAATAATGAATGTGTAAAATAATCTAAATGAATAATAGTTACTATTCGACATTGCAGAGTGTCACATTTCTGAACAACAATTCAGGTGGTGTGGATTATAAGGCAATGAAACAAAGAAACTCAACCAAGACTGTGAATGTTTATGAATAAGACTATTATCCTAAGACCTATAGTCAACCTTTGATAACTCAATAAGACACGAAATTAAGCATGGCAAGTTTTGGAAATGAGAGAACAAGGGCCAGTCTAAATGACAAATAGGATTTTCAGGATTATAAAAATGAATGGGAACCTTCAAAAATATAAACATCGCTGGAATTTATAGATGATAGTGATTCTCCTAGAAACAGATAGTATGCATCCTTTAAATCAATATAATTTGATGACAATGAACATGACCCCATAGATGAGGACATAATGCATGCATTTTCATCAGAAAAAAACACTTACCTAAATTCGTATATGTTTTCGATACCAGAAGTAGAAGACAAGATAAAGAATCAAGATATTGACCCATACACTTATGTATCACCTTAATTCTTAAGAGAAAATCAACCTTCCAAAGTTGTCTATATGAGAGGGTTGATGAATCAGAATATTACACCATTAAACATATTTAATTTACTATCAAATTTCGGAAATGTGTTAGTAATTATTCATATCAAGAATAAAACATCAGCATTGGTGTAATTTGAGAAATTGCAACATGCTTAAAATGCACTTGACCATCTTAATAATCAAGTGTTCTTTGGATACAAATTGAAAATCTTTTATTCCAATTATTAAGAAATTCAGTTTCCTTTGCCATTCCAATCCCCTTAAACTCAAGTATTTATGCCCATTCCCTCTCAATTCAGATTTAGTGATGGCAAATCTATATCATTCAATCCACCTAGCCAAATACTGCATTTGAGTAATATCAAAGGGAAGATGTGTGAAGATGAATCCTACATTAAAGAGATCTTTAAGGGAATTGGAAATGTTCAAGCAATCAAATTTATACATATTGACAAGTAAGAAAACCTCTATAATAGATAAAAACATATGGCATTAGTAAGATTATCATCATTAGAAGAAGCATTGAATGGAGCAGCTTTACTTCACGGCAAAGAAGTGATGGGCAGAAAGATCAATGTTTCATTTACCAAAAGTAAATTATGCTGAAATGTAACAGAGTCAGCTTTTGCTCAAGTATTATGACTTTCTAAAACAATATAATTATTAATTATCCTTATTCTTATATTTCATGCTTTTACACCAGATGATGCGAATAGATCCTCAGTTTTCTTTTCAACTTCAGGCTCGAATTAACATAATTGCAAGCTTCTTTGGAATTGGCTTATTCTTTTGATGATTCTGGAATGCAAGTAAGTCTTAGAGGCATGAATATGATAATGCAAATATTGTCTATTATCACTATGTATAATACCTAAATCCTTATAAAAATGTAGATAATTATTCTATATTCTTGCTAAAATGTTAAGCCTTGAATAATGTCATTGTTATTAATTAAGAATTTGGATCCACTTTGATATTTGACACCTCTGGAAATGCTGCTTTCAATATAGATGATTGATAATTGGATCTTGAAATGGGAGGAGCCATCTTCACATTTTTCTTTGCATCAATTATCTCGGTGATTATTAGATTTGCTAATGTTCTATCTACATTGTCAGAAAATGAAATCTCATAGAAAATGTTCAAAGCATCTTTGTCAGGGATAGCATAAACAACTTCATTCTCCCTGCTTTGATATTTGAATGGAGATGCTGCTTCTCCTTTATTGATTTGATCAAATGCCTACTCAAATGCAGCTGCATAGAAGTTTCTTCTTATCTATGAGAAATCCTTAGTGACCTTCTCAAACAATTTCTAATTTTCTGCTCTTATCTATAATTTTAGTTCTTAGATTTCTGCCTTCTCTGCTTCTGTAGCATTCTTTGGAATCTTAGGTTCTTCTTTGGCAGATGCAGCATCAAATGAAAATGTCAAATGAAATCCAACATCTACAGCTTCCTTAGTGTAATCTATCCCTTATTTATATGTAATACCCTTATAGTATTTCTCAATCATGTAGTTACCTGCTATGCTGAATATCTCATTAAAATTAAAACAAGTAAATGATAGAAACAATTTACCATCTTCCTTATATTACAATTTAGTGCATGAGTAATTGTAATCCTTTGCAACCACGATTCTTGGATCCTTTTTCCTACAATCATAATCTTAAATTACATGATCAAATCCATAATCTAGGTTTGAAGTAGCTTATTCTGTGGATCTATGAGCATCATTTTTGTTAATTATTTATTTTATTATATATTTTAGAGACAATCTTTCAATTCTCTCTAAATAAATTAAAAATATAGACTCTAATATTTTAATGCTATATTAATCACTTTTATGCTCCATTAATTCTTCTAATTTATTCTTTTACACTTTTCCTATTTTCATAAACTTGTCTTTTCATATCCAAAATGCATTCAAGAGATCTCTTGATGTACTTATGAATGAGAGAATTGTTGTTAATGTTAGGATAAATTTAATCAAACAACGCCAAACTTCTTTCCCATTATTATTCCTAACTATCAGTGTCAATATTTTATTCTTCATTTTTAATACTATTGATAAAACTACTCATTTTATCTAGAATTTCTTGATTTAATTGAATGCTTGCTTGTTAATTCTCTATTGGAAACAATGTGCAAATTATATGAGACAGATTCTATATTGCTTACATCATTTAATCATTGAATCTATCACAACAATTATATAAATCTAAATAGTTTAAAAATAATACTTAATATTCCTGCATTATTTGAAGGATTTTCCCTCACAATATTGTTAAATTGTTTATCTTATTCTGATAATTTCAAAACTAGATCATTGAATAAGAGTTGAATTTGTTTTTTTGACTGTTACAATTCTTACAATTAACTGTAAAGATCACTTTTTTTTTTCTACAACTTTTTAATAGTTTCTGCAAATTCTTTATTCTATTATATTGTTTTCTTAAAAACATCTTCAAAGTATGAAAACACCATTAAGTTACTTTTCAATTTTTCTAATAATTTTTGAATAATTTAAATGTCTACTCCATTTTCTTGTTCAATCGCACTTATAAAATTATGTAATCCTATTCTCATTTCTTTAATAATTATAATTGCTTCCTCCATTAAATTAATTATGCCGTAATATTAAGCATCCTAAAACTCGTCATCCTATATATTTTAAGAAATGTTTTGAGAAAGAATTTTATCAAATTTTATTATTATGTTTTACATTTTTTCTATTATTTAATCTCGGTCTCTATTAAAAAGTTATATTTTCTCTCTAAATTGTTCACAATTTACATCAATACTAATAGAGTTTTTTTACAAAAATTCTACTTAGTCATTCATATGAGTTTAATGATATTAAATGTTCTATTAAACCTATTCTTGGTCCTTTTCTATGAGATTCTCCAAATTTTTTTGAACTGAGATGCAACACTGATTAAAATTATCCATTTTGATTTAACTTTTAGGTGATGGTACATTTAGATCTTGATAATTTTATTCTATTAATTACTTTATGGATTTTAAGGATTAATCCCTTATTATCTAACTCTTCTCGTGACGATATCTATTGTAACAGTGTCATTCTAGCAAATTTTATTAAGTTCCTCTTCCGAACATTTCCATCCTGAAGCTTCTATCATTCTCCTCATAGCCTTCTTACACATCTATTCTTGGGAATCTAAAGGTTATCTTGGAATTTCATAGACTTGGTTTGAAATCATCTCAATTATATATTTATCAAAATGAAAATTTGCAATTGAAATATTGAATTAAATAAGTGTATATTCGTTGAATTTTAAAATTCAAATTTGTGTTTTTATTTTTGATAATATCCAATCGAGTTATATCCTATCAATAAAATCGGATTTTAGTAATTTAATCATTTTTCTAATATCTGTTATTCTTTACGGCTTCTATCTTTTCCTATTATAAATCCTTTTCCATTTTCAGTTATATAAAAAAGTTTTATAAAATATTATTTACTTATTTATATATCACCAATAGATAATCAACACTTCTATTCATATTAACGTGTATAACATAAATAGTGTTATTGTTTTTATTTTTATTCTGATAATTATTTTTTTATAGAGTCATTACTATTTACATTTTATTCTTAACTTTATAAGTTATTCTAACATTATCCTAACGTTTTGAATCATTAAAATTAAAAAATTTAATGGTTGATAATTATTCATAATTTAAGATTATAAAGTTTTTATTTAAATTTATAGTTTATAACTCAGAAATTTTTATTTCATTATTCCACACATTAAAATAAATTAAAAAAAAAGATGTCTAAATTTACAAAACCCAATTAAGTTCCCAGCAAGCTTGTCAAAACAAACCAAGGTGCACCAATAAAAAAATAAGACTCTGATTCTGACGAATTGAGCGATGTTCCACCTCCCCCCAAAAAATAATAATAACAAAAGGCAGTTGTTGGCACAACTAAAGTAGCTGCTAAAGCACCACAAGTAGATTCAGACGAGTAAGATGAACCAGTTAAGTTGGTATAAACTGTGAAAAAGGGCAGCTTTGATGCTACAAAGTCAAACACCACAAATTAAAATGTCCCTAAGTAGGCATAAAAGAAGCCTGTTCAAGAGGATGATGATTCTGATGATGTTCCACCTCCCCCAAAGAAAGGAGCAGTGGTTTAAAAAAAGCCTGTTAAATAATAGGATTCTGATGAGGAATCAGATGATGCCCCTACTCCCCCCAAAAAGGTGACTGCCCCAGTTAAACAAGTTGCTAAACCAGCTGTTTAAACTAAAGTCCCAGTTAAACCATAAATTTAATAAGATGATTCTGATGAAGAATCTGATGATGTCCCTCCTCCAAAGAAGCCTGTTGTTGCTACCAAATAAGTTGCTTCTAAGCCAGTTGTCTAAACAAAGGCCCCAGTTAAACCATAAGTTTAACAAGATGATTCAGATGAGGAATCTGAAGATGTCCCACCTCCAAAGAAGGCAGCAGTAGTCACAAAACCAGTAGCTAAACCAGCTGTCTAAACCAAGGCCCCTGTTAAACCATAAGTCTAAGAAGATTCAGATGAAGATTCAGATGATGTTCCTCCTCCCCCCAAGAAAGGAGCAGTCGCTACTAAACCAACTGTTGCTGCTACAAAACCAGTTGCAAAGGCTCCAGTCAAACCATAAGTCTAAGAAGATTCTGATGAAGACTCAGATGATGTTCCTCCTCCCCCCAAGAAACCAGTCTAATAAACTAAGGCTCCATAAAAGACTCAATAAATTGAATAAGAAGATGAGGATGAAGATGATGAAGCTCCATAACCACCTAAAGGAAAATCATTTTAACAATAATAACCTTAGAAGCAAGCTCAATAAGCTTAATAAGGATAATAAGATCATGAAGTTTTCGTAAGAGGACTCTCATTTGATGCCACCGAAGATGATATTAAAGAATTTTTCAGTGAATGTGGAAATATCAACAGCGTTAACTTGTTGAAAGGACCAAATGGAAACTCAAAGGGAATCGCTTTTGTCAGATTCTCCTCTGAAGAAGCTTAAGGTGCAGCTGTTGAATACAGTGGTTCAGAACATATGGGAAGAACAATAACTGTTGAGAAGACTAAACCAAGAGATCAAAGACCATAATAAGGAGGTTAACAAGAAGGATAAGGAGAAAGCACAACATGCTTCATTGGAAACTTGAGTTTTTATGCTACTGAAGACTCTTTGTATCCAATTTTTGAAGACTGTGGAAACATCAAGTAAGTAAGAATTGCTAAAGATGCAGAAGGAAAGGTATAATAATTGTATTAAATTTTAGTCAAGAGGATTTGGATATGTTGAATTCTTTGATAATGCTTCAGCTCAAAAGGGACTCTCAAAGACTGGAACTGATGTTGAAGGTAGAGCTATCAGAGTTGATCTTGCAAATTCATCATAAAGAAGTGGTGGTGGTAACAGAGGTGATAGAGGAGGCTTCGGAGGAAGAGGAAGCTTTGGTGGACGAGGCGACAGAGGAAGTTTCGGAGGAAGAGGCCGTGGAGGAGACAGAGGATTCTCAAGAGGAGGCCGAGGAAGAGGCGGTAATTTAGATGCTAATGATATTGCTGCTAAAAAAGGAACTATTGCTGGATTTGCTGGAAAGAAAATGGCTCTATGATATTATTATAATAAATAATAAATTTGTAGAAATTTCTAATTATTTCTCTATAGAATTCATTAATAAAGTGATCTAATGAAATTCATCTTTATTCCTTAAAATTTCATAACTATAAAATGAGTCACCGTTTGCAAAATAAAAAAAAATCATTATTATTTCTTGTTAAACTTTTTACTTTAAAAATTGAAGGGTGAACATAGATTGTAGACAATTCACTTAAATTGGATACATAATTTACCATAATTTTAAATATTATTTAAATTTATTAAATTAAACAGGACCTGGTTTAGATGTAACTTAAATCTTTAAAAAATAGATTTAAGATTGATGCAATTCAATTTGGTAAGGAAAGAATGTGGTATTTACACAAAAGATTACAGGATATTTATTGGATTTAGATAAGAATAATTCACAACTTTTATAATTTATCAATTGACTTATGTAAATACTAATTTATATGCTTTAAGCGAGATATTTCTAATTTTTAAGAATCGATAATTTCTTTCTACTCTTTAAACTTAGCTTCGTACTCTTTGATTTTTTACTACATCAGTTTTCTTTCTTCTAAGAAGTTTAAATGATCATCTAAAATTTACAATTGTTTTCTGATCACACTTTAATTCTTATTTTCTTCATCATTTTATATGTTTTATTATTTATCTTATTCATTCAACCTATTTATAGACTCTACTTTTACAAATTCTTAAGTCTCATGATTTCTTCATCTTTTTCCTGTTTATCTTCTTCTAAAGTTATCAAAGCGGACTCGTAAATCTTTATTTTATTCTCTAAAATCTACTCTCTTTCATTTATCTATTTCTTCTCATCCTCTTCATCCAAATGATCCCACTCTTCCTCTTCTTTTTCTTATTCTTGAGTTTGTTATTGAAATTCAGCTGAAAAACTAAAACGATTATCTTCTTTTGGTTTCTATAATTATCTTAAACTTTAGTTTATGAGGTTGTTTAGACTTCTACTGGATTTCGATAACTCATCATGCATATCAAGAAGTCTACTATAGATGTCTCCCTGACTGAAAGAGGATGATCTATGAGAAAGCTTCATAATTGCATTCATTAAATAGAAAATTATAATAATATGAATCAAAGTTGTTTTCCACTTTTCTTTTCAAAATTCTCCAACCATTATTTATATTTTTATTGCATTTATACAAATTAGAAATGTGCTTCCTCAATGCTTTCTTCTTCGAGTTCTTAATTTTTTTTCGAGATGAATGCAGTTTAGGAAGATGGAGTTATATTTATCAATTTCCTTTTGACTTACTGAGTATTTTTTACAACTGAAATGTCATCATCAGTTCCTAGTTAATGATAGAAAGATTCCAAGACTGTGATCCTTGTTTTACGAGCATAGGTTTCTTAAATGTTAGTTTATTTCTTTAGCTCCTCATGTTTTCCTGGTGTATGAAATCTTGTATTTTTAAGTTTAAAAGAGGGACTCTATCTTAATTGATTTACATCTTATTATTTCATCTGACATTTTAAGGAATTAAATTACCAACAATTTATCTTCAGCTGAGTTTTGCATTATCATTTTTGGAGTTTAAAAACTACTATTATTTTCTAATCTTCCACATTTTATAGCACTTCCACCTCGGCGATTGCTTTAAAAATATGGATTTACTCTTGTACCTACTATCATTTTTATTAATAAATTAAATATTCTTTTTAAGTATATTAATATCTATAATATTATATAGATGATATTTTGAGTAGTTTTAGTATTTTTCAATTTATATCCAAATTTATATTATTGTTAATCAAATATGGAATTGATTATATTAATAATATTAATCATTTTTCTTTTATGGGCTAATGTTTTGATAGTTGTAGGGAAAGCAATTCAGATAGGGTTTCATTGGAATCCCAGAATAAAGTAAGTATCTAGGAAAAAGTGTATGATAATTATAGAAATAATTTTACAACTCAAATGAGTGAATTGATTGAGAAAGAATAAATGTAGAAAACTGACATTACTCATTTTAAATTACTAAAGACATTAGGAAAAGGAGCATGTGGAAAAGTATTATTAGTGAAAAAAAAGAATAAAAATACACAATATGCAATGAAAATAGTCTCAAAGCAGAGAGCCAAAGAAGAATATATTTAGGCAGAGAGATTCATATTATAGCATATTACACATCCCTTCATTACAAAACTCCACTTTGCTTTTCAGAGTGATAGTAAACTATACTTAATAATGGATTTCTGTTAAGGAGGAGAACTCTTTTTCCATTTGAGAAGAGCCTACAAATTTAGCGAGGAATAATCAAAATTTTATATTTGTGAAATAATAGTTGCATTAGAGCATCTCCATAAAAATAAAATATTGTACAGAGATTTAAAACCAGAAAACATATTAATATGCTCAGATGGACACATCAAACTGATTGATTTCGGATTATCAAAAATATTGTCAGATATTAAAACTAGATCTCATTCAGTTGTTGGTACACCTGAATATTTAGCTCCTGAGATCTACTAAGATGAAGGATAAGGACATGACGAATAGTGCGATTGGTGGTCTTTAGGAGCCTTATTGTATGAAATGCTGACTGGAGCTGCTCCTTTTTATAGTGTCGATAGAACTCTAATGTTTAGAAATAGATTAGAAAAGCCTTTAGATATCAAACCTTGGTTTAGCGAGGAATGCAAGTCTTTGTTATAAGGATTGTTGAATAATGATGTAAATACAGGATAATTATTATTTTTAGGCTAATTAGAGGTTAGATGTTAATTAAATAAAATCACACGGGTTCTTTAGGGGGATAGATTGGGAAGGTGTTGTTTACAAGTAATTGGAGCCTCCTATCAAATTGGAATTGAAGGGACCTTCAGACTTATAATATTTTAATAGGGTAGTAAAAATAAACTGATTTTAGATGTTTATAGATGAACCAGCTATAGACAGTCCTGAATCATGCAGAAATGAGAAGAAATTTGAGAATTTTAGTTTCGATGAAGATGAATCTTGATTTATCTATTTAATGTGATATAATTAATTACAAATATAGTTAAAATCATTATTAAAATCTGCTAGCACCATATCTAACTTCCAATCTTAGATTATCATCAATTGTTAATCCTGCACATACTTTAACTAAATTTTCAAGCATAGCTCTTTGTCTTGATAGAGAATTGATGGTAGTGATTCCACTTTCTGATTTTGGAGCTTTCATCAAATAACTCAACCAAGATAAGACTGTGTCGAATCTTTGATATTCAGAAGAATCTTTGGAGAATTGAATTCTCTCAAATAATTCGCACAATAACAATAGATCCATAATCAATGGAGCAGCCAATAATGAATCTTCACAAACATTGTAAACTGCAAAAGTTTATCTTCCTCCCAAAAAGATTTCAGCAATATACTCATCCATAGCCTTCTTGCTATCTCCAGTTTCAGGACAGTACTTAATAACAATGGTATGATCAATGTTCAATTCTTCTTCTGTTGGATATAAAACTTTATTGGATTCCAAGATGTCATCAACACAAGTCTTCTTGCTTCTCTCCTTGCTTTTGAAGCAAGACTCTTATGATAAATTCTTTCCATCGTTATTTCCCAAATGATTATATGAGATAATGGCTTTTGGTTTGATACCAGCACCAACCAAATATTCAACTAAACAAGTCTTGAATTTAGTCTATCCAGTCTTGAAATCATCTCCTGCAACAAAGACTCCAGCCTTTTCTGCTAATTCAATAACTCCTGGAACAATTGTATTTTATGGTGATCCATTAATGAATGAGCATCCTTCCAAACATGCAGCACATGCAAATATTGTTGAGGCACTAATCTCTGGATGACTTGATTCAATTGATTTTAATAATTTCTCAGCTGTTCCATGAATATTTGGATCCTCAACACAAAATCTCTCTGTATTTGCTGTCCACAAGAGGATTACTTTATCCAAATTATTTTATTATTTGAAATCTGCAATATTCTTTCTAATTATGTTAAGATGCTCTAATTTATTATTTCCTGGAATGACATTGTCTGCTCTATCTCCCTAATTAGCTGCAATGAAATCTGGATAATAAATTGAGGGTAATGGAACCAACTTTTCTAAATATGGTCTCAATTTTTATTGTAAATCATATTCAACAACTTATGCTCTGCTCATAGCATCAGCCAAATTCATTGAACTGATATCCCATCCACCAAATACTATATCACATGGATTAACCATAGGTAACACATCTTTGAATGGAACAAAGACTTCTTCAGTGTTGCATGTACCAATCTTAATGACACTACTTTATGTAAGAGATCCATAAAAATTTGGTTGATGAGTTCCTCTTCTGCTATTCCATGTAATATTGAATTTGTTGGCCAATATACCACCAGTAAGAGTTGTTCCATTGTTTCCTCCCCATCCAACAAGCATAACACCTACTTTTGGAATTCTGGTGTCAGTCTTGAATTTGAAATTTGTAATCTGGGGTTTTGCTATGTACTTGTCTCCATTCTTTTCAATGTTGGTTGACTTATAATCATAGTTGGAAATTAAGAAGTGATCATCTTATTGTGTTGTGGTTGATTAGACTTTCATTGATTGAATTAATTATTAACTAATTTAGTTCAATTATGTATTTGTAAACATTAGAGTGCGCATAAATTTTACAAATTATTAACAAATGCGTATTTCTAAAAAAGAAGTGCGCACTTCATTATTAATAATTAAAAAAAGTGCATATTTAAAATAATTGAAAAATTATTAATTATTGCTATTAAAATTCAAGAATTATAAATATTTATAAAATCTAATTATAGATTATTTTTCATTTAGAAATTAGGTTATCTTATCTTTAGTTTTTACACAGATCGTCAGATATTGAATTAAGGTAGGCATATAATAATATCAATATATATATATAAATGGATTAACTAAATCATGAATGTATGAGCATTAACTCAGCCTAATAGTTAGCTATCTGCTAGAGTAGTATTTCAGATGTGGGTAACTTCTTTTTATTATTTTGATGATATGCTTTAAGACAAAGATTGAGCTTAATCATAAGCAAAGTTCTTTTGTCAAAATATAATTGATGATCCAAAAGAGAATCTAATTAGGTAATCTCATTAGTAGTAATTGTTATCACAGAAGATTTAGAAGTTCTAATGTTGAATTAGTATAGGCATGGATTTAGTGCTTTTTTGGGTTGTTTGGTTACTTCTTATTCATCTTCATGAGAATTGGCCTTAGTTGTAATCAAAGATTAAGGTGGAGATACTTCGGATGGCTTAGATACAGGAGGAGCTATGTATTTGATGGTCTTCTTGAATTTGATAGTCATGGCAGCTTTGAGGATTTGATGTAGTAAATTGATGATACGCAATATTCTTAAGAGGAGAGTGGCAGCGTAGATAGTATCAGTGTTAGTGATAACCTCTAAGATAACAAGGAGATCGAAGAACATGAAGCACCCATAAATAAATTGAAAAGGATCTTGGAAATTACGAAAGTATTTATATATATCTGGGGTAAGTAGTGAGGCAACTACATATCTCACCTAGCTAAGGAACACCATCATACCTTGGTGTCTGAGTAATTATTGTACTCATGAATGAGTGACAATCTCAATACTCCCTAAGCCGGCATTTTGTAAGGCAACCTCAATCTATCCAATAATAGAACATTCAATGTCAGTTCTACACTTCCCCAAATTAGTTCACCCAAGTTTCCCTCTATCATAGATCCGTTTTAAAATATTAAAAATTATATAAATTATCAAATTTTCCCTCTTGTAGCAAAGTAAAACGCTAATCCAGCCAAACAACCACCCAAATGAGCATCATGACCAATACCACTTCCATCACCTTATCCTGCCCAACCTTAGTATAATATCAATAATCCCACTATCCATGCTGGTACAGGAATAAAGAACAATAATATTATTTCTCTAGGAAAATTGCAAATATAATATGTTAATAAAGCATTGCATGCAGCACTTGCACCCAATGATATCCCTGCTTATCTTGATTACATCAATCCTCCTACTAGTGCTCCTGCCAAATATATTGCTAGCAATCTTTTTGATCCAAAATAAGCTTCTATTGTCCTTCCAAAGAAGTAAAAAGTCACCATATTAAATACTTAAAATTTCTAGAATTTTTACTTAAATGTAATGTATTCTAATGTGAAAATGAATATGTTATAAATGTATGCAATTCTCTTATATTCATAGATCCAGGATGAAGAGTAAAATGCCTATACATAAAATTCTAATATTCATGTATTATATATTCACCTTGTCAACTGCAGGAAAATGCCATAATGCATATACACCAACATTTATTCCTATTAAGTAAAAGTAAAGAGGCATTTATAATCTGTCTAAAAATCGATCTACTTATCCATATTAAAATTAGGGCTTATGATTAAGCAAGTATGTCTATTTCAATTATTATGGTGATTTTGACAATAATTTGGCTATTTTTATCATTAATAATATTAATACAATATTATGAATAATATTTCAAATCTAATAGGATAACGAAGAGATTCAAAACAATCTAAGTGCTCTCCATCTATTAATAAATAAACTTCTCAATAAATTCAAATATATGATCAATTGAAGAATTCCTTAAAATGTGACTGTTAAAAACAAAACAATAAAGATTACTCTTAATATCAAATCTTTGAATATAAAACTTAAAAAGAACTAGAATTTTTAATGCAATTTATCCAATAGGCATGTATTCATAATCCTTAATGCATTCATGAATAATTATTCGAAAAAAATTTGCAAAATAAAAAATTCCGATAATTATGCGATTTTAGAATTGATTGGACCAAACTAATTTTAAAAGCTGAGAAGCAATTTGAAAAAGCACTTATCAAGAAATAAATGGCCATAAATTATTAACCAAATAATGATTGCTTCAAAATAATAATCTTAGAGGCCATTAATAATAAAGAGAACTCTCTAAAAATGCTCATTGATAAATCAAAATAAGAACTATAATTTATAGAATATGCTAAGAGATTTGCCATTAAATTATAATAGAAATTAGATTGTCCAGAATCCTTATTATGCTAATTTGAAGATGTGTAAAATCGTAAGAAATACATTCATCCTCCATCGATTTGGTCGATTATGAATTGTTCATGTAATACTACTAGTATAATTTGATAATAGTCATTTGCTCTTTAATTATTCTTTTAATTCTATTATTTCTTGTTGTAACAATTTTATGAACTGTTCTTAATGTGTCATTTAAGCCTTTGTTATTTCCTCTCGGATCTATTCTTACAATTAATTTTATTTATTGTTTTCCAATAACTAGGATGATTTACATTGCAATTCAACTGTTAACTTTTGAATCATTATCTAAGAATCGTTCAACTTTATTATTAATTCATTCTTCTCCTATTTTAATTGATCCACTTAACTTAACATTATAAAATTTTATTGATCAAAATGATCATATTAAAATTGTTATTACTCAATCGATGTTTCTAATTCATAAATCTAATTCAATAATGCTTAATTTTCGTATTCTAATTATACAATCCTTTCGCTTTTTTGATTCATGAGTAATGTCAATTAATCTAATTCATTTATTAAAGTTTCCAACTGACCTGAGAATAACAATTTTTATCTGAATGCACTTTATTACAATTATTATTCATAAGTCAATATTTATTGCTTCAATTATCTATTATTCATAATCTGTTCATCTAATTGCATTTGCAATCTTCGAGTCTTCTCTTTGAATTGCTCTTCTAGTTTACAGATGTAATTTTGAAACTAATTGACTTATGCTTTCAAATTTGATATTTCTGAGTGATAAAAATCATAACTTAATTCAATATGAGGTGTCTCTTAAGTGCTTGAATTGTGCTACCAATCTCTGACTGTATACTCTGACATTAGTAAATTTTAATTATAACAGCTAAATGTATTAATATATTCATGAGTAACGTATTTTAATAATTTGTTTTGCCTCGCTTTACTATTTATGTAATCCTTCTTTTATTTTCATAAACTATTCCTTTTAAGAAACTAGAATCAAGATGTAAATTTTGATGAAGATCTTAGTTTTTAATTAAGTTGTCTAGAATAGTTTTGGAAAATTAACTCAAACTTGAAATAAAAGCATTAATTTATTTTCTGAAATTTTCTATTTGGTAGTTCTCAACTTCTTCTTAATTGGCGAATTTGTTATTCTTATTCTCATCATACTAGAGATATTTTTACAATATCTTTTTAAAAAAATTGTCTACAAAGTTAAATGTTAATGATCTTGTTGATTTCTAATAAACAAAACAATATCTTCGCCGAAAATAAATTGTTGATATCAAAATCTTGTCTATACAGATTGTAGATTAGGATTTTTACCAACAGAATCAATTCAAGAGATTAACTTTCTATGAACTTAAAGATATTCCATAACTATTAATTATTATGCATCAATAGTTTCTTTATTTTCAAAGTATCTTCCATTAATATTCTAGAATCAACTTCCCAAGAATTCATTGATGTAGATTTATTAATTTTCTTTATTAATTATTATTTCATACAATAATTATTATGCAATACAAAATTAAGACATTTCGTAAATATAATATTGACAGATCAGGTACTCTGTAATTACAACCATTTTAGACCTTTTTAAGATAGCTTATCTATCCCCTTAAGAGTTGAAACCATCAACTTCATGCGAAGTTAGACGCTAATAAAATAATAAAAAATTCACTACCGAAATTGAAAATGAGGATAATCCGCCAACTTAAATCATTGATATATCCAAATTACCAAATGGATAATTCAAGGATAGAAGTAATATATAAAATTTTATATCTAATTTCCAGGATACATGCACACCGATGAAACATTCTTTGTTAAAATGGGAGGTAAAAATAGGGATCTAATTGCAGAAAGACTAAGATCCAAATAATCAGATAGATAGAGCCCTTTCAAATTTAAAGGTACTTTTAATAAAATTGTTAATTTAGTTAGAAAATCCATTTTTCAATCAAAATTTCATCAAAAAAACCCTTAGATTATAAAAAAATTGCTCTCCCATTTCATCTAAAACTATTCGAACATCATAAACAAAACTCTCGTTTCTCTAAGTAATTGATATAAAGCCTGTTACAATTAAAGAATAATAATTAAGAAGAGCATCCTCATTTACATCGGCAAAACAAAAGCTATTTAAGATTCTATCTGAAAAATCATGATTTATAATAATTAGTTATAAAAAAAAATTCTTTTGCTTCTTAATTATAGATACACTAATACATTATTATATAATATAGATTAAAAAATATATATATACAAAAAAATGTAAGAATGATAATGATGAAAAAGATTATGATATTGAGGTGATGTTAGAAAAGGATATAGTTATGAGAAAATAATAAAAATGATGTTGAAATGGAGGATGTATTATAATAATATTAAGAAGAGAATGATATTGTGTATTTGTATTTGTGGATTGAATAATGATATTGAACTCATGCTAGTTAAGCTGCATTAACTTTATTGCAAGTATCTTCTAATAAAGCTAGAAGTGTTTCTTCTGTTGATTCTCTAAGATGATAATAAGAAATAGAAACCTTTATTTTTTTTCATTGTCAACTTCAGTTTTGATTCTATTGACAACATCTTTTAACATATCAAAGATTGCTTATTCTGATTCTTATCTATTGACTTTCTCTTAAACTAATAATTAGTTTAATTTGCTTAATTCTTCATTCATTTTTCTAGATATATTTGAATCCATTTCTTCTCTTTCTGCTACTTCTGTCTTTATAGCTTCATGTAATCTTGGTAAATCTGTTTCTAAACATTAATTTAATCTTTCAATATTTTCATTTCTTGTTCTACTTTCTGTACTCAATTCACTTCTTATCAATCCTGTCTTCTCTTCAATAAATCTTATAATCTTTTATTCTCCATCTTTTCTTGTTGATGTCAATCCTTCAACTGCCTAATTGAATGAATTCTCTAAATCTATATATTCCTTTTATTTCTATTCGAAATGTTATTCTCTTTATAATTTTGTTTAATCCAACACTTTCTATAATTTCAATACACTATCTTTTATCAAGGCTACTCTTTAACTTAATTATTCATTCAATTCATTCAATCCAGATTCCAATTAATCTAATCTTGTCTCTGATTCCTCTATTCTTTTAGTCTATATATTTATTATTTATATTACTCTCTCTCCTTCTATTGTTAAATCCATTTAACTTAATTAAGAACTTATTTTTGCTACTCTCTCTCTTGATGGTGAATAATCTAATTTATTTCACTATACATTACTTCTATTGTTTGACATATCTAACTGATTATTTAAATTAAAAGATAATATTAATATAAATAAATTTATTGCTAATGNGTTTTTTTTTTATTATTAAAATCTATAGTAATATTAAAGACATTTTTCAGATCTGTATTCTAGCCATTTATATAATAAACTTAAATTTTATTGGCTTAAGTTAAATGATATAGATATTTCTGGAAATTGTTTCCTTAAAGGAATAAAGTAAAATAGTCATAAATTTGGTCAAAAAATATGTGAATAGCAGACTTCCATAGATTAGTAAATACAGCATGGGTGTAGTACATTATTAGGAACAAGTATCTGAAATCAATATATCAGTAAGTACTCATTCTGTATTTTATGTGATATTTATATAAATAATAACATTTACATATACATAAGTAAATATATAAAAAAAGATGATAAAGATGAAATGGAGGATGTATTATAATAATATTAAGAAGAGAATGATATTGTGTATTTGTATTTGTGGATTGAATAATGATATTGAACTCATGCTAGTTAAGCTGCATTAACTTTATTGCAAGTATCTTCTAATAAAGCTAGAAGTGTTTCTTCTGTTGATTCTCTAAGATGATAATAAGAAATAGAAACCTTTATTTTTTTTCATTGTCAACTTCAGTTTTGATTCTATTGACAACATCTTTTAACATATCAAAGATTGCTTATTCTGATTCTTATCTATTGACTTTCTCTTAAACTAATAATTAGTTTAATTTGCTTAATTCTTCATTCATTTTTCTAGATATATTTGAATCCATTTCTTCTCTTTCTGCTACTTCTGTCTTTATAGCTTCATGTAATCTTGGTAAATCTGTTTCTAAACATTAATTTAATCTTTCAATATTTTCATTTCTTGTTCTACTTTCTGTACTCAATTCACTTCTTATCAATCCTGTCTTCTCTTCAATAAATCTTATAATCTTTTATTCTCCATCTTTTCTTGTTGATGTCAATCCTTCAACTGCCTAATTGAATGAATTCTCTAAATCTATATATTCCTTTTATTTCTATTCGAAATGTTATTCTCTTTATAATTTTGTTTAATCCAACACTTTCTATAATTTCAATACACTATCTTTTATCAAGGCTACTCTTTAACTTAATTATTCATTCAATTCATTCAATCCAGATTCCAATTAATCTAATCTTGTCTCTGATTCCTCTATTCTTTTAGTCTATATATTTATTATTTATATTACTCTCTCTCCTTCTATTGTTAAATCCATTTAACTTAATTAAGAACTTATTTTTGCTACTCTCTCTCTTGATGGTGAATAATCTAATTTATTTCACTATACATTACTTCTATTGTTTGACATATCTAACTGATTATTTAAATTAAAAGATAATATTAATATAAATAAATTTATTGCTAATTTATTTTGCTCAAATATCATTTATTTATTAGTTATTATTAGAATATTTATAATTTTATATAAAATTTAACATTTAACCAAATTTAGACATATCTCCATTTTATCTTATCCTTTAATTAATGCCATTTTAAGTTTAGCATAAGGCTTTTTGCATTGTTGTTTCTTAATGTGATTCAGTTGATTCCTTCACAAATGTTCTTTTCTTTATACAAGTTTTCTACTTTAATTGGATTAAGTTACATAATAAGTGTTTCGAATGAAATTTTGGAGTAAAATCATATGTCACTAGAGCTTTTTAAATTAATATCAATAAACAGAATTAAAAATAGTTTTTGCTAAACCTAAAGGAATAAATATTTTGTTAGAACATTGAATTTTTTTGTTTGAATTGCATATACATATATAAATAATAATAGATACTCTAGTAGTCATTTATGTAATGTTTATATTAAAAACAATATCGGGTTTCCTGAATTTGGATGAAAATAATTAAAGTCTAAAATGATGAATTAACTGAATTTCTGTTAATTTAAAAGCATTTAGAAAAAATAAAAATGAAATTAGATCTAAGACTTTATTCTTAAAAAGGAATATCACTTAGAGTTTAATTTTAATTAGTAATATATGTCAATCATATTTTGAGTAACTTCTTTATTTAAAGCTTTATTTTCCTTTTAATCCAGTCTTGGTAACAAAACTTGTTTTTGTTGTATCGAACCTAAATGACTATTCTTACGGTTACCGACTGGGTTATTTATATATCGTTTATTAATGTTGTTAATTTTTTGGGGAAGATTTATTGCTATGTACGTTTAATGAAACCTTTTTCTACAAAACAGCTTTTTCTTATTGTTTAAGATTTGTATCCTTTTCTTAAAATTCTCTTTTAGAATTTTGTCTACCTGTTTATATTTACAAATTTTTTTAGGGTTTTTCAGAAGAATTTAAATCAAGTCGATTTCTTTAGATGATAACAGTTTTGTTAAGTGGGGATGCTTATTGTTTTTGTGTGTTGGGTTTAGTGGAGGATAAATAAGTAGGAGGTTTTAAACAAGCCTTCACTAATTCTTAATAATTTTTAGGAGGTGTTTCATTTGGCTAAGTATTATTAGGGACACTGGATTATCTTAGTACTGTTTTTTCATAGAAATCGTTAAAGAACTTTCCTTTTTTTCTAGTTCCATCTTAATAAATTAGTTCACCTTCACCATGCTTTTTATCATTCATATAATATCCCTTATATGAGTATGTTGAACATCTGTACTCTCCATAGCCAGTTTTAAGACCATTTTTAAATTTTCCATGAAAATAAGCACCACTTGAGTAAAAATATTCTCCATCTCCTTCAGGTTTCCCATTTTAATACATTCCAACATATCTATCCCCATTTGCGAATAGTTCTTCACCAAAACCATGTTTCAAACTATCCTTAAATTCTCCTTTGTATTAATCTCCATTAATCCATTTATGTTATCCTTTACCATTGGGCTTTCCTTCAATCCAAAATCCAGTATACATATCTCCCTTTAAGCCCATCCAAGTTCCTTATCCGTGTTTATTGCCGTTAAACCATTCTCCTTCATAATATTCGCCATTTGCCCATGTAAATTTTCCTTAGCCTTCCGGCTTTCCATTTACATATAGCCCTTAATAATAAGATTTAGATGGAAAAAATTCCCAGCCTTGACCATGCTTACGATTGTTATTAAACTCTCCTTCATATACATGTTCCTAATCCATCAGCAGTACACCTTTACCATGTTTTTAGCCATTGAATACCTACCCAAAATAGATTTTGTTTTTTGAAGCAACAATATTAAAATTAGGTAGCTGTTTTAATTCCTAAAATGAATATCCCTTTGTATTATTCTTATAACTTTGTATTCTTAATATTATCAGATTATCGATCATTTAATTAATTTATGTTAAAATTNGCTTTATCAATGCCCCAATCAATATATTAAAAATTCAGAGAAAAATTCAAAGATTAGTCTACTGCAATTTTAAATAACGATATCTGCTTCTCTAGCAGTTATTATCTCAGCCTGTTTATTTGAAAAACATATAAATCACAATTATTTTCCATAATTTCAGTTCTCTTTAAATTATATTATAAACTGATTTTGCTATCATAAAAAATATAATAAGAGAGTTATTTATTTCAATATATATTATAATCAGTATAGATTCCATTACAATGTTAACAGAAGATTATTACCTTTCACTTATAATTTAAAGATTTTTCTACAATAAAATTAAGTTTTTTTAATTGATCTTGGATGTGTCTTTTGTATGTTTCCTCAAATGATATGGGAGTTTTCTTTTTTTCTTTATCTTTCAATATAAAATTCTCCTTCTCTTTTGACTTAGATTTTGATTTAGATTATGCGGCATCTATGGACCTTTTCCTTTTTTCTGCCGTTGCCTTAGTTTATTTCAAATATAGTTTTTATTTTGGTTTAAATAATCTAAGATATTATTTAATAAATACTATTTCTTATGCTTTTCAAAAAGTTAATTAAAATCTTTTTATATTTATAGGTTAGCATTTTAATTATTATATTTTTGGATCAGAATGTTGCTTTCCTCGCTTTCCAAATTTTCATTTAGATTTTGGCAAGTGTAGTTTTGGAATTGAATTTAAGAATTTGATTATTATTACAATTATTATTGTTATTCTATCTATTATTGCATCTCTGTTGAAACCATTTTTCTTTGTGTTTGTAGCTATTCTCCGTTCAAAACCTGTAAGAGATCTAAATTAATTTATTTTTGTTCATTCAATTCTTGTCTGATTAAAGATAGCTATTGATTCATTGATTCTTGAATTTATTAATTCATCTAATAAAGATTCTGCAGAGGAGAAGCATCAGGTTCTTCTTCTAGATGAACTATTTTCTTTTTTAAATCATTTTAAAGAATTTGATTATGCAATTACATCAATGTATTTAATTAATTAGAAATTTCATCTCTATTACTAATTAACATGTCTTATTCTCTTGAAAAATTCTAAAATACATATCATTTGAATAAATACTTATAATTAAGCTTGTAATTAATTTTTTTCAAAAGATAATTATTACAATTCTAATAAAAAGTTAGTCTTTTTTTCTTCCTCCTCCTATATTAGCTTTTCACTTTGTTCCTGAATATCAAATAATTTTTCTTCTTATTCTTTAAGAATTAATATCTTTTGTTCATTCAATTTTCGCTATTCTTCAATCTCTAAAGTTCTTAATAATGATTCCAATTCAAATTTCGCCTATTATTATTCTCTTAACAAATTGATTTGCTCTTAATCTAATATTTATTATTCTCTATGAAGATGATCTAATTTTGATGTTAACATAGTATTTTTATCCTCATCATAATTTTCTAATTTTTGTGTTAATAATTGTAAAATAGGATTTGATAAATTCAACTTCTATGGTGATTGCTTTGAGACGGATTTTGCTTATGATGAGTGTAATTAGGAGTTTTCTGTTTGATTAAGTTTTCTCATTCTTTATTCAAATTATTATAATTCTCTTTCCAATTCTTATTTACTTTTAAGATATGAATCTCTAGAAATAGGATAGAGATGAGGCGCATTGTTTTAGTCAAGAATTTAAAGTTTGTGTTCAAGTTGATTTATTAATTGATGAGTCTTAGATAACTTGAATTTGGATCTGTTTTCATCTTCTGATTCTTCATCACTCATTTGAAAATCAAATTAATAATAATCATTTTTTTTATTCAATTTTAACATAAATTAATTAAATGATCGATAATCTGATAATATTAAGAATACAAAGTTATAAGAATAATACAAAGGGATATTCATTTTAGGAATTAAAACAGCTACCTAATTTTAATATTGTTGCTTCAAAAAACAAAATCTATTTTGGGTAGGTATTCAATGGCTAAAAACATGGTAAAGGTGTACTGCTGATGGATTAGGAACATGTATATGAAGGAGAGTTTAATAACAATCGTAAGCATGGTCAAGGCTGGGAATTTTTTCCATCTAAATCTTATTATTAAGGGCTATATGTAAATGGAAAGCCGGAAGGCTAAGGAAAATTTACATGGGCAAATGGCGAATATTATGAAGGAGAATGGTTTAACGGCAATAAACACGGATAAGGAACTTGGATGGGCTTAAAGGGAGATATGTATACTGGATTTTGGATTGAAGGAAAGCCCAATGGTAAAGGATAACATAAATGGATTAATGGAGATTAATACAAAGGAGAATTTAAGGATAGTTTGAAACATGGTTTTGGTGAAGAACTATTCGCAAATGGGGATAGATATGTTGGAATGTATTAAAATGGGAAACCTGAAGGAGATGGAGAATATTTTTACTCAAGTGGTGCTTATTTTCATGGAAAATTTAAAAATGGTCTTAAAACTGGCTATGGAGAGTACAGATGTTCAACATACTCATATAAGGGATATTATATGAATGATAAAAAGCATGGTGAAGGTGAACTAATTTATTAAGATGGAACTAGAAAAAAAGGAAAGTTCTTTAACGATTTCTATGAAAAAACAGTACTAAGATAATCCAGTGTCCCTAATAATACTTAGCCAAATGAAACACCTCCTAAAAATTATTAAGAATTAGTGAAGGCTTGTTTAAAACCTCCTACTTATTTATCCTCCACTAAACCCAACACACAAAAACAATAAGCATCCCCACTTAACAAAACTGTTATCATCTAAAGAAATCGACTTGATTTAAATTCTTCTGAAAAACCCTAAAAAAATTTGTAAATATAAACAGGTAGACAAAATTCTAAAAGAGAATTTTAAGAAAAGGATACAAATCTTAAACAATAAGAAAAAGCTGTTTTGTAGAAAAAGGTTTCATTAAACGTACATAGCAATAAATCTTCCCCAAAAAATTAACAACATTAATAAACGATATATAAATAACCCAGTCGGTAACCGTAAGAATAGTCATTTAGGTTCGATACAACAAAAACAAGTTTTGTTACCAAGACTGGATTAAAAGGAAAATAAAGCTTTAAATAAAGAAGTTACTCAAAATATGATTGACATATATTACTAATTAAAATTAAACTCTAAGTGATATTCCTTTTTAAGAATAAAGTCTTAGATCTAATTTCATTTTTATTTTTTCTAAATGCTTTTAAATTAACAGAAATTCAGTTAATTCATCATTTTAGACTTTAATTATTTTCATCCAAATTCAGGAAACCCGATATTGTTTTTAATATAAACATTACATAAATGACTACTAGAGTATCTATTATTATTTATATATGTATATGCAATTCAAACAAAAAAATTCAATGTTCTAACAAAATATTTATTCCTTTAGGTTTAGCAAAAACTATTTTTAATTCTGTTTATTGATATTAATTTAAAAAGCTCTAGTGACATATGATTTTACTCCAAAATTTCATTCGAAACACTTATTATGTAACTTAATCCAATTAAAGTAGAAAACTTGTATAAAGAAAAGAACATTTGTGAAGGAATCAACTGAATCACATTAAGAAACAACAATGCAAAAAGCCTTATGCTAAACTTAAAATGGCATTAATTAAAGGATAAGATAAAATGGAGATATGTCTAAATTTGGTTAAATGTTAAATTTTATATAAAATTATAAATATTCTAATAATAACTAATAAATAAATGATATTTGAGCAAAATAAATTAGCAATAAATTTATTTATATTAATATTATCTTTTAATTTAAATAATCAGTTAGATATGTCAAACAATAGAAGTAATGTATAGTGAAATAAATTAGATTATTCACCATCAAGAGAGAGAGTAGCAAAAATAAGTTCTTAATTAAGTTAAATGGATTTAACAATAGAAGGAGAGAGAGTAATATAAATAATAAATATATAGACTAAAAGAATAGAGGAATCAGAGACAAGATTAGATTAATTGGAATCTGGATTGAATGAATTGAATGAATAATTAAGTTAAAGAGTAGCCTTGATAAAAGATAGTGTATTGAAATTATAGAAAGTGTTGGATTAAACAAAATTATAAAGAGAATAACATTTCGAATAGAAATAAAAGGAATATATAGATTTAGAGAATTCATTCAATTAGGCAGTTGAAGGATTGACATCAACAAGAAAAGATGGAGAATAAAAGATTATAAGATTTATTGAAGANATATGTATTTTAGAATTTTTCAAGAGAATAAGACATGTTAATTAGTAATAGAGATGAAATTTCTAATTAATTAAATACATTGATGTAATTGCATAATCAAATTCTTTAAAATGATTTAAAAAAGAAAATAGTTCATCTAGAAGAAGAACCTGATGCTTCTCCTCTGCAGAATCTTTATTAGATGAATTAATAAATTCAAGAATCAATGAATCAATAGCTATCTTTAATCAGACAAGAATTGAATGAACAAAAATAAATTAATTTAGATCTCTTACAGGTTTTGAACGGAGAATAGCTACAAACACAAAGAAAAATGGTTTCAACAGAGATGCAATAATAGATAGAATAACAATAATAATTGTAATAATAATCAAATTCTTAAATTCAATTCCAAAACTACACTTGCCAAAATCTAAATGAAAATTTGGAAAGCGAGGAAAGCAACATTCTGATCCAAAAATATAATAATTAAAATGCTAACCTATAAATATAAAAAGATTTTAATTAACTTTTTGAAAAGCATAAGAAATAGTATTTATTAAATAATATCTTAGATTATTTAAACCAAAATAAAAACTATATTTGAAATAAACTAAGGCAACGGCAGAAAAAAGGAAAAGGTCCATAGATGCCGCATAATCTAAATCAAAATCTAAGTCAAAAGAGAAGGAGAATTTTATATTGAAAGATAAAGAAAAAAAGAAAACTCCCATATCATTTGAGGAAACATACAAAAGACACATCCAAGATCAATTAAAAAAACTTAATTTTATTGTAGAAAAATCTTTAAATTATAAGTGAAAGGTAATAATCTTCTGTTAACATTGTAATGGAATCTATACTGATTATAATATATATTGAAATAAATAACTCTCTTATTATATTTTTTATGATAGCAAAATCAGTTTATAATATAATTTAAAGAGAACTGAAATTATGGAAAATAATTGTGATTTATATGTTTTTCAAATAAACAGGCTGAGATAATAACTGCTAGAGAAGCAGATATCGTTATTTAAAATTGCAGTAGACTAATCTTTGAATTTTTCTCTGAATTTTTAATATATTGATTGGGGCATTGATAAAGCATTAGCAATAAATTTATTTATATTAATATTATCTTTTAATTTAAATAATCAGTTAGATATGTCAAACAATAGAAGTAATGTATAGTGAAATAAATTAGATTATTCACCATCAAGAGAGAGAGTAGCAAAAATAAGTTCTTAATTAAGTTAAATGGATTTAACAATAGAAGGAGAGAGAGTAATATAAATAATAAATATATAGACTAAAAGAATAGAGGAATCAGAGACAAGATTAGATTAATTGGAATCTGGATTGAATGAATTGAATGAATAATTAAGTTAAAGAGTAGCCTTGATAAAAGATAGTGTATTGAAATTATAGAAAGTGTTGGATTAAACAAAATTATAAAGAGAATAACATTTCGAATAGAAATAAAAGGAATATATAGATTTAGAGAATTCATTCAATTAGGCAGTTGAAGGATTGACATCAACAAGAAAAGATGGAGAATAAAAGATTATAAGATTTATTGAAGAGAAGACAGGATTGATAAGAAGTGAATTGAGTACAGAAAGTAGAACAAGAAATGAAAATATTGAAAGATTAAATTAATGTTTAGAAACAGATTTACCAAGATTACATGAAGCTATAAAGACAGAAGTAGCAGAAAGAGAAGAAATGGATTCAAATATATCTAGAAAAATGAATGAAGAATTAAGCAAATTAAACTAATTATTAGTTTAAGAGAAAGTCAATAGATAAGAATCAGAATAAGCAATCTTTGATATGTTAAAAGATGTTGTCAATAGAATCAAAACTGAAGTTGACAATGAAAAAAAATAAAGGTTTCTATTTCTTATTATCATCTTAGAGAATCAACAGAAGAAACACTTCTAGCTTTATTAGAAGATACTTGCAATAAAGTTAATGCAGCTTAACTAGCATGAGTTCAATATCATTATTCAATCCACAAATACAAATACACAATATCATTCTCTTCTTAATATTATTATAATACATCCTCCATTTCATCTTTATCATCTTTTTTTATATATTTACTTATGTATATGTAAATGTTATTATTTATATAAATATCACATAAAATACAGAATGAGTACTTACTGATATATTGATTTCAGATACTTGTTCCTAATAATGTACTACACCCATGCTGTATTTACTAATCTATGGAAGTCTGCTATTCACATATTTTTTGACCAAATTTATGACTATTTTACTTTATTCCTTTAAGGAAACAATTTCCAGAAATATCTATATCATTTAACTTAAGCCAATAAAATTTAAGTTTATTATATAAATGGCTAGAATACAGATCTGAAAAATGTCTTTAATATTACTATAGATTTTAATAATAAAAAAAAAACAGGTAAGTTTTTAGACTTAATCAGAAAATTTAAATAATAAGATAAAACTAAGCTAAACAATTAAAATGTTCTTTAAAGGCTTCTACAATAAATCATTCTTAATTAGTTATATTATCAGTGCACGCTTGACTACTCATATAAATGTTTAGAAGTGGAAATTGGCACAAATGGAACATTAAATCTAGAAATCCAAATCAACTATTAATGATTACTATAGTTAATCTGGCTTTTAGAAATCGGAATAATTATTTTAATCATTATTACTAAAGCCAATTGAAATGATAATAGATTGCAGTGCTTGATTCCAATAATGAAAGCATAACTAAAAAATTTCAGATTCAAATGGAATAAAATGCTTAGAATAACATTTCAATCTACTCAAAATTATCCAATATAAATTTATATCTGAATTAATTGGAGATTTTAGATAAGAAGTTGAAAGTAAATATCAGTTTAAATCATATTTAATAGAACACAGAAGTTATTCTTAAAATAATAAGTTACTTTGATAGCCCCTAAATAAAATTAAGGTTATTTGAATATGTCGCTTTCAATTTACAACTATCTAACACTGTTCTCTTATTAGATTTGATCTTAAAACGTATTGAATTGTTAAAAAAATTAAAAAGAAACTCTAGACGAATTAAAGAAAATACGATTTTTTGTTTCACCAGTTTAATATTTTAATATAAATGCTATCAGTAATCTAAGTTCTTTTAACAAATATAATTGAGAACTTCATAAAATTAACATAGAAATAAATCTAATTATAATAGAAAATCTAGATTATATAAATCTAAAGTTTGAAAATTTTGCAAGTACAATATGATTATCTAAATGAAAAATATAAATTGATTATATTTATTTGTAATAGTTTATTTATACTTGGTTTTATATAATATAAATTAATTACTAACAGTCAGATGTTCAATAAAGTTGGAAATAAAGAAAACAAATATACGTTGAAAACAGATGAATCAAATATTGAGGAGTTGCCACATATTACAAAAATCAAAAGTGATCATTTGGAGCAATTAATATTTAATGTTAAATTATATACAGAGAATCAAAACCTTGATCAAATGAAAAAATTCTTGGTAATGAATTATAAAAAATTCAATGATTTGTAATGTGCCATCGAGTAGCTTGAATCAGAATTAGAATAGTTGAACAGATAGGAATCACAATTTGAAAATTAAAATTAAGAAAAAAACTAAGAGAATGAATTATAAATGCTGTAATAAAACTTAGAGGCATTGCAAAAGGAAGAATAACAATATCAACAACAAATAAAACAAAAACAATTATAATTGCAGAATTAAATGTTTTATAGGGAATACTATTATATGTAGCAAGAGAAGCAAGGTTTGATAGCATAGAATGCAAAATTACTTTAACAAAAATAATCTACTCATAGTTGATTGAATATATTTAATCAGATTTTTTATATGTATGCATTTTTTGATTTTCAAAATATAGTGATTAAGTAATAATAAATATAAAATGTAACCACCAGTGTTCGAGAATCAATTAGATCCAGAAGAAATGGAAGCTTGGCTTGCAGAAGTAGAATTAGTCCATGAGAAAATTAAGAAATTGTCAAGCGAATAGGTATAGCAATAATTGAAAATTTAAAGGGCAATGTAAAAGATGATGATGAGGAGATAATTAAGATAAGATAAAAAAGGTTAGAACAAGAGAAAAAGAAAGAAGATGCTAGGAGATAATTGCAGATTTAAAAAGAGGAAGAGGAAAGAAAAGGGAGGAAGGGAAAAGGATAAAATAAAGATTATGCTAGTTTTTGCAAATATTGCTATTTAGAGTATGTTAAGAAGACAGATTAATGCTATTGGTGCAAAAGAGATACTTTGACACAGGAATGTAAAATTGATAGAATAATCTAGAACGTTACAATTAATTATTGGAGAAGGTTGAAAAATATAAAGAAGACAAGAGCAGAAAGCAATAGAAGAAATAGAAATTTGAGTTGATGGAAAAAACAGAGAAAATACTATGGAAAAAGACCACTTTTACACATAAAAAATGGGAATATTATACAAGTTCAGAAGAAGAAATAGAATCTGAACCAATAGTTCCTAAAGATGATCCAAATTTCAAAGCCTTAGAATTAGATATGGAATAAAGAAAGAAAAAGAAAGAGGAAGACATGAAAAAGGCAGAGGAATTAAAAAACAAAGGCAATGAATATTATAGTAAAGGTGATTATGATCATGCAGCCTGGAAATATTCTTAAGCACTTGAATTAGTAAAAGATAATAAGACTTTGTGGTTAAATAGAGCAATTACATACATAAAGTCAAACAAAAACAAAAAGGCTATCAATGATTGCACAAAAGTCATCGAATATGCTGAATGCTTTGAAAATGGTTATACTTAGAGTAGAGAAAATTGCTGTAAAGCCTTTTATCGAAGAGCATTGGCATATTATAATAGGGATCGATTATAAGAAGCACTAAATGATATCAATCAAGCCTAACAACTTATACCAGATGATAAATAGGTATAGAATCTTAAGAAGGAAATAGAAGCTAAAATAGATCATTATTAAAGGTTGAAACAAAATGAAAAGGAAGAGAAGGATGAAGAAGAACCAAAATAAGACAACTAAGATTAACAAGAAAATAGTATATAGTGATAATAATAATATAGATAATTCAAAAGAAAAGAAAAGCTTTATGGATGAAAATCTAACTTACAAACAACTGATTGATAAGTTTGTAGGAGAGGAAGAAATTGAACTCTTATAATTATTTAAAGTGCTCAAGGTTGATTCAAACGAAGCCACAGCCTATTTTTATGAAAAAAATGGTTTGAAATAACTATTAAACATAATATAAAAAAATGATGAGAAATTGCACAATCTATAAAATGTAAGCATTTTTTATAAACTTTAGATTATGGCAAGTTTACCAGCTTTGATTTTATAGGTTTATTAAGAAAAAAGTTTGTTGTATTAGGAATAATTCCTAATTTAATATAATGGAATTGAAGTTATTTATGAAAAAATTAAATAATTGTTGAAACAGGTTGAAAATAAATCCTAATCTGCAATTTATGATACGATATCAGATTATTTAGATGTATTAAATGTGATGGATGAAGAAAAACCTAGATCTATAATATAACAGCATGAAATAATTAGAACTAAGTTTTATCCTGAATTGTTTCAAAGAATTATATCATTATATAAGACCGAAAGAGATGTGGTTGCTACATTTTTAAGTTTCTGCAGTAATTTATGTTATGGATAGAATACGCCCTTAAAAAATGTTCTTTTTGGGAATATTAACGAAATTATAAATAAATTTGTAGAGATATTAGAAAAAGCTGAAATAAAATAAACAAACATTAAAATGATGAATCAATTATGCAATTTATTGTCAAATTTATTGACAGAAGAGAAATATAGGTTTTACTTCTTATCAAAAGAATTCAACCCAAATTTCTTTAAGGCCTACCTTAAGTTTATTAAAGCCATATAATTTAAGGATAATGAATATAACTCATTAAAATAAAATGGTATTGCAGTTTTAGTTAATTTGACATTTCAAATCAATTAAGTCCAATCGGACTATGTAAGTAAAATCAATTTGTTGATTCCTACTCTAATTGAATATTTAGAGACTTAGTAAGATGGTTTAGTGATAGAGAGAGTCCTTACAGTATTGGCTAAAGTCAACTATGAAGAAAATATTTATCTAATAACAAAGTTTATAAAATCATACAGTAATCAATCTATTAGATGTTTGCTTCAATGGTTATCAAGAAAATCTCCCTTGGTGGTTGATTAGTTAAAATAAAAATAAACACTGTTATATGAATTATTGGAATAATTGAAATAGTAATTGAATAGTGATAATGAGATAATATATTGCAATTGCTGTAATGTCATTGGGTACATAATTGATTTGTTATCACCAATTAATGGTGAGTAAAATGCTTGCTCATTCTTCAATCAATTGATTCCTAGATTGTTGAGTTTCGTGAAAGATAAAACTGGTAATTTTAGAAAAAATTCGGCAATTCTTTTGGCAAAATTAACAAAAGATTAGAACAATTTACAAAAAGTAAGAGATTTACATGGAATTGAAATTTTATAATCAGTAATGGGTAAATTGTGAATAGTATAATAATATATTATATATAAATATTTAAATTTGATTATGCTATCAAAATAATAGAAACTACATGAAATACTATCTTAAGACATATTGAAAATGTATGTTTAGAGTAATAATTAGTTCAACTACAAAAGCATCTTAAAAATTAAGTTAATCTTTCGATACAAATGGATTAATAGGACAATTATTGAGTCCAAATTAAAAAACAAATTAAAGTATGGGATAATAAAAAGTGAATAAAACAATATAATATCAGCAAGAATTACTAAAATTAATGACAAATCATAAGCAATTATAATCTGGCAATAAAAATGCAAATATATCAGATTTGATGAGGTAATAAAAAGAAAGCAAAAGAATTAATTCTGGTACAAGTCAACCTTAAAAATCATAGTCATCAAACAAATTGAGTTTTTTTAATACAGGAATTACAATAATTGTGAATCATGAGAATCAATAAATTAAATTTAATATTGAATCTTCAAAAACAACAGGATAGTTAGAAGAATATTTGAAATAAGAAGTAAAGTAACATTCAATACATTAATATTCATCTACAGTTTCTTAACCAGATGAAAGAAAGTAACACGTGGAACTGGGAATGATTCCTCAGATTTGGAGATAGTTTCATTTCATACAGTAGATAAAAATCTGCCTATTGATTATTATTTGCAGTAACCTAATAAAAGCTTAGAAATATTTAGTGGGTAAACATTAAATTTATAACCATTTTATGGGACTCCTTAATAAAGCAAAATAACTGCTTAAAGATTTATTTTTGTAAATTGTATTGGAGTTGGTGGACTTTCAAGAGTTTATATGGTGAAAAAGAAATCAAATGGAAGATATATGCTATGAAACTAATTGATAAGGAATTTATTATGTAACATAAGAAATAAGGTATAAGTAGTTAAAAATTTGTTAGGTATTGTGTAAAATGAAAGAGATATCATGACTGTTGTTGATCATCCTTTTGTTATTAAATTAGAATATGTATTTGAATCAAAGAATTTCATTTTATTTGCGTTAGAATTTTGCAGCGGAGGGGAGTTGTTTTGGTAATTAAAACAAGTTAAAAGAATGGCAGAAGATTAAGCAAGATTTATTTTACAGAGTTTTGTTTAGCAATGCTTTATCTGCATTCATTATCAGTAGTTTATAGAGATATCAAACCAGAGAATATATTTTGATAGATTTAGATGGCCATATCAGAATAGCAGATTTTGGATTGTCAAAACCAAATATGACAGAAGATGATTATGCATACAGCTTTTGTGGTTCACCTGAATATATGGCCCCAGAAATGTTATTGAAAGTGGGCCATAATGTTTAGGTGGATCATTATTGTCTAAGAGCATTGCTATATGAATTAATCACTGGATTGCCTCCATATTATTCTAGAGATACTGATGAAATCTATGAATCTATTCTTAATGAAGAATTAACATTCCCTGAGAAATTAAATTTATCATCTAACATAAAGATACTTCTAAATCTTACATAGAATCTATTGCAAGGTTTATTATGCAAACAACCCTCCGAAAGATTAGGAGCTAATAAAGGATTATCAGAATTACTTATTCATTCTTGGTTTAAGGATGTTGATCTTGTAGAATTATTAAAAAAATAAGTTCTTTCCCCTTTTACACCAAATCATTTGAAATTCAATTATGATTAAAATGAACTAATGAAAGGAGAACTTGAAACAAGAGAAAAACTTTTAGGCAAGTCTGGATTTCATTAAGATATTAGGCTATTTAAAGCCTTTTATTTTGACTCCAAAGAACAGATTTAAATGAAATAGGAATAAGCCAAAATATTGAAATAGCATTTCATGATGGTAACTCAATAAAAATTGGCGCTTAATACTAAGTTTAAACCACAAAAGACAAAGCGCTGAACCTAAAGAAAATTAATCAAAACCATCATCTCCATCAAATAATAGTAAAAAATAATAAAAACTCCATTCTGAGTAATTCCAATCTCTCTAAAAACGAATTAAATCTTAGTATTATTCATATTTAATTCTAGGTAATTCTCAATTACTAATGTCTAGTAAGTAAGCGCTGTTGCAAGTCCTGCTTAATCAAAAGTTTAAGGTTTGAATAGGATTATTTCTTACAATAATTTCTTTGCTGATAGACAAAATACTTTACCTAATGAGTAAAAGAAGCTAGATTATAATCAATTATAGCCAAATGTCTCGACAGAAAAAATGCTTTATAAAGAGTATCTTCTTTAAAATAAAGAAAAAAATGAATACTAAATTTACATATTAATTTTAATTTTCAATAATTGTTATCACTGTTAGTCTCTATCTAAAAGCAGATTTGAATCATTTTTTATTCAAAATCGATTCAAATTTAATAAAATATATAATAATATTAAAATGGTTTCTTGGAATAATTGGATACTAACATGAAAAATAATCATAAAATTTACATAGTAAACCACAATTAAATAATATACAATAACTAGATTCAGAATAAAATAGAATAGAACTATACATAAAAGTTGCTAAAATGAAAAAAAACAGTTTTAATTAAATATTATATATTTAATATTTTATTGCCATCTCCTTACTTATACTGACTTCTTATTCTTATTATTTTGGATTTAGAAAACTCATATTGTTTTGAGTTATAATATCTAATTTAATTAAAATGAATATAAAATATAATGTCTTTAATAGTCCCATAAGTTTTCTATTTTGTCATAAACAATTATAGAATTTTACAAGTATCTAAGCAGCATATTTGGTAGAAGATGAATAATTTATTTATTTAAGTCAGCACTTATATACTTAATAACGAAATCTTAACTTATATATAAAATATGATACTCAAATCATTAATACTTGCAAAAAAATTATTCAAATGAATTTTACAATATTTAAATATTATTAAGTAATTCATAAACTCAATTAAAATCATTATTAAGTATAAAAGAGATACAATAAATATAGAAGTAAGATTCTCTGATTCACAATTTGAGTAAGAGGTAAAACTTACTTTTTTATAGATAACCATAATTTTATATACAATTTAATTCTACGAGTTAAAGATTTAAAATATTTTATGATCTGAAAATAGCTAGCTAGCATTTAAAAGAAATTGGAACTTTGAGTTTCAAACTTAATGAGAATATTTGAAATAATTTATAAATTTAATTCATAGAATATGTTTATAATATCGAATCATCATATGATTATCAGATTGATATTATAATGACACTTATTTAACTGTCTTTAAGTGCAAAACTAATTGTGAAGTTAAATATTCTAACTTCACAACCATTATATATCTCATTTTTATGCTTGTGCTGATTATTTTATTAACTTTTGCTCAAAAATCAAGTAATCATTTATCTAAAATAGAAAATACATGTTAATTAAACATTATAATTCATTATTACATCAATAAAAATAAGTTATATTTTCCTATATTCATAGAACTGCTGAACTATTCAAAACCTTAAGTAGCAGACTTATTTTAATGAAATTTCTTCATTTTACATAAAATCTATTACTTACAACTATAGTTTAATTATTTATACTATTTCCATTTATAGCAGGGATAAAAAAATTTAATTTAATACTTACTTTCTGAGTTAGTTTTATAAAATTTTAGGTACAAATCTATGTTAAAAAAGAATTGTATTGGTAAAAATCAAAGATGGGGTGATATTATTAACCCATATTATTCTAACTCATGGTGAAAAAGAAATCTTTAACACAAATACCTTTTACGAATCAATTTTTTTAGTTTTGTACCTAAGCTGTATTAAATTTCTCTTCTAAAATAGTCCTTTATAATTTGCTATTATTAATTGTATAATTCGCATTTATTATATTGAAACCATTTCTTCATTTTATATATTTAATTGAGATTTTAATAAAATTAGTGAATTCATTCAGATTATAAACATAATTAAAATTAACAAATATATACAAACTTCATTCTTGAATTTGAAATTCTAAATTAACTAGTATTATACGATGATTTTGACTCTTAATAGAATATTTAGATACTGTTTATATCATTGATTAATTGAACATCTATTCATAAAAAGAAATCATAACATTAATTCAATTAAATATTTCTATTGTGATATATCATCATATCAAAATGATTTTGTACATTCAATATGTGTATTCGATGTTTAGAAATATCTTAAATTTTATTGCAACTATTTAATATAAATTTCTTTAAAAAATATGAAACTACAAATCAGATAAACAATAGAAGAATTGAACTAATAGCCTATGAGAAATTAAAAATATTTTTAGAAAATCCTTAATTTTATTTATCGTTTTTTGGTTTGATTAATATTTCTGTTAAATTTAGGTTTTATTGTATTTCTATCTAAGTTCTATAATTCCAGTTAATAGATCTAAGCAGTTGCTAGTAAAGTTTAACAACAATTTGATTGTTTCTATATATGTCCTGAATTCTCAAAAATTTATAGATCAAACTTAAGGAGTATTAGTTAATTAATTCTTATTTTAATTTAAAAATCACAAAATGCATAATTACAGCTTCTCTCAGGATTATTATGATAACCCTCATCCTGATTGGAATGATCTTAATTTTGATTGTTCTGATCCTTATATGAATCCTGTGATAGACAATTAAGATTTTATTTAAGTTGATGAAAATGATACAAATAGCAAAAACCAACTTAAGATTCTCAATAAAGCAAAGTAATAAAAGAAAAAGTTAAACTTTAATTTCTCAAAAAGAAAAAAAATAGATTTGTAGAAGTTTGATTAGAAACATCACTCTATTATAAAAAAAAACAAGAGAAAATATAGTATAAATTAATCTAAATCTCTATTCTGTTCAGGAGGATGCGAGTCAAATGAGCTTTTATCATCAAATACTGATGCTTCCTCTAAAGGGACTACACTAAGCTCGATAAAATGGAGATTTGATTTTATAGCAACTTTAATCAAATAAACAAAATTAGAAATGATGCAACTTTAGAAGTATAGAAATGATAATCAATGATTGTGATTCATCTTGTATCCAAAATCAATACAATTATATTAGTAATCTTATTAAATCATTTTTTTTATTAGTATTAATATATAAATTTATATACTCTTATTATTTCTATACATATTCATATTTATTTGAATAATGATAAATACAATATTCTAATCAAGTTTTTTATTTTCTACTAGGTTTTATAGTTTATAATTTATTAGCAACAGCTTAAAGATAATCTTCATTGAGCCCCAATAAGCCTGTAAAACAATTGAATTAAGTCACTAATGGTACAAATTCAGTTTCATAATCTAAATCTTCAGTAAATAAGGCCAAAGAAACTTTATTATAATGGTTTTTTTGGCTTAATTCGTAAAAATATGCGATTGATAGGACACATTGCTTTTGATTGTAATATGCTGAGGATCCTCCTTTGACCTTTTTTAATTTTTATTATATATACTCCAACATGCTTATAGATCTTGGCTAGAGCAGGATTTTAAAGTGAGACATATCCTATCAACGGATAAAATACCTCATAGAATTACTTATCAAAAATAGTTTCCTTGTTTAATTTATTTAACAAATTAGCATAAGAATTAGTAGTTGATTTAGTAAATAACTAAGCTTAAATTCCTAAGACTTCTCCATCTAATAATTCTTTTCCTCTTTTTAATAGTTCCTATGCTTGTTAACCACCTTAAATTAACAAATTGTGGATCTCATTACTCTTTTATTTAATTGATTCCTCATTGTAAGATTTAATTTCAGCTATATACTGATCTCTTGCTACATCCTTTATGTTTATATATGACAATAGAAATGAGTTCAAATAATAAGAAGTAGTCTATTTCAATTTTAATTTATTGATTGTTTTCTAAATTGATTTTAGAGTTAACAAGGACTACAAGAATTCAGTATTAGCATTAGAACTTAATGCTATCATTCCGTTAGCAATTTCAATTAGTTTCACTTTTCCATCTTAAATTTTTCTCATTTTCCCCCAATTTTCTAAAAATAATTGATGTGACAAGTCAAATCCCTCAATATAGAATTTATTTATATCTTCAACTGAAATCCAGCTTTCTGGATCAAGTAATCCTTGACTTACCTATCTTGAGAATTCTATTGCTATTGGTATTTTGAATACACTCATCAGATCTTATAATCGATTACCATGATATCTTAATAAAGGCTAATCATCGGCAATAATAGTCATAGCAGTTTTATTAGGATTGTTCATTATGAATTCTAAAAAGGATGGTTAACTATAATCTTTGATGATAAAACTTTTTAAGTTGGTATTATCATATTCCCAAGTTATTAACCCAGGTGCTAAGTTATTTTAAAATGCAACAATTACAGCAGGAGAGGCTGGATTTGGAGTAGAATATGACCAATATTAAATGGGACCTGTTCTCTTTTTAATTGTTTATAAAGTTTCTTTGAATTCATTGTAATTTAATTAGTTTTATACTTATCCTGATAATTGATCATAGATATCTTCAAATTTATCTATAAGTGTAATAATCAACTTTACTGGTATTGAAAGATGATTTGATTGAATGAAAATGTCGAATGTTCGAATCATCTGTTGGAACAAATGTACAAAATGCTACAGGTGGTATTACCATTCTCATTAGAATATGTTTATGTAGCTTAATCATGAATATTTAATAATATTAAAATGGACATATTGAATTATCTATATAAATAGAGTAAGTATCTTATCATTATACATTTGTGGAAAATTAAACAATAATTATTATTCTCATTTAGGAATTAATATTATTTTGTAGATATAATTTCAATTACAAATCACTATTTGGCTTTTTGTAATTTTTTCTAAAAAAATAATTGTGTAATTTATAATAAATGAATGAATTATGGTACGATTAACTGAAAACGGAGATTTAAAATCAGAATCAAAGTGAAAGAGATCCGATAATTAAAAAATAACGATAGGATATCATTTCATTACCATATTTGAGACATCCAAAACAACTAAGAGTTAATAGTATTACAAATCTAAAAAATATTTCATCAGATCGATTTAAATAATATTTATAATAAATACAGCTTAAAAGGTTGGTGAAAAGAGATTAATTCAAAAATAATTATTCTGAAACAGAAATATATCCATTTTTGAATTTGTAAGCAAAATAAATGAAATTTTCTGAGAAAGAATTTAAAGCTAATAACATGAGTGTTTCTATCAGTCAATCCAATATTTTAAATTAAGGTTAGAACCTTCAAACAAATAAGATATCTTTCGCTAGACTCAATCTTCAATAAAATAATGTCCCTTAAGCAATTACAAATAATAAGGATTCTTCAAGAAGAATTAAAACTTTTAATCAAATCGAAATTGTAGAAACTGTAGATTAACCTGAAAGCAAGTAGCAACTCTATCTAAAATTGAGGTTAAGAAATAGTGGTATAAAATAAACAATCAATAATTGGATTAAATAAAGATATAATTTCAACAGAAAATTTAATTCCTGATTTTATTTAATTATCTCATCAGTCTATAATTGTTATTTGATACTCTTTTATTACAATTAGATTGTGAATGCTAAAAAAGGAGATTATGCAAATTTTTATTATTTATTTAGATTTCTTTGATTTTTATTTCTGATTTGTTGTATATCTCATTTTTAAATACAATTATTGTACTGATTCAAAATTTTAATGTCAGAAATCCTAGGAAAAGTTTCTGTTTTAATAATTTTCTTCTTACAAGGCCGAAGATGATTTATAATAGTCTTGTAACGTATAATTAAGATTAATTTGATAGATTAATAGAATGTTTTCAATTAAAAAGAATTACTTGTGTTTTTTTTTGTGTAGCTGAATTGTGTATTAATGATATTTGATCAATTTTGAAAGCTTTTCAACTGCATTGTTGTCATCAGCCTTACTCAATTTATTACTTCAGCAAAATATTTTACAAAAATTTTATCCTCCTTTGTTGATATTTAGGCTTAAAAAATGAATGAATAAGTCTCTGGTATATTAAACAAATGTAATTCAATTAATTTTCTTGAATTAAGATTATTAAAATATTAATTTAATCCATTTATCATTAAAAAGATTTTTTACTAACGAAGTTACTTACAAATGATGAAATATGAATACTCTAAATTGCCTTTGATAACTAATTCGATATTATTTTAACTGCTTAGTTATTACCTTGATTCTATTTCATATTATCAATTAATTAATTTCTGTAACTTTTTTCTTCTGTCATAAAGTTGGGGAAATATTAATTTTGATAATAAATTCTAAAATTATAATTATCAAATTACAGCTTTCTTTAAAAATATTATTAGAGAATGAAATTTTGATTGAATTAAAATAAACAGATAATAGTTATAAGCATTCTTAAAACTAATAGATTAAATAATTCTAAAACAACTTTGATTATTCTAGAATAAATTAAAGCTTTTATAAGATTTTAGATTTTTAATAAGAAAATTTTGGAAATAAACCTCACGAAACTAAATTAAAGAAAAACTAAATAAAAGGTGATTTTTCTAATTGTCGATAATTTTAAGTTAGTAACTCAGAAAAGAACGAGTTAAGAAATATAAATCAAATCATTCTTGCTAATTCTAAATTAGTAAATAAATTTACTATTGAAATATTCTCATTGCTATCTTATTTACAGTGTACTACTCCTTAACCACAATTTTCCAACGTCAATTCTTATTCAATATATATCATTCGATTATCAAATTAACAAATTTCTCACTAAATTTTCAGTAGTTTCTTTATCTATATTATATGAATAATTAGATTGATATTTTTATGATTCATTTTCAAAATCATCGAATAAAAATTTAATCACAAATCGTTAGGCATATATTCAATAGTTAAAATAATTAAGAATTTCCTTATCTGATTTAATAATTTCATTCTCTTCTCTAAATTATTTGAATTATAAGTTATTCCTTTTAAATGGAGCTGTTCTTTCATTCCTTTTCTATGTATTTGAAAATAATAATAAAAAGAGATATTTAATTTGTAAAATGAACTCGGATAAATATGAAAGCTTTTACTAATTCGAGAGATTTTAAAGTTCCTTATCCGAAAATTCTTAAATTAGAAGCTCATTTAAACAAAAAGATTTTGAATCACGAAACAGTTCAATCATCTTTGTTGTTCAGGAATAACTCTAAAGAATTTTATCAATGATAAATAAAGAAAATGTAGAATAAATGGAAAATAATATTATCAAACTCCAACAAATAAGTGGGAATGTGAAATAATTTAAGTCTTAACTAATAGAATCAATAGACAAATATATTGGAAATATTGATTAATATATAGACTACATCTAAATTTAGATGGGAATACTTCATTAAAAAATTTAAGAAATTCCATTAGACAACGAAATTGAATTTTTTAAGATATTAAGAAATAGAAATCTATCTACCAAATTATGCTGAAATAAAAGAAAGTTTGTTAAATAACTTAGTCGTATTAAACTCTTCAACTAAAGTTAATGAATTATAACAATATCTAAATTAATTTGGGATTGAAAAATACAAGTTATCATAAGAAATCCTAGAAAATTTATTATAATAAAATTAAGATAAACTCAATAATGTACAATGTGAATTTCATCAAAGTTAAATAAAAATGGTTCATCTAAGTGAAGTAAGTTTAGTACCTCGAAGATTAGCATGCTTGACTTGTGTAGAGGAATATCCATGTTAATATATGAGAATTGAAACATTCTATAATTAATGGTAGATATAATAATAAAGAAAAATATCCTAATTAGAAAGGAAAATAAAAGTATTTAATGAAGCATGTTTATAGGAAAATTAAAATCTTATTAGGTTTTAGTTTGAGATCAATGGTTTAATTGAATAATATAGAAATAAATTAAATTAAAATTCCTAAAGTTAGCTAGAACTATTAAGAAAGTTGAAATAATAAGAATCAGAAGTTTGGTCTTAAATTAAAAAAGAACGATTGAATGAAATTGTTGAAGCTTTTAGTAGATCTAATCATATGAATGAATTTGAAAATAAGCATAAATAAATATTTGCTCTTTGGCAATAAAATTAGAAGAAGAATTATGATTTTCTCTTTAGAAACACATTTATTTTATTGGAAGATCAAGTTCCTGAAACAAAACTTTCCTGTTATATAGAATAATTAGATTAGAAATAAAGTAGTTTTAAATATTAGTTACTTAAAGATTGCTCAGTAAAACAGTAAGAATTTTGTTATGCGATTGCTTTCAGTTCAGATTTATCTACCATAGCTGCTAGTTGTAAACAATAAATTAGGGTATTCGAAATAAGAAACGAAATCGTAATAGAAATATAAATGTTAAACGAGCACTAAAAGGAAGTCGTGTGCTTAGCTTTTATGAAAAATTCAGATTCATTTATATCAGGGAGTGAGGACAAAACCATAATAATATGGAAAAAAAATTCAACTTGCTAATGGATTTGTCAATAGAAGTTAAAATAGCATTTGGACTCTATTTATTGTTTTATAATATCTAATAATGATGATCTCATTGTATCTGGGAGTAAAGATAAAACAATTAGAATTTGGGAGAGGGGTAGTTAGAATAAAATTGCATAGATTATACAAGGAAAAAAATAATGGTTGTGCAAGCAGACTATTTCTAGTCACACTGACTTTGTATTTAGTTTGGCTATAAATGAATCATTAAATCAATTCATCTCTTTTGGGAAAGATAATAAAATAATAGTGTTTTAAATTGAAGAAAAAGGTTGGATTTAAAAATAAGTTATTTCTGTTTAATCATTTGGGCTTGGAATTAGTTTCATTAACAATGATACATTTGCATCTAACCTTAGTATAGTAAAAAAATTGAAATATACGAGTTGAANAATTAAAATCTTATTAGGTTTTAGTTTGAGATCAATGGTTTAATTGAATAATATAGAAATAAATTAAATTAAAATTCCTAAAGTTAGCTAGAACTATTAAGAAAGTTGAAATAATAAGAATCAGAAGTTTGGTCTTAAATTAAAAAAGAACGATTGAATGAAATTGTTGAAGCTTTTAGTAGATCTAATCATATGAATGAATTTGAAAATAAGCATAAATAAATATTTGCTCTTTGGCAATAAAATTAGAAGAAGAATTATGATTTTCTCTTTAGAAACACATTTATTTTATTGGAAGATCAAGTTCCTGAAACAAAACTTTCCTGTTATATAGAATAATTAGATTAGAAATAAAGTAGTTTTAAATATTAGTTACTTAAAGATTGCTCAGTAAAACAGTAAGAATTTTGTTATGCGATTGCTTTCAGTTCAGATTTATCTACCATAGCTGCTAGTTGTAAACAATAAATTAGGGTATTCGAAATAAGAAACGAAATCGTAATAGAAATATAAATGTTAAACGAGCACTAAAAGGAAGTCGTGTGCTTAGCTTTTATGAAAAATTCAGATTCATTTATATCAGGGAGTGAGGACAAAACCATAATAATATGGAAAAAAAATTCAACTTGCTAATGGATTTGTCAATAGAAGTTAAAATAGCATTTGGACTCTATTTATTGTTTTATAATATCTAATAATGATGATCTCATTGTATCTGGGAGTAAAGATAAAACAATTAGAATTTGGGAGAGGGGTACAAGGAAAAAAATAATGGTTGTGCAAGCAGACTATTTCTAGTCACACTGACTTTGTATTTAGTTTGGCTATAAATGAATCATTAAATCAATTCATCTCTTTTGGGAAAGATAATAAAATAATAGTGTTTTAAATTGAAGAAAAAGGTTGGATTTAAAAATAAGTTATTTCTGTTTAATCATTTGGGCTTGGAATTAGTTTCATTAACAATGATACATTTGCATCTAACCTTAGTATAGTAAAAAAATTGAAATATACGAGTTGAAGAATTCTAGTTATATCAAAACTAAAGAAATACCAGTAAAATTAGGAAGTTGTTCTAATAATTTATTTCCTTAATAAATGATAAAATCAAAGTAACTCTTAATAAATAAAAATGGGTCTTGTGTAAATTTTATAAGTTTTTCCTCAAATTTAGAAAATGTTACAGAATATTCTATTGAATTTTCTACAAATACGATTTATGGAGTGTCAAGTAATAATGGTGAATATTTATTGACATGGGATTTTGAATCGAAATTAATATAAATATGGAAGTACGCAGAAGAATGAGATATGAATAATTATGAAATTCAAAATAAAATCTTTAATTATCTCATTATTCTGCTTCTATTAAGATCATGTGAAATGTGCAGAGTTTGCCATTCCATATATTATATTTAATATTAAACTTCTGCTCTATAGTATATATGCTTTTTTTACATGTTCGTAAGAATATTTAATTAATAGCGAAGAAACAATTTCGAATTTAAAGTATTAAACGTAGATATTTCTTCATGCTATTCTATCTTTAGTGGTTTGATTTTGCTGCATCAATTTTCACGTTGTTTTGCTTTACAATTCCCTTTACTTTTTACATTCTATTCTTAACCATTTAATCAGGCATACTACAAAATCATATAAGTAGTACTAGAGCCATTTTTAATTGTTAAGTTAAATATAGAGACCTCCATTTTTCCTTATATTGTATCAATCAAAACTGATATTTTGTATCAAGGAATGTATTAGATAGTATTATAGAAATATTTTCCGATTCTAAATAGGTCTTGTCATGAGACCTTTAGCCCTATTAAAAAAGACAATTTAAATTTTATTAAAGATATAAGCGATGGTGCTTCCATTTAGTTTTCTAATATTAAGCGTTTATTATGCAATTTATATATTTTAAAAGCTACAGAATTTTATTTGCTTAAAACAGTCATGATTAAACATTTATTGATGATTGGAAACGGAAAATCAGATATGAATAAAACCGCAAATTGTAAGCATGGAATAGTTAGTTAATTATTCTAATGAAGAGATCTTAATTTACTTTCAAGGGGTTTTATTTATAAATTTGTCAATGTAAGTCAAAAACTTTAAGTGATCTTTCCCTTTAAATCAGGTCACTTCTTATTTCTCAAATTGATAATAATATTAAATGCGGAATATGCAATAAGGGATTTAAATTTTATTTATTTAATAATAATTATACTAATAGTTAGTTCCTCTAATTAGTATGTTTAAATATGAATATAATACATTTCTTTTTGTATTATAATACATAATAATGATAATAGGATAGAAAGGAAATACATATCTAAATTTTTTATCATAATTAGTTAGAATATTTGACGAAATAAAAAAATATAAATTTAGATTGAATTTATACATTTAATTATTAATTATAACCTTATGCATTAACTAGATTTATATCAATAGAGTAAAAATATTATATTATTCAAATGAATATTAAATAATATTTTAAAAGGAGAAATAATATTTTACTTATATAAGAGTCTATTAATGAATAAAAAATTTACATCTTTCTAACTCCAATTTATAAAATAAGGTTCTGATTAAAGTTGCATAAGAAATTTAGATTTAAATGGGTTTGATTGTCCTATATCTTAAAAGTAGAAATATATTGAAAAAGATAATATCATCATTTTTATATAATATTTTTATATTTTTTATTTTATATGATAAAGTTTATATGAAAAAAATCTAATCTTTTTCATCTTGGAATTTATTTCTATTCAATCAATGGTTCAAAAGAAGTTGATATAATTTTTGTTTTTATTTGGATTAAATTAATAAGCTATTTTTAATTGATTTAATATAAATTGAGATAGTATTTATAGATAGATATTTGTATATATAGACAATTTTTAATATTATCATGGTTTGTGGGCATATTCTCTAATTTGAAAAAGATGAGATTTGAAATCCCATGTTATTAAGAACTATCCATCTTGACTCATAGTTCCAAATATTTGACTCCATAAGACTTTTTTGAAATCAATCACCTATTACAATTTGTACTCCTCAATTTCTTCTTTGGTTGAGAATACTATCTTGATTATATTCAATTTGTATCCTTGTTTGATAAGAAGACAATTTTTCGATGATACATAGACCATAGGAAAATAATAATTACAGGGTTGATCCCCTCCTTAAATTTCTGCTTCTGTTATTTTAAAAAATTTCTCGTTTTCATAGTTTAATTGATATATTTCTAAATTAGATTATCTATAAGGTTAAAATACGAAAATTTCATTTTTAACAAAAGATAATCTATATCCAAAATTAGAAACAACTATCCTTTGTGTAATAATCCATTAATCAAAACTTAATGCTTTTAATATTAATATTGAATTGTTATCGCTGCAAGAAATTAATTTATTTCCAATATTATTTATTGATAATGAGTAAATTTATTAATTAAACAGTTTTATAGTTTACACACATGAAGATAATGAAATACACCAAAATTTAATTGTAGAATCTTTTGATCCACTAATAGCGAGATCTTCGGATAATGGATGCAACACAAGGCAGTTAATCCAATCAGAATGACTTTTCAATTTTATTACATATTTTGAGTTTATAACTAAGTTTGATGACCAAATAATTATATTATTATCTCTAGAACCTGAAATGAGCCACTATTTAATTTAAAAAAAATTTAGAGTAGTGACATTATCAAAGTGCTTGTTAATTTGTTGAATCTATTTTAGATATTTGTGTTTGAACTAAAAGATTTTGAATTTCTTTTTAGATCCTACAAGAAGTAATGTATTTGATCTATTTATTGCAAGTGCATTGCTAAACTATCCTTGGTGATAAATAGAAATTATTTCATAACTAAAATTATTCTCCTATTATTCTTGCATTAATCTTATAGATTAAATGGCTTTCGTGTTCTATTATAATAATTAATTATTTTTAATATTTTTATGATATCTATATATTTTATACCCAACAAAATGTTTCTTAATGCTCTTTTGTAATACCTAAGAAGGTCTCTTATATGATAAAAATAAAAATTTAATCAAAGCTTCCTTTTTTTATTCCAAATTGATTAGTTTCAATTCTGTTAATTTTTTATCAATGAAAATTTTTGTTGTACTATATTTATCTGCTATGGCTTATATAAAGTACGATTCAGGACTAAATACTGATTTTAATCCTAGTACGGCTGGCTTTTTGTGCTAAAACTCTTATTCATTGGAGTAGACAACATCCTTTAATGGTTAATTTTAAAACATTCCTCAAGTCTTTATACAACTTAATTGGGTTGATATTGCCAAAGGGAATACTGAATATCGATTATCAATAACATCTATCACTTTAACAAGTAATTATATACTATAATTCAGATTTTATGGTGAAAATATTTTGTCCATCATCAACAAGAACACATACACTGAAATTTTAATGGTATGCGATTGATGATTAGCGAGTTCAAGTAATAAACGCTTTTAATATTGATAATCCAACAATTTCAAAAAATTATTAGCACTTGAATGCGAATGCTGAATAAGGAATGTTATTTCCTATAAGTTTATCTTATGTTGGTCCCCTTGATTTTGTTATTTAAGTATCATTTGGCCTATATTAATCCTTAGATATCGAGCATAACCAAAACTGATGTTACAATAGAGATTTCAAATCCTTCAGGAAAATTTGTAAATCTTAAACAAATTGGTTATTAAATTGTCTTAGGAACCAGCGAAATCTTTACTACCTTGGGACTCTAAACTGTAACAGGTACCTCTTACACTAGTGAAAATTATAATTTATTGACCAATAAATGGTTCTTGACTCCCATTATTGGAGTAAATTATCCTGATGACTACTATTTATAATTTAGATGGACTTATACTTATACAGCCTCAACGGTTTCTTGTAAAATTGATTCATGTAAAATTATACACTAAATTAGGGGACAGACTTGTGAAACATACACATTAAAAAGTATGGATGTCCTACGTAATCAATACATAGTATTTACCTCTTTATTGTGTGACTATAAGAATTTCCTAAAAAATTGACCTAGAAGCCATCAACAGATCTACAATTTATTCTGAAATACCATAAATTAATGGCGTTTTCAATTAAATTGGAACATTCACTACTATTATTGACAAATCAATTTCACCATTAACAATAAATGTCATAGTAAAATGTTCCTAAGGAAAAAAAATTACTAGCAAGTTTAATAAATGCAACAATTGCTCACCGTAAATGTTCTATACATTTACTCATAATTGCCATAATTAAATTAATTAAATCTCTTATTTTCCCAGATATATTTCTTCAATTTCAGCTCATTAAGAATTAGAAATAATTATAAGTGCTTCAAGAATTTAACTCAATCAAATAACCTATAATTAGATCAAGGCAGTTATAAATATTTTAGATATTGAATTGGGCAATATTTGATAAAATAATATAATTTATAATATAATAATAAACTACTTTTTGATTAAAAAAACAAGATATTAAAGTTCTACAGTCTATTTAGTTTTATATAGAAAATAATAATTGTTCATAATTTATCATAACCATCAATATGCTTTCCTACTTTAAGTGCTAATAAATTCTATTTTAATAAATGAATTGTAAAAGAATGGTTATCGGGATGAATAATGATCTTAAAACAAAACGTACTTCAGGAAATTAAAATTTTAAATTAGATGGAAAGAATCCTGAAGAAGTGATTAAGAATGCTATTAAAGAAGCTGAAAAGAACTAACAAATTAAAAAATAATGAAACTAATCTATAATAATCTAAAATTGATGTATAATTTATTTCGTATTCAACTTAATGTAATACAACTGTTTAAAATTTTGCAAATTTAATAGGAATTTACTCAAGAAACATCTTCGGTTAGAATCATATTGGAGAATAACTTCGCTATTATTTTTAGAGATTGATGGAATATTTTCTTTGAACTAAATATCGAAGTCTTAAAAATGATCTCAAAATGAATAACTTATTTTTCAGATTCGAATGTTTGAATACCAAAAAAATTTTGTTCTATATTTTAAATAAAGAATTTCAATAATATCAATGAAAAATTCTCCTCATAAATTGTTTTGTTTTAACTTAGGGCTGTTTAGATTTATAACCATTATTGTATGAATTCAATCAAATATAGTTTCAGTTTATTGAGAATAAAAAGTGTAAATAGTAAAAAATATTGACTAGTATGAATTTAAATAAATAAATTTAATGGTAGCTGGATAGAGAAATAAAGAAGATAATTTTAAAGTGAGAGACTTCTTAAGAAAATCTTTTCTTACTAAAATTAACATGATAGTGGACAAAATATTACCCTATAAAATTATTCTTTTTTTAGTATATTTTTCGAGGCAAATTTTCTGCTAATGGCATTGGAGGTTTTTCTTGATATAATCAAGAGAAATCTTGCACTTACCATGTCGAATAAGCTGAACGTACTTTAAACATTGCAACAATTAACATAAGGCATTTCCCTTACAATGTTCAAGAAATAATATCATATTTTTACTTACTAAATCGCTTTGTTCTAGACTCTTCCAGTAAAAATATTTGTAGAGCAACCTTGATAGCCTAATTCTTTATCGTCACTACTGCTCTGCTATCTTAGCTGAGGAAAAAAAAAGATTCTGTTCTAGAACAACACTGTTTCCTTTATCATTACTTGAAATAATTGAAGAATCGATAAAACAATCAATTATGAGGGAGTAGTGGTCCTTAATATATATAAAATTGTATAAGTAAATAATATATAAATCGAAATAATCTAGCCCAAGTTTTCAGGAACGAAATATAACTAAAGGATTATAAAACGAAAACATGGAAATATATGCATAAGAATAAATTCATGTATTACAAATGATATTGTTGAGGATCATAACTTATAAAAATGAATATAATAATTGAAGCCAAGTTTGATATAGAGAAATGACAAAGTAGGATGGAAATATGATATTTCAATTATGGTAATAAATAATAAATTAGAGATTGAACAGCAGGGCTTTATGAGAATATCATAATTTAAAAAAATTTGGAAAACTAAAAGGCATTTGAGGTAAAAATTTGATAGAAGGTTGCAATTTCTTCATTCAAATCTAATTATCTATCTAAACTCTCTTGTGTTGTAGATGTTAAATATAATTAAGTATATTCACTAGTTTAAATTACTTTCTTTGATCTATATATCTGCAAAAAAGACAGTCAAGATTTTATTTGTTCTAATATGCTTGAGTTTGCTTTTCTACCATAGATTTTACATTTTGAAAAATTGAAAGAATTAAAATTTAGAATTTTCCATAATTTTGAATATCTATTATTGATTTTTATTTAACTGTGATTAATGGGTGACTAACTAATTCAAAAATTTCAGAATGTTAAATGATTACTCCTTAACCCTAGATTTAATACTTTAAAATCTAGTTAATCAACATCTCCTATAGATATTGGCTCTTGACTTTTAAAATTTGTACCATTGATATCAACTTTAAATGATCTATACTAGATGCAAATATACTAGATTTCATTAATTCACTTATCATTAATATAAATGAGTAGCTCTACATCATTCTTAGGAAAAGAAAAATTATTAAAAAATGTCCTTAATAACACAAAAAACATATTTCAAAGCAAAACGCACCATTCTTCAAATCAAACGAATAATTTTGTTAGAGGAATCTTTTGAACTAATAACTGTTTAAAACCATTATAGAAATAGGTGAAACTAATAATTACCAAAATATGTTGTCAAATTATATCTGAAGATTACTTCTATCCTAAATGCTTTAATAAACGGAAAATTAAAAAATACTCTCTTTAATTTCATGTTTAAGAATACTTTGATTTTTTCGAATAATAGCTAAATTTTTAATATTTTACACTTGAAAATAAAAACTAATTTCTTGATAATAGTAATTGATTTCTATTCTGAAATTATGGCTATTCAGTTATAAATGAAAAAATAATTGAAACATTATTTATAATG